ACAAAAACACAAGCCAGAAAAAAAGGAATGAAGGAATGATGGAGGAGGGGAAAGAGCAGGGAGAGTGGAGTGGAGTGGAGTGGAGCCAAAAGTGGGAAGCAAAGCCAAAAGGAAAAGCCAAAGCAAAAGCCAGGCAGCAGGCAAACAGCGAAAGCAAAAAAATTATGCCCCAGACGCCGCTGAATTTTAAATGAGCCTCCTTTATGGGCTTCATTTCAGCGTGTAAATTATCTCATTTGTCAGCAATTGCGCCCCGTACCGCGTTCCGCGTGCCGCGTGCCGCGTGTCCCGCTATGTGTGTGCCAAACACTGTGGCTCTGCCTCAAGTGCCAGCGGCTAGACCTATAGCTCTATGCCCCTCTCTATATCCTCTATGCCCCTCCCGTCCCTCCATAGTGTGCTGCTGCCACACCCACACCTCCCGCATGATATTCATCGACATGCGACATCCTATCCTCCATGTACTTCAGCCATTTGTGAAATGATTCAATGACGTCTCCGTCACCGTCACCGTCTCCGTTTCCGTCTCGTCCCTCTCCCCGTCTCTCCTCTCTGGAATTTAATGAGATAACGCGCTTTCCCTCGCTATGTCCGCAGCTAAGATACGCTTTTCATATTTTTCACAACGTACTATTAAATCTTCGAGTACGAGTTGGTTGATTCATTAATTTTGATCCCATTTTTCCATTTTTCCTCCCCTCCCCTCCCCTCCCCCGACCAACATAAGTTGCATTAAGTGATGAAAATCTCTCCCGACAAGCTTAAACGAAGCTTTGACTGAGGGATCTGGCTCTGGGACTCCTTCCATTCCCCTTTTCCTCCGCTTGAGGCAGAAAGAAATACAAAGTGTTTGGCATGGTGAGCATGTGGAGCCAGAACAACTGTTGTGTTGGCCATGGCTGTGTGTGGCCACGGAGTGATGCCCCAGTGTGGTGTAGGGACCTCTGCCATCAGTATTCCTCAGGATTTAACTCTCATTCCCATTTCCATCGCCCGTCAATTAGTTTTGGGCAGTGTCATGGCTAAGCCTCCGCTTGAGCCCCCCCGTGTAAGTGCCAGTGTTGAGTAAGCTGCACTTTCTTTGCACCAAGAGAATGGAGAGGGGGGAGGGACTGGACTGCACTGCACTACTCTCCATTGAGTATCCCCGTACCGTACCCCATTGATTGCCAGCTTAATCGCAGCTTAGTTGGCGCTTCCACGCCAGAGTGCGAGAGAGCGAGAGTGCTTCCACAAATACCGCTCAATGTTACCGTGTTGCAAGTGGATCGTGTGGCACAACACAGCCAGCAAACAAAGAGGGGAAAACATGCCTCTGCCACTGCCACTGCAACTGCCCCTGCTACTCCTTTTGGGGGAGGGGGTGTTTCAGTCGTGTTTCAGGTTTCAGATATTTTTTGTGGGTTTTTGTGGCCAAAAAGTGAATTTAATGGCCTCTCAAGTGGCAGTCGAGTATAACTTTTCCGAGTTTTCCTTAGTCTGTGGGCAAATATGAAAAGCTCTCTGCTGCCATGGAAAACTCTTTTCACTGGAAGTGGTTGGGATTGGGTGGGATGCCTCGATGCCTCGATGCCTCCCCTGCTTTTATCCAACGGCATGGCATTGATGATTCTGCAGATTCCTGGGCCTTCTGCATGCATTTGCAATCAATGATGTGTATGCCCGGCGTATTTTATGGGACACTCCACCGATCCCTATAGCCAGATTTCATATCCACATAAATTTGTATCCAAAACAACGAACAAAAGGAGCAGGAGCCGTGGCCGTAGTCATGGACAGAAATGGCGTTCCCTGGGTCCTGGGCTCCACCTTTTGACAAGGGCATAATTAAAGCGTAACAGCAACAAAAACAGATGGCAGAGCCAACCCACACCCTTCCCTTTCCCCCTGTAAGGGAGGCAGGAGAGGAGACCTACCTCCCTGCGACATAAAGGCGGCGAGAAACCCACGAGGAAGAGTAAAAGTACGACGATGGCGATGGCAATGCACGACGGACGATACGATGGTACAGCGTTACGGGGTGAGAACAGGTTGTTACTTCCTTGCAAACAAGGTTCCGTTACCGTTATGTACACACAGAGCCACAACCACATCTACATACTCATATACACATACATACATACATATGTATATGATAAATGCCTGTGTGTGTGTGGCATATACTACATATAAAAAGAAAAGCACGTTATTGCCAATTTAACTTACATTGTGCATGTGTCTTTAAACAAAGATTTATGTACCCAACCGTTGCATGCACCCCCCTACCCGCCTACCATTCCAAGAAAGTACGACCCCAATCAGGACTCCACGATCCCTCCTTCGTACCGTACACATACGATATATTTGCTGGTTCTTGGTTGGCTGGGGGTCCTGGGGGTCAGGTGTGCGGGCAATAACTCGCTATAGATGGGGGGCATTACTTATACTCGTATGTGTGTGTGTGTTTGTATGTGTGTTTTTGGTGCTCGCTCTGTGTTCTACCCACTTAAATCAGCATAATGATATGCACTTATTGTTGTGGCAAATTTGTTGCGGAAATGCTGTGAAAACCGCACAGGCCACAAGCAGCTTCGAGCGGGTAGCGGGTAGCGGGGAGCAGGGCCACTGAGCCCTGACTCACCTCAGACCTCAGACGAACCGACCGCATGTCGATGTCGATTTCTTCATTTGCCTAATACGAGTCGACGCCATCATTAATCTAAAATATGGCAGACTTGCACGCACCCACACACACGCACTCATGCTCATGCACGCTCTCTCACTCTCACTCTCTCCGTCCCTGCATGTAATTATGTTCAGGGAGCGGAAGAGAGAGAGAGAGAGTGTGTGGTATGAGGGGGAGAAGGAGGCAACACACCACAGAAGACACACATTTGCGTAAGCCTTGTTAATCGTGACAAAAGCTTATTGCGGGTTATTTGGACTACTTGTTTCGCATCCGGCATCGTCGTTGTCGCTGTCGCTCCCGTCGTCGTCGTCATCGTCAGGCGTCCCCAGCAGCAAAACAGTGTTGGTGGGGGGATGGGGGAAGCATGGGAGCAGTGCTGCTGGCAAAACGAAAATCAACATTTGCTATAGGCAGGGTATATTCAGGGAGAGGATAAGGCTACATATGTCTACAATTCTCCAGATGTTGCATGTGAGGCACCTCTGACCACGCTACTTGGCCAGTGCTGAGTCGGTATGTTTTGGTTCCCATCCAATAACCAACTACACAGTCTCTCCTCCGACTGGCCTTACCCTTCTGTTTCCGTACACCCTTCACTACAGATCTGTAACAGTAAGCAAAACAGTTATGTGTGTGTATTTCTGGTGCGTTTGAGCCTGTCATCTCTAAGCAGGACTAGGGAGCGAGAGTCGCCCCAAAAGGGAGTGATGGGGAGGGGAGGCCCTTCTCGCGTCACTTGCACACATAATAAACATTTTAAACATTATTCTCGTGTTAAGCAGCTTCTTGGATTGCCTGCTCCTGCTGCTCCTCCTCCTGCTGCTGCTGCTGTAGCCCTGCCTGTCGCTCTGCCTCTGTTCTGTGCGTCTCTGCTGTTCGTTTTCGGTGAAATTTACGGGTTTTAACGAATAATGGTGCATGTGGGAAATGAACGTTTTGTGTTCGCTTTTGCTTGTCATCGCAGTATCCACACATATCCACGGAGCAGCAGCATCAGCCACACACACACACACACATTTACGCATTCCAAAACATTTGCCACTTTATCAGCATTTTACTTTAGCCGTTATTACCAGAGAGATCCACTCAGAGTACATTAGTACGCCCCCACACTCACACGCACACGCACACACACACACAGAGATAAACATACATACACTACTAATACTCTCCCACATGATGGCTCTCCTCTGGCACGCATGTGTGTGCCTCGTCTCTACGAGAAGGTTGCGACTCTCCAAGGAAATTAAAAAACAACTAAAACAAATTAACAATGTAATGACAAAAGTCTTATGCCAGAAATGTGGCAGCGGTTGTGGCAGCAGCGGAACAGCGGAGTGCCACATAGAGGCAGAGCTGCAGGAGAAGCACGAATAATAAGCAGTCGAAGGAAGCGGCCCAAGGACATGGATTAGGTCTCGCAGCTAAATGGCAAATCAAGCATTTGCTCAGAAATTGAATTACCTACCCGGGCACAGCTCCAGTCCTAGGACCAGGCAGGCCCCATCGCCGAGCACCACCCACGGTAAGTATACGCCATGGATTCAGGCCCAATTGGAACTGGAAATGGGAATATGGGAAGGGGGAATGGCAACAGCAACAGCAACGCTTTTAATGATGATCGATTTGGGTAAACAATGAAATTTGCGCATTCAAATTTTATTGCCGGCAATCAGAAGAGCTTCCTGCAGCAGCAGCAGCGGCAGCAGCGATACAGATACACCACAAACATATGCCCCCGACGCAGCGATATATGAGATGTCGATGGTAGGAGGAGGATATGGGGGAACATGGGGGATATGGTATATGGTATGCTTTAATATTAATCTATGGGAGCAACGCCTGTTTGCTGTTTGTCGGCTAAATTTGAATTGGAGCTGAATGATGGTTGTTGTCGCTGCAATTACCATATAACATTTACATTATCGCACTTGCAAGCCTCCCTCCCCGCCCTTGGCCCATGTCACCATGGCTGCCATTAAATGCCTTTCATAACGAGACTGAAAATTTGTGTTTATTTAAATTGCACGGAAGTTCAAATTCGGCGCCAAACAACACAAGCGCAGCTGCGGGGTCAACAATTAATATTTATTTAACATACAGGCAGCAGAAATTCAAATCTCGCGCGCTTGATAAAATACCAAAAAATTAGTTTTCGCATGTAATACTAAATTTCTGCCTGGCAGTTATGCGGTATTTTCTCCACTCACTCAAACGGTCACATAGTCGCATGCTACCGATAGCGGCACGAAACAATCGCTTCCTGTAAAACAGCTGTTGCAACCGCTCTCTCTCTCGCGCTCTCACACTATACTACCATAAGTAAGAATAAACAACAAAAGCAAATAAACGAAGTTAAGTGCAAATAAGTTTGGAATAACTGAAGCTGGAACTGCTGCAGCTGCTTCGATTCTGACCAAAGCGAGAACAGACAGGACACGAGGAGGGTGACAGAGCAGAGCAGCAAGCAGCGACACAAACACAGGCACAGGCATTCCAATGCACTTTCTCCAGAGCAAAACCCGTCGAGCGGCTTATTTGACATCCATTCGGATATCAATAGAAAAATAGAGGCCACAGCCCCAGCAGTGCCAGCAGTAGACAGACTACGAAACAAGCAAACACCGCACCTGTGCTGGAGCACACACAGCCATAGAAATAGCAACAAAAAGTTGATTGCCGTCTTTTGCCGTTTTATTGGCGGCAGCAGCAGTGGCAGCGGCGGCGACGGCGGCACTAGAGCCAACAGTCACATCTTGGCCACTCTTGTGATCGCTCGCTCGTTCATTCCACTTTGAATTCTACTTCTACTTCCACTCCCCAAAACGCAAAACTCAAAAAGCAAAACGCAAAAGAATTCCATAATTTGCATATACCACACTCGCATGCACAGAGATCATCATCGTCGTCGTCGAGAGGGGAGGTGTCAGAGAGAAGGTTGAGGCGGGAGGAGGAGCATGCTTGTCGAATCGAGTCATTATTTGAGTGCCAGTGCCCAGACAACGTGAGTTTTAGAGAAAAGTGTGCGCGGCTCATCACAATTCCATTCGTTGAACGTCTTTTTGGACACTTTCTCAACACAGACACAGAAACAGACACAAGATAGAAGGATGCCTGCGATTGAGGAGAAAGTGCGTCGCCTGCTGGAGGCCAAAGATTTGGGCGACATCACCACAGAGCTGTGCGACTTCTCACTGAAAGAACAGAACGCCACAGCGGAGGCGCAGGGAGTGCAGCCGTCATCGGCATCCGACTTCATGCCCATACTCGGACAGACGGTCACCTACATTGTGGCCTGTGTGCTGATCAACGAGCACGACGAGCTGCTCATGATTGAAGAGGCCAAACAGAGCTGTGCAGGTGAGTGAACTACCCACTCCACCCCACTCTTCTTGTTTCCCCCTTCTAATGATTCCACTCTACTTTGCAGGTAAGTGGTACCTCCCCGCTGGACGTATGGAGCGGGGCGAATCCATCACAGAGGCAGCGGCAAGGGAGGTGTTTGAGGAAACTGGACTGAATGCGGAGCTAACAACACTGCTCGCCGTGGAGGCGGCCGGGGGCTCCTGGTTTCGTTTTGTGCTGACGGGACGCATCACTGGCGGGCGCTTGAAGACGCCCGCCGATGCGGATGCGGAGTCCATACAAGCGCGATGGATGCTTAATCCCCAGGAGGTGCCACTGCGGGCCAATGACATCCTGAACATCATTGACATTGGACGGGCATACCACAAAGGCGTAAAGGGCGCGGGAGCGGCGGATATTTCCAGCGAACCGCTGTGGCACGGCAGCATCCTGCCCACGCGATACCCCCACAGACGGAATTACCTGCGAGTGCTGGCGGTGGCCCGGAAGCGGGCCAGCAACTCTATGAACATCCTGATCAGCGAGAAGAACGCCCACCACTTTCCCACGGTGGAGCTGCATCCGAACCGCAGCCTACACTCGACTCTGCGTAAATTCATGATTGAGATTTTTGGGGCAGAACTGCCACAACACAAGCCGCACGGGCTCTTGAGCGTGGAGCACTGTGCCTCCGAGGAGGAGAACACGGACGGGATCTGCCTGAATCTTCTCGTCGCCTTTCGACCGCCCATCGAGCAGATATCGCTGATTGGCAAATGCATTTGGCAGGAGCTGGCGGCACCCTTGGACGAGAGGCTGGGACGCATTGTGAGCAGCAAGCAGGCCTCGATACCACTCAATGTGGTGCGATAGGAGGGCCCATGAGGAGTACGAGAGGATAGAAGCGTGCCTTAGTCTTTAGTTGTAGATTAAATCCCCCCAGTCCTATTCCATGGTGCAAGCAATCTATACTCCACAATTTAGTTGCAATTAAAGGAACCCCCACAGATCACAGATCGGACACACACAGTATCTTCCTTCGTTTCGATGTGAAATGCTTTCTTTCTTCTCTACAAATATTATGTATGTATAATTGATACGCAAAAGGACGTAACGTAACATAACGTAACGTAGTGTAACGTAACCATAGAAATGCTCTCTCCAGTGGAATATATCGGATAAATCAAGCAAACTAGCAGTCGACTAGGTCAGGGGCTCAGAGGGATCAGAACTAACACTAAAAGCCTCCTCGTCTCGTCTCTTCTATCTACTTCCACACGGTGTTGAAGAGATCCATAAACGAGTCGTAGATCATGAACGTAATTGCCACATCAAGGCAGACGCGTCCCAGACGCGGCACTGTGCCCTTGTAGAAGGCCCCCACGCCCTCGTTCTTCAGGATCTTCATGGCACAGTCGGCGGTGTTCTTGTACTTCGATGCCTCGAGGCCCTGCATCCGCGTCTTCACGACATCCAGTGGCGTGTTTCCGAAAACGGAGGCGGCTCCGGCCACAGCGCCAAAGGCACCGACCAGCAGCTTGGGCACCGGTTTGTTGTGATCATCGCCCTTGTACAGGTCCTTCAGGGACTCCAGGACGAAGAAGCGGATGGCCTGGTTAGAACCCTGCTTCAGAATGGTGGGCGTGAGACCCTTGTACACCCCACTGATACCCTCCGCCTTGACGATCTGTCCGACGCCGTGGGCAAAGCCCTTAAACTTGGGATTGGCGCTGCGCTGGTCGTTGATGAACTTCACTTTAATGGTCTCCATGGGCGTCACGGCCAGAATGGCCTCGCACACGCCCGCTCCCAAGCCGCAGAGGAGTTTACCGGCTGTGGAAAGCTGTCCATTGGCATCGACAGCGTGTCCGCGCAGGTACTCGAAGGCTCCAAATCTGCAAAGAGGATCTATATTTAGATTGGCTTCCAAGGATTGTGGATCCACTGCTGTTACCTCGCGGCCGACTTGGGTATGCTGCCGTAGAGGAGCACACTCAGGCCTCGGTACAGGCCAAAGAATCCCTTTTGCTGGACGGTTTTCTTCACGCAATCCGCGATGCCGTTGTACCGCTTGTTGGCCCCCTTCTCGTCCAGCTGCAGCTGTGTCTTCACGTACTCGGTGGGATAGGTGATGCAGATCTCAATGCCGCCGGTGATGCCGCCCGCCACAATGCCCTTGAGGCCCTTGCCGCCACCACTTGGTGCCGCGGCTCCAGTGCTCGTCATCCAGGGACGGCACTTGTACGGACTGACAAAGGATGCAAGACTCTGGCGATCCATTCTGTTGGGGGTTTAATCTGTGGGTGAGGAGCGAATGTTTCTAGAATTTCTGCTTGAGAAGATCTCCCCCCGCCCCAAGGTTTTATCTATTTTTTGGAACAGAAATAGATGCATTTTGTGCGGGGTGCAACATCGTTGGGAAATGCTAGTGAGGCATGTCTACACATCTAATCAATAGGTCTACCCATTCTCCAAACTGTACATACATATGTATATTTATCATTGGGAACAATGTTCTTGTTTTTGTTGCTGTTTCGTCATATAAGAATGTTTGGGAAAGTTTCGAGCGATTACTTAAGATCTGGTGATAGTCAACCGATTCGATTCGAGTGGGAGAGGTATTAAACGAGTATGTATGTACATATGTATGTCGTATGTACGTATCAGCAGACGATGTTGGGTTCTCTCTTCCTCATTCCCTGCTCTTTGCACTTGACAATCGTATTGTTTGTCCGTTTTTGTCGTGTGGGGAGGAGGGTTATGTAACATTTGCATGACCATAAATACCCAGGCAGAGCGGACTTCGTTCATAATTAGTATTCCATTTAGCGGTGTTTGCAATTGTTTAATTGAACCCCCCCTCTTCGCCCAATCGTGCCTGGAAATCTCGATAAACATAAACAAATGGCTCTCTGATAAGTCGGTTCGCTGATTCGCTGGAAAGTGGATTAGTGGAAGATTTCCAGTCTTCCACTCACAGACAGAAGCAGGCACAGATGCACTCCATAGTGGAATCTCAGGTTACTGAAACCGCATGGAATTTCTGCACTGTACTCACTTTTAGATTGGGATTGCACAAAAAAACTATAGAATTATACAAGTATATAGTATATCAATTCTTTCTACGATTCGTATGGAATGCGCGACAGAGACAGAAGGGGAAGGAACGACGAACGGCGATCGATCGTAGCGTGGCCAGGGCAGCGGCTCAACCTCAACTGTTTGAGTGTTCCGGGCGGCTACGAAATTCCAATTTCCAATCGCAGGGAAAGCTACAAGTTCCAATAGCAGCCAGCAGCAGAAATAATTGTAAACAACAACGCAGTCATGCTCTCCTCTCCATGAAGCGGCCGCTCTTCCTCTCGCCAGCAGCAAAGAGCGGGCGGCAGAACGATTGAACGTTCGAGCGGGCTCCACAAAGTAACGGCGGTGCTGATACCATGGCGTGATACGGCAGCCAGACGGCCCCACAGCCACGGTAGCAGAAACGAAACGCAAAAGAGATCTCTCTTCTCTCCACCACTCGACTCGGCAGTAAACCGGTTTCCGGAAAGAGCTTTTGGCTGGAAATGCTCTCGCAGTGCTGCTCCCCCGCTAGAATCAGAAACAATTTAATTGTTTAAACTTTTCAAAGACGCCGCAAAGTAGGCAAGCGTTTTCTGCTTGATTCGTGATTACACAATACTCACACACACACACACACTGAAAGGCACATGGAAACACTCAAAGATACACCTATACCTGTGCAGTTCGAATCGAATTGCCTCGCACCTGCAACAACTCCTCCAATCAGACCTCCCCTCCACTTATTTCCATTTCCCCGTATCGGAATGGAGTCCATATGTGTTTATGATAATAATATAATACTTGTGAAGAAAAAAAATAAATAAAAACTATTTACCGATAACTCAGTGCACGGCGGCCATGGAAATGGAAATGGAATGTTGCAATCGGATTCCTCCTGTGAGCCGCAGCTGTGGAGCCGGCAAACGGCAAATGATAACTAAAAAATGTGCCCATGTTGCACGCAACCAGTTCCCGGGAACTGCGCCTGCGTCATGCCTCTGCCACTGGCACTGCCACCCACTCTTGTAGCACGGTGTAAACATGCCTTATGCCATCATGCCAATTGGAGCTCAAGTCGCGAATACTTAAAGCGGAAATGCGTGGGGTGGGGCCTCATAAAAGTCAGAGGAATATTTATGATAATAGGCGTGCAAAGTGGAGCAGGGGCACGGGGAAGAGACTCATTTCTTTTGCGTTCTTTTGTCAACATTCAATCGGATATGGGCTCGAGAGTGTTCTCTTGACTGAAGGATCCATCAAGACTACACTACACCATAATCGATTCATTTACAAAAGACAACACTGGAGTGGAGTGCACTCCCACTCCCTGGAGCGACTATGAATCAATGAATTATGCTGCCCTAAGAAACAATAATCATTCGATTTACGAAGCACTACTCTTGCAGTGGTTTCAGTTTATTCAAAATGCAATCAGAAATAGTCATACACTGGCTGTGAATGTGTACGAGTGTGTGTGTGCTGCATACAGTTTACGGTTTACAGTTTACAGTTTAACACGAGGATTAGCGGTGCAGTTCTGTTTATGTTTCGGTCAACTGTTAGTCAATAACAAGATGAGTTTAATGCGATTTATTTAATGGTTATGTGTAGAGTAGATAGATAGTCAGTCGAGACAGCTCTTAGACGGCCTTGTAGATGCGCACGCTCTTGACGGCACCAATGGTGAGGGTCTGCGGAGAGGTATAGAGGAAGGGCAAGCAGTGGATCAGCACAAGGATCATTGGAGAGTGGATATCCAGAATAATACTTACGGTGGTCAGATCGGCATCAGAAAACTCACGGACAATGGTCGAGGGCTTGTCGCCCTTCTGCTCCTGGGTGAGCTTGTTGCCGTCGAGGGTGATGATGCTCTTGACCTGGCGGCCATCGAGGGTCTCCTCGTCGAACTCCTCGCCCAGCTTGAAGCTGATGGCAGAGGTCTTGAAGGTCGAAGTGGTTGTCAGGGTGTACGTCTCACCCTCGAGGGTCACCTCCACAGTGGGGCTGATGCTGTTGCCCATTTTGCGCAACACCAGACCAACGCCTGCAAAAAAGATAGACCGGTGGGAGGATGAGTCTTGCATTCGATATGGCATGATTTATGTAGGAGAGGATGGACAGGGACAGGAACAGTGAATGCACCTAATTGAATTAGCCCCCGCCAAAGAGCAGAGCTCAATGCAAATCATATTATATTTAATTAAAAATAATAAAGCTGAATTATGAGAGAAGTTTCCCCCCTGCAGAAGCGGACGCACACGGAGACGCAGGCGGAGATGCACAGAGACGTCAAAAGTCGTGCTCAAGGTTAACGAACAATGCGGGCAGGCATCTCCTCCTCCTCCTCTTCTTGGAGCTGCTTATCAATTGGTCAGCCAGCCAGCCCCCAGACCCTCTCTAAATATAGCACGACGAGCAAGACCCCACCTTATCTGTCGAGTCTGTTGCTGGTGCTGATGCACCCCATGTATGCCACATCCTATAGAGAGAGAGCTCTTCCCCTCTCTCCATCACACCCTCCATCAAACGGACAAATCAATTATGTTCAATTATGTATAAAGAAAACGAAAAGAAGGCAAATGTCAAGTGTTCTCCGTTCGATATGTTCCCACCACGATGACCACCGATGGGAACCCCAGCAACTGTCCCATAGTTCGAGGAGAACCTTGAATAGATTAGCCCTCCGTCCCCCTACCCACCGCCTGCAATTTCCTACGGAACCGAACCGAACCGAACGGAACGATAAGTGTTGCGCCGCCGTCAAAGTGCAAAATCCGTAATCGGATCGCAATTATCGAGCCCATATATAAGCATATAGTTTATCACTTTCCTCACAATTCACATATAATATATATGTATGTATTATATAGACGGCTGATAGGAGAGTAGTGGCCCTAACAACAGGTTGCCCTCGGAGCATGATACCTCCATGCTCCATAGTACCGAGTACCGAGAGTACTGTAAGTGGAGGCTTGTTTGGATTTGGAAAATTGAGAGGCTACGTGGCTAGGTAGACATTTGTATACGGGGGAAACCGCAGAAAATATAACAAATTTGAAAAAAACGCAGCCGCAAAACAGAACCCACGCCACACACAAAGCGATGCGACGCGACAGCTCCGGTTTCCATCAACCGATCTCGATCCGCAACCCGCCCCACCATTTCTATGTCTAGACTCTAGACTCGACGATGACAAGGGCAAAGATCGGGGGCACCTATCTAACAATCTATCAACTTATCTCTGGTACCTAGGTTTTTCGGTGGAGTGCAAAGTTCAGTTCCGAACTTTCCCCCATATATATGTACAATATACGTTTATGATAGCGCACCTGTCGCAAAAGCACCATCATTATGTGCTTGTGCTTGTTTTAGAGACAGTCGAAATTATAGAGCAAGAGGGGGAGAGAGAGAGGGAGAGTGAGAGACTAAACTACTTTTCGGGTGACTCAAAGAGGCCGTTGACCAAAGTTCATCATTTGCCTAAATTTTCTTTTTTTTTGCTTTTCTGGGTTTACTTTGCTGTCGTGATGCAATTACATGTTCATATGCATTTATCACGATGCAATTATATATATATATATTATTGCATCATGCTTTACTGTGCACCATTACTGATCCCCCTCTCCCCCAATACATTTTTTAGACTTTTATGTGATTTGCACTCGAAATTGGCCAACGCAACTGTAGATTTTCGCTACAGCAACCATATCAGCAGCAGCATCATCGCATCAGCACGTTTATCCCTCGTTTCTTTTGTCTACTCCTTCTCCCTTACTTCATCTCTATTGATTGCACCCACACACAGACACACACACACATATGAAAGATTTGGCACATACAACTCTCGCGAAAAAAACGCCGGCCGGTGGTTTTTCGGTGGCGTGTTTTCAACTTGGATCCTATTTTTGGCACTCACCCAGCTCCTTCATGTACTCGTCGAAATTCTCGGATTTCTCCAGCTTGTACTTCTTGCCAACGAAAGATGCCATTGTAATATTTGATTTAATTCGCTTGGAATTTATTTAGAACTGCAAAAAGCTTCGAATCGCTGGCGCCTTTTATATGTGAGGGCGCTCTCTCGCTGTGATTGCGAGTGTGTGTGAATGTGAATAAGATCCGAAAGAGAGGGACGTGCATGTGTCGATATATTTTTTTGTTTGGGGTTGATATGCAGACGTAAAAAAACGTCCCAACAGAATTTGCTGCGACAACTCCCATTGGGAGTTGTTCCGTTGTTTTCGTTGTATGAACTTGACTCATCTACATATATATAAATCTATATATACATATATACACTAGGCTGGGCCTAGTTTTTTTTTCGAAATTCAAACGGGACACCCCTTAGTTTTGTTACCTTGGATTTAATAGTAATTTACATGTTGTTATTTTAATTTTTTTTGAATTTTTTAGAGGTTGCTACCGAATTTCACAAAAAATTGTAATCAAGAAAATTCAAACAAAATTTTTTCGCTGAATGAGTTAGATAATTGGTGAAATCTATTGCATATACATATATTGATACCATTCATATCATCATTAATCAGTTATTGGCAGTAAAAAACCTGCTCAAGTTTTTGCGAACTAGTTAACTATATCAACCTCAGCTGAACTTCCTGATTTTCACCAATTATTAGTTTTTTAACAATAACTATAAAAATAAAATAAAAAACACCTCATTATCAATATGAACTAGTTTGTAAGTTTCAATATTATTTGAAAAAACCGACGAAAGCAATTTTTTTGCATATATATATTTATATATGTATATTTACCCAAAAATTTGTATTTTCTTTTCGTGGTAGCAACCCCCATACATTAAACTAAAAATTTGAAAAAATTGTATAATTTTATCGAATAACAGAGAGCTTGCGCTCTCTGAAAGCTTCTTTTTGGCAATTGTCGAATACTAAAAGTTCATTCTGTGAGTGATAGGCGGGGACTACAATGGACACCTCGCCATATAATAATGGGTCTGACGTGTTGTTAGCCAGCCAAAGACCAGCCCCCGCTGCACCTTGGCGTGATCAAATCGGGTGCAACTTTAATTGATTCAAAGGGACCGACTGAATAACGGACGCAACACAGATCTTATGCTACATGCCACCTATCCTATGGGAATTGCATATAATACACCCTCGGGTCGAAGGAATTCTCATTATTTGGGTTTGCCGGTTGGGTTTGCGCATCGTTCAAATGTTTGCTGGATCTGGCGACACAATTCATTGCATATATGTACATATGTATCTTTTGAAATCCGTCGAATTGTAATCTAATCGAGCATTTCCTTCCACCCCAGCCATTCCAATCCAATCCAGTGGCTATATTAATATTACACACGATCTCCTCCCCTTGCCCCATCCCCAATTCCAGAAGTTGCACCTACCGAACGATTTTGTTATGTTTGTTGCTTGCTGTTATCTTATTAATTCAATTACCGCCGTCTTGTCCTCTCCTCTGTTTGCTCTCCATCCATTTGTTTGGAGATAAAACGCTGGTCCCAAGGGAGCTTTTGTATGGGAAGTGCTTTGCATACACATAAATATTTTATCTACTGTGTAAATATGTGCTTCTTTGTCGCATTTCAAAAAACCGTTTATCCCTCCGCCATTAATTTGATTTTATTACTGAAAAGCGAAAGCTTTTAAAATGAGTGTAGTTCCCAGAACGGACAACTGTAAAAGCTTTGGCGTATAAAAAAATATATGTGTACTTCCAAATACAAGTATCGTTTCCATTTACATTATATCGATGTGCCGCCAGGGCAAATAGATTTCAAACACGTAGGAGATACATATGATACTCCCCAGGTTTAATGGATGGATTTGAGTGAGGCAGGACTGGAGATATTGATTTTAATTTTAAATTTTGTTGCATGGTTGTTTTATGCGTGTTTAAAGACTTTTTATATTGTATGTTTGTGTAATATTTCAATGCGTAAGTTTTCCCGTTGGTTTGTATTTGTAAATACGTGTAGGTAAAAATATACAGGTTATCCGAAATTGAACAATTTTCGTCGTATTTTTTTTAAATGATTTAATATGTTGGATTTCCAAAATAAATACTCTATGAAAGAACTTTTTTCTCAAGAATCATAATATAGGAAATAATACTAAAAGAAAACATAATTATAAAAATACCAGAGAAATGCCCCCGTCAGAGAAATAATAATATTTTTAAAGTACGTTTTTATTGCAAAACTTGACGATGAAAATTAGGGTCCTTTTCAAGGCTTCAAAGGGGTTTTTGTAATTTTGTTGTCTTTGTTTTCTTTGATGTTGTAAAATATGTATAACTTTTAGATTTTATGTGGTTTTGTGTGCCTCTTACATAAAAATACTGAGAACATTTTGTTCTTTCAGACTACATATCTCTGTGATAAAATGTGTATTGCTTATAACTGACTACCATAGTCGAAACCAGAACGTGTGGAGAAAGAAAATACCACTTTCGAGGCACCAGCTGCTTACAGCACAATGGAAAGCTATGGGCGCGCAGAGAGAGAGTCGCTCCACACAGTGAGAGAGATCCGAGGCGATCTTAACCTGGCACAACAAACGCGAGATGGACAGAGCAGAGAGAGAGAGAGAGAGAGAGCAACGGTGGGGCCTGAGCTTTGGGGCCCATAACAGTTCGACCGATACGGCATAGAGCGAGCGTTAGAAGTCGACAGTCTGAGCGTGAACAGTCGTAGCAGTCGTAGAAGCGTACGCGAAGCGGAGAAACACGTTGCGCCATGTGTGGGCGAAACCCAATAAAATCAAAATACTGATTACGAAATTCCGATTCGATTGTTTATTTCGGAAGTACTATAGTGATACGTGTGTTCTTATTGCTGTTGAAAATGATATAGTTACAGATTCCATCCAGCCCATGTCTGTCTGCATCGAATGAATGGACTGTGAAACGGGTTCGTCGCGTATCAAAGCAAATGTCAAGAGTCAGGTGCGGTGCGAGTGGAAAAGTTTCGGCCTTTAACGCAAATAGAAATCGGAGTCCGGCGATCCGAACGGAGATCTAAATCAAAATCGTTCGCATTTCCATCTGGTTTCTGCTCTCCGCTTGCTAATGTCAAGCTAATTATTAATTAGAGACAAGCGCGTGTCCATAATGGTTTTGCTGATTCATGGAGATACAGATTGACGGGATAGGATACTAATCAATTTAGATCTCAATCGAGATATCCAGGGGCTCAAACCAAATCCGTATTGTAATGCGAGGCAATATAGTATAAAGCCCGTCAGCCCATACAAAGTGCAATTCTATTCAAATTTAAATCAAACAAAGTTCCAATAACCGAGCGTCATCCAACATGCAGTCGATGAAAGCCAACGAACTGCCGGAGAATCCGCGCGAGACCTCCAATCCCCTCTCAACGCTGATGTTCTGGTGAGTATCAAGGGAGTGGAGAATGGGGACTTGAGTGGGGCTGGGGTTGGGGTTGGCGTTGGGGAATGTGGACTCTCATAGAACTCATAGAACTGGCCGCGTGACAACTCTCTGACATGATGATTATTTCATTCAATGGCTCGCTTAATTTGCATTGCACAAGGCATGGAAATCTGTACACATTCTTCATCGAACTCAGCCGCTCTCACTGTCTCTTTTTCTGGTGGAACTAACCCCATTATAACACCCATTATAACTAACCGATTAGGGTCACAATTTCTTGTGCTAAAATTGCGTATGACTCAGAGGGAGAGAGTGGGAGGGAAACGGGAGCAAAATAACTCGAAATATAAATATATGTACATATGTATATACATATATGTAAATATGTATGTTCCCGTGCGTATCTCTCGGATAGCAACGGCTTTCATTATTACCCTCTGATAAGATTCAAATAATGTCAGCCTTGTGTGTCATAACACCGCAATAACTCTTTCGCTATCTTTGGCTCTTGGATATCTATCTATCTGACTGTGGTCTGTGATCTTGTTCTACTCCCCATAAAAAAACCCTAATCGGATTTCTCTGTGGGATGAAGCTTTGCCATGCCCGTTCTCTTCAAGGGCCGGAAAAAGACCCTGGAGCAAAAGGATCTATATCGGGCCCTCCAGGAGCACAAGTCGGGTGAGATATACAAAGATTTTCAAATTCCGAAAAAACAGTTCATTTTATTCTGCCTTACTTTTAGATTCATTGGGCGATCGATTGTGCGCTGCCTGGGATGAGGAGGTGCTCAAAAATGATAATCCCCGCCTGGGACGCGTTATGACCAGAGTCTTTGGATGGCATTTGGTGGTCACTGGGGTGCTGCTGTTCCTCCAGGAATTCCTCACCAAGTAAGTGGCAAATTCAGCTCCGCCAAAGACTGCACTAATAACACAATTCCCCTCCCCTCTTCTCATCTCTTTTCAGGGTCACTCAGCCCATCTGTCTGGTTGGAATAATGGCCTACTTTGCCGGTGATGATAAAGATCTCTTCAAGGCTCAGCTCTATGCTGCCGGCCTGATTGCTGCCTCCGTGTTTACAGTGTTCTTTGGGCATCCCTATATGCTTGGCCTCCTGCATCTGGGTATGAAGATGCGCATTGGTGAGTCCACTTACTGGGGGGAATACTTCATGTCTCATTGCTTACGGGGTGCCGGGGAAACATCTCTTACTTTCAGCTCTGAGCAGTCTTATCTATCGGAAGTCGCTCCGTCTCAGTCGCACTGCCCTGGGGGACACGACGGTGGGGCAGGTGGTTAATCTGCTGTCCAACGATGTTGGACGCTTCGACATGGTCCTTATCAACGTACATTACCTCTGGGTGGCTCCACTGGAGCTTATAGTCGTCACATATCTCATGTACATTGAGGCAAGTAGAGGAAAGAGGAAAGAGGAAAGACTAAAGATATTTTCTAATTTTTTCCCTCTCCTATTTTTCTGCAGATTGGAGTATCCTCGTTGTTTGGCGTGGCCGTGATGCTCCTCTTTCTGCCCTTTCAATCCTACCTAGGAAAGCGGACGAGCGTCCTCCGACTGATGACTGCCCTACGGACGGACGAGCGTGTGCGGATGATGAACGAGATTATCTCGGGCATTCAGGTGATCAAAATGTATGCCTGGGAGAAGCCGTTCGGGAAGCTGGTGGAGCTCACGCGCTTCAAGGAGATGCAATGCATCAAGCAGGTCAACTATATTCGCGGCATTCTTATCTCCTTCGCCATGTTCCTGTCGCGCATCTTCATCTCCACCAGCCTCATAGCCTACGTCCTCCTGGGTCAAGTCCTGACAGCCGAGAAGGCCTTCTTTGTCACCGCCTTCTACAACATCTTGCGTCGATCCGTGACGATGTTCTTCCCGCAGGGAATCTCGCAGTTTGCGGAGCTCCTCGTCTCCATCCGCCGCCTGGAGACGTTCATGCATCATTCGGAGACGCAAGTGCGCGACAAGTCAATGATTCAAAAGGAGGAGCCCGTGACAGCCGGTGACAGCCCGAAAAGCAATGGCCTGGCGGAGAAACTGCTCGACTTTAACGGGTTCACTGCCAGGTGGGAGAGCCAGAGCGCAGAGCCCACGCTTGAAGACATCAATCTGCAGCTCGGACGCCGCAAGCTGGTGGCCGTGATAGGACCAGTGGGCGCTGGTAAATCCAGCTTGATTCAGGCGGTGCTTGGAGAGCTTCCCGCTGAGAACGGCAGCCTAGGGGTGCACGGAAGCTACTCATACGCCGCGCAGGAGCCGTGGCTCTTTACGGGCACTGTACGCCAGAACATACTCTTCGGCTTGGAGTGGGACAAGCATCGCTACCGCACTGTCGTCAAGAAGTGCGCCCTAGAGCGGGATTTCGAGCTGCTGCCCTACGGTGACAAGACGATTGTTGGCGAGAGAGGAGCTTCGCTCTCCGGCGGACAGAAGGCGCGTATCAGCCTCGCCCGAGCAGTGTATCGCAGGGCAGACATCTATCTGCTGGACGATCCCCTCAGCGCAGTGGACACGCACGTGGGGCGCCACCTCTTCGAACAGTGCATGCGCGGGTACCTGCGGAGCGAACTGGTGATCCTCGTCACGCACCAGCTGCATTTCCTGGAGCACGCGGACCTCATTGTGATCATGGAGAAGGGACGCATCAGCGCCATGGGCACCTACTCTACGATGAAGCGCAGCGGCCTGGACTTTGCCAAGCTCCTGACCAATCCCAATAATGTGGACGATGCCATGGATGAGCTGGAGGTGGCCATGTGCGACCAGATGGATCGCCTCAGCGTGCCCTCGCTAAGCAGGCGTGGCAGCAGCAAGATCAGTCGCCCCACCAGCCGCAACAATAGCTTCACTTCGCTCAGCTCCATGGCCGAGTCGATGGCCCAGGAGGCGGCGCTGCAAATGCAGGAGACGCGCGTAGAGGGCAAGATCGGCACGGGGCTCTACAAGGAGTATCTGTCGGCGGGCAGTAGCTGGTTTATGCTCTCCTTCATGCTGTTCCTCTGCCTGGCCACGCAGATCCTTTGCTCTGCGGCGGACATCTTCCTCTCCTATTGGTAAGTTCCATCGCAATACCATCGGAGTTCTCTAATTCATCTTTGCCTTCTTTATTTTGCAGGGTCGACAAAAACAGTAACAAGGCAGAGATGAGCTCGGATCCGGCGGACATGTACTACTTTGCCGCCTTGAATGTGGCCGTCGTGGTCTTCACCCTCGTGCGGACGATACTCTTCTACAAGATGGCGATGCGCAGCTCCACAACCCTCCACAATGCCATGTACCGCGGCATCACGCGGGCGGCCATGTACTTCTTCAATACGAATCCCTCCGGCCGCATCCTCAATCGCTTCTCCAAAGATCTGGGGCAGCTGGATGAGCTGCTGCCCAGCGTAATGCTGGATGTAGTGCAGGTTTTTCTCACTCTCGCCGGCATAATCATAGTCATTTGCATCACGAATCCGTACTACCTAATCCTCACGCTCATTCTGGCGATTGTGTTCTACTACATACGCGAGTTCTACCTGAAGACATCACGCGATGTGAAGCGGCTCGAGGCGGTGGCCAGGTCCCCGATATATTCCCACCTGGGGGCCACCATCAGTGGACTGCCCACCATCCGGGCGTTAGGGGCGCAAAAGGCGCTCATCGCTGAGTTCGACAATCTGCAGGATCTGCATAGCTCCGGGTACTACGCTTTCCTGGCCACGAATCGGGCCTTTGGCTACTACCTCGACCTATTTTGCACCCTCTACATCGTTATCATAATTCTGAATTACTTCGTCAATCCCCCAGAGAGCTCTGGCGAGGTCGGTCTGGCCATTACCCAAGCGATGGGCATGACAGGCATGGTGCAGTGGGGCATGCGCCAGTCCGCGGAGCTGGAAAACACAATGACCGCGGTGGAGCGGGTGGTGGAGTACGACGAGATCGAGCCGGAGGGTGACTTTGAGTCGAAACCGGACAAGAAGCCGCCAAAAGATTGGCCAGAGGAGGGCAGGATCATTTTCGATGATCTCTCGCTGAAGTACTTCCCCGACAAGCCCGCCAAATATGTTCTGCGATCCCTGAACATTGCCATTCAGGCCTGCGAGAAGGTCGGCATTGTGGGACGCACTGGCGCGGGCAAATCCTCGCTGATCAATGCCCTGTTCCGACTCTCCTACAACGAGGGATCCATTGTGATTGACAGGCGCGACACCAACGATCTGGGGCTGCACGATCTGCGCAGCAAGATCTCCATTATTCCTCAGGAGCCGGTGCTCTTCTCTGGATCTATGCGCTACAACCTGGATCCCTTTGAGGAGTACAGCGATGCCAAGCTGTGGGAGTCCCTGGAGGAAGTGAAGCTCAAAGAGGTCGTCGCCGAGCTGCCAAGTGGCCTGTCGAGCAAGATTTCCGAGGGCGGCTCCAACTTCAGTGTGGGCCAGCGGCAGCTGGTCTGCCTGGCGCGTGCCATTCTACGCGAGAACCGCATCCTAGTGATGGATGAGGCCACGGCCAATGTGGATCCGCAGACAGATGCCCTCATCCAGGCCACCATTCGCAACAAGTTCAAGAATTGCACAGTGCTGACGATTGCCCATCGTCTGAACACAATCATGGACTCGGATCGGGTCCTAGTGATGGATTCTGGACAGGTGGTGGAGTTTGGGTCTCCATATGAGCTCTTGACCGGCAGCGCCTCAAAGATTTTCCATGGCATGGTCCTGGAAGGTGGCCAGAGCAGCTTCGATGGCCTCTTAAAGGTCGCTGAAAAGGTGAGTGCTGAATAGTTTTGAGTATTGGTGAGTCCTTCTTCTGACTGTATTATATTTTCCCTCTATTGCAGGCCCATCTGCAGTCACAGAAACCTAAGTCGGAATAGACCCTCGATTAGCTTTAAGCATACAATAAGTTTTAGTTACTAGGCGTGCGTTTCCATTAGGGGGCCTCAGTGTCAGGGCCAACGCAGACTGTTGGCCAGTCCAGTCGTTCATTGTCGACTGAAGGTATCTATACCAAAGATTAAGGACAAGATGTGGGCATAGTAGGACGCACAAGAACGGACAAATCCTTGCTAATCAATGCTTCGTTCCGGCTGTCCTACAACGACGGCACCATCCCACATTAATCGCCGCTACACTGCCGACGGACATCGGGCTCTGCACGATCTGCCGCAGCTGCATTTAACTTAGTTGCTACTCTACTTAAAGTATTATCTTACTTTGGACAGGATAACACATTCTCACTGCACTGCATACGAGTATAAACTACCAAAAATACGTACATATATGAAGTGTCTCACACAAGAGTCGCACACATTTAATTTAGTTCAAGGTTCAAGTGATTGAGTTGCAGTATTAAACATTGGTTTGGGGATCGCTCTGAGACGAACGCTCTTCGTTCCACTTTGAGGATGAGGTGGACGTAGAGGTAGATCTCACCTGGAGAGATCCTCGGAAGAAAACACCCGCCAAACAGGCGCACACAAGTAGAAAGACGACAGCAATATTGATCAGGACGACATGCACTACAGAAGGATGAGCCGCTGGCCAGAAGCGACCATGGTTGACAAACAGGAATAGACACAATCCGGCGTTGCATGTGAGGATCAGGCAGATGAAGATTGAGCGGATGTTCTTGCGTGCGTATTGGCTGCGCGCACACATGCTGGACAAGATGATGATGGATGGGATGTAGATCTTCAATAGGACAAAGAAAGCCGTGAAGCCATAGCAGCAATCCTTCGCGAAGAGTCGCGCAGTGGAGGGGGCGAAGGTGAAGCTGGTAATCCAGTGGCCGGTGCCGAGCAGCGCGAGGAGAAAGTACAGTAGAGTAGAGATGGAAAAGTAGTAGGCGCGAGCCAAGTTCTCCTTTGGGCACACAATCTTCGGCTCGTTCTGGTCCTCATTCTCATCTGCCATCTGTTCCAGTGCATTGCGAGGCTGCTTCGTCTCTAGATAAACTTCAATCCCCATCTGGTACTCGATGATCAGCGCCTGGACGAAGAGCGAGGCAAACGAATCGCTGAGAAGCGTATGTAGGATCGTCAGGTTGAAGCAGATTCGCTCAAGGCGGCGTTTCGGAGTCAATCTCTTGCCGTACGGCACCGATCCAAAGGCATACAGGAGATATGTCCAGCAAACGGTGTGCAAAAGGAGCGGCACTGTCTCTCCGGTCTCCCTTAGATACATTCCATAGCCACCGATCAGCAATACGCCCGCGTTGATGATCCACACTGCTGCGCCATGCTTCTCGCCGAAGATCAGGGGACGTAGAATCGCCAGAGCCATGCTCGCTCCCTGGAGATACATTCCATATTCGATTGTCAGCGAGAGGGTCGATGGGCACTGCAGGCAGAACAGAAGGACGCTGAGGCAGCAAACCAATCCCAGCCATGCCAAGAATCGCGGAGACAACTTCTTGAAGTGGCGACGATTGTAGAAACACACGATACCCACATAGAGAAGGCAGAGGAAGCCCCTCCGGAAAATGGGGACGATGAAGCACACAATGGAGACGAGGATCCATTTGAGGTGCAGCAGACCGTAGCGGATGCTTGTGCCCTGCGCTGATCGTGCGGCCAGTGCCATGCACCAGATGTAGATGGGCAGCAAAATGCAGAAGCCCGTCAGGAAGGGCACCTTCTGCAGGAGGATCACCACGCTTAAAACCACACCCATTGCCCCCATCATTATAGTCGTCCACGAGATAAATTCCACGCTCTCTGCTGGCTCACTGGAGTTCCCGGACTGTTGCGACACTTGGACCAACAGACAGTATATCCACCCCAGGAGTCCAGCCATCGTGGCGATCAGCAGCGGAATGCGATAGTAGCTATGATAGTACTTGAGGCTCTCCTGTGCCAGTGTCGCAGCCTTCTCGATCGTCTGCAGTGTCTCCTGCGATGCGCCCATCTGCAGCTGTCGGTCCATTTGAAGGCGGTAGCTCTCGATAAGGCTTTGGTCAAGATCTCTGAACTGCGGCAGGAACTTGTGAAAGAAACCGCGCTCATGCTGCCGCATCAGGAGCTGCGCCTGGGCCAGCAGTTGAAGCGCATTCAAGTAAGTCGCCTGCGCTTCCTGCTCCATGGACACGTACAAGAATCCCAATGGCAGCCTGCCCAAATTCTTTGCTGGCGGAGGTTCCCCAATCAACGCAGAGATGATGGGCGCCAGTTGGATCTGCTGCAGTTCCATGAGGGGCCGCTGCAGTTGCAGGCCCTCGTTGTGTGCCACATTGTGTGCCATTTGGGGAACACCGGAGCCCCAGAGGAAGAACGGCGTTTCGGTTTCATCCCTGGATCCGGCGACATTGGAGCCTGATAGGGAACAACCAAACTCGATATAATTTCAACAGAAAGAGAGACTCGTAGGCTCGTAATACCCACCCATCTGGCTTATCCCATGGCTCGACGTCATCAGGTATGCAGTGCGGCTGTCCTTGAAGGCGCTCTCGATCAGGTCATAGGCTTCTCGGATACCGCGTTGTGCAGAATAGAGCCTCTCCTGATACCGCTTGCTCAAGGGGCCCTCGGCAGCAATATTTCCCAGATATACGAAGAGTATCAGGGAAGTCTTACTCCGCAATTGGTCGACTGTTTCATTGATTGCCAGGTACGAGCGAAGCTGACGGAGCACCCAAGGATCCCTTGGCTTGGGACCTGCGGTGTGGTCCTGAAACATTCCGCGCGTCAAGGTCTTTGTGTAGACATTCGTCTGGCGTTCTATCCAGCCCAGGACAGTCTTGCTGTGATTGAAGAACGTGTCCAGTGTCGGCGAATTCCATTGGAATCCAGTGCGGAGCAGCAGTGGACTCTCGAAGAAGCCACCAAAAATACCAATCTGTCCAGAGCGTACGAGGGTGGGCACACTGCCTCGGGATATTCCAACGAGGCCTTGCTTCACGAACACCTCCCGCAGATGCGGCACGGAGCTGCAGTTATTGGCAAAGAACGTCTCGGCGCTCAGGCCATCGGTGAGGAAAACCACCAGACGATTCGCCGGCGGAGCGATTCCCGATTCCCAAGGCGTCTGCTGGGGCTCTCGGTTGGAGTTGGACAGCAGACTTCCCTCGAAGTAGATTCGCAGCAGGCAGCCGAGCAGCAGGAGCTGCACCACCACAGCCTGCACTTTCCACATTTCCACGCGTGTCTTTAGTGTCCCGAGCAGTCGAAATGCCACACGACGATACAGCAGAAAAATTATATTTCCAATTATTGAAAGTGGGATTTGAAGTAGGACGAGATACATTTTCGACCTACCGGAAAGTCTCAACACGAAATTAAAGGCCTGCTCTGATAGCAAATGATATGCAGATGACAGTAGCATGTGGCATATGTGGAATATATGTGGCATTTGATGTTTAATGGGAGAGAACAAATTCTCAAGTAGGAAAGTGAGAAAATGTTTCGTTCGTACTACAGTTACTCGCTGGTGCAGCTGCTCCTCTTTGCATCCGTCTACGTGGTGTACTTTCGGATGACGGATGTCGGAGTCCTCGAGCCGCAGCAGGTGGAGCCGCTCACGGAGCGAGTGCCGGCCGATCGTCTGGTGGTTTTCGTCAAGGACGGTCTGCGTGCCAATACCTTCTTCGAGGACTACTGCAACAACTGGGCACTGCTGCGACAACTGTTCCTCAAAAAGGGTCTTGTGGGGATATGTCACCCCGCGGCGCCCATCGATTCGCAGTTCTCCTCCTACGTGGCCCTTTTCTCGGGCTTCTATGAGGATGCGGCATCGGCTGTTCACAACTGGTTGCGGAGTTTGGCCCCATTCGACTCGATCTTCAATCGCAGCAGCCACAGCTATGCCTGGACCACGGCCCATATGCAGCAACGCTTTCCAGACATCGACACAGTCACAGTTCCAAGTAACGAAATCACTCCAGGCCTACGGAAGAACAGCTTCGAGATGGAGGAATCGGTCAGTCGGGCCGTGGAGACGTTTCTATTGAGCGAATCCCAGGAGTTGCAGGAGCGCACTGGACTTCTCTTCTTCGTGCATCTGATGTCGGGAGAAGATGCCAGGGGTGCACGTGTCACGTCTGGCAATCTAAAGTTCACGGATATCAATGTGTGGAAAATGTACAGTCGCTTTGAAGACTCCTTTCCAGACGAACGAACAGCCTATCTGCTTACCTCCGACTTTGGGTTTCCACAATCCACATATGGTGAGACCTCCGCCAAGATCTTACATTTGCCTCGCCTACATCCTTGCCTCCTTAGGATGTTCAAACAAAAGCAACAAACTTGTGCAGGCTCCCTTTTTCCTCTGGGGCTCTGGCGTTAATCATTTTACGACCATTCGAGGCCGCAGCTTCGAAGCCAATGCCCAGAAGATGAAGCTGCCGCTGCATGTGCTAAATCCCATTCAGCTGACACCTCTGATGAGTGCACTTCTGGGCTTGCCACCGCCGGCAAACAATCGTGGAAATCTTCCAAGCGGGCTCCTCAGGACTAGCAGCCGCTATGAGGCCAATGCCATGCGCACCAACGCCCTCCAGGTGCTGGCACAAGCGCGACACCTGTCCGAGCGCCATAAGTCTGGACTCTTCTCCCGAGCCATGCCAGCGCACTGGCTAAACTCCAAGCTGATGGATAGCTTCGTGAAGTCGAGTCTCGCACTGAAACAGCAGCAGCGCTTTAAGGCCTTGCTGGAGTACACCAGCAACTACATGCCCGTGTTTGATCAGTGCATCAACTACTTCATGGATTACTATCGCATCGTCCTTTTGGTTTCCGCCTCCAGTGCGTTGCTTGGATGGGTCTACTGCTTGCGCTGTCATTTGGAGCGGCCTGGAGAGTCGGCCGACACTGGTGAGATCTCGGAAGAATTATCCGACTGCCTGTGGGGATCCACCATCATCTCTCGCGCGGTCACGCTCTTTCTCGTGGCCCTCATGTGCCTCCAAAGAGTCCCCTTGCTGGTGCAGGCCGTTTTTCTGCTGCCTTCCCTGGTGTGGGTCTTGGCACTGAGAGCTCTGAAGAGTAGTAGCAACGTGGTATCCTGTAGCGACTTGATGTGGCCTCTGGTGCTTGCACAGATCAGCCTCGGTGGCTTCTTTCGACGATACATCATGGCTCTGGGATACTTGGGCTTCGCTTGCTACAGCACTCGAGGGGCCTTTCGAGTGCGCGGGTCTCAGTTCTACCTGTGGCTGCTGCTGCTCCTAGTACTCGCATACATCTCCGTTCTTCCCGAATCCATTGGCTGCTCGCAACGCAACATTCTACTGATCAGCATTCCGCTTACACTTGTGCGCCCCTTAGCCTTTGGAGTCTGTCCTGGTTTGATAACGTGGCTGATTAATGGCGCAATACTGCTGGCCGCCTTCGTCCATGTTGCAGCTGCTCCGGTGCCCTGCCTGATGGTTTTGGCGTCGTGGGTGTTCTTCTTCTATATCGCATATTTTCAACGGCGAAGTCTCCAGATCACAGAGCTGATCGTCTTCAACCTAAGCACGCTATACACACTGACTTGCACAGCTTACGAGTCGCTGGTTATCCAGATGCTTGCGATGGAACTGCAATTGGGACTGAGACTGAGGAGCACCGACGACCAATGCATCCCAGCAAAGACGGCTGCCCTGCACATACTGATATACAGCTGGTACTCCATCTTCGTGACTGGCAGCATTCCTGCATTGGTTGTGGACTTTGTCTCGATCCTGAACGAAACCTGTTTCGGCTACAATCTCTGGACGAGTGGCCTGGTGCTGACGTTGAAGATGCTGCTGCCCTGGCTCCTCATTGTCTGCATCCTGGGAGGGGCGTATAAAGATTTGTGGTCCCAGGAACGCCAGATCTTTGCCTGGCTGATGTTCATGTGTAGCACCATGTCCGTTGGGCTCCTGTTGTGCGTCGTCAATCACGGTTCCGGGCGGAAAATCGGCAGCAGCGTCGCGGCCCTTGCCGTGGTACAGGTATTCCCGTTTCTGTGGCTGCAGCTGTGGCGCCTGGCGCACTCGAAGGTGGCCAACAAGTGGATCTCCCAGCTTCCCACGCATTCAAATGCGCCGCATCAAGTTAAACAACATTTAAATCTTTCCGCCTAGCGAGCACTCTGCCAGGCTGGTATTTATATGGAAATAAAATTAGTTTTTCTTCACGCGGTCACTCTAAATATCTACACATTTTTGCGCTGCAAAATGAGCTCATTTTTTTATTTTGAAAATTTCAGTCCGTTTGCATTCAACTTGTGAATTCCCAATAAGTGTTTTTTCAAATTTTAAAAGGCCTCCAGTAATTAGGAAATCTTAATCCGAACATAAACATCGGAAGAATGGATATTGCAATCGATGATTGTGTGGGCCCATATTCTTTGGTATATTTACGGTATATTGTGAAAATTACAAGGTATATTACGGTAAATTTCTTATTGTCAGGCTGTATATTTTATTGATAAATCTGCGGTCACACTAACAAGGGGGCGGCTGGGAGGCGTTAGTTAATAATAACAATTTCCTATACTACACATTGTGCGGGCACAAAGTGTACGCGAACCCAAAACCGAAAGTGCAACGCTGCTTTATGAAAAGAAAGCTACGCGGAAACCATAACATATTGCGCATTCCACGACACAGGAGCAGCAGCACGAGAACAGCATAGCAAAAGGTGAGGCGAACAGTTTATGCGACGTATGTGGGGGCGGACGGGAGGCGTTGGTTAATAATAACAATTGTGCTGCACACACAGTTAAACGGAGAATCATGGTAGCGCGTAGCATGTGTCTATGAGGGGGCTCCTCCGCACACAGAGACACTTGTTTTCGGTGCGCGTAGGCAAAATCAAAGTAATGTGTCTGTCGCTCTCGCAATGGTTACATATATGTACAGTACATATGTTCTGTTGACACACCACACCTGGGTGAGATGAAGAGTAGAGACCAAAAATGTGGAATACCTCATGTTATTTGATTTTGGGGAGACTGGAAGCCAGTGCGAAGAAACCGAAAAGCTGTAATGGTGGGTGGCTAACACGTTCAGGTGGGCATGGCCCAGAGGCGTTGTGACGTTTTGTGATCGCGCGGTGAGGAACCTTTTCAGTTTGCTTGTGCTGAATGCGATCATGCTTTATGACTCGCCCCGCTGTCCGCAGATAAGGTTCTAATTCCGTTGCCCGAGGTCGGTCGTCGCAGCAAACAGCAGAAAAGTAACTAATTTTCTTTACATTCTGATTTTCTCCGATCTTTCGTTCGCTTTTTGCCCCCCAGCTGTTTATCCGAGTGAGGCGCTGTGCAGGCACGGCACAGTTGCCTCAATTACTTGCAGTTGCTGCACTTGCAATTCTCTCATTATACAGGGCCGTGCATCCGGCAGGGGACCAGGGGCAGGCAATCCGATTCCCTTTCTGCGCAGCGCTTTCACTTTGGCATCGGGAACACTTCAGCAAGTGGCTGAGTAATTGTTCGATTAAGTAACCAATTAACAGCTGTTTATCCAAGAGATGGGCACTTGCAGCTCCTATAAACCAGTGTTCAGGCACTTTTTTTCCGCATAGTCGGTTCCTCGGCTGGCTGTTGGCTATGCCTTCCCTATTTTTTTCGCACTTCCGCCACAGCATCGACTGCTTGGAGCAGATCCAGAAGGATGCCAAGGTGTGACGAGTATTTCACGGACTTCTCTCAATGGAACCTCCTTGAGTTTCCACAATCTAATGATAATGCTGTGATAAGAGTGGGACGACCAAGATTGCCCAAATTCTGTCGAGCATGGAAATGGAAATGAGTAATTTCATTCAGAGAAGAGGCGCAGAGCAGTGGGGGGCCGTTGAGCACTTAATTGCGCATTTTTTTATCATCCCAGTCGCGAGTACTTATGGGCACAATAAAAATAATAACGTAATGCAAATTACTAGTGGCTCTATCTGTCCCTCTCGCTTTGAGTTTGCATACTTGATGGAATGGTTGTAGATTCATTTATTGAGCGTACTTTGATGTAATACTCGTACTTTCTGTGCCTTCAGTTTGTTGTCGCTGCGACAGGAGAGTTGGCGTTGGCGATGGCCACAGCACCGCGCTCACTGGATACCATCTCACTGTGCTCGACCGTCTCCAGCTGCCCGGATCGCAATGGCTTCTACGGCGGCTTCCAGCGCACAGATAAACCCCAAGAGCCCCTTTCCAAGGCCCAGATCATAGCTCGCGAGAAAAAATGGCTGTACATGATCGACAATTGGTCCGTCTACATGTCGAAGAACTACAAAAAGGTGAGAAAGATCCTCCTCCTTACTCCTCATAATACTATTAAGTGGCTATATTTTTTCTGCAGATTCGTGATCGATGTCGCAAGGGCATACCCAAGTCCGTGAGGCCCAAGGCCTGGTTCTATTTATCCGGAGCATATCTCCTCAAAAAGAAGAATCCAAATGTCTACGAAGAGCTGCTGGAGAAGCCCGGCAACCCGGCGACCATTGAGGAGATCAAGAAGGACAAACACCGTCAGTTTCCCTTCCACGAAATGTTTCTCGATGAACAGAAGGTCGGTCAAATAGAGCTCTTCAACGTTCTGAAGGCCTACTCGATATACAACCCTAAGGTTGGATTTTGTCAAGCGCAGGCACCGATAGCTGCTTTCCTATTGATGCACCTGCCAGCAGAGGACGCCTTTTGGGTGTTTGTGAGCGTGTGTGATGTGTAAGTCAATCCAAACACCATTCAAAGATTTTATCTATATTAACTGATGTTCCTTGCGGTTGCAGTTACCTGCAGGATTACTTCATACCTGGCCTGGAGGTTATACAGAACGATGCGGGCATACTGGAGGGTCTGCTGAAGAAGACATGCCCGCCCGTGTATCGCCATCTGCAGAAGCACAAAGTAGAGCCGCTGCTTTACATGACCGACTGGTTTCTCTGTGGCATGACTCGCACCCTGCCTTGGGAGACGCTGCTGCGCGTGTGGGACTGCTTTCTGGCCGAGGGCATTCGGGTAATCTTCAAGGTAGCCCTGGTCATAATCGGCGCCTCGCTTAGTCGGCACAAGGTGCGCAAGACCTGCACTGGCCTCTGCGAGACCCTGGCTGTGATGCGCTCCCCGCCGGAACAAATCCTGGAGGAGGAGTTCATCATCAACAACATGATGCGACTCAACCTGCGCGTGGAAGACTTTCAAATAGAGCACACGCGGCAGAAGGCGCGCCGGGCCAAGCAGAAGGCCCAGCAGGATGGGATAGCGAACGATTCGGGGCCCAGCAACGGTCGGCGCAACATGCCAACGCTGTGAGGTGTCAGGATCACGGGGCCAAGCAAGCACCTAGAATAATAATCACCACAACTATTACTACAGCAATGGGCAGCAACAAATTGTTACTAAACACACACAATGCATATTATGCATGGATTTTTTACATCTAATGTCGAATAGGAAGAGCGTCGTGCACAAAGTAGATGTAGATAATTGAGAGAGGGGAGTGATGGAGAAGTGGCCGGAGATTGACCAGGATGTCGGTCAATTACGGAGACATCATTCCATGCAATCAGTTTGTCTAATTTTAAGCCAATTTGTTAATTCGTATCTTTTTTGGTATTCGTATTATTATCATTTAGTTGCAAATTTTACGAGTGTGCAATTGTTTATGCTTTTCAAAAGTATATATTATTACTATTTATTATTATTAGCGTTAGAGCTCATTTTGAGGACCCCGTACATATCGTATTATAATCGTCACCCACGAGACACAGTCACCACAGTTTCCCAGGCAGCTGACCGTAGCAACGCAAAGATAATGGTCCACATATGTATGACCAGTGTGTTTACCCTTCGCGAAAGAATCAAGTGCAGGAGTAGAGGTGAATGTTAATATTTACCTACGAGAATACGTTGCAGCTCCACATTCCAGCAGCCGCAGCCTGCTGCGGCTTGTGGGAGGTTTAGGCAAAATTTAAATTAAATTGTACGACTAATACATATAACAAAATATATATATAAACCCTAACACAATTTTCAAAGATAATGCATTTTTCTTGTAAAACTTCGGGTACAACGACTAAGGATACTTTTCAGACCAAAAGGATTTATACCACGCCCATATTGCCAGTTTAATAGCTGCACAAATACAAGCTCCAACTTGGCGTTATATAGCCGAGAAATAGCGATTCTAACATGAACGGTCATGAAAAAACGATTCTTATCGACAGATGCCCAGTGATAGTGCTTTCACTTTTTTTGCAGTCAAAAGTTCGGGATGTTTGGACAGAAATCGATGTACTTTCAAATAAAATCATCTACTTTAGGGCCCTTACCATGTATAGATACATATGTAAGTCGATTAGTTCTCGAAGTGAATGGCGTATTTATTAACATTATTAAAACAAAGAGTTTACTCAGAGGGAGCGTGTGGTATGCATTGGAAACGCTTTTTTCTGACTAATTCCTGATCAGTCCAGAGAGCGTGGACACGGAAGCGTATAAATATGTACATATGTATGTAGTTAAATTATTTTAGTCTTGAAAATGTCATTGAAATAAATAGGTTTCAGGATTTACAACTACTTAAGTGAGTGGGTTTCTTAAAACTTAAAACTAAACTATGAGTATGAGTGGAGCTAGGTGTTAGACGGTGTCTATTGGGTAATGTCTAAGAATACTTTGCTTAATCTCATGAAACAGCTGTCCTTCAGAGACTCGATTATTCGGTTGACCACTGGAAGATCACGTTTTTGGGGACAGTGGGATTTGTTGGCAGGTGTGGTTGTGAGTGATGCACCCTATCCCAGCAGATATTGATCCTCAAAATCCAAATCATCATCCTCATCCAGTAAATGCGGCGGTAGCGGCATATACGGACCATTGTTTGCCGTCGAGCCAGATCCATTGTCGCTGTTTGCTGGTGTCTCACTGTCCTCGTCGGTCCCCTCCTCGTCTATGAGTTGGCGCACCTTCTGCAGCCTCTCGTCACTCTCTTCCACGGCAGGATGGTGCTCGCGGATGTGATGATGTAACTCCTGCATGCTGTGCACTTCAGCCGCCTTCTCATCCGCCCCGCTCTCGCAAAGTTGGCAATGAATGTAGGCTGCATGGGGCATATGCTTGAAGCGGTGCTGCTGCAGGACACCCTTGCTCTTCGTAGCCAACTCCTCGTCGCAGTCGTAGCAGCGGTAGAGCCCCTCGCCCACCTTCCGAATATGCAGAGGCTGCTTGCCCAGGCCGTGGGCAACGTTAAGGTGGTTGCGCCATGCCGCCTGGCTGCTGGTGGTGAAGTCGTCGCCGCACTGGGGGCACATTAGCCGATAGGCTGATGCTTCTACGTCTTCATCTTCGGCGGAGGCAACGCCACCCGTTTCCTGATCCTCGTCATCAAACACCTTTTCGGCGCTGGGCTTGTTGTCGCACCGATTGGTGTCCCGATTAAGATGCTTGAAGAACATCTGCTTGCGGACAAACTCTCCGTTGCAGGTGAGACACTTGAAGGAGCGGTACGGCAGGTGGCGGAACTTGTGCGACTGGAGCTGCCCGATGGCGCCCTTGGTATGAGTGACGGTGACACGCTTGTAGCACTCCAGGCACAAGTAGTGGTGGATGTCGATCTGCCGGAAGTTTAGGCCCTCGCGACTGTTGAAGTTGTGATGCTCCACGATGTGCTTGCGCCAGAAGGCATGAGAGTCGAAATTCTTGTTGCACTTGGGGCAGTAGTAGGTGATGAAGTCCATGTCCACCGCATTGTGGTATGAGATGCTGTCCTCCAGGGTGTTAAGTCCGGCCGGCCGAGTGGGACGCTTCTCGGACTGCGGCCAGAGCGGGCGACTGCTGGCGCTGGAGCCGGAGGAAGAGGCGACAACTGCGGGCGAGGGTGATTGTGGCCTGCTTTTGGCGACCGTACCCCTGTCTTTCTCCTTGGACTGAACATACGAGTACTGGGGCTTGGTTTGCAGCTCCCGCCATGGCGTTTCGCGCTCGTAGATGTTGTGCCGCGTCCTCAGATGGGCGGCTATGTTGGGCTTGTGGTTATAGCAGGTGCCGCACACGAGGCACTTGAGGTACAGGCGGAAGGGCAGATGCCGAAAATGGTGGTCCTGCAGGCCCTTCAACTTGGAGTTGCACACAATGTCGTTGCACTGGGTGCACTGGTAGCGGTACTTGTCCAGCTGCCGCATATTCAGATACTGCCGTTTGTCGAAGTTGTGGGCCTCGTTGATGTGACGGCGCCACTCGAACTGTGTCTTGTACTCCTCGCCGCACGAGGGGCACAGGAATATGTAGTTCTGCTCTACCGTGCCCGGCGATGGGCTACTTGTGGCCGCTGATGGTGATGGTATTAATGCTGCTGCTGATCCCGCTCCTAATCTCCTCTTCTTGGATGCCTCCTCTTTGCCCTGGGATTTGTCCAACTTCTTCGATCCCCCGTACTGAGGGGGATCCCGCAACGCATGTGTATGTGCCTCACTGATGTGCAACTTGAGAGCCACTTGAGTGGGGAATAATGTTCCGCACTCAACGCACTTGTAGCGATTCGGATTGGGCGGCGGCAAGTCGGTACTGACAGTGGGCAAGTCCTCCTCATCCGCCATCTGCATCTGCTCTCCAAAGTCGTTCTCCTCGTCGACACTTGAGTGCGTCTGCTCTTCATCAAGGAAGATTATCTCGTAAGTCTCTTTTCCCAGGGTCACAATCTGTTTGCGCTGCTGCTTGGGCGACACAAACAGCCGGGCTCCTCGTCCGGCCATTTTGAAATTTTTGTGCGGAACGTAGCCCACACGATGGTAGGTGGCCAGATGCTTGACCAGACCCTTGCGATCTGTGTAAGACTTGTGGCACTTGCGACACCTGGCGTATGCCTTGAATGGAAGGTGCGTGATCCTGTGCTGCTGGGCATTCTGTATGCCGTAGGCGTTCGTTATGATTTTGGAGCACTCCGTGCACTTCAGCTGGCGATCGTTGATTATCGCAAAGTTGAGCTTTGTCACATCGTTCATGCCATGCACCTGCACCACATGGGTGCGCCAGTGCTTCTTCTCGATGAACTCCTTGCCGCACTGCGGACATAGGTAGTCGATGTGTGGCTCGTACATGTCATCGCTCCCGATGCGTCCTCCCCGTCGGGGTACATCCTCAAAGTGCGGCGAAACGTCATCGAGGACGCTGCCGTTTACATTGTCCTCCCAGTCGTCGCCTCCACCATCTGTCCTTTTGACGGGTGATGGATCCGGCGACTCCTCTGGCATGAGCGACTCTAGGTGGTGTTGCTTCAGCAGATGACTGACCAGCTCGTGGTGTTCCGTGTAGCCCTTATAGCACAGCTTGCAGCGCAGCCACTCGGGCTGCGGCAGATGCGTGAACTTGTGGGCCCGCAGCGTCTTAATGGTGTTGGGGATGACAATCTACAGAATGAATGAGATTAGAAATCAAACCGTATGGTTCGATAGATAAATATCCAGCCATAATCTACATCAACAGATTCAGTTGATTCACCAATCGGTATGGGAGGAGGAATATCCTGTACCACGCACTCACCTTCTTGCATTCGAGGCACTGCATCTGCATGTCCACGCTGATGAAGTTGAGACCCCTGCGGCTGACGTAGTCGTGGACAAATTCAATGTGTTGACTCCACTGGGCGTGGGTGTCGCACTCAGTGCCGCAATCGGGGCACATGTAGTGGATGTAATCCTCGCAAAGATCCGCACCTCCGTCGCCAGAGGGACCTCCTTGGTAGCGCTTTTTCCGACGCCTCTGCGGAGCTTCCTCCTCCAGCATGGGTGGCATAGTCTCAGTCTCCGGCTCGAGAAGATCGTTTTGCTCATTGTCCTTCTCTGGGAACGGATCCATGCGCTGCATTTGCTCTGTGCGCGGCTCCCGTACCCGCGTCTTGCGTCCCGCCAAGTTGAAGCCCTCCCGCATCATGGCCACCACTTCGTCGCAATGGACCATCCTCAGGTGAACCATCAGGTCTTGTCTGCAAAGGGTTTCAGCATAAGTAGGCATCCCTTGAGGTTCTCTCGAGTGTCCTACTCACCTGTATTTGTACTCCCGCTTGCAGATGTAGCACTTGGTGCACCTAAACGGCAAGTGGGTGAACTTGTGCTTCAGCAGGTTCTCCCGGCTGTGCATGGCGATGCGCTTGTTACACTCCAGGCACCGATGATAGAGCTTGTCCATGGCCATGAAGTTAAGGCCACGCCGCGTGTTGAACTGGTGCATTTGGTTCATGTGCCGTTTCCAGAGATCCTGCTGCCGGAATTCTGCTCCGCATGCGGGGCAGATATAGATGACGCCCAGCTCATAGTTTATGGGAATCCCGTTCGCATCGGTTGCATTGATCTGCGAGGTGGTGGGCCGCGTGAGCCCTCCCGTCAGACACACCTCCTTAGGCCGGCCCTGCCTGGCCTGCATTGAGTGGCGAAGCATGGGACGCACTGGTGAGCCAACTGGACCAGTAGGCGCCAGCAGTGGAGGGGGCTGTGGCTCGCCAATACTTACAATCGGCTCCAGATCGAAATCAAATATGGCATCATCATCTAAATCGGGCTCTTTTGTCTTTCCATTACCCCGGCCAGTTGGCTCCTCCTCCTCCTCCTCAACGTCTTCCGCATCATTATCATCATCCTCGGGCAGAATGTCATCACCGTCGCCGGCAGGATTGCTGTCCAGGCCGTTTTCATTCGCATAATGCTCGATCTCCTCCTCGCCCTCCTCAAAGTCTGCCGAGAACATGGATGTCCAAAGGTCCATTCCTTCCATATTATGTTTGGAAGGCTTGTTGTCTGTCTGGTCTGCCAATAACAACTGTCTGCGAGTTTGTGTGTGCTGAGTGCGTGTGTGTGTTCGTGTGCGAGAGGTTGGGGGGAACTAATTTTCGTGTCCTACGCCGATGTTGGCTGCTGCTTTGAAGTCTACCGAAGCCCCCGTAACATCAACATCTTCGCAGTCGCGCACTTGGCACTTGGTGTGATTGCATTTCACTTTTTATATTGCAAAAATTCAAAATTTGTGTCCAGTCGTGCAAAAATCACAGCCATTTTTTTGTTTGCGGCAGGGCCGCAACAGTGTGACCGTCCATTTATCTGTCAGACCCTCGGAAATATACCATATGATTTTTTAAATATACCTTAAATATACTGAGGGACACGACAAGATGCGTTAATAATCCTCGATTTTGATATTCGGTTTAATATTACTAGCTAGTTAGCCCTCTCAGCGCTGAGAAAATAATTTTATCCAATTCATCAATCAATTTTATAGATTGGCTAGTTTTCAGAACTCCATTTTATTGGATTGCTTACATAAGGTTCAAACATAAATGGCCAAAGCATAAAACGAAAGTGTGTACCGTAATGTGACGTCATTGTTGCTGGTCAACCAAGTTGCTGCTATGTATGGATATTTGTATACTTTATTACCTATAATTAATATTAAATTTGTTGTTCCAAGCTACTTTGAACCATAAATATTGAATTTGTCTTATATTGATCACCACGATTTGAGAGAGCGTTTCTCTACCGTACCAGCAGCATTTAAAGCGGTTTGCGAATATGGGAGCTCTGTTTCGGCTGGGACATGAGGAAACTATATAAGTACTTACTCTTTAATCTTTATATATATATATATATATAGTATATTGACCAGGTCAATAATTCCCCCTCAATTTAAATGTTTCGTATTTTTGACATATTTTGGCATTCAATACAGGCATATCGAGATCCTGAAAATTTTGATCGGATCCATCGCTGCCCGCCCATATTCAAAAAGTTATATGAAATGCAACTTGTGCAATGCACATTATGTACGAAAAGATTTTTATTGAACAAATATTCGGGTTCGCATTTGTTTGTATTTTTACACTTAATTAGTACGTGCACATTAGTACGTGCAGGCGTACCGTTAAATTACATATGTAATATGTATGTAATGTATATTATGTACGAGTATGTATTGGGTGTATGGGTGTGAGGGGGTGATGGTGAGTCGCTTGGTATAAATATAATGTTTTAGATGTGTCGCGGCGTGTATTACATTGATGCAACTATAATTAAGAGTGTCCCACGTATCGGCGCACGTGTTCGATTGGAGTCCCCATCACCCCGAATCCAGGAGGATTTTTCCATTGCAGAGCAGGGCTCATCTGGTACACGAAATTCAAAATAGAATTCACTTTTATGTGGAGTAATGCAAAAGTGCCGGCTGGTTAGGTGTGTGCTGTGTGTTTTGATGAATTTCAGCTCTCAAACCCTCTCTTCAATTGAGGGTGTTGTTCTTCGCAGTGCTGAGCGATTTGAGCAAATATTTGTGTTCGTTTTGGTTTTCTATTCTGCTGTCTGCCGTCTGCTACCAGACCTTCAATTCCAGCTTGTTGATGCCTGATTTCTGCTGATGCTAGTGTGGCTAGTTGTCTATGCTCCATGTGTGATTCTGCACTGTTTTGCAATGGTTTGGGTTGATTGGTTATTCGTATATATCATGTAAGGGGGTAGTGGGTAGTAGAACTGTGTGTTTTGTTGTCGCTTGTTTCTCGTCTTGGTGTTGGTTGTATTGTTGCCCCATGTCGCTCGCTTATACTGGGACTTGGGCAGCGTCCCTTTCAATTACCAGAGTCCCGACGAGTAGCCGCCCGGAGGCACACGGTTCTTGTTGACCACCGAATTGCCACCGTTGCCATTGTTGCCACCGTTGCCACTGTTGCCACCGTTGCCGACGCTGCCGCCATTGGTCGAGCCGGCGGCCTGAATGAAGTCCGTTCCGCCGGGCCTGTATCCCTCGCCGGTGACGGGATTTCCCTCTGTTGAATAGAGAAAAAAATGAATGGGAATTAGTAGAGCCTTAAAATGGGAGATTTTAGTGTAGACTGAGTTGAACCTATGGCTAAGCACATTTTCAATCTACTTGTATAAGCTAAGGCGATCTTTGAAGGATACTCCTCCCAAGAGATCCGAACCTCCAGAGATCGCTCAGGTGGAGTAAAGGGGTAAGGTGTAAGGTGTAAGGTGTAGGTGTAGGAGCTCAACCTCGAATCTTCTGCTTCACGGGCTTGAGGCCACCCACTCCATCCCCGTTAAGGCCCAAACCAGTGATGGGATTGCGTGAGTTGCACGGATCATGCACCTCCTTCACAGTGTCCGGACAGAGGGACAGGGGCTCCTTGAGATCTGGTTCGCTGTGCATCTTGTCCAGAGAGTGTGGCTGCTCTACGTTGCTTGCAGAGTCTTGACGCGATTGCATGCGGACGTCGTGCTTTCCAGACTCCGTGAAGATCTCGTTGTCTTTTGGCACGTCACCCACTTCGAGGTCCAGGCACGGCTGGTCGATGCCAAGGATTTTGGCTGGTGCAGCAACCCGTGTGTTACTTGCTACCGGTGTCAGGGGACACTCTGTATCGCTTTTAATTAATTTCGATTCTCCGATATCTTCAGCTCCTAATGGCAGGCGAATGAAGGGGGATGAAGGATGCAGGCAGGACAGGACAGGACACTACTACTGGTTCTGGTACTGGTACTGATACTCACTGCTCATATTGCGGATGAAGACTGTTGTTAGAAGCCCGTATAAACGACAACCGACCAGAGATTCGATTCGATGCGGGAATTTATTTTTTATTTCGTGTGCCAGACGTAAAAAGTCCCGAAACGTTTAAGAAAATATAAATCAGAATTTTTACTTATATATTTCACACACTTTTTTCACACAACAAAATAACCAAATAATCAGAGCGATGACTCCACTTCGTTGTCTCGTGTGAGACTGAACCCAAACACCTACAAATGTAGGCTCAAACTTTTGACATGCAAAACTTTAATCTCAGTGACTACTTTTCTACGTTTATTTGTTGGATTTTATCCTTAAAGTGAATTACCTGATCGGGAGCCACTGTTCATCTTGAGGTTCTCGGTCGAGGACGAGACTGACGACGAGGCCGAGGACACGGATCCGCTCTTTCCATTGTAGTGGCCATTGGTGGTGGCACCGTTGGTGGTGCTGCTGCCATTGGTAAGCAGCTTCTGGGCAGCGGCTGTCTCTGTGTTCTGGCCAAAGGGAATGCTGCTCTTCATGTGGTTCTTGCCAGGTGTGATGGGACGCATGGGCTCCCCAAAGAGTCGATTGTGTGAGTCGACAGTCTTCTGACCGCGACGCGGATTATCACCTATTGTACATCACCATCATCAAACGGAAAAAACCAACGGAAGGAGTAAAACCAAAAGAAACAAAAGATATTGAAATTAGTGGATTGTTGTTGGTGGTTAGTGCTTTCTTCGAGCAGTAAAGATCGTTGGTTATTGTTCTAGAAACAGAGAACAGAGAAACAGGTACGGGAGGTACGAGAGTGGACAACAGTGGATCAGTGGGTGAGTGGATTGAGTGGAGTGGAGTGAATGGATTGCCTTGAGTGCTCTTTGTGCTCCGCCTCTAGTATCTGAATGCATTCAAAATGTCATCACAAGATGGGAGGAGGAGGTGGCGTGTGGTCGAGTGTGGGAAACTGGTTTGCAGTGTTTCGGAGATGATCTCTCCATTTGGGGATTGTGGATTATGGATCATGGACAGGTGGGTCAGTGATGGAGTGCTGGAGTGGTGGGGTTTATAGGTGGTGATCCAACGGCGGAACTTGCATTTAGGGAACACGAAATTAGCCACGAAATGAACAACAACAGAACAGGAATAAATGAATTCATACAACAAACAAGATATACGAGTATCAAGTACCAATGAAATAGAATCTGTGAGCTCCTTGTCGTACTGCAAAGATACGTAGAAAAGAAAAAAGAGAAAACAGTAGAGCGGGGAGGAAAAGAAGGAGAGGGGAGAACGAGAACAAGAAAACGATAGACATTTCAATAAGCATCACCTAGGGAATTGGATTCCCCCAGCACAAAACGCAAAGGGAAAGCACAAATAAATAAGCTTTTTCGGGAAACTCAACATGGGTGGGGGTGGGGAACACATATCTATATCTATGCATTGGGAAACTGGGGATCTCGAGTAAACTGGGCGTTCCATCTTCCATCTGCTTACCGGTATTCTTCACGCTATTATCCTTCTCGACGGAGAATATGTTGGACACCATGCGGTTCTTCACGTTCCTGGGGGTCTGGGGCATATCCGAGCCGAATATGTCGCTGGAACCGCCGCCTGGAGGCCTCAGCACCCTGGAAAATAGATAAAAAGAAAAATGCATCAATTATAAACACATTCTTTGGGTATTTGCAAGAGCTCGGCAATTTTTGTGCCACAGCGCATAAAGTGCACATATTTCCACGCTCTCTGCTTTCAGGCAGTGGAAAACTATAAGATGAGAAGAGAGTTAGGGGATCTGCGCATTGCACTTAATGTCTGTGTCTAACCGACATCTAGTATAGCAGCTGGAGAGCTGTTGCTGATGTGGCTGGATGAGCACTCAATGGGCATTAGAAGTCACGCCAAGATGCATCTCTCCCTCTCGCTGTTACAAGCTGCATCGCAATTAAGACAAAAGGCTGGCCAAAATGTTATGCTTTGTGGCATTCACAATTCGAGCCCCTCTATTCGAGGAGACCCTCTATTAGCTGTGGTCCCCGCCACGGGGCCCAATCCCAAAACCCAGAAACAGTGCTGATCAGAGATGTAAGACAGCTTTTGACTTTCCCCAACAAGCTTTCAATTTATTAGTTGTTATTAAAGATGGATATTTAAGTAAATTGTTGGATTTAAAATTCAGTTACCAAATATAAAAATAGATAGGTAATAATTATCCAATTGCAATGATTTTTGTGGTAAAAATGATACGTCTGATACGTATCTGTTAAGGGCACATGGTGAATGAAATTGTTAATCGCGCGAGCGTGCCTAACGTGCTTTTACCGTTGTGCGCCTCACTATGGCGTGTAGTTGTGGCGGGGATACATATCTGTACGATATTGTATGTATGTATCTGTGAATGGTTTCTGTGAATGCATTTTTCCAGCCGCCAGGCCAGCAGCATAAGACGTCAATTAAACTCTGCCTCAGCAGCAGTCAAGACTGACTGTAGATGCTACTACCGACTGCTGTGGCATGCCCCCTCTGGCACTGAAAGCCAAAGACCATTCACTTGTCAACATTTGCTTGGTCAGTCGTCGCATACCCCGATTACTGCAGTGCCGGTGCTACGCCGCCTTCCTCGAGGCGTCAATCAAATCATCGGAGCTTTCAGTAAGCTAAAAAGATTGCGTTTTTATGGACCATCCATCCGCACACACCACTGACCAGCACACCAGCACTCCTCCTCCTCTGACCTGCGCAGGAAAGTGAGAGTAACGTTTGTTCGTCTTAGGAGGTAATTAACCAAAATTGCATCGTAATTACTGTCGATCACTGCAGCTTACGCCGATGCTTAGGGATCGTCCGTCGTAAGAAGGCGAATAAGCTGGCGGCGAATGGAAGAAATGTAACAATCAAGCAACAATGTAATAGTAGGTCCATAATTCCGAAAATGAGCACGAAAGAAAGCTAAAGATACCCCTGAAGACCCTGAAGATGTGGCTATGATTAAGTGATGGTAATTCAATAAAATGATCCAATCCATGATTGATGCAGAAACATATTGCAAATACAAATATGTGAAGTTTGATTGGAAGAGTATAAAGTATAATTTACTGGAAAGCTTTCCAAGCGGAGAAGATGGTCGCGACCGCCTCTTCCTGCCTGGTGGAAAAAGTGCAACCCAATTGCTGGGCCCTGCCGGAAGAAAGCATGGCGTCGGGTCGGGGCCTGCGCCTAATTAATTATACAGCCACTGCTATGCTTATTCCTCATTGTTTTCTCTTCCCGCAAAAGAAGTGGAAGCGGGAGAGAAAGAGGAAGAGGGAGGGAGGGAGTGCTAAACATGACAAAGCGTCAAAGCGCAAGCCGCAAAGGCAAAGGCAAAATAACCGTTAAGTGTTTGGTTTGGTGTCGCAGCAGCAGAGCTTTTAAAGTGTGAGAACTGCTTATGAAGAAAGAGAGTAAAGAAAGGGTGGTGAGAGGATGGTGGCTACGAGGTGTATTGAAAGCAAGGGGTATGCATGATAATGGGAAGAAATGGGAGCGCGTGAAAGCGACCTGTGCAGGACCTTTGCACATACAGATCGGTATCACCCCCATCCATTTAATAAACCTTTGTGTTTGGGTGAGGGAGGTGTGGTGTGGGGGGAAATCAGTAGCAGAGTAGCAGAGCAGCAGAGTTCGGCTTGAGTTGGTGTATGGGGTAATTGAGATCACAACTGTCGCCACACACACACACACTCTACTCCACTCTACTCTATTCTCTTTGCGCCCTCCCTGCCACCCCTCCCATCCTCCCAGTGTTCTTAATAAAATGTCTTCAAAAGGCTTGTTAGGACTGGCAGCGGAGCGTGAACACCTCTTGTCAGACAAAGACTTGTTTTCATTATTTTCTTTTTTGGGCAGAGAAAAACTAACAGAGCAACGGTAAACGGGCAATTTTTGCGCAAGTGATGAACAAGTAATAATTATTTAAACAGTTAAACCACCGCGCGACCAGAGACTCCACACTCTCATGCAACATGCTTATGCGGCTTGTGCATTGTACTAGTACTTTACGGCGACCCGGTGGTGTCTTTTGTGGCGGCCCGATCGAGTGGAAAGCGAAAGTTGCCACATGCGTCGGGTCGGCATGCCTTATGCCCAATGCCCCAGTGCACCATGATCAGGCTATTGCCATTATATGCCGCTGTCAGAGATATGCTGACTATCCTAATGGCCTACAACAACATAACTGAGTTATGGTTCATGGCTATTCACCCTCAACTATACACTATGGACAGAGTGCGTCTTCACCAATTCACCAGTGACGCAAAGTTCAATCCACTTGACTCCCTCCTTCTTTGTGGCACTTCTTATAACCCCTCCCAGATGGAGAATACTCAAACATTTCATAGTTTTTGTGTGTCTGGCTTCCGAATACTATTTTCTTTCTTTGGCTTCTCCCTAGGGAGTGTGTCCAATCCATACAACCCCATGGGTTAATTCTTCTTTTTAAGCCCACTTGCTGCTTTAGTTGTTTTTGAATGAACTTTCCCTGGCAACCTATTCATTTTCCTTCAAATTGAAATATGAGTCAAATCGAACTGAATCGAATGGAAAAACATCCTGTATGCCTTACCCAAGTGATCTTAACTGAGAAAAACCTTTCACACACACACACACACACACACATACAAAGCGCCTGGGGGGCACTGCGACAAAACCTGACCGCTAGCCAGGTGGAGGCCTCCGAGGCCGAGTGCCGTGTCGCGCCGTGCCTGGGAGTGCAGGTGGCTCTGGCTCCCAAGTGGAAGAGTAGTCCGAAGAGTGGCCTATCCTGTGGCTTTGTCTGGGGTTTGGTGATGACAAAAATTAATGAATATCGACAACAGGAGGAGAAAGAGGTGGACCGCAGGCTGAGGAACTGAGGCACTGAGGCTAGGCGAAAGGTAGGTAATGTTGCAAGCAGCTGGGAGTGAATTTGAAAACAACCTTTTCGAGTAAAAGTTGTTCGGGGTTTCGATGCATATTCCCGCAGAAAATACTCGACTCAAAGTGATAGTTGTCGCTCTGATTTAGTTTTAGTTATACTCTTAGTTTAGTTTCACAGTTTGGTGGCGGCCTTCTCTCTTCTCTCTGCCACTTCTTCTGCTTCGACACGGCTTTAGGGTATTTTTTCTCTTTCCTTTCCTTCCTTAACTGCTGTGATAATTGATTTCACACACACACACATCCATCTCTAGACATCTATCGGTTGCTTTCCCAAACGCCTTTCAAACAATTAATTATTACTCCAAGGGGCGGTACCCAAGTCTTAGTTCGACATATTTCCACATTTTTCGACACTCAATTTTATTATTACACAAAAAAAAAAAACGTTATGAAATTTTATGAACTTTCTATCGACCTTTTTTTTGCCCGATTCTTCAGATGCGATGCCCCCCAATACATTCGTTTGTATACAAGATTCGAATAATTTTTACTCGAGGATCGTCCCACCGATTCCTTCTCTTAATTCCATTAAAGACTACCCCGTACATCGGTGTCTTTCTCTTACAGTCGCCTCCTCCTAGTCATCTCTCCATCTTCAAAGACGTCAGCGACGAAAATTCATTACGACAGTTTTCTAATTAACCAAATGTCAAAAATGCACACACACGAGTAAAAGTGGAAATCCAAAGATACCCTCTCTTCTCTTCTTATACTTCTTGTCCCATTTCACTGTGAAAAGCGGTTGGAATACTTAAACTTTTTTGTGTATTGACAGCTTGTGGGAAAGCAAGCAAGTACACGGATTGGAACTGCATTTGGAGAAAAGTGCCCGCAATAAGAAGCTTATGTCTCGGAGATTCCATCGGTTACAAAAGTTTCAATTTCATAATGAAAATCTCCGTCCAATCCGTCTCTCTCTCTGTCAACTAGGGCTTCTGCTTCGAGCGAAGAAAAGACAAGAGAAGCCAAGTCTCTGAAGAAATTGGATGGTGGATAGAGGGAGGTCTGGCGACCAAAAAGCTAATTTGTTTTTTGGCTAATGCCGGACCAAAGCAGCGAGAGGAGTGCCAGAGCCGCAGACAGAGGCATGTCTCTCGGAGGCTGGGCGGATGCCTCATGTCGTTTTATAATGAAGTTGCCGCTGTTGAGGTGCAACAGGGGAAAAACACATGCAACTTGATTAATTGCAATTGATTTTTATGACTTTGTTTGGACTGTGTGCCAACTGTGGGACTTGTGATTCATTTTGTGTATGCTACAGAGAGAAAGGTTGCAAGTAGTCTTTTCGTGGGTTTTCCCTAGCATGAAAGGGTCACCACTGAAAGATTTTCACTGGGAATGGAATGCTCGTCTCCTCTGACCAATCATGCAATAAAAATCCACAATTAACTGTCAGTCCATCGAGGCGGGGAGACTTTAGCTTTTATGATTGGTCCATAAACCATGAGGCAAGGCAGCAACAGCAGCAACAGCAGCGTCATGCTGCACTGCACCTGTAGTACATCAGAGGCAGCAGTTGGATCCACTGTCCAGTAGGTTGTTCCACTTGATTCGGTATTCACTCTGCCCTGCTGCTGCTCCATCCAGATGTCCGGGTAATTGTTTAGTGTTTCTCTCTCTGTTTTACTGTGGCTCTCCATCTCTATAGAGTATTTCTACTTCTCTTTTGTTTGCTGCTCGTTTATTATCATTTAGTTTGGGGCTTGTTCGGCTTCATGGCTCAATATGCCGCAGCAGTGCTAGCCGAGCCGAGCGCATCGCTGCCAGCCACTCTGCTGATTCCTTTTGTTTCATCGGAAACGTGTCCAGAGTCCACTGCAGTACCTACTCTGCAGACAGAGCTTCGTGCAACCGCAAACACACAGACACACAGACCAAAAACTTAATGAAAATCCAACTGAAGCACGAAAATTGTGTGCGGTTTTCCTCTATTGTTGCTGTGTGATGATGTTGTGATTATTGTCTTTCCCTCCCATTCCTATTTTTGTGATTTACCGAAAAACGTTGATTAGTCTACCAATCCATTATAATTGTTGCTGCTTTCAAAAGCAAAGCAAACAAAAGAGCAGAAATATTGTATATTAAAGAATCTGCTACAATACTCGTACTTTCCCCCGAAAGCATGGGGCATGCGGCATGCTGCAGGGAGGGGGGAGCAGTGGCAGGCGATCGCTCAAGCGCGGTTTGTTTACCGTTAAATTTCCACGACTGAAAATCTCTTTCTAGAAAACTAATCATCTGTGGCATTAGGATGAATCATCATTGATATACTATTTATATAGAGAAAGGCCATAGATATGATAGATAGATATGGCTTGAGAGGGGGGTGAGGCTAATCCACAGAGGAATCAATCAAAGTGGTTCCTATAATGAAGATCTATAATCATTCCATAGAAAAGATTCAGTAGATAAGATTTTGCCTTGTGGAATCTCTGTTTAGGATTATAGTTGTCCTAAGATTAACCCGTATCCAATTCCAATGTAAGACCCCAACTATTATAACCTTTCGATTCTACCGGGGAACTACCTCTTGCACTTCCCAGAGGAAGAAAGCCATCATTCAACTCCAATTTGAATGCCAACTTCATCCTTCCCCGTCAGGCACCAGTTTCTGGTCACTTATTTCTATGAAATTTTCCATGTGCTCTGTCAGCAGGAGGGAGGAGCGTGACGCTGCTCTGAAGATGCCACAGCGGGTGTTCCTGCCTGCTGCATAGGAGGTGCGTGTATCAGTGAGGTGTTTGATTAATGGAATCCCCCTTTCCGTGCAATGGGAATCTGATGAAAATTCATAATTGGACGCAGAGTTGGAGCTGCAGAGTTTCCATCTGGTGGAAATATGCTTCTCTAAGCCACCGCTAGATTGTCAATTATCGATAGTGCCTGATGAATAATTATCGATTAGCGCTGTTGCAAAGGAAAGTGTGCGATCGAGAGGAAAAGTTGCAGCAGCCCCAGCCACAGCAACAGCCACTGCCACATTCATGTTGTTTGTGGTTGTATGTAGCTTTGTGGCACTTTTATTATTATGTATATGCGTATGCATAAGCTGTGGGATTGGCGGTGTCGCTGGCGCTGTCTTTGGCTCCGTAAATTGTAGAGCCCATATCCATATCCATTGCCAGAATTGCAGCAGCGAAAGTTGTCTGTCTTTCTTTTAAATATGTAATTAATAAATTTGTATTGATTTATTTGCAACGGGAGAAGCTATGGCTATGCGAAAGCGAAAGGACTTTCTAATATATTCCATCCCCCCCCGCCCTCCACTAATACGATGGGGATTGCTCCTCCCGATAAAAATCCTCTTCCATTCGTTCTATCGATGGGCACCAGGCACCAGGAGGCACTGTATCTGTATCTAAATGGAAATAACATATATATTTTTATATATTTAACGTTGCTAAGGGAACTCCACTTCCAAACTTATTTCCGTGTCAACAGGAATTACATTGACGCAGGCAAAACACCAACAACTGATATTTCTTTGATTTCCTTTTTTTGGCCTCCGTCAATGGGTCATGAGGGAGGGAGCATGCCCCACGAAAATTGGTTGACTATACCTCTCATATAAATTACTTTTGCAAATATTTACATACATAAATGTTGACGTAGCAACGAAGAAAGCACATTTATTAAACATACATATGTACATATAAATACGTATATGTATGTACAGAAGTATATATAATTTTTGTGGCATGTACTTGTGATTTTTTTGTTAAATTTCTTCTTCGAAGAATGGGGTTACCTTCGTGGGCGCCGTAAAATAATTAATATCAACATGATACTGTATATTGTAAAAAGGAATTCAAGCGTATAATTATAGCTGCATAGACAATGCCATAAACCAATGAATAAACTGTCATGATTTCCGCCACTTACACAACCCCACACCCCACAGACAAACAAAGGAGGGCCCAATCCGGGAGACAATTCAATCTTCAATTCCCAATGCAAGCCTGCATGCAGTCGCACCTTTGGAATTTAATTTGATTTGTTTACAATATAATAGGTCGAAAGAAGGAAACAAATCTCGTTGAATGGATGAATGGATGGATGGAAAGAAAGAAGGAAAAGAGCATATTAATCATTTTCCACACAGCGGGAAAGTCAGTCATGGAAAATCAAAGAGACGCAATCGCAATCAGTGACAATGATTAACACATTTCCATGGACCATAAAACGAAACGTCTCTAGCAAATTGTTTTTAATGCACATGGCATACATCCATATGAACACGGAAAATTATTTAGAGACCAACACTAATCTCTAAACGACGGGCCTGCCTGCAAAATAGAGAGTTCAATGTACGGACAGTCGAACACGGACAACGGGCAGCTGACAGTAGAGCGAACGGACAGAGAACGAACAGCAGGAAACGAGCAGGGAACGGTAGCAAGCGGAACATCGGACATAAGCAAAGAGGCATTTTGGTAACGATTTTTGTTGCCAGTCTAAAGGTAATGGTCTAAAGGTAATACCCATAGGCGGCACACCTCCTCTTCCAGTCATCCGCCATTCCTCCAGTTATGGGTGGATGGGTGGTGCCACGGGAAGGGGCTTGGTCAAAGAATTGCATGCTAAAACAAAGGAAAGACCGAAACCTACAAAAAAGAAAGGTGCGCTCACCTACAGTGCCAGCCGAAGCATGGAATACCCTTTGAAAAGCCATGTTAAAATATTTTTGACTAATTCTGAAAGTAAATTCAAGTATTTCTGACCAGAAGGCCCCATAGAGTTCTCTCCTCCTCGTACTTTTATTTTTTTTTTTTTTACAATTTCTGAAGTTTCTGTGAAACCTGAAGAAAGAGCTTTCATTGTATGCTTTCTTTCGAGTGCTTCCAACTTCTGGGCAGCCATGTTATACCCTGCCCCTTATAGGTATCCCAAAAGAATGCTGGCCACTTTAACTTTTGTGGCACAAGGGAAGAGGCGTGTGGCAGTTTGCTATTTTTTAGGTGGCGGCAAGTGGCAAATGCGGTAAAGGAGGAAAATCAATGGGACATCCAAAGACCGCCACCAGCTGGTCGGTGGCTCAGTAGTTGGGTGGCGGCTGGGTAAATGGGTAGTACTTGGGTGGTGGGAAGTAGGCGCCGCTTGCAAAAGTGGTTCTTCACGGATTACACATACGCCAGCCCGTCCGTGCTGTTGTTATTGTTACTGTTGTTTGCTGGTTAGTTACTTAGCAAGAGGTGAATGCACGCTAAATTAATCTCAGAGGCACACAGAGACAGATACATACATGCATATTCATATGCACACATACAGATGTGCGTATCTGTGTGTGTATGGTTTGCTTGGACCGCGAGATGCGACTTAAACAATGATGAGAAGGATGATGATGGAAGATTTCTGCAATCAGGTTTAAGTCAAAGTGCACTTTGGGCAAACAATATACAAACATACGTCTGTATGTACATAGGACAACGGTATTATGCATTGACGAAAGCTCTCTTCTCTTACCTTTTCTTGGCTTTGCCCACGTTGTAAAGCTCGACGTGTTTGAATGCAGCATAAGCGGCCATTGCTGATTAAATGTAGGTGTAGGTGGGCGGAGAGAGAATTAAAAAGTTGTATTCTTTTTTCCAGAAGAGCTACGCTTGCAACTACTCTTTTTTTTGTGCAACACAAAAAATCTAAACGAACAAGGGAGGACCCTTCTGGTTAGAGAGATGCTGCGTTGTGGGTGTGGGGGGAGGGGAAAAATGTTGCAGCGATGACTCATGCACTCATGGGGATGCTGCCAGTGCCAGTGCGTCAAATCAATAAAATCGCGTATCACGTAGGACTGACTGAAGGAATGAGCAAGGAGTCTGTGCACAGACGCAGCAGCACCCAAAAAGAGCGTGAGGCAGGACCAGGTGAACGAAACAGAGAGCGGAAGACGAATCGGAGGTTAGATAAGATGATTCAGCAGCAGGACACAGCAGAATGTTGCAACATTTTTCCCCAGTCTACCCCTCCCTTCCTGTTGCAGGGGCACACTTTTCTTCACTAACAAAGTATGCTCCAACTTTGGAAACACACAACGCGCGTCACGGAAACAACAAATTTTCGGTTCGAAGGATATGCGGAACTGCAAATGTGTTCGATTTCAGATTCACGGCGATTTGATTTCTGCTGCTGATGTGAACGTTTCGGTCTTAGTTTACGATTTAAAGTGCATTCGGAAAAGTGAAAAGCTTTTTATACCACAGCAGCAGAGGCCGCAGCAGAGTTTTATCGATCCAAAAACAACGACCAAGCGGCCGAAACTCAACTCTTGCTCCGAGAGAGCGCACAAGAAATACAGAGAGAGGCAGCGCCAGCTCCCAGCTCCAGCGCAGAGTATATCAAGTTGAAGATGAGGCAGCTCGATACGAACTGTGAGGAGTGTGTGGAGCTCTCCAGAGCGGCCTCTGGAAATTCCTCACCCGGTATTAACACACCTTGCGCGCCAGCCCCATGCATGTGGCTCATCAAAACAAAAACAAACTACAGCTGATTGGAGTTGGCTCTCTCTCTCTCCTTCTCTTTGCGCACTGCAACTCTTTTCACCACACACCACACCTCACTTCCCCACACTGCTGTTGTAGGTCACAGAAGAAGAACTCAATGCTTAAACTCCAAATAAAATGTAGCCAGCCCCAAGAGCCGCCGCTCTTAAACACTTGCGGGATTAACATTTCGCCTCGTTTTACGAGTATGTACATCCATACATGCATATATGTACACATATACCCGCTCGAAAATATGCGCAGATATGCTTCAGTTCAGCTTTTCCACTGGCAAAAAATGTGGAGAAAAACTCAAGCAGCAGCAAAAATGGTTCAGGTCTAGCGAACTTCAGGGTTCCTATTCAATTGTTTTCCACCACCTCATCTCCTTTACTTCATGCAGCAGCAGTAGCAGCTGTAACACCAGTACCCAAGATGCTTGTTTTTGCCGGACATAAATCACTTTCATCATCACCGAGGATCGAGGGGCACGGGCAGGGCCAGAAAACTCTAATTCCAAGTGTCTTGCCACTAATGAGGCCGTTGCAAGCAGCAGCAGAATCCAAATGCAAAATATATGTATATGTATTTGCATACTTCGTTTTCTTCGTTTCTTGGAACACAACATTTGGCACAGATCTCTGCCACACAGCAGAACAGGAAGCGAAGCCAGAAAGCACCGACCGACGACGGACGGGGGTAATGGAGGTTATTTTTAGCTTTTTTGGTAGGGAAAACCAGAGGAATAGTTGACTGGCCGTCGACTCCGAGTCTGGCCTAGTGGATGCAACGGCTGTAACCTGACACCACCAAGCAATGCCACTTGCTCCTCCATCCCACAGTTCCCCAGCCCTGTCCCCAGTGTCCCCCCTCTTGTGTCAGCACCTTGCACCAACGTGGCAACCACAATCCCACTCCATGCGGGTAAAAATAGGCGGGAAGACCTAGTGTACTCCTACTCTCCTCCCTGGGCTTCCACCACCCATATCTTTGGTATGGGTCCGCGTAGTACTGCACTATGGGCACAGCATCGACTAGAAACGTTTATTCTTCCAGTTCCAGTTGGCATTGCCCATAGTCCAAAGGCTGAGTGTGTCGCCTCTTTTCTGAGTTGGAGTGTAGAGTGCAATGGAACATGCATTCGAGCACCACACTCTCCTCTCCTGTCCATTATTCTGTGCCTTTCGAGTGTATTGGCGTGTGGTGTGTGTCTAATCTCATCGAAAGCGTCTGCTGCTGCTCCTTCCCTTTCTTCTGGCTTGTGGCATGTGGCCGTTGACTAGTTAAAACATCAATGCAGCACACACACTGGAGTGGGCACACTGGAGTGGAGTGGAGGAGGGGTACGTACGTGGGCTGCGGCATCTGACAATTGAAGTGACGCGGCAGCAAGGCAGCAAACCTTATAATGTGATTGTAAACCAAGCGCATTGACACTTACTCTTCGAGCCAATACTTTGCCTGCGAAAGCCACAACGAAAAAACCCCCCAACGATGCACCGTGTAACAGCAAATACTGCGAATATTTAAGTCAATAAATAATTTCACTGCATAAAGTGAAATTTCCGGAGCCACCAGCCCTCTGCATAATTACCAACCAACTAACGGCAGTTCCATGCAATGGTCTACCTCCCTCCCTCCCGTACGTATCGTATCGTACGTGCTCAACATATGGAAAATACCAAAGTGGAATTGTGACATTTGTGACATTCGGAAATGCATTTTCCATTGCCATATTTATGAGCAACTTTGGTTAATTATAAATATATGGGCATCAAACTCACTTTTATTACGCGTACTGATGGCTAAAATCTGGGACTGGGACTGTATACGAGATAAGAACAAAAGCAGGTGAGGGAGAAAAAGGAGAGCAATAAAGAGCTTTAAGCCCACCATACAATCAAAGATTATAATCTGACAGACAAGTGAGTAGGCAAGGAAAATTGAAGGAAGAGAATGAGAACGAGAGAGAGCAGAAGCGACCCACGGGTTCGGATCTACATATATATATTCTCTATTAGTTAATTCTCTTTTAGATTAATTGATCAAAGCAGCTGTGAGAGGGAGAGCAGATTGCTAGAAAGCCTCTCTCTCTCTCTCTCTCTCTCTGTCTCTCAACAAAGAATATTAACCCATATTGCCATATTTTTTCTATTTAACCGTCTATGAAATCACTAAGAGTTCGCTTTTTACGTATACGCTGCTTATCCCCAACCGAAAATTATAGCGACCAGTGGAGTGCGGAGTGTGGAGTATGGCGTACTCCCCATATGAATATTCAGTTTTCTCTGCGGCAGGCAGGCCATTGACTGACCAGCAGAAAAGCAGTCTTTAAAGCAGAGATTAAATGGAGTAATTAGGAAAACGTGCAGTGCAAACGGACAGAGCAGGAAAGTAGGGGAGAAAGAGGAGCAACAGAAGCACAAACCATCAAAATGCTACTTTCGGTCAGAAAGGTGAGTGGTGCCCCATGCCACATTTAGTTTAGCCAACAACTTACTTTAGCTTTCCTTCCCGCTGCTGAGACTACTACGGCGACTACGACTACTGCTGCTGCTGGGAAATTAATCTTTTTCTTTTTTTATTTTTCGGACAGGGTTTATCATATGATTAAGGCATTAGCCTCGGCCACGGCCTCGGCCCAGGGGCCACGAAACTAAATCAACAGAAAATCGAGACAGGAAAATGATCAAGGGAAATGCATCATGAAAAACAGTTTAATCAATCTCCATCTTCATCATTTCTTTCAGAGAGACGAAGAGAGAGAGAGATGCGATGCTCTTTTTTCCCCAGAGTAGAACACGGAATGTAATGAGAAACACTTTCCCTTTCTCTCTCTCTCTCTCTTTTCATCACACGCACCCGTATACGTATGTAATCACATGTTTAAAAGCATTTAATACCGTTGTAAGCCGCCGCCTCAAGCGTCCCAAAATCTGGGCTCAAGTCCAAGCTTCAATGTTGTTCAATGCCTGAAATTGTCTTTTGAAGATTGGCCCCACAATAGGGCGCGAACGACGAGCAACTTCCTCGAATGCATTGTCTGCTGCTTGGGGCATGTGTGTGTGTGTGCAACATTAAGGGGCACAGGTAAGGGGAATGGGTGATGGTAAGGTAACAATTACCAGACCCCCATACACATACACAGTGCTCTCTCTTCTATCACTTTTCCATCTCTTTCCCTAAGCAAAGCTGGCGTTAAATTAATGCTTTAATTTCTTTTGACTTTTAACTTTTTAACTTCTTTGTGGCACTGCATCTCCCCTCCCTTCCCACTGCCCTTCCTCTTACTCTTTCCTTCTACCTTATTTTCCTCCCCTTTCTTTCGAGTTCGTGTCGAACAACAATTGGATGGAAAAGTTTTCATTGAAAGATGTGATCCAGTGCGATTATTTCCCAGCTCCGTTCCCGATCTGCTGTCGGTCTTTAGTATTTCTAAAATGCGTGAGGTCCACTTTTGTTTATACAAAAAACAATCTTAAAGCAAAGGAAATGTTGCAAAATATTTGCTCTACAATATGGAACACATCTCTGGTGAGGCAAAAAGCTAAAGATAAAGATACATGTATGTATGCAAATGCATACAGACAGACATTAAACTCTCTCATGTCTGGCCAATAAAATGTCTGGCACTTGATCTCTGCCCAGAGCCCATAAGGAAGCTAAAGAGTGGCATCTTTAATGGTCTCGAGCGATGAGCAGATGGGCAGCAGCAGACCAGACGACCAGACCACTTGACCAGAGAATGCCATGGTGTACCGCTTAGGGGTCTCCACCCTTTCACAGAACCACCCCTTCCTTTAAATGCACTAATTTCTTTAGAAAGAATGACTATCGATTGCATAGAACTTTGATAGTTATCGTGTAATCGGTTGAAACAAACTTTCTCTGCCAACTCCTCCCTTGTCTTCCCTGCCCTTTCTTTCCCTTTCTTGCCACAGCCACTGCAGTGCTGCATTTTCCTTGACATTTTTCAGCATACACACAGAAATCCAAGCACAAGGCAAAGAAAAAGTGCACAAACTTTTCCAAATTACGTGGATATAAAGAGAGGGAGAAAAAAGGTCGACAGTTTAGAAGCAGAGCCCAAGGCAAGGTCTCTAGAACTGTTTTCAATTAGATGGAATCAACTTTAAATCAACAAATTAAAACGAAATAAAAACAATTGTTCGCTTCCAATGTGGATAATGAATTTGATGACTTTGCGGAGCAACATCTCTATAAACGTCTCTATTAAATTCCATGGGTTCACGTGGGTTGCACTCGACCATATGTCTCGGCCCCAAAACAATTCCATCAGAGTGTGCACCAAATTGGGATTTCAACTAGATTCCCATCGTGTAATTACAGGCAGTTATGATTGGGAGGAGGAGGAATTGGAAATCTTGTATCCCAGAGATACGTATATTCAAATATCAACAATAGAGAGAGAGAGAGAAAAAGCCAATGGACGGGCCAACTATTCCCCGATGATCGCATGTCTGGGGTGTATTGCAACGTGGAATGTAACTCCTTCTCACCGCCTCCTCCTCTTGGATCCATATTGGACGATAATGGTCAAGTGCAGTGCGTGATTCAGACTCCGGACTCTGGCTGGCTGTTTGCTTAGCCATTAGCCACAAAGTCGAGAGCCAAAATGGGGAATCAATTTGGGCTTTGATCGGTTTTGGCTTTGTCTATGGCTTTATATTCGACTTCGATTTTGTTTTTTTGTTTCAGCTACAGTTTCTCTCCCCTTCAGCCGATCTGTGAAGTGAAAAGTTTGCACATAAACCCATTGAGCGCAACGAGAGGCATAGAGGCACAGCTGAATTATTGTTTGTTTATCGAGTGAAAGGCAGAGCTTGGAGCCGAAGTTTGATTTGTTACACTCTCTGGTTAATTAAAAACCAAAGTAAGAACCGATATTTCCCCTTTTGGAGATGGATACTCAAAAAGTGAGAAGAAGCAGTTCCCAATCGTTTTGATTGATTGCTTTAGATTATACAAGCGGAGATCTTCTCAGACCCAATGTCAACGAATTTTTTTTTCTGTTTTTCTGGGAAACTCAGATTGCCGTCGCTGACTAATATTTCCGTCCAGAGCGTTAACACAGTTTAAGAAGCCGTAAAACGGGGAGGGGCAATGCTCATGGAACGAACAGAGTGTCGACTGTCTGTCAGCACTTTTCACAATTTGTGGGTACTCGTACGTGCAACCAAAGGCAAGGCGAAGCGAAGCGAAGAAATGCAGCAGCTGTCGTTGCAGCTTAGTCCAAGATCCAAAGATCCAAGAGAAGCCAAGAGCTAAGCCGAATGCAAGTCGAGTGTTGGAGAGAATACGCTTTCCTCTAAGCTGGAAAACAGATCTTAGATAATCCCAGCGGAGCTGATGAATGAGTAGTGGCTATGTTGTTGGGGCTGTGTGCATCCATTGCCCATTTCCCAGCTAATTGAAATTCTTGGAAACCAAATCAAATGTTATATAAAATGCTTCACGCGGCTGGGCTGTCTCTCCCGCCACCAACTGGTTCTACTACGCATCTTTCTGCTGTGATCATGGATGATGATGTGTGGCATTCAGCCTCGTCGTCGTCTCAAATCCCAATCTTCAGCCTGATCTTCATCTGCACGGCAGATCTTGCGGCATGCCAACGGAGCATTAACGCTAGATGATAATACATATATATATATGTATATATGTATGTAGGTATAGTATTTGAGAGGGGTTCTAAGCTTAAGGGGATTGATATCTCTCTCTTCTTTCGACCAAAGTTTGCTCCACTTTAGCCTGGAAGTAGGGAGAGGAGCTAGCTGGAGAATCAAATGCATTCCATTCATTATGATTACTATTAAATTAGGAATTCCCGTTCTTTTCTTTTATTTTCTTTCATTCTGCTGCCACTTCGTCCTATTCCTCCTCTTCTTTTTCTTTAGATGCGAATCATTTTCGCTGTGGAAAGAAAAGCTCGCTCAACGGGTCGGCAGCTGAAAGACGGCGCAGAGCCCGCGCTCAAACGATGGTAATTATTTACGCCGATTTTAGTGTGCAGATAATGCAGCCACAGCCACACAACCGCAGCCACACAACGCCAACCACAGTGCAAAAGAGGCACGAACTGTGAGGCGCAACATGCCACATCTCTTGTTCCCAAACCATGATAAATAGGGAATGGATATGAGAAGAGAGTTGGAGAGTTAATGTTAGATCATAATATAATGAATATACAATATTTAAGTCTTGATAAAATCTTAAGCATATGAAACCTTTCATCTGCCATCTATGAAGAGTACATCTCGAAGGGAGATTCCCCATTTTTCATCGAAATTGTATGGGGAATCACCCATTGTATCAAGATTTCAAAGAAAGTCCCATTTTCAAAGTGGGACACAGCAGACATGACATTCCTTATTAGCTAAACGGCCATACAAAATGCAAATGCAATTCTCTGGGCAGTCAATCATTTCCACACCCATCAATCAATCAATCAAATTCACCCCACCTGGAGCTTCTGCAAGATGCCTATCGCTGGATTAATCTTTTTGGCCACGATATTCCCCAATTGCACATAAATTTTTTGGTTTTGGTGGCATATTGGACAGTGACAGCCAGCCAACAATTCATCAAAGAAAAAACTAGAAAGATGCCAGACATTCCAGAATTAACCGCGCCGCGCCACCTATCGTTCGCTCTAAGCAACTAGCAAACAGTGCTGCCAGACATGCGAACAGCTGAACAGTTGCCCACATAGACACAGCAGATGTCGCTAGTGTACATTTTCCGTAGTCGCGTATCTGTAATAGCGTCATGTTGCCAAGCTGCAAAATAAATATTGCAAAAAATGTCATTTAATATGACATCATTTCGTTAGAATTTCGTTTCTTTAAGTATTTGGATTCTTAAAAAACGGCGCTTTGACCGCTATACATGCTCGCTGCCTGATAAAAATCTTCTTCTCTCAAGAGATAGCTTCTCTTATCACTTTTCTTATCGCTAATTCGACCCTTAACATACAAATGGCTGCATCTGCAGGCTGTGTTTATTTCAAATATTTAGGCGGCATCTGAAATCAGAATAATTGTTATCTTTATTGCCGCCAGCCGCCGCTATCGACTCCTCACTGTGTTTGCATCCGCATGTGATGTGTGTTTGCGCCCATTCCATTCCGAGACGGCAAACGGAACGATAATAATAATCAAACAGAACGGAGAATCGTAGAGAGGGGGTCCCCCTTCCATTCATCCGCTTGTAAGAGTACGAGTAGGGGTTCCAAACAAAGGCTTACGAATTTTCGGCTTGGGGATTGGATAATGATATCTATTTCAATTGGAAATTCTCCCTGAAAATCCAATAAATGCCCGCATGTTTCCGATTGTCTTACTCCAATTCAATTTCCACCAATATGCAGATGGAAAATTGTTACAGGAATTAATTTCCGTTAAAAATAAGATAGGGGGGTAGGGGAGGGGCACCTGCTGCAGCCGGTTTCTCGCAGAATTCTCCTGCATTCCGCCGCTGAGCGAAGAACAAACAACAACAGAGAGTATGGCGGAACGGAAGAAAGCGCCGACGGGATGGGATCTCGAAGCGAAAAAGAACCTGTTTCTGGACATGTGTCTGATTCAGCTTCAACAGCAGCGCATTCAACGGCAGTCGAGACGTCGACCCAGTCGCCTTTTCTTGAGCCCCTGAGCGGATCCCTTTCCTGGGATTTAGATGGAGAGGAAGCCAACGCATAAGCATCGCCATGTCCATTCTCCAGGCAAGGAAGAACCTGTTGATGGCAGCATCATCATGAACATGACGGGGCACAAAGGTGAGCATGAGGATGAGCTGTCATCTTTCAGAAGCTATCTATCGGTTTCAATGTGAGAATAATCTCTCGATTCTGCTTCTCTTCTCTTCTGCGAACTCCCTTCCGTTTCAGTGTCAAGAGTGAACGAACTTTTGGGGCAAGTCGCAAAACTTCTCTTGTCATCATCGTCATCGAGCAGTAGTCAATGGACTTTGCTTAAACTTAGTGCAGCTGATGGACAGCGGAACAGCAGCCAGCAGCCAGATCCAAGCCCCATTTCACTACAAGCTTTGCAAAAGAGGGCAGTTTTTGTATGTTTAATGATATCTCAGCAGCTAAATATCTGCACATATTTGTGCACTGAGAATATATGATGATGTATCATCCTCTTAAGTAATACAGTCTCAAATAACACACGAAAACATCTGTCTAACGCGAATCGGTGTTCACAGTCCCCAGAAATCGTCTTTAAGCTTTCGCTTTGATGTTTACTTTTGAATATTTGTTGGCTCTAGACACCGCCGATATAAAAAATATGCATAATAAATACGAACGCAAAGATACGAGATACATATATAGATGGAATATAAAATATGGCATCCAATTCCAAGAATTTAGAATTTACTTATATTATCACATTTCAATGGGAACTTCTATGCTCGGAAACCTTGTCCCAGAGCAGAGGGTTGGCATTATTTATTTACATTAAAAATGATATTTTCAAACCAATATGATTTCAAAGGGCGGGAACACAATTTGCATCGAAAGTAACCCAGATTGGGGCCATTGACTCCTCGATAAATAGCATTTCCAGTTTCCAGTTCTTGTCTTTTCCTTTCGCTATGCAATTCGGAAAGAACTTATGGGGGAATGCTCCACTAATTAAAGAGTAAATTAATTCAGCTCCAGACAGATGTTTCTCCGATCTCTGGGTGTGTTTCCAGAGTTTCTTTGTCCAGAGATATCTGGGTTATTATGAATGATATTCGAGTGACCAACTGGAGAGCAATCGTAAAATAACTCAAACAAAAGAAGCTAAAATATTCAGACATTAAAGTATAACGAACAGAAGAGAGTAAATGATATAGCGTTCAGCTCTGATTCGTCACACAATCGTCTTCTGCCCACTGCATCACCAGGACAGATGCATCCCGCACTCAAAGAACCGCAGAATGCCAGAGTCTGCCACGACGAGAACATGCCAAATCCTAAATTGTTTTAATTTCTCCAAAATTATGAGGGGAATTGCAATGCATGCTCAAATCAAAATCAACCCTCAGAAGAAGGTACTTCTGTTGGTGGTGGTTGTTGCAGCAGACGGAGAAGCCCCTGCAGGGCTTTCACTTTCACAAATAAGTCCCGGCTCCTGCTCTAGATACGCTCTAGGCAGTGCACTTTCAAATGCAGCAACAGCAACCCTTGTAATCCAGACAGACAGTGGACTCTGTCCTTGGAAATTACCTACCCAGAGAGGCCACCACCAAAAGGGGGGTGTTCGTCTAAGGTCTGAGGGGGGGCGGATTTCAAGGTCCAAAAGTCAGACAACCGTCTGGGATTAGGTGATGGGTGTGAGAGAAACATTCTCCTACGGGTAAATCGCAATTCAGGTAGCGCGCTAATCGTAGGCATAACTACAGGCTGAGGCGACGACGGCGACACTCATCAGTGATTCACGGCACCGAGTCGAGTGCATTGTCATGGGATGGAGACAGAACACAAAGGAACACACAGTGTGGGGACACGCCCTGTTCAGTCCCTGCGAATCCCACAAAGAAATCAGCAACGAGAGGCAGAGAACGTGTCAAGCCTGTAAGATGATTATGGATATGGATAATGGAGGCCTACGTTCCAAGTTCCTCCTCTGTGGCTCGTCTGTGCTGTCTCACAATCAATGCAAATATGTACCTATAAAATATGGCTGCACCAGTGGGAGCAATCCATTTAACCCGGCTGTGGTGGCTTGGGGAGCTCAAGCGATGGAGAGCCAGCTGCTGGCAAAATATTAACTTGTGCGCGATTCACGAACAAAGAATCAGAGGAGAGAAAATTCAGTTTTCCATCAGCTCTCGTTTCCGTGCTCTGGCTCTGAGTCAGCAATTTACGCCCAGAGTTCAGGGATCTCTCGCTCGCTCGCTCGCTCTCTGTCTTGAAGTCGGAGCCAAGGCTGCGTCTCAGCCATAAATCCACAGCTACGGCTTCAGAATGTGAAAAGAGAGAGAGACACAGAGAGGGTGGGCGTGTGGCAATAGACCATAATGGTAATCGCCCATGCAGCAGCAACAGCAGATCAGATCCATAGAGCCAGAGCCAGAGGCGCAGATCCGATCGAGCGGGGATTAGTGGGGACTGTGGAAAGATTGTTCTACAAATGGGAAAACTGACGGGGAGATAAATACGAGTACGAGTATGCAAAAAGAGTATGCATATCGCGAAACGGGTAATCAAACAAGCAGCCTTATAAGGTGGCAAATGGTCCGACGAGCCGGGGCCGCTAATAAAATTACTTAACAATTACCGAAAGTGAATTCAAAAAAAGTGAGAAGTGAGAACCCAGTGAGTTTCTGCGTATGTGTCTGTTGCATGTCCAATTATGGAGAAAATATTACCAAAATTGTCACTCAATGGGGCATTTGATTTCGGGCTTACTTCATAAACAGATGCTGACCCAAAGCCAACGATATACAGATACAGATATTGCTGCTCAACGAAGCGTTTTGCATTTGCCCGCAGACAGCCTTGAGATTTGCTTATACGGCCACAGCCGATCCACAGCCAACGCTAACCCATGAAGGCATTGATGTAGTGGAACTCTTGTCCCTCCCCAAATAGGTATTCGAGTAATGACAGTAAACCGGAAACATACCTACAATGAGATGGGAATTAGTAGAGGGGAACTTTAGTTGAATGAAGATTACACAATAAAGTCATATTCCTCCCCCCGCCGTGCCGTAAAGGTAAACAAAGTTAAGGTAAAGTCAAAGAAATTATTGATTGAATAAAGATACATTTATTCTTTGACTCCTTCCAAATCCTCCTTCCAAATCCGTATTAAGACCCAATTTCCATTTCTTCTACACCGTTTCAAATGCACTCCATTAATCATTAACCAATCGGACGGTCAGTGCCTTGGCGTATGACTCACGCGAAGTGGAAGCCCAAGAGATATGTAGATCCATACATGCAGGAAACGTGGCTCTTTAGGGCTTCTATAATTTAGGCACAAAAAGCCCACCCTTGCATCCAGGCATGGAATGCATTTGACCTGACATCTGGACGAGGAGGAAGAGGTGGAGGTGGAGTAGAGCGACACATTTGACAGATAGTGTTTCCTACTATGGCCTCTGTGTATCGGTGTATCGTCGGTTGGAGGGTTGCTTATCGTGTGTGGGCTGGCTGCATGCGTCAGCCGTCAACTCAGGGAATAACTCCTCCTCCTGTTCTGTTTTGTTCTGTCCTGTTCTGGCCCTTCATCTCTCTATCGCGAGTAGCAGCAGCGGATTAATATGGGCTCGTCTGTCTGCATTTTGGGTGCGGCCTGCTGCCGCCTGCATCAGCGGCTTTCTCCAGAGGTTCTACCATCCATCGCACCATTCATTGGCGGCGAATTAGATCCATCCATTGACTCATACTAAATAGGCTAGGCCCAGACCCATCCTCAAAGCCATAGCCATAGCCACATAGCAATTCAGGCCAGGCTAAGGCAATCAAAATCGACATTTAGTTTTATGGCCAACAACAGAAACAGAAAAACCGAACGAACATGCAATGTACAGAGTTCAATGCACTTGCCTCGGCGTCAGCCTCAAACTCCGATGCACTCAGATCGCGTGACTTGTTAAATATAGCATATAGAAACAGAAACAACACCTAGAGTGCGCCAGCAGCAGAGTGCGGCACGTGACGACATTATGGATAAAACGTATCCCCATCGCCCCGAACATAGGTATATGCACGGTAATTATACGATTTGGGGTCGTCGCTGCAGTCCGGGAGAGAGAGTGCGCCAGTGGACACATAGTCGCAGCCCGACACTGTATAAGAAACCCCCCACCCAGCACGTAGGATCTGCAATTACTCATCAGCCATCGAAAAGCAGCCATAATAATAATGATGATGATGGTAATAATCAAGTGCGAATCCAAACAGCTGCAGAAGAATAGTTCCAGCATGACTCAGGATTGCTGCTGCTGGTGCCACTTATAGACGTCTTATATGAAGTGCTTCCGAAAAACAAAAGGCAGCGCGCCATTTAAATCACAAACAGTTACAGTGGCGGCTCTATTGGAGGAGACACTGAAGAATGTTCCAGTGCACTCCATACAGGCAGAGGGAGATGCCCAGAAAGAGCGATTTTCAGCATGTTGTTCTAGTATTTTCGGGTACGCCAGAGGAGCGCTGTCCGATCAAGAGAGCCTTAACTGTGTTATAAAACTTATCAAACGGTACAAAAACACAAAGCGAGAAGAAGAGGCACCGGACCATAGGGGAGGGTTCAAGATGTTCACAGGGTAAATGCAAACTGGCACACTTGCTGGCCTTGCCCCGACAGTCACATGTGTGTGGGGTGTGCACTGTGCACTTAACTAGAACCACCACTGTACTACTGCCGTTCAAAATGGTAAAATGTTGAATTCCGGCTGCAGCTGGATCCCATCCCATGGTGCATTGATGGCTGACGGCGGGCGTATATCAAATATCGGTTGTTAAGGGCGTTTCCAGGGGGAGAGGGCGCCAGGAAACGCGTCCACAACAATAATTTTATAGCCTGATTCCATTTAACAGCTCCCGAAGCGCCAAAAGCGAAATATCAATATAGTGGTAAATGAAATACGAATCGAAAGCATAGCCAGAGATTCGGAACGGAAATGCCGGAATAAGAGTTAAATGGGAAGCAGCAAAGCCAAAAGAAACCGAAAGAGTGCAAAAAATGAAGGCGATAAACGTTTTATTGCAAATTTACCAAAGAACCACCAATACCAGTGACAGGCAATTGTTTGAATGTGTGCGCCCTACGCCTACATTACACTCATACACTCGTCATTTAGCCCACACCACACGCACACAGCCGCATCATTTGAAAATGCCGGCAAATTTTGTCCCTTGGAAACTTACTTGCTGCTGGACTTGTTGTCGCTGATATCGTAATTGGAAATCATCTTGCTGCGTTTGATCTGTGGGCTCCTGAATTACTGCTCAAATTTATAGTCACGAACGAACACGATTTAATCTAAACACACAACAAAATGCAACGAGAAACGCAAGAAAAGTGGACAAAACGCGGGCGGCCGTGGTTTCGTTGTGATCAGTGTGACCGCGGACTTATCGGCCAAATATACCGCCTGACCGTCAGAAATATACCGAAATATACTATGTGATTTTCAAAATATACCGCAAATATACTGACGGTCTTGACAATATGCATTGATATTCCTCGATTTTGATATTCGGTATAATATTACTAGCTAGTTAGCCCATTCCTCCCTTAATAATAAATTTTATTCAATTCCTCAATAAATTTTGTTCGGGATTGGCTAGTTTTCAGAGCTCCTTTTCATTGCATTGTTTACATAAAAAGGTTCAAAGAAAAACGGCCAAAGCATAAAACGTGAGTGTGAACTCCGGTCACATTCCGTCATTGTTGCTAGTCAACCAAGTATCTGCATGCGTATGGACCTTTGTATACCCTATTTCCTTTAATTAATGTGAAATTTGTTGTTCCAAGCTGCATTGAAACATTAATATTGTGTTTTTCTTAGATTCAGATGTTTTTCACCTATTAATGCAAATGTTTTGTGTTTTATAAATTCATTTATCCCGGTTCTGATACCTATTATTGGAACCCGTGAGCTGCCAAATTTCGTTAATATCTTGAAAAAAGAGACTGAGTAGTTTCTGCATTAATTGGAGCCTGAAATTACAAACAATACCTCAAGTCCATAATATCCATTTTCCCAAGGTATGCAGATTGTTGCTCATTCCGTGCCAAAGTTGCACAGCAATGCTGCTAATTCATTTCCCCATGTTGCTGAAATTTTTCCCATACAAATCAAATGTATCATACGGGAACGCGTATGGAATGACGCAACAATGAATCTTTATTCCATACGCGTTCCCGTAAGATACATTTGATTTTGTATGGGAAAAATTTCAGCAACATGCTGCCACACCACGAAAATGAGGGGAAAGTCTCCACAAAAACACTCTATTCTCCACTGAAAAGAGAGCACTCTCCACGAATTGAGAGCAAATTTTGCAAACTCTCCACGAATTGAGAGCGACTTTTGCAAACTCTCCACGAATTGAGAGCGAAAAATGTCAGTATTTTTTGTGCGCTAAATTGAGTTTGGCGGTCAATTTGAAATGTGTCTTAATATTTGGAAAAATAAATATTTCACTTGATTTGTTTTTTCGAGTGTGACTGGAACCTCAGAAACGTCATTTTCATTATATACCTTAAACATACCGAGGAAAATCATATTCATCAATTTTAATATTCCGTTTAATATTACCAGCTAGCTGGGACTCTCAGCCCTAAACAAATAATTTTATCCGATAGATACATAAATTTTTTAAGAGATTGGCAAGTTTTCAGAAGTCCTTTTTATTGGATTATTTACATATTAAGGTTCAAACAAAAACAGCATAAAACGAATTTGTCGTCGTTTTGTGGCGCTGCCAGACTCGTGCAATTCGTAGTTGCTGCGGGCTGCCATACCGTGATATTTTGTGATATGAAATTCGTCAATTTTTATATTCAGTTTAATATTACTAGATAGTTGGCCCTCTCAGCCGTAAACAAATAATTTTATCCGATAGATACATAAATTTTGTTCAGGATTGGTTAGTTTTTAGTACTCTTTTTCATTGGATTGCTTACATATTAGGGTTCAAACAAAAACGGCCAAAGCATACAACTTAAATGTTGACTAAATGTTACGTCAGTGTTGCTGGTCAACCAAGTATCTTCTATGCGTATGTACTTTTGTATACCTTATTTCTTTTAATTGGTGTTAAATGTTTTGTTCCAAGCTCCATTGAAACATTATTTATGATTTTATCCTAGATTGACATGTTTTTTACATATTAATGCACATGTTTGTGTGTTATAAATACATTTATCCCGGTTCTGATACCTATTATTGGTAGTCGTGAGCTGCAAAACTTTGTTAAAATCTTTAGAACAGAGACTGAGTAGTTTCTGCATTAATTGGAGCCTGAAATTACAAACAATATCTCAAGTCCATAATATCCATTTTCCCAAGGTATGCAGATTGTTGCTCATTCCGTGCCAAAGTTGCACAACAGTGCTGCTAATTCATTTCCCCATGTTGCTGAAATTTTTCCCATACAAATCAAATGTATCTTACGGGAACGCGTATGGAACGTCTCAACGATGTATATACGTTCCTACGCGTTCCCGTAAGATACATGTGGCTCACACCACGAAAATTAGGGGTAAGTCACCACGAATACGCTCTCTTCACCACGGAAAAGAGAACCAATTTTGAAAAACCACCACGATTTGAGAGCGAAAAATTGCAGTATTTTTTGTGCGCTAAATGGAGTTTGGCGGTCATTTTGAAAAGTATAATAATATTACTAGCTAGTTCGGACTTAAGCTTCAAGCAAAGAAGGTCAGCAAAAATGTCCATTTTTACATGGTAACTATACTTTTTCTCTTTCTACACACACAGTGCTCCAAAACACCAAACAATTAATATTGATACTATCGTATGAAAAATCAGTGCTGGACAACGGCGAATATATGCATATATATGTACCTACGCACACATACACACGCACACAAGTACAGTCGCAAGTGGACTCGAAACGCCATACAAAAATTATCTTAAAAACTAGCGACTAGCGAAAAAGAAACACAGCACAGCAGATCTTTTGCAGTCCAGTCCCTCTGGCGCACCGATTCGACAGATTCCAGCTCCTGGTCACTCGATGTGGCAGCGACAGCAGCCGAACTGACGCGCATCGAACCTTAACATGATAAATCCAATTGCATCCGAGTCGGAGGCCATCAATTCGGCCACCTATGTGGACAACTACATTGATTCCGTGGAGAATCTGCCGGACGACGTGCAGCGGCAGCTCTCCCGCATCAGGGACATCGATGTCCAGTACCGAGGTGGGCTATTCGAGCAAACTCTTTCTCAAATGCAGCATGAATTGATTTGATCTGTTGGCACTATTCGCAGGGCTGATACGCGACGTGGACCACTACTATGACCTGTATCTGACGCTGCAAAACTCGACCGACTCCAGTCGACGGTCGCGCAGCATCAACCGAATGCACCAATGCCTCATCCAGGCGCAGGAGCTGGGGGACGAAAAGATGCAGATTGTCGGCCACATGCAGGAGATTATCGACGGCAAGCTGCGGCAGCTGGACACAAACCAGCAGAACCTGGACCTGAAGGAGGAGCGCGACCGCTACACGCTGCTCGACGACTGCCCGGCTACAAAGCTGCAGAGATTACACAGCCCGATGCAGGACCAGGCGAACACGGTGGGCGGAGGCGCCGCTAGCAGCAGTGGGTTGAATGGAAACGGCCTGGGAGGAAGTGTGGGCGGATTTACAGTGAAGGATGAGTACGGACTGCCCGTGTATGTCGGCGTCGTTGGCGTGTCTAATCCGGGGACCATCATCTCTGGCAATGGCGGTGGCTCCACACCGAACTCTGAGCGCTCCAGCCACGGTGTCAGCAACGGTGGCCACGGCTCCAATGGTAATTTGGGCGCCAGCGGCGGCGGCGTTGATTTGCAGAGAGGGGGCAACAAACGCTCCCGGCGCCGCAACGAGAGCCTGGTCAACGGCAGCACCCTGGAGATGGGTGGCAACGAATCGAACTCAGCTAATGAGGCTGCTGGCAGTGGCAGTGGCAACGGGGAACGCAAGGGCTCCATGGGGAGTGCTGGGGCCAGTCAGCGCAAGGGGAACCTGCAAGGAACTTCGAGCGGTAGCCTGGCCAGTGGATCCGCTGGAACGAGCAGCGGAGGAGGAGGAACCGGGGCTGGAGGTGGTGGTGGCGGAGGAGGAGGAGGAGGCGGCAACAATTCGGGCAAAAAGAAGAAACGCAAGGTACGCGGCGCGGGCGCTTCGAACACAACAGCGAATGCACGCGAGGAGACGCCGCCGCCGGAGACCATTGATCCGGATGAGCCGACCTATTGCGTCTGCAACCAGGTGAGTGGAGTGGGTGAGATGAAATCCAGAACGAATGATCTAACCCTATTTCTATTGCAGATCTCTTTTGGCGAGATGATTCTCTGCGACAACGACCTGTGCCCCATCGAGTGGTTCCACTTTTCGTGCGTGTCCCTGGTGCTGAAGCCAAAGGGCAAGTGGTTCTGTCCCAACTGCCGTGGCGAGCGACCCAATGTGATGAAGCCGAAGGCCCAGTTCCTCAAGGAGCTCGAGCGGTACAACAAGGAGAAGGAGGAGAAGACCTAGGAATAGTTCGCAAGCAACCAAGCAACGCAACCCAACACCATACCTGTACCATTTTCCTGTGTCCAACACCAGGCGGTAGTACAGCAGTACTTGGCGCTGCGCTCTGTATATTATTCGACCCTAAGAACTTACCATAATGTATATTTAGTGTTTTGAAAACCCTCCTCGATCCCACTCGAACCTAGTTTGGTTCGATGGCCTGGCCTTCACATTGCTTTGTCGCACACTCACACCCAAAAAGCCGATCAGATCTGCCCCCTGCTTTACGGGGTCTGTTTTAGTCGTCTGTTTGATTAAAAGTTTCTGTACAAATTGTAACTTTCTCTAAATATAAATACATATATATTTAATGCGTACACAGATGTAACTTACTTTGCGGCTGCTGATATCCACATCTCTCGATGGCTTCGGGGATGCGCTCCAAGTACAAACACGCAGTAGATGTAGATGTCTTTACAAATAATTGTTTTTAATGGTCAAAAAGCAGACTAAGGCATTCGGTTCATATAATAGGTATTAGGTATATAATGGATGTGTATAAAGGTGTAAAATATATATTATTGTATATAAAACTATTTGGTAGGCATCTTGGTGTGCAATGGAAATGTATGTACTCTTATTACAAAACTGTCTCTGGACGGACTTTTGTTGCATGTCAAGTCTAAGTATTCTAAAATTTATTCGACCCTAGTTTTAGACTTCATCATGGCATCAGCAGCTCAATGTTTGGATTCTGGATTTGTAGGAAGATCTGGTACTGAGAGAACACAACCAGCCAGCAGTATATCTAAGGAATTACAGAAGAGTGGATAAGATACTGATGAGGGCATTTTTCATGCAAGTACTCACATTGTAGGCCATCCAGACGAAGTTAAGCAGAGCCGAAAAGGTTTGCTCCAGCTGTGGGAGTGGGGATAGAAAACATTAAATACAGAATAAGCTTTGTCCGGGTGTCTTTTCCTACTTACATAAATATAGTAGCCACCGATGAGCCACAGACTCCAGCAAAACTGGAAGAGAATGGCTAGGCCCACGAGACCAAGCCAGGGCAGCAGCCAGCCGCGAGTGCTGAGGAGGGAAATTTATAATAGCAACACTAACAACACAATAACTCCATTAGCTTATGGCACCTGATCTTAATCCCAAAGTACACCAGATAGGAGGCAAAAATTATCAGGAGAAAGTATATGATGAAGAAGCCGCCTGCTATGGGCATCGAGCTCTTGATATCCGTCTCGAAGAGTGGCGAATATAGCTGGGCCGACTCGCCGCCCGCAAGCATGTAAGCGATAATCGTGATCATCACCACCGAGAGCGCGGCCGTGTAAGCGGCCACAGCGTAGCTGCCCGTACGGACATTGTCGGACCATATAATGGGGGACCAGCAGGAGCTCAGCACCACCATGTTTCTACAATCACAGAACAGATCACAAGAGTAATGGGTCAAAAGGCTGTGTGTGAAACATGTTTGTTTAATTCATTTGGGCCTGTGACGCGCTGCCATCAGCGTCAACGCCCATATATTTTGGTCAATGAAAACCAACTCCAAACTCCAACTATTCACCAGTTTTTCGTTGATAAGCCAATCTAGAGTAGCCTTCGACTAATTACACACACTTTCTAGGGCGTGGGGCGTGGACGTAGCTTACTTGTTTTTAAACAAAATTAACTTCAATTAAGAAATAACAAAACGGGATTAGAGTGGCTGCACAAAATATACCGAAAAGTGTATAACATACCGTTAGCGGTCACACTATACATTAGGCCCAAAAATCCCTAGCGCGGGAAAAATAGTAGCAGAAAATAGCATCGGCAGCACTGGCACCTGGTGGCGCGCGCGATCTTCATTTTGTTTTTGCTCTTGGCCAGATTCGGAGGTGTAAGGTGATAACGTGAACGAACGTTTCCCGCGATACAGATACGTAGAGAGTTGGCAGTGAATGTAACAGCGGATCAAGCGGGATTAATTATAATTTGTGTGCTGTGTGTAAACCCCGTATAATCAGCTACGGTACGGTAGAGGAGGTGAAAAATAGCCCTTAAGTAGCAGACGCCAAACACGTCTCCGCCCGTGGGCAAGGTCAGGCTCCGAATAGGAGTACACTTGCAAAGTACGTAGATCTGTGCCGCCTCATTAATGTATGATTAAGTTAACCCACTGCCGTGAAAGTTCTTTGAAATTATAAACACATGAATATGAATGTGTAGCCGACATGGACTCACGTTCCAATTGTAACGAAGCGCAATCATTCCCCAGATGTACATATCGTACATACATACGTATGTACATATTTATGTATATTTTTGGGCCAATTTCTCGCTCGAGATGTGGGCTTAAAGTGCACCGCGGCACCACCTAAAAAAGGTTAATAATTCGTGCCAATAATATTGCTCTGGGGATCTCTTATGGGGAGAAGGCTTGTGTTTTGAGTTCACTCTTTCACAAAGGTGGACGGGGGGACATGGGCCCCTAGCAAGAGGAGGGCTGAGACTGCGCGCCGACCCATATTTCGTATTTCGATTTCATTTCATTTACGAAAATAAAAATAAAACACGAAATATCAGAAAGAAGGAAAAAAGGCAGCAGCTCTCCGATAGCGCACTGTCCGTATGTGCGATGCTTAAGTGCGGGCAAATAAGTAAAAGATATGCCATAAAAGACAGCAGCACACTCGTATGTGTATTTTGAAGATACTTTTTTGTGTTGTGTTTTGGTTTGTGCCACTCTTCTTCTCCCTCTCTTGGCTGTCTCCTCTCTTCGCCGATCTACGTTTTGTTTTGTTATGCTCTTTCCGGAGAGTTGTAAGATTTTGACCAGCATCTTTGGACACATTAAGTATGGACATGTTCCTGATCTTTATAAGATTAATAAATCTGAAGATTTTCCAACCGTACTTTCTTTTATTTGCTTCCTTTTTTCTAGGTAAGGGAACATTTATCAAGTGTTGGATATTCATTTAATATGCGAGTATATGTATTAGGGCAAGGGTAGGGTGTCAAAAGCTTCTACCCACAGAGCAGAGCTTGTTTTCCCTCTCGGGTTTTATTGTTGGTGTTGACTGCTGCTGCCTGCTGCTGCTGCTTTTTGGCCCGCTTCGATGTTAACTTGTTTAGTGTGGGCCGCAGTGGGAGCTCTTTTGCCTTTTGTTTTGTCTGGCTTTAACTTTTATTACTATTATATTGTTATTGCTGTCTGCTGTGCAACGGTAAAGGACACTCGGCGGTGTATTCATATGTAAATGTAAATGTCTTCTCCCTTCCGACTGGCGCTGCCACTCAATTGAATTATGTAGAGATGTGCTCCCTGTGCCCCATCCACATTCACTGGCGGTCAGCCAACAGCTGCACCTTTATCGCTCCCACTGGATCTAGGCGCTCCAGCGACAAAAACGAGACGCGCGCCAGGCCTGGGGATATTTTTAACTCTTCATTCGCGCAGGCTTAATTCCTGTAGCAGCTCCAACTGCAAAGAGGAGATTGCGGAGACTGCGGCTCTACTTAATGTCTGCAAATAATCCAAATTGGGGCTTAGCCGCAGATACTCGAACAGTTTGGTGAGGGGGAGGGGGGGGAGGGGAGGGTGGGATACGGAGAGCAGATGCTCTCGCTGATCATCTCCAGCACTTGTGCATTCGATCATTCGACTTGTGCATTGAGGTGAGAGGAATTCACCAGACTCCACTCCTCCTTGCTCCCTTCCCCTCCCAGTCCAATCTCCATTTACCATATTTCTCATGGGGCTGGGTGTCTGGTCTACCAAAGTTAGACAAACAACGGAGATGCGTTGGAAAATTGGGGACTGGGAACGAGCCGAAGTCAAAGTCGAATCGAGTGCCATTTGCTTTGTGGGACAAGTTGTAGTCAAATAATGACTATATTAAATAACAGTTAGCAAACATTATTGCATTGGCCAAAGGCGTTGCATAGATCTGCCCGAAGGCACACGACAGGCAGGCAGATAGCCAGACAGGCAGAAGCGTCAGAGACACAGTCCAGGGGCAGAGTCCAGTGGAAGAGGCTGCGGCTGAGGCTGAGCCTGGTGCCATTTGAACGCTGTTGGAAATGGCAGTAATGTGACCATTTAAGACCTCTTTCTGATGTCTTATGGAGTGAAAACGTCCTGCTGTGTGAAAACAAATTATAGGCATGTAATGTTGCATGTTACGTCGCGACTCTCTGCGACAGCGCTTTCGAGCATCAATGGGACCGGTGGGGCACAGTGAGTTCGGGCAAAGATGGGGACCGGACCGGACCGGCAGGCAATGGCTGTGGCTGTGGAGACGGAGACCGACACTCAGACCAAGACCCAAGACCCAAGACTGAGACGGTGACTCTGAGGCTAAGCTGCCAGCCACACTCAAAAGTTAGCCCCGGTCCCGGGCCAGTGGGGGGATTTTGACTGGGGCTCTAGCTCCAGCTCTGGCTCTGGCTTTACGCTGATGCTGGGACTGGGATTGATGCAGGGGTTCCGTCTTGTCTTGGCTCTGTATGTGTGTGTGTGTGTGTGTGTGTGTGGTGTGCTGGCCTGGTCTCTAATGCTCTCTAACTGCTTATCAGATTTGTTCGGATTGCGCAAAAAACGATTTCTGTTTTCCTTTTTTCCCCACTCGCGTCCTCGTTGCCCCCTTCTGCTGTGAGGTGAGTAGTACTCCTCAAAGAGTGTGCCTGGCAACTATTGTCACTCTGCTAGAACTCGAACACTTTCAAATACTCTCTAAAATGTCTCCTCACCATAGCAGTCCCCAAAACTAAAATTGAAATAAGATGCTAGCAATTTTAGTATATGTACTAAATATTTATGTACATACATACATACATAGCTCGTAGCTACCCCCAAAAGGGCACCGAGAATTCGTTGTGCTCGCTCTCTTTGTTATCTTTAGTAATATACTTATTTCTTGTTTTCTTTCTGTCTGTCTGTTTTGGATTTCAAAACAACGAATGCGATTGCGACGCCGCATTTAAACGAGCAGCGCTGGCAGTCCGCAGTTTTGCCGTCGTTGGAGCCATGATGCTGTTTTAGCCGTTGTTATATTGGCAAGACAGATTCAGATTGAGCTTAGAGTCGAAAATAAAGTAATGAAAAGCTCAGCTCAGCCTGCTGCAGACTGGCCGACTCCAACTTCGACTCCGACTCCTGCCGCCCCACCCTACAGCTCCATGTTAGTTTAACACTCTGCATGAACTTTTATTGCCTAGCTGTGGGTCTGGGCACTGGCACTGGCACTGGCACTGCGACTGTGCCTCAAGAGTCTTCCCGGCACTTCCCGAGGCGAGGTGAGAAAGTCTAAAACTGTCGCTGGAACAAGTGTGGTCTGATCTGGGCTCTGCAGTAGTCTGCAGTTCGGGAGACGGAGCCCATGGCCATTACAGAGCCTCATACATACATATATAACGACGTCGTCTCTGCCAAAAGAGTTCAGCGCTTCATCGCTGGACACGCCTTCAGCCGACTAAACTAACAGCTCCAATCGTTTCTTCTCTTTTTGGCAATTCACATGTTACTGGTGCCTGGTCTGGTGGCTCCGGGAGACCAGACCGCTTCAAGATGATGAATGCGGCAAGGCAATTTGAGTGATACTCACGACCTCGTCAGTAGTTAGCTGAAACCACGCCCACTCCGCCCCAAAATGCTATCCATCTGCATCTTTGCATGCATTTAGTTCGAGCAGCAAATGAAGCATTTGGGGCGGCCTGAGAGGAGGACAGAGAGAGAGAGAGAGTGGAGTTTGGTGTGGTGTGGAGTGCACAGGGAAACCGAAAATTAGGAAACGACGATGATCGAACTTTGATGGGAACAACTCTTTGCATATATCATCGTGGAAACGGAGTTTACATAATTGAAATAAATCAAAGCGAAATGAGAATAACTTTCATATTATGTGGTGGGGTAATCGGGCATCTGGAATAGGGAAACTGAAAATGGGCTAAGGAAATGCACATTCATACGTATGCGTTTTCGGTGAGCTCTTCACACAGAACAGCAAAAGCGTATTTATTTCCTGAAACATAAGTACATAATACAACCTAAATAAATAAATTCTAACCTGATCCCCAAAAAGATATCCTCCTCCGATTCGTCTCCGATTTGATTAAATAAAGAACCATTTAGCTGAAAGCATTATGAAAGTTGTGGTTGTTGCTGTTCCTGTTCCTTGGCCCCGATCTTCAATCTGCTGAATCTGCTGATTGTCGGAAATTTATCCCCAAATCGATGTAACAATCGGCGGCTGTTGTTGCGGGCTCAACTTTGACTCTTGACGGGGTCGGGTCTTCCTGCACGGCACACGGCACTAAACTGCACTTTCATAACACAATTTATCGCTGTCTGCCGCTGATACAAGGCACCAGATACAAACTACAAAATGCGGCTCATAAAAACTTAAATCGAGTTAAGTTCCGCTTCATTGTTCGGTTCGGCCAGTCTGAAATGCTGAAAAACTGAAAACTGAAAAACTGAAGACCGAAAACCTCAGAAAAAACCTCTGTTGAAAGAGAAACCAACAACAAGACGCAAACAAATTTAATATGTACTAATTGAATGTTGTGCACTGCAGATCACTCCACTCCACTCCTCTCCCATTTGTATCTGCATCGCTTCTACATTAAGTTTTGCAGTTCGGAGTTCAGCGAAGTGAACTACAGGGTCAGATGCTCGTGAAAGTAAGCTCTTAGCTCTGGGTGCCCGTGCCCAATCGAAAACCAAAAGTGAAATGTCGATCTGTGCACCGCACTGACTCACTGATATAATTCGAGTGTTTCTCCAGGTTCAGTATATTCTTAATCGTTCCCAACTGAATGCTGAATGCATCTGGAATTACGCGCCTGTGCTTCACAATCTAGTATAAAGTCTCCCTCTCCTCTCTCTCTCTCTCTCTCTCTCTCTCTCTCTCTATCTATTAATATATATCTATGGCCAACGATCGCCGGCTTTGCCTCGAGGTGTTGGTTACCTTTCTGTGGTTTTCACAGGTGCTTCGCACTTACCTTTTCGATTGGGGCTTGGCCAGTGCCACATGCCGTGGAATCTCCCCATAGACTCTCATTCGAATTCTGAATGGAAGTGTCGGATGTCTCTAAGTGATTCTGCCTGCTTAAACCAACCTGAACTTGAACTGTGAGATACTATTTCAAGCTAGTTAATAACACGAAAGAAAGAGGAGACCTTTCCTATGGCAGGCATGTACGAGTATGGCATACGAGTGTCTATTCGATTTGGAATATCTTTTTGTTTTTTGTTTTGTTTGGGCCCACTCTTGATTTCAATTCAAGTTCAGGTGCCGCCCTTGCCTACTATAAAGAGAAATTCCCTCTGGAGGTGCTGAAGGGGTCTGAATGTGTCTGCTCCTAGTCCCATCATACGAACACATCTCCAGCCGGAGGATCCGATCCCGTCCCCCTGCCGCTGTCATGCTGAGTGTTGGATGCAGGCGCTGTTGCTGATGTGCCATTGAAACGCTGCGCAGATTAATCATAAAGTCCATAACAAAGAAGTTTTACATGCCCGAGCAGATGGGGGATTGGATCAATGAGGGAACTTGCAGCACGGGGCATGCGGTAGGGGGCTGTCACTTGTCAGTCAAAGTGGCACAAGCAGAGGGCAGGCCAAAGCGGAGGCTTCAACTGTGAAATAGTTACAAAAAAAAAGGAGAGAAAAAATAGGTGTTACCTCGGGACCATAGCCAGCATGGGGCATAGCGCGTTGTCAGGCTTAATTGTTATTATTGCTCAGAGATGGGGCACTGGGCGATGGAGATGAGGATGAGGATGAGGCATGGATATGGAGATGAAATTGGAAGTGGCGGAGAGGCTTCTGCAGCTGACAGCAAAATGTTCGCAACATGTCAAAACTTTTATGGTTTTTTAATGGTCCTCTCCGTATAGATTCAGGCAGAGTAGGAATTTAATTGAATTTCTGTTTGTTCTATTAATACTCGTTATGTGCTTATACTCGTATCAAGAGTCTCTTTCTTTCATATAAACATATCAAAGGAGGATTATTGTATCTGTAGACGGAATGCCAACTATTCATTCATTGTTGTTGCAAATGTAGAACTTATTTTTGGAGCTCTTTCATCTTGGCTATTTCTGCAAGGGAATCAATTTGTGGATTTTCTCGGAGCTTACATCTTGTACGTATATTAAATCTTCGAATATTTTCTCTTTTTGGAGTAAGTCTTACTTACAACTTGTTTATCTCAAAATGGGTCTCTGAATGCTGATTGCTGACTGCTGACGTTTGTTTTGCCAGGCCGCCTGATCTTTATCTGTCGCGGGCTTATCTGATCTGCGATGGTATTCCACGGGCAAACACTCGAAAAAAAATGTACACACTCGTATATGTATTTATCCAGAAGCTCTGGTCTGTGGTCTCTGGGAGTATGACAGTTATATGCTTAAGTCGGAAAGCTGCAAAGATTTGCCTCCATCTAAATGTGATACTAACTCGAAGCAGCTGTTGCCCCTCCCGTCCCGTCTGCGCTGACCTTGAGTAGTTTCTAATTACCCGATACAGATACAGATACAGATATAAATGCATCTGTATCTGTATCTGCATCTGCTGTTGGTGTAGACAAGTGCAACTTCGGCTGGATGATAACGAGAGCTTTGTTTAGACATTTAGATCTGGTCGGGTATTTATAGATGCGTATGGATGTGTGTATCTGTGGCGCTGCATTCCTGAATGATTACGCCGCAAAAGATACATTTGTATCTCGAGAAATCTCAGCTAAAAAATTCTTTACACAAAATTCAATGTACACACAAGCCCACGGGACACATATACACATAGATGTGCCATCTACAGTCCGTTTCATGGCAAAAAAGTATTCTTAAGAAAGAAAAGTTTGTCTTTCTTTAATATGCGATAAATTTTGGTTTTCCTTATGCTTTCGTTACGCATTGTCCGTACACGACACTGCAATTGTTTCGCCATGAGCATCTTTCACTCAAAAGTATCTTTATATATTTTTGGTGTGCTTGCGGAATGATATTTTGGGGGCAGATGCGGATGCGGGACTTCCCACGAAATGATTTCCTTCTGTTTCTCGAACACTATTAGTAATATTGATAATAATAGCTACTGATAATATAGTTCGATTGATAAAGACTGATCCGATGATCCGAGGAGACTCGCATAGTATATTTCGGCCCCCAACTACCAGCAATACCACGAGTCAAAGTCCTCCTGATAAACTTCCTCAATGAACGTAGGAGCGTCCCAAACTCTTGTCAGTCGTTTTTGTTCGCTTAAAGAAAAGCCCGACGACAAGTAGTCCGGCTACTTGGAGATGTCTTCGAGTAGTGCTTGCAACATGCTCTGCTGTTTGTTCAACATCAATTAAGCTTATAAGAAAGCAAGCTGTGCTCAACGGATACAAAAAACTCAGCTCAGCTCAGCCTCAGCCTCAACGAAAAAGTCTTCCTCTGAAACAAAGCCCCGCAAAGAAATGCAACCGAACCCCGAAAGACAATGGGGATTGCAGTGGATGCACTGCAAAAAAAAGGTAGAGAAACTAACCAAACATATTTAATGACACTCAAAGATAAAAAAGGGAGAGAGGAGGAAAGTTAAGAAGGGGAGCTGGGATGGGACTGTCATGGTCATGGCTCTGCAACGCTCTGCTAAAAATCCGCATGCGTAACACTCGGGGGTTTTTCGTTTGAGGAAATCGAAAGGCGACAAAAGAGCGATACCCTGAAGGGGAATCTTAAACGATGAAGGAGTAAAATATCTTTTGCAATGGATTTGATGCCGTTCCATGAAATTGTGCCTCTCGCCTTAAATTTTTATTTCCGTAACGCTCTGTACTGTACTCTCCCGAACGCTTAAAAATGAAGAATGCGTCGCACTGTCTAAAAATAGACGGGCGTTGTGCTTTATTTTTGAGGCACTGAACTTTGCGGCACGTAGAATCGACCAAATCGGGACTCATGAGATTGCAGTACACTTGAATCCTTTTTGCAGCTATACCCAGAGATACATATGTGTGTACATTAGTTCCCTATTAATAGATCCTCCGATGGGCAGGACAATGCCGATGCACGGATGCATTAAATACGATACGATCCCCAAACCAACGAAATACGAGAGTCTCCCAATGAAAACGATAGCTTGTGGGATAGCTGGGAATGGAAGCACTTGGAATAGGTATAAAAGTAATGGAATGAACGAGTATTAGCATGGCTGATAAATATCATTATAAGATGATAATCTGCATGTCTTTTTTACGTTACTTTCGTTGCATGCTTTTGGGCGAACTCTTGCTGCATGCACCCTGTAATTGTATTACGCGTGACTATATCAGGCCATTTCCGACCATTGCCTGAACAAACTAATTTCCTGTGTTGCCTTATATATTTAATTTACGAGTAATAACATGTTTTCCTCTTCCATTTATCCAATTATCCACTTGACTTTGCAACTCCCAATCTAACTGCTCCACTTGCGCTTTCAGGGTCAGAAACAGAGACCTAAGGACAGATCCCATCACTTTCTCGCTATCATCCGAAGAAGGTAACACCGTGTTAAGGAGAAGACCAAGGAACAGTCGCCTCAACTACTGCTGCTGCATGCGGCACTCGAGTCGGACTGTCGACAGTGAAATAAATAATCTCGAAGGAGAAGCCACAATTTCTGGTAGGAAATATATCCTTACCTCAAATGAAGCCCCAGATACAGAATTGCCTCTCCCCTTTTCAGCTGATCAACGCGTATCCCATCTGGCCCCACTGAAGCTCTCCAGTTCCCTGCCTGCCACACCTCAGCTGGGAGAGCGAGGAGTGCGTGGACGTGGCTACAAGAAGTTGTCATGGAATGAGGAGCTGCCCCGACAACATCGAACATCAACAATGATCACTCATGGGCAGGAGTCCAGGGCCAGGCCACAGCTCTCCTATCAGCAACTTAGCAACAACAACAACAATGAGAAGGAGTACGATCCCATTGCCAAATACTTTGACCAAACGCCGAAGCCGAAACAGAAGCAGCATCCGCAGCAACAGCTGCAAGAGCAAAAGCTGTTGCCGCCGAAAAGCTCACGGATTTTGTGCGAGAATTGCTGCGGGGAGAGGCATCAACAAGTTGGCAGCGCCACGGATCGTCTGCCGCTGCCCCAGGGTCTGCCGTTGGGGGACTGCGATTCAGTGTCCGATTTGTCGTCGTTCCGCTTTGTCTTCCACGGGGAGGAGGTAGATTCCAAAAGGCGCGTATTAGTCGATGCTCATAGTCGTAATGATGATGATTATTATAATGATGATGTTGATGCCGTTGACGGTGACGATGACGCTGCGCGTCGGCCGGTTATAGAAATAGAAAATCGGGAGCCAAATACATCAGCTACAAAAACGGAAAAGTCAACACCAGCAACAGCAACAGCAACAATAACAGCAGCGGGAGACGCGTCATCTGAAATCAGCGACGAGTCAGCGGCAATTTGTTGTTATACAATTGACAAAAAACCGTCACAAGAGCAGCAGCAGCAGCAACTACAGCTTCTTGGACCCTACCCGGCACTGCAGCACTACAACTCCTCGGCGACAGTTAGCTATCGGAACTATCAGCAGCCAGAGCCAAGGTGTCCTCCGCCTGTACCGCCCAAGCCACGCGTCTGCCTGGACTCGACGAACAGAAGCGATGAGCCCGCTCTGAAGACCCGCCGCTTAGTCTGTCCAACACGAATTTATCCGGCGACTAGGTCGCCACATGTCAATTGCTGCATCCGCAAGGGCTTTCCGCCGTACGACTTCGAGGGGAACAACAACAACTACAACTGTAAGTTCGGTTCGAGTGGGGGTCCTCCGCGATCGCTAGTCTACGATCGCCACGGACGTCTGACCTTCGACTCGGAACCGGAAGTGGAAGTGGCCATAGAGCAGAGCCGCCAACGGGCGAACGGTGTGCGCCAAAAGTCGCTAAGTGAATCTCGATTGCCTAGGACAGGAGAGCATCCCAACCTACAGCAGTACAGAGAACTCCAAGTTGTCTCCGATCCGTATCCAGATCTCTCGGGACTGACTACTGAACAAAGTTTGCATAATCGAGGATGCAGTGCCAGAACTCAACCAGTGAATCCAGCGAACACATCAACCTCGGAACAGAACCACAATCCAAACGAAATCAAATTCAAGTCGAATAATCTACTCCTTCCCTGCAATTGTAATCCCCATGTGGATTATCTGTGCTCTTCTTTCAACACGGAGAACAGGGTAAGTTCTGCACATTAATGATTGGAGTGAGGTGAGGGATGGTTGGCATGACATGTCATAGACATAGACAATAACGAATGGGATACGATCGAACAAGAGTTACAGCAAAGTGAAGCAATATAATATTGGATATGAGTATGAAAGAAATTAATGAATCAATAAAACAAAAACACACTAAATTGGCAGATAAACAAGTGTACAATATATACCTAGTATTTGTATATATGTACATATGTACATATCCATGTATGTTCTTTAACCTCGATGGCAAACCATTCATCAGCGGAACTGTCAGGGCGTGCAATTTTCGGCGATAAACCTTTTGTTTTTGATCAACTTTTATTGATCCCATACTTTATATATGGCCGCTTTTCGTTCAATTGAGGGAAAAGTTCGCTCCAATAGAGAACGCCTCGTATACGGATGGAGGTATGTAGGGATGGATGGATGAGACCGATGATGCCTTGGTACCACCTGAAACGCACGTTCTTGTACTCAAAGTCGGAGAGATCGAGAGAATTACGGATTTATGGTTGCATTTGTGTTCGTTCAGACAGATAAAGAGAGAGAGGGAGAGAAAGTATTGTTCGAGAGAGATATCTTTGCTGGTATTGCTCTACTTTTGTGTTATTTGTGTGAATCTTTTAATGTGTGCACTGGAAAAAATGAATGGGGAAGTGTGTTTCATTTGAAGGAGGATCATTCTGCACAGCTTGCTTAGATATTATAGATACATATTTTATAAATCTCCCATAGTTTCCGTTACGGCCAATATTATTTTATTTTATGGAGATATTCTTAAGAAGTTGGAACAATGATATAATTTATTGATTTTTATATATTAGCTACGATTAGCTAAAGATCTCCCCCATAGTTTTTTTTAAGTGGATTGTAAGTTTGTCTGTCCGCTCCGCTCATTCATTTTTCCCATTCGCAGCCAACGATCTCTTTTATGTTCTGTATATTCTGTCTGTATATATATATATATATATATATATACATAATCTTACATATATATATATCCAAATACATATAGATATATGTATGAGGAATACGTACTTTTATATTTTCGAGAGATCTGTTGTTTATACTAAAAATATCACTGTATGCGTATGTATACAAGATTCTGCTTCTGCTTTATATATAGAGCGCTATAGAACTGTTGCTGCTGCTCTATGACTTGTCTTACATTGTGTGTGCATGGTCTTCGTTCCGCTCCTCTCCCGATATTTGGGGGTTCTGTTCTCTGGGTTGTGGATGGGATCGCTATGGTGTGGTATGTGTGTCATTGTGCAGTGAATTTAACGACGCTGTGCGGCAGGGTAGGGGTGAGGCGCCTAATATAACGAAACTAGAATGCATAGAGTATAATGCATGCCCATCTTCCATTCCATCCCATGTAATTAGGAATGCTGATTATGTCTAACTATATTGATCCCATATTACACATACGCAGCGTTGACTCAATTTGTTCGCCTCGCTCGAATCGTGTTGAGTTTTGTTTGTTTTTAATTTCGGGAGGGTATGGGGGGATGGAAGTACGCCCACAGCTAGTCCATAAAAAGACACACACCCAGAGGGGGGGAAGAGTGAATCCGATGGTGAATAATGAATATTTAACTCATTTAATTCCTGCAGCACACAATGGAGAAACGACGTAATACCCTAGACCGGATACAGCGCCTGGGATTCGGTCGCAAATCCTCCCCATCTGCCATCGCCGCAGCAGCAGGGCCGGAGAAGCAGTGCAAGACTTCAGAGCGTTCCGAGCGCCTCAAGGAACTGACGGAGCTGCTAAGAGGCACAGGGGGAAGCAGCTCCAGAGCCTCCTCCACGCCCACACCGCCGCCGCCACCACCGCCAGTGCCGCCACCGCGAAAACCGCGTGGCACCTACCTGGAGCGCCAGGACACGGGTGCCAGTCAGACATCTGAAAGCAGCAGCGATGCCAACGCAAGGGGCGGCAGTATCAGCACTGCCGCCCGCCTCTTTGCCTCACTCAAACCCAACACAAGTCTCTCCAACCTGGAGGCCTTCATGTTAAGCAACCGTGAGAAGTCCAAATCTCCGCCTCCATCGACGCAGCAGCAGAAGCAGCAGCAGCAGCGTCATACTCAGCAGCAGCCGCAGCAGCGACCTGTCGGGAGATGCGTAGATGCTTCAACGCGAAGCAGTAGCGAGAGTACGCCGCAAGCATCGAGACCGGAGCCGCGGACCATGATCGGTTCGTATGCACCAAAGGGAATTCCGTTTCGCTCCGTTTCGTTCTCGCAAATCGACTGCAAGTCCACGCTAAGCGCCCTGAGGGATCGCCTGAGGCGTGACAAGGCCATCGAAGAGCCCAGCCCCAGTCCAACGCATTCCAGGGAGAGGGAGGAGTCGGCTCCAGACACGGGTCCGGGTTGGGTGCACATTCCTCTAAAGAAGACAGAGCTGAGCATCAACCTAAATTACGGACAGGAGAAGTCACTGGACCACGACTCCATCCAGGAGGAGGACATTTTTAGCACAGAGGTCTCTGGCAGCAGTTCGGGGATACTGTTCCCAGCACCGGCCACCGCCAGCAGCGTGATAGCCGCCCATGCCACCATGGAATCCCTGACGGACACTATTCAGTCGGAGAGCGACTGCCTCATCAGAGAGGAGATCGTGCCCATCATTGTGCAGCCTCTGGAGGTCACGCCTCCCCCCTCCACAGGCGGAAGTGCCCCCAATCTGGCCACGCTGATGGAGGAGCAGCTGCCACTAGAGTCTCCGCCAGACAACTTCCTGCAGACGGCCACTACATGCGAGATCCCCGTGCCCGTGTACGAGTGCGCTGCACAGGAGTGGCTGGAGACGCCCGCCCAGGAGTGGGTGGAAGTGGTCCCGGAGACCATTCTGCCCCCAATTTCGCACGCGGCGTGCAAGGTGTCACAGACAGAGTCTACGCTTACCACCGCCGTAAGGAGCGACCTGGTCCCTACCATATCGGTGAGCCGCTCCTCGGAAGAGGGCGATGGAGTTGCCAGAATAGACGATGCCCCTCAAGTAGAGCTTGCGACGACTGCCAGGAATCCCACGCAAGAGCAGCCACAGCACTGCAAGCAGTACAGCCACGAAGACCTGGATCTGTCCAGCCCTGAACTGCGCAGCTCACTGGAGACCGTAGCCACTCCCCGGCACAGCACGGACGAGCGTCAGAGGCGGCATTTGGATAACTCCACCAAGCGGAAGGGCATGTATATCGACAACGCCGACTGGCAGGCACCGCCAGAGGCAGTCACCCATCGCGGATTAGCATTAGACATCAGTGTGACCAACCTCAATGCCATTAAGCCCGAATCGCCGGACGCCCACTCCTCGCAAATCTACATCAGCAGCCCCATCAGCTCCTATTCCTTCGAACTAAACACGCCCGAGCTGGAGAAGAGTGCCCCATACTGGGGCAGCGGGTCGCGCGACAAATCGCAATTGCTAAGCAACTTTAGCTGCCATAGTAGCGAGGAGAAGGACGACGCCTCCAGCAAGAGTCTCAGCTTCCTACGCAACGATTCCATCTCCGACAATGAGTGCGACCGCATAGCCAGGGATCGCATCACTTCCAGTCCCACTCCCTCCTCCGGTGACTACGACTACAAGCGATTCTCGAAGCGCCCTCTGCGCGGACCCTACGGCCAAATGCTCGAAGCGGAGATGAAGAAGCCCAACCGGATGCACTTTGAGGAGATCCTCGAGGAGCTGCGTGAAACAGACAGGTACATGAGCTGTGATTAGCATATTCGCGCTGCCGGATGAAACTCACCTGCTTTCTACTCTTTCAGCTTGCATCTGCGAGGAGCTGCTGGTGTTTCTGGCCCCGTTGGTGTGTCGAGTGGTTCCTCCCGCCCCAATATGCCGCAGTATTCCAACTCGATGCGGGTGCGAAAGACGAGCACGTATCTTCCAGTGCCCTCGCATGCCCGGGCCGCGTCCACCCCTTCGCAGCTGGAACACACCAGCAAGGGAATTGCCTCCGCTGCCCCAATCTCCGTATCCGCCAAGAACCTAGGGGAAGCGGAGTTGGTGCACCACATGAAGCGAGCCGCGTCCGAGGCGCCGGCCCCTAAGACGCACCACAGCAAGCGTAGCCAGTCCATGAGTACGGAGCGGCCCAGCCAGCATCAACATCACGGCCACGGTCACAGTCACGGTCACGGACATAGTCATCATCATACGGCCAAAAGACCCCTGGATGCCAATTCCAGTGGCAAAACAAAGACGGCTCCTGCTGCGGCGGGTCCAACGCTGGACTTGAAGCCAACGCCAGCTCTGCTGGCGGAACTTTTAAAAGGCTCCAGCGAAAATATGCTATCCGAGCAGCGCCAGAAAACAATTGCGGTGAGTTTAGATTAGAGCTATCATTTATTGGAAAATTATTTATTTGTTGGAGAATGGTTATTCCCAAAAATTCCAGTTCCAGTCAGATAAATAAGTTACATACATATGTACATAATTACTGCTGGTCTTCTCCTCATTGCGCTATTATGTATACTACTGTTATTTAAGCGGATTTCCAACGCCTCGCTTGAATCCTAAGTGCGTGATTAGACATGTTAGAGCATGTCTGCACACGTCGATTTCTCTGTTCTCTTTCCCATTTTTGCTGCTTTCGAGTTCAAACGCAGTTTCTGTCGCTGCGATCACCGTTGTTTTCTTGCTGATTTGTTGTATACACACACACACACACACACATTCGTCTGTGCTTTTGTTTTGCTTTCAAAGTGGAAGTGCATAGCGTCGCGGCGTGGGTGTGAGCAGAGACGATGGCAGTGGCAGCGACAGCGGCAGCGGCAGCAACGCCTGCAGAGGAGGCAATGTGAAGTCCAGTACGCAGGCGCCAGGAATAGAAAAACAACGCTGGGCATTGGAAATGTGTGTTAGTGTGTTAGGAGAATTCCGTTCCAGGCACAGTGGTTGTGGAGCAGACTTTTTTTACAGTTTTACAATCGCAGCAAAGTGCCATTGAGCGATGACTGAACTAAAGTAGTTCCCAACTTTTGGATTAGTCATACCCACTATACATATAAATTCAACAGTCCGCGTTTTATGAGCCTCAGAAGGCAGCCATGACGGCTGTTGAAAGTTTCAAGTGCTGTAAAAGTTTTAAAATACATACATATGTACATAAGTTCAGAGTACAACCGACTTTCCTGTTCAGACACTTGTCGCATGCAAATATAACATAACTCTCGGGGAATCGCTCTCTTCCTCTCTCCTGCACCTGGCCACTCTCTGAGAGGCACGAGTAAGGTATGACAGATGGAAGGTAAGGCTGGCATATATTCCCTCTCTCACATTTGCAGTCACAGTCGGACTGTCGCTCTGAGACCTCCGCTCCTTCTGTTTAATCTACCTTGCTGTGGGCATTCCAACGGTGTACCACCCCAACAGCTGAGTATGGCGCGGGTTTGGGGGGGGAACTATGTTTATGGGCTAGTTTCCTGCTGCCGCGCTGCACCATTCACATGGATAATTAATGTTTGGCTACACAAATCCAAATTTTACTACGAAACTCTTTTTTCCCAACCACACACAAATGTGTGTGTGTGTGTGTACAGTGGGTGGCAGGGCGGCTGCTGCTGCTGCTGCTGGGTTTTCAGTGTTGCTTGGAATATGAAAAATGGAAATTAAGTGTGTATATGGCACAATGGAATGTTTTCAGCGAGTCGAGTGGCGGCGCGCACTCCTGTTCGCTGTCCATACAGACCATACACCCATTGTGCTCTTCTCTCTCCCGCGCAGTAGCAGCATAAGCACAATCAGCCGACCACCGAAGCGTTCGTCCACTGTGCGCGTTTTAATTCTTATTTGCTTTTCTACGACCATTGTGTGGCGGAATTGTTCATGTTTCGTTTGTTAGTTTATTTTGTGGCAGCAACAAATCCAATGGCGCACCAAAAATAATCAAATCACACGAAATTCAATTTAAAGAGAGTACAAAATATAGAGAAAATTCGTTTTTGCAAACATAGGTAGTGCGTGGGATATTAAATGTCTAGTCTGGAGACATCCATCAAACCTTTGAAAAAAATCCGTGCTGTGCAGCTAAAAGAAAACAAAAAGGAAACGGAAAAGCATAAGCAAAATCAAAAGAAAATTCACTTTTCATTTTCATACGAATCAAATTTTCTTCTCTTTTTGCTGTATATCCGAGAATCTGTCTGTGCTTGTGTGCGTGTGTGTATCTGTGTACCTGACTGCACAAGGCCAACCTCTTGTTGCGCCGCATTACGGCAATCCATACCTATGTGTAGGTGTGTATCTGTCAGTGCAAATATAAACTCTCAAAACTTATCCCACTGTAATGGAACCGCACTCTCAGCAGGAGGGAATGTGAGGTGGAGTGTATGGATGTGGAGATTAAGGAAAGGAAAGAGCGAATCAATTACCTGTCCCCCCCCCCCCTCTGTATGTGTGTGTATGTGGGTGTGAACTGTAAAATGGAATCTGTGGAACATATGTACATACATGTACTATGTACTATGTGGGAGTAGGGCAGTCACTGCAACGCAACTGTTTCCTAACTGCGCACAAATGTATGCTGTTCAACTGCCTCCTCCCAGTTCATAGTACAGCAGTGGTAGCTCTCTTTATATACATATATGCATATGTATATTTACATATGTGTAATCAATCAGTTCGATGCCTATTCCATCAGTAACTGTGATTCACAAAGCCAAACCCGTACAGAACAGAAAAGAACAGAACAGTGCTGAAAATAGCACTTAACAAACTCCTAAGCTGTGACTGGCACCAAGTGCACCTGGCCCACGCCTTCCCTTTTCCCAGATGGTCTTGTTGTTGTGTCATTATTGGCCTTCACTCAGACCTACTCGTACATGTGGCGCACATGCACAACGACAACAACCACACTAACAAAAACACGGTCAGTGTCATTATCAAACCACACAAAAGCAGACACACACAGACCATGGGCCATGAGGCATGGACAGGCGCAGTATCCAGCACGAAGGAGGGCTGGGCTCAAGGCTGAGTGAACGGGGGGGCCGGGGCCTCGTGACTCTTTCCACCAATTCGTCTGGCAGTCTGGCAGGCTGGGACGTGGGCAAGTGGGTTCTCTCGTTCTCCCACACGACGGCTACGCAGCCAAGGAGGAAGACTGTTTCCTGCGTGGGAATGTTGCATGTTGCATTTGGCTTGTTGCACTCGTTGCAGCAGTGAAATGAAACAGCGCAGCTAGAGCAGACGTGTCACCGGTTGCTTGTGTCACCTCCTTCCTTTCCCCAAAAAAAAAAACAGAATGCAGAGTGCTTCGGTACAGTGAAACAGAAACAGTTCGGTGAACCACTCAGAACATTCAATTAAACAAGCATTCCGAGAATGTCGCACAACCGCGAGAATCTTCGTCTCAGTCTGTTGGATCTCCAAGCTACCCTGACCGCTCCCTCGAACTCTGTGGCCGCCGCCGCCCTGCTGCCTCAAAGCCAGTCGCAGCTAGCCCAGACCGGCGGCTCCCAAGGCAACTCCCACAGCAACAGCAACAGCAGCCTCAACATCAGCCTCAGCAACAGCAGCAGCGTCTCCCAAGCGGTCTCCATGGCCACCACAACGGTGGCTCGCCTCAGCAAGGCGGGATTCGGAACTGCTGCTGGTGGGAGTGGAGGAGCTGCCTCAGGTGCAGGAGCAGGCTATCATAGCGACAAATGCGACAGGCTCAAGAAAATGACTTCGATTACCTGTTCCGACTCGGAGGACGACTCCGAGCGGCGGGCACAGTTCGATATGAGTAGTAAATGGAATCTGGGCGGCTATGAAGGTGTAAGTCTGGTCGAGATTAACCAACCCAACTCACTGAATCCCCACATTCCCCGAAAGAAGAAACCCTAAGAACCCACTCTCTTTTCATTTCTTTGCAGGACACACGCACGTATGTTGTCCAAGAGATCTACCGGAACGAGCAGTCCTATGTGGAGTCCCTGCAGACTGTTGTTCTTAAATATCTAAAAGTGCTCAAGGCACCCGAACACGCGGGCATGATTGACACCCGCACCGTGGACGAGATATTTTTTATGGTCCCGGACATCCTCGAGATACACGAAAAGTTCTTGGGAGATCTAAAGCACCGCTTGGATGACTGGGATGTTCAGCAGAAAGTGGGCGATGCCTTCATGGATACGGTACAACCAGCTCAAAGATAACTCTAACTCCCTGCAATTATTTCGTTCTTTCTTTCGTTACAGTTCTCAAAGCTGGAGGTTCTTGAGGTCTACACATCCTTTGTGAACAACTGCAATCGTGCCAAGAATGCCATACGTTCGATGAAACACCAGCGACCATCGTTTGCTAAGTTCCTGGAGTCCACCTCTCGGGAGCACAAGGGAAAACTCACCCTCGACAACCTGCTGATCAAACCAGTACAAAAGTTTCCCAAGTAAGATTTCCCCTAAGGCAAACGGAAGAGATCTCTCTCTAATACTGTTCCAGTTACGAGCTTCTGTTCCAGCGGCTGATCAAGCACACGGATCACGATCATCCCGATCAGAAGCACCTGCAGGACGTTCTAAAGCTGGTACACGACATTCTAGTGCACATCAACTGCAAGGAGCGAGAGATCATGGAGAACGGGCAGCGAGAGGCGACTCTGCGCGAGCTGGAGGGCGTGATCGAGGGCATTACCGATCTGACAGCGCCTGAGCGGCAGTTCCTTCTGTTCGATCTCGTGTCGATGCCCTCGGGTGCGGGGGCACGCAAGGATCGGGGCTTTTTTCTGTTTAACGACCTGCTCGTCCTTACAAGCATCAAGAAACGAAGCGGCACCATCCGCAAGCCCAGCAGCAGCATCTGCCCGGGCACCGTTGCTACCACGCTGGAGACCAACAAGTACAAGTGTCTCACCAAAATCTCGCTGGACTGTCTGGAGATTGTTAAGCGTGAGTACACTCCATGCGCGAAACACTGACCACGCTGATCCTTCTTCTTTTCCCACAGCCAAGGACGAGAACATCAAGCGCATCGTCAGTGAAATTGAGAGCCTGGCCGACGACTGCGGCAAGCTACAGCAGATCAGCGACATTACCGCCTCCTTGAGGTACCCACACCAGTATCTGGAGGACGTCATCCGAGAGCTCCATCGCGATGTCCAGCGGCAGCTCTCCGAGCGCCAGACGAACGACACCCAGCTCAACATGCTGGAACTGACAGTCAGTTCACCGTAAGTGTCAAGGTGTCATATCTGGGTTATCGCCCCCAGCACCTGTGCGGGTCTTTAATTGTGTGTTTGATTCTCCGTAGAAATGGCAACCAGAAGTTGACGGTGGTCTTCACCAAGACGGAGAAACGCACGGCTTGGGAGGAGACCTTCAACGAGGCCAAGCAGAAGCTGGGTAAGCACTCCATCATCATCTAAGGGAACACTGATTAGCTAATCCCAAGTCTCTCATTCCAGCTGCCACTTTGGAGCGACATCCCATACCCGAGTTCCTTACCTCCATACCAATACGGAAGACCCGCGCCGGCCTACAGTTCACCTGTGCGGCGGCCACACTGAGCGAGAACCGGGATGTGTGGGTGTGCAACAGCGACGGCTATGTGGGCCAGGTGTGCATCATGTCGCTGCATCCAGAGCCGAATGTTACCAGCTGCAATGGCGTCTGCAATGCACGCATCTTGTGCGTGGCCTCTGTGCCGGCATACAGCTCCTCTTCCTCGAGTCGCAACAGCAGTGGGGAGCAGCCCGGCGGAGCCGTTCCCGGTAGCCAGGAGGATAAGGATAAGCCGCGGAACAGCTCCCAGCAGCCGCAACCCAGTCAGAGTTACACACAGCAGCTGCGCGACTACCGCAAGAGCATCTCCCCCAGCTTTCAGACTGGCTCCTCGGCAACGGCCACGCCCGAGAAGAAAAAGACACCAACGCCCACGCCAGTGGCTGGCGACGGTGTCCCGGTGGCTGCCAACAGCAGTGATACTCAGCTGGAGCTGAATCTGAGCTCCAGCGACGATGAGACGGAAGCCGCCGCTGCCTCCGCCTCCGCCTCGCTCAACGTTGCCAGCGGCAGCACAGGAGCTGGATCTGCGGCTATGGTGGAGCGTGTGCCTAGTCCCGCCCCTTCACTGCATGCCGGATATCATGGCCATCAGGTGAGACCTCTCTCATTTTCACCCTGGGATCCTTGTACCTTATTCTGAGTTCCTTTTGCAGGACTCGAATCCTGAGGAGGGCGAGAGCAATCAATCAACCATGTGGATCGGTACCGAGGACGGCTGCATCCATGTCTACAATAGCACTGACAATATTCGAATTAAGAAGAACCGCATCAAGATCGAGCACCATTCGGCCGTCTATTCCATATTGTAAGTCATGCATTGAATCAGCATCGAAAATCCGTGAGGGATACTAAATCTCCCTTCTCCTTGAATGCCCCGACAGGTACCTTGACAATCGTGTGTTTGTGTCGTTGGCAAATGGCGATATTTGTGTTTACCTGAGAGATGGAGGTAAGTGGAGAGATTCAGATCGCCAGCTACATATATTTTCATTTGGCGTTCTCTTCAGCCACCTCATGGAATACGTGCTCATCGCATTGCCTGTCCATTGGCACCGTCACCAGTCCTGTGACCAAGTTACTGAATGTCAACGGCAGGCTTTGGTGCTCCATTCAGGGCATCATCAAGGTCTTAGATGTGGAGACTCTAACGGTATTAAAGTTTCCCAAAATATAGCTGGATCGTACTAAGATTTTCTCCCTCCTCTGCAGGTTATCCATCAGATACAAATATCATCGGATTCGAAGCCGATTACAAACATGACAGTCGCAAGCAACTTTGTCTGGATATCCATCCAGAACTCAGCACACATTAAATGTTTCCATTCCAATACGTAAGTGGAGCTCAAATGCATCATGCATCAGTATCGCTACTAAATCAAACCACTCTCCTGAACAGCCACCAGCTAGTCACCGAAGTGAACCTCGCGCCCGCCGTGAACAAGATGCTTTCCAACTGCGACGAGATCATCAGGCAACACAAAGCCGCCTGCTTGCGTGTGACTTCGCTGTTGTGCTGCAAGGATCTCATCTGGATTGGCACTAGTGCGGGCGTCCTCCTGACCATCCCGGCCCTGGGCTACGAGAAGGGCGCTGTCAATATTGCGCCAACAGGCATTCCCCACGGCCACACCGGCCATGTGCGGTTCCTCACATTTGTGGAGACGACCGGTCTGGAGGGGACGACAGGATCCCGTGAGGCAAGCGGTTCCACCAGCGATGAGTACTCCAAGCAGGGGTGAGTGGAAACAATGACTGAACTGTAATAGAGAAATTTGATCAGCTCTTTCTCCCTTGCAGCTCCATAAAGCACTCCAAATCCAAGTCAGAGAACAACAACACATTGATCATTTCCGGTGGCGATGGCTACGAGGATTTCCGCAACTCGGGCGCCAACTCCCTCAGTGAGATCGCCGGACGCGAGGACAGCACCAACCATTTATTGATATGGCAAATTTGAAGCAGAAGGCGTAAAAATCGCTGGAGGCTTTTGCTTTCGCGCTGGAAAAACAATAACTGAGATCAAGGATCAGAAATCAGTTCCTGGCGCGTAGAGTAGAGTACATACTGCAGCGGTTTTTATGACGATGAGATTTACAGAGAGAGATCGATCTACAGCAGCTGCTAAGCTGAAAATTAGTAGGGAAAATTAGGGGACTGATTGATGCTCGAACTGTGTATATTTGAAACTCAATACTGAATGACTAAATACGTTCAGCCTCTAATCAAAACAGAGATTATGTATAATGTATAAACTATAAACCCAATTCCCGTGACTAGCCACAGGACTAGTGCCAAAACTATAGACGTCTCATGCCACTTTCAATGTACATACAGATCGCACAGAGCAGGGGCAAGCATCACAGATCAAGAAGGAGACACGACACAGCTCCACAGCAAAGTACGATAGATATTTTTGTATGGCTAATATGTACGAGTACTCGTATCTGTATATCCTATTCAAGATTTAAGCGTTCGTTCTAAGTTTGTTTGAATTGAATACAGGTCTAACGTAATGTGTAAAGATAAACAAATATACCTTATATATTTAATGCAATAATAATTTACCTGAATGTAGAGTGTACGAGAGTTTCGATCATCCCTGCCCTGCCCCGAATCCAAGCGCATTAATCGAATTTATAATCTACTTAGAGAACACTCACGGGAATGTGCCATGAGCATGTACCCCGCGGATAGGCTTGTAAAAATCGTAGCTCCCTATTTTACAGATATACATATACATACATATACATATAATATTTAAATATTAATATATGTATTGACAAATGATATAATTAAATGGCGTTTATAAAGTTTATTGTAAAACCTACATATGTATATTTCATGCAAGTGAATTGAATTGAATTTTGAATCTGAAAATTGCAAATTTTAACATACATACGAGTGATATTCAATAGTTTTTGCTACTCGTAGAGTTTTTTGGGCATGTACAAATCATTACACGCTACGCGCACACACAAATATACAGAAACACACCGATATACACATACATACATATTTATGCATACTTGTATATTTTTCTCAATAATTGAATACTATTCGTAAGTAAACCCCCAAGAAATCCATGCGAAACCCCAAAGCACCCATCAGTGTATAAGGGTCGCATCGCTCAATGGCCTAAGGTGGCAAATTGTATTAATTTAAGTATGAATATATTGCTATGTTAGATCTGGTTGGTTATTATAGCATAAATCATTGTTCAGTGCAGTATTTCAAGTGTATGCTAAGCAATTTCTATACTACAACCACAACCACAACCACAGACCACAAAAAAACCACACTAGAAACCACACTAAGCCACACCGAACCACCACCACCGAGAACGGTTTCATCTGTTATTTGAGTGGAAAAGAAACCGCATCCTATGGAAGTGCATTAAATGCCTTCCATCATAATCAATGAACATCTGACAATTGTTATCCTACCTCTATAAATACCAAGGTGTTAAAGATATATACATATATATATATACATATATGCATATAACGTGTATACATATTACATATACTCAAGATGTTGCTTGTCGAAAGAAGGATCAGAATCAGGAGAAGATGCAAAAGCAAAGGAACAGAAAGAAGCATCAGATGAGTGAAAGAAACTCCCCCACAATGAGCTGTAATAATAGAATGTAAAACAATAATTCCCCCTTTGCCAAGCTGCATTGTAAGGTTCAATAAATTATCTTGTAAATGTGTTAAAGAATAAAATATATATACATACTATACATACATAAACTTATGAAATTCATAGACATGTATTATATGTTTGTATCACCTGTAATAAACTGAACTCTTTAAGCCCAAATCTCTCTCTCTCTCTCTCTTGATTTTGCTTCCTCGTGACAAGCGGAACGGAACTAGTGCCGCAAGCGGAAGTGTTGCGTATGAGGATTCTCTGACGGGATTTTGCATACTCAAAACGGAGGTCCTAAAAAGTAAGCCTTAATGCCTTCTGTGGATTCCTTAAAACGGTTGCTAACTTTGTTAAAGCGAGAGAATAAACTAAGCATTTAGTTGCTGGTTTAGTATTCTGCTCATTTTTGTTAGATCCAATTGAAAATCCCATAGATTCAGGCTTATATATAATTAATCATTTAATTGCTCTGCCGCCCATATGGTTGTCTTTTTGTGGGTCTGTATATTGATGCAGATGCGCGCATATTTAATTATTGCATTCATTTGTAAAAATTAATTATAAATGGATTTATGCTGTTGCGACTCTGCATTTGTCTAACAGGGCGCCCACCTATTCTCCATATCCATTCTGTGCATTTTAATTGATTTACCCAAATCTCTGCAATTTCGCTGCAGTGCTCGTGCCGTGCCTTTCGTATCCTCCCACGAACATTGAATAATTCATTTTAATTAGTGTTTGTCAAAACCGAGCAAACCCCTGACCATCCGATTTGGATTACGATAATCCTGCAGAGAAATAGGGAGGCTGTGTGGAGTGAGGGGGGCCTACACTAGACTATTGATTGTTTGTTTACCTTTGCGGCGTCTGTCCCTCTGTAAGTAAAATAAAATCAAGCAAATTATGCGAAAAACTCAATTATTTTGGACTTTTAAAACAGGCAAATAACAACAAAGTGGAAAAACTTTTGTCATAAGGCATTTACGCAAGTGCTGGCTGGTCCATGAAGTTGAAGCAGGGGAAGGCCGAGAAGCTGCAAACGGAGCAGGAGTCAGCCGGAGGCCGAAGGCAGGCTGGTCAGATAGAAGAGCCGAGCCTTTATGCCTGTACCAAGTTCAGCCTGCTCTGCCATGTCCTTTCCCGTCCCGATACGCTTGGCCACATGTGTGTGGCAACATGCTGCGTAAATTACATTGCACGCGCCGGCATAATACCCTTCCATATGCTCGGAATGTTACGCCTTGCCACGTCCAATACGGAGGCAGTCAGCACCCGCGGGGAAGAGCTCCACCCAGCAAAAGTTGCCAACTTTCGCTGAAACTTTTAGCCAACTTAAGGACTTACTGATTCGCTAGAGTATCTGGATTTCTGCTCTCCCCATGATTGCGATTCCCTTGCACTGCGAGGTGCTGCCCTGCCCCTGCACCTCTCCCTGCTCCACCGTTACCGACCTGTCCTCCGCAATCTGTCTGGACCGAAGGTCGGTGCTGGTCTTTGGTGTTTTAACTCCGCATAAGTTCTTAATAAATTTCATTATTGCATTTTAAACTTCATGTGGCATTATTTATGGCTGCCACCCGTGGTATTTTACCAGCAGGCACAGTGCTCAAGTAGCACACATACTAGTAGATGGGTTGTTGCAGGTCGAACAATTCCCAGATCATGTTGCTCGTGCAATGAGTACGAGTATCATGTCTTTAATCAGAAGTGCTTACCAAATGCCACCTGCAACCTACCACCTGCCCCCTGATACCTCTAAAGGATGGTCAGTAGATTCGTTTTTATTTTAAAGCCCACGTTTACTGAGTACCGTTGCAGCACTCGTTTTTTTTTTAATTTACAAATATATTACACTACTCGACAAAGTCGAAATTTGTTTTTCCTAAAGGAACCAAACCGTTTTTTTCTGATAGAGTTGTGGATTTAAATTTTTTGATTGAATTATGGTTTTTTTTTCCTACGGCAGAACTTTAAAGAATTTTTAAAAATTCAAACAATTTCAAAGCCCCAAATCTATCAGAAATAGTCGCCTTGGTTCCTCGAGGAAAAATCGTGTCGTGTTATCCATCCGTGTTCATACGAGTTCGCTTATAAATCCCTGTGTGTATGGTTGTATCCATTTATTGCCCTTGTTCCCTGCCCTGTTTCCGGGTTTCCGCATAATATCCAATAATGTTTTTCAGTTTTGTGCTTTTCCGTGGTCCACGCATTTAGTATTTGTGTGGCTTTTGCGGTCGCTGTGCGTGGGACACATCAGATGGACGAGGTGAGGGACTGAGGCTGGGGAACTAGAACCATTTGTTTGGGGGCTTCCGCACATTTATGGTCAGCGTCTAAATTGCCATTTTTACCATTCGACGAGAGCAATGCATTTTGGCCAGTTGTTAACTTGTTTAACCAATTAATGCCCTATTAATCTGCTAAGCGGACAATGGCAGGCGCAGGATGCTTTAGAGGACAAAAACGTGAAGCGAAAATAGCTAAAGTCGAGTATAAAATATGTCTGTTAGTATGCCTGGCAACCGCATGTAGTCCGCACTCCGCAGCTCTATTCACGCTGCCTTCAGTTCACTCGAATAAAATTACACTTATTGATTAAAATTATTAATAGCTTGAGTCCCTTTCCAGGCGGTGCATTAGGGACGCAGCGGGTTCATTCACCTATCAATTAAAACCAAGTCGAGATGGGGCTACTGGTTGGCATAGGGATAGGGCTTCCATTTCCCCAGAATAATTATGCGGGCGAAATTAAAAGTTTATGACGCTGGAGAGAACACATGGGGCCAGGACATTTGGCGACAAATTGTCGTGTCCTGTGACTTCCCCTCGATACGGAATACGGAGTGCAGGATGCTGTTTATTGGAGTGCGTGCGGATGTGTGTGTGTGTGTGTGTGTGTGTGTGTGTGCGTGTGTGCGTGTGGCATGCACCACAACAAGTAGGGAAGCGATTTGTCAGGCAATTACTGAATCCATTGCAAGTGCCACTAAGACAAATTGTTAAACTCAATTTAGCTGTAGCTGTGTAGTGTGGCCGGGGCTGCATAGAAATGGAAATGTTTTTTTCTTTCATTTTTCCCCAGAACTTGAGACGGAAGAAACTTTTGCACGCTGCCTTGAAGTTGTCCTGCCCGGATGGGTGCAGGGCATAGGAAATGCGAAGGGAAACTGGGTGACGACCTTCCTGTCACTGCAGAACTCACTTATGTACGTGCATTTGATAATTAAATGATGTTGCAAAACTTTTCCCCAAAACTAGAAATGGTTTTTTTTCCCCCGGCCCCTGATACTTCGCCCACGCTGTGATCCCTTTACCTTTGCTCCTTACCCTTTACCCTTTCAGGATAAATTCTTTTGCATAGACACCAATTATGCTGAGCCATCATCCCACAGACGTCACGTAGCCGGAACCGCACTGATTTCTCGCATTTAATCAATCTAAGTGATGTCCAACTGTGCACCACAGCCAGCCAAGTCGCAAAGTCAATCTGTTAGGAGCAGTTAAGGAGGTTAAATGTGGCTAGATGGAGCGATTAAGGGAGAGATATTACTTAAGTGGCGGAATTTCCAGTGCAGCCCAGAAGTTTGCTTTATTTTTCAACAGCCGCAGCCGCAAAGTAGCGCAGTCAGAAAAGTGTCAAATGATGGGGAAAATGTAACTGCAAACGGGTAAAACCGATTTTTTTTGTATTTTCAATTTCAGATAGATCGATTTAAAGCCTTTCTCATTTATAATCAGATATAGGCGCTCTTGCTAGGCATGTTCCAAGCTCTGGTTTAACTTCGTTTCGCTTGGCTGTGACGTTGCGGCTTGTTCCGGTTGCCTCGGCTTGACGTCAGGGCGCATGCCTTTGTTTACCTTCCATAGCGGGGGCGGGAGCGGGAGCCGGCGGTCGGGTCGGCTGGTCGGTGGAGCTTGTGAAGCATTTACCTTGAATTCAAAATGAACCTGTGGAACGCAATCAAATACAACAACATCCAGAAGTAACAGCAGCAACAGCAGAAACAGCGAGCCAGAAGCGAGTGCTGGGGCAGGCAGCTGTTGACACTACTCATTATGAGAGCCATAGGAAAGAGAAGACGCATCTGCATGGCAATGTATAAAATGTACAAACAGTGGGTCAAATATACACAGATATACAGACATACATATACAGTAGATATGGATAAGCATGTGCACGCGGCAGCTATTACTATGTCTATAAGGCTCCCATAAAAGTCTTAAATTAGATTTCCTGAGTACTCGCGAATACATTTACGAGTATGTATTCATTTGGAAATTTTCGTAAAGTCTGTTCTCCGCAATTTTCTTATCAATGTAGAGGAGAGGAGTTCACTGTCTCCTTTGTACGGGATATCACACCATTTTAGGCCTAATTAAACATTTTCTTGGGAATTAAGTACGCTTTGAATATTCAAATTTCGAATGTTTGCACAATTGTTTAAATATTGTGTGCTCCGTCCTCCATTTGCTTCGGACACAAATGCCAACAGGATTGGGATCCACAGTTCACTGGAACCAACCCCACTGATAGATGGGGACGGACTGCACGACACGAACATCCGAGCATTCACAGCGGCACAGTACGGCGCGGCACTTGGCCGAGTTTGCCGATTCGATTCAGTTTCCATGAAGCGCTGAACCGAGGCGGTCACGTCGTAGTCGAACCCAGTCCCAGGAGCCCAACAACGTGCTTTTCCTCACCATTATCACAGTCGTCCGTGAGCGATTGATCAGCCAGCGGGCTTACCGCTGTCCGTACGATAACGTTAATTTGAATTTGTGCGGGAAGAGCATTCGTATGGGTCGCTTAAATACTATGAATATATTTTGAAAGTGAATCAGCTGCTGGGTACCCGCCCCGTCTCCTCATCCACTTGTAGGGCACTCGACCAAGTTTGAAATTAAACAACGTTCTGGCCACTTCAGTGGGTTGAGTGAAGTGCTGCGGAGACAGTGCTGTGTGAAGGGGGAAAAACAGTAATAATAATTATAATATATAACTTTGTGTCAATAAAACAATGCCGAGTGTTGGGATGTAAGCGCGAAGAGGAGCGGAGAACAGCACACCCCGACAGCAGACAGCAGACAGCACACAGCACACAGCGATTGCATTAAGTAAGTAAACAGAGGGAAGTCTCTTCAGGACCCTCTTTAGGACCCTATCTTTCCTGACAGTTGGCCTCAATTCAAGTGGTTATATGGGTCTGCAGAGGGCAGAGGACTGGCTGGGAGGGACATTTACATAGATCAGGTGGGAGTAATGGCAAAATGCTTTCACGCAAAACACCGCGATTGGACTGCCAAATAAAGAGGGAAGAATAAGTGTCTGGCAGCACAATAAATAGCAAGTTATAAGTAGGAATAAAACTGTGGCTGGCCCTGCGACATTGACGTCAGGGACACCAGTGTGTGGCACTGTCTCCTTTGCAGTTGGGTGGAGAGATCAGAGCATGACCAAAGGACCAAGGGGACGGGCAGGGGAGGAGCTAAAAATACATGACTGCCAGAGAAATAATATTTGAGAATTGCATATCGTACATATACGCCAACGAAAATTGCAACAAATGCTCGGCCAAACAATTAAGGCTGCCAGAAGAGTGGGGGACGGGACGGAAGGCGGGTACTGCATTTTGATAGAATTCAGCAGTTTTCCCCTACTTCTTTTTAGAGGTGTAGATGGAAGTGTAAAAAATAGAATCCAAACATTCGGAAAAGCCAAAAATATATATATTTTTGTATGGCTTTCTGAAGTCTGGCCCTGCCCTGGCAATTATATCACTCTGAATGCCATTTGGTGGCTGGGACAGTCGGAAATCTCTTAATATTGCAAATGAAATGGGGCTTGGTCAATTAAAGCGGAATAAGGTGAAGGCCGCCAGCTGTCAAAGAGGCTAAAACGCTGGAAAATCTCTAACAGAAATGCCCTGAAGAGCGGCGTATACAGCATCCATACATATGTATGTATGTATGTGCGAGTATGTTCAGATCACTCACCATTGTTTATTTGCTGGGCTGAACTTGGAGTGTGAATAAATCAATGCTGTATGGTAGATATTAATGTATATATGTACCATGAATTTATGTAGGTTCCGATATGCTCAGAGATGAGTGCTGTGCTGGGCCAAGGAACTTGATTGATGACACAGAAACATGTGTTTAAATAAATCCCCGATCTGTTCCAGCTAATAGAGATTTTAGCTCAGCAAAGGAAACCTAATAATATAATTCCATTCTTCAACAGCCCCGATCGGAACGTAAAAGTAGAAGTAGGGGAATAATACAAATAAGAAATGCAAAGTGTAAAGCAAACAAGTGATGGACCTGCCAACCCAACTCAATTTGCATGCTTTGAAAAAATAAGTTAGTTCCTGACACTATCCTCAACAGTTCTTAACCCCAAGAAAGAAGTAATGTTTGGCTCCCTTTCGGCCTGATTGCCTCTATTGTTAGGGAACTTGGCTCGGTATTAGAGCCAGAGCCTCCCATCCCACCCCAATTTATATGTGAACTTTACAATTGAGTTGCGAATCGGATTATCAATCAAAGTGGCCATAAAAACGCCAGAACTTATCGCGGTCAGATTCGCCAGGCGGCCAATACCCCTTTCAAATGTGGGGGAATGTGTTCATAAATCTATTTTTGGTATCATTCGATTTTGCAGCGGGTTCCATCCAACTGCACACTCGAAATTCCATTTGCTATACCTATACCCATACCCATTCCCATACTCGGATATATTTATAATTATACATATACCTCAATTAGGATTGAGGAAAGAGCGCGTTATCAGATGGGATGACACATTTCTTTCGGCTGATCGATATTCGGACCTTGGCATTGACTTACTGCTGACGGACGAACTGCCGTAGGCCCTGTCCCCATATCTGTCCAATTTATCGCTTCCACTTTGAGTACGACGTCATGAGGCTGTCTAAATATTTATACATAAACTGCAGCATAAAAGAGTAAAAGTTCCCTCGCCTTCCATGGAGGCCCTATTGTCTAGATTGATATCATGTGAGCGATAAGCTCTTTTACGGGGCGGGGCGTATTCCGTTTAGAGCCGCAAACAAACTCGGGGATACCCTTTCACGGTTAACTCTAAAAAATTCCCCTATGAAAATTCTGCTCGAAAACACCATAATTTCCTTTATGCTGGAGCTGGATTCTTGTTCTTGCACCACCGCCACTTTGTCTGTAGCGATATTTTATGTATATATGTATATATGCATGTATGTATGTATGTAGCGAATTTTAATTTGGTTATCGCACCCTCACACCCATCCCATCCAGATATGCGTGTATGTATGTATGTATGTATGTATGTATGTATAATATACATTCTGCAATCAGCACCAGAACGCACACTATCGGGCGCTGAATAAATAATGCTTAATTTAATGCTTATTGTCAACAGAAGTGCCAAGAACCGTCGAACCCTTGCCGGGCGGTCTAGGTCTGGCACCCACTTTGTTCATTCAGTCAACACTCATTCGCGGCAGTCGACACACTCACTCACACAGCCAGCGCTCTTCCTCATCATAATTTGTGGGGGAAATCTATCTAATAAAGTTTTAGGAGCGATTATCAATCTTATCGGCAGGGTGTGGGAGAGTGAGAGTGAGAGTGAGAGCACGTGTGGATAGTGGAAAAGTTTCCAGCGATGAATGGGCGGCAGTTTTGTGTTGAATGAATCTACTCTCCGTCGGATAGTGTATGCCACAAGATACGTGCCAGTATTAAGTGTAAATAATCCGCAACCGATTCCGCACTTTCGTTTGATTGCAGCTGGCCACGAAGACCGACGGAGCGACGGAGCGACGGAGCGACGGACGGACGGGCCCCTGGACAAGCCATCAAAGAGCAATTCGATACAATGACACCAGTTGGGCAGTTCCATTTAGGCTTCGACAGAGCGTGTGTCCCGTCCCCCGTCTAGAGGCTTAGGGGATGTCCACAAGAGCTACGAGCTACGAGAGTAACAACTCCAGGAGCAGCAGCAGCAGTATAAGCAGAAGCAGATCTATGGCTGTCAACTTGCAGCTGAATAATTTAAGCGCCATTTATCCGTCGCTCATGTATGTGGCTGCCTCTTCCCTAGGACTGGGCATGGGGCTGGGCCTTCAAGAGAACATTTCCATCGTTTACGAGGACCTGCTTAGCACAGCGAAAGGGAATGGCACCGCAGGCATGGCAGCGGGCACAGGAGCGGGAGCTGGAACAGGAACTGTCCCGGGATTGAATGTCGTCCTGCCGCAGAGTGCCGCAAATGAGACCTCTAATGAGGGCGATGGGGTGGTGGCATTTACCGAGTCGGGCCCCACCGCAGCCGTGACCACATTCAATTACTACAACGAGTCAGCGGCGGCCGCCGAGTGGGCGCACTTCTATGATCTCGTCCTGTCCTGGCAGGGCATCTGCCTGATTGCAGTCTTTGCAACATTCATCGTGGTAACCGTCATCGGCAACACTCTGGTCATATTGGCCATATTGACAACTCGTCGCCTGCGCACCATCACCAATTGCTTCGTGATGAGTCTGGCCGTGGCCGACCTCCTTGTGGGCATCTTCGTGATGCCACCCGCCGTGGCAGTCCATCTCACCGGTAAGTCTTCCTTCTGGCCCCCCCCCCCACCAACCCAACCACCCATTTTCTTAAAGTCCTTGCTGGAAAGTAGGCAACATTTTGACGGCTTTTCGCGTGATTAGAAGACGAAAATGCCATTCCGACAAATCTTCCAAAAAAATTTCCAACAAAAGCTTTTCGGATAGACCCCCGTGCACATGCCCCTCATCCACCTGCCCACCCCCCTTTCACCTTTCCACGCTAATTTAACAAAAGAACACGAACGGGAATAAGAAAAGGAACAGGACTGGGACTGGGACTGGGAGTAGGAGTGGCCGCAGGACCCATCTCTATCTCACCGCATATTTATGTAAATGCTCCAAGCTGGAATACGAGTATATGTATCTCTCTTGCCTTATGGATTTGTATTCTTTGAACCGAAAGAATTTCTTTCATTTTTTTGCCTTCGCTTTCCTGCAATTTCCTTAGCCGCAAATAAAATACCCAACCAACGAACAAAAAAACGAACAAAAAGAACAACAACAATAACATAAAAGGGGAGACATTCCTCAGCCGATGTTTGGGGCATGGCATGCTTTAAAGGCTGCGGCATGCCGAAAGTTTCTCATAATCATCTGTGCTCTATATAGTTTAGCGTGGGGAGGGGGATACGGTCAAACCTCATCGAATTTCTGTCTCGATTTGTGGATACCCCACCTTTCCTGGTTGTTTATTTAATACGATTGGATAATTATGTACACAAGTGATCCATAAGCATTCCTATGAATATGTATGCTCGAATATTATATTTGGTATCAGTTTCATCTGGCCATAGTTCCTACAGCATATTCTCTTGCTCTAAAAGCACAGGCAGTATTCAAACTTTTCGGTTGAACATTTCTCAGACTCTCTTAAGGTTCCATTATATTTATTTCCTTCTTTTCGTTGCTACTCTGATTACTTTCCCTGAAAGTGCACTCAAGTTCCGGTCCGGCTTCAGCAAACAACAAATTGAACTTGCAAACTGCATCTCAAAATTATTCGAGTAGTAGGAGCATTCACCTCTGTCATTTTAGAGAGCAGTGCCCCAAGCAATTTCCGTACTGGACGCCTAATGAGGTAGCTCCTCCCTTAGCTCCACCGCAGAGTTCCTTGATTGGCAGAAAAACAAGTTTACATTTTGTGCCGGGAGACCAGTGCGGGGTCCTTGATTAAAAAATTAATCGGTTAACAGGCTAGAGCCAAGGAACTACTGAAAGTGCCCACAAATTCTATGCCAAGCTCCGTCCGAGGGACATCTGGGCTCCAGTCCGGGTCCAGTGGAGTGGAGCCCACAAAGCGTTGCCAAATATTTTGAGGGCTTTGCTTGTTTAATTGGCCTTAGGTGGGGCATTTGCCATGGTCCACCGAGAAAGCTTTTGCGTTGCGTTGAGTGCTGCTAATAAAATTGGACCGGACTTCGGACCGGACTTTGGAGTTTTAAGTTGCTGGTGAAGTTTTTTAATTTTGAATTTCGATTGCAGGCTCATGGCAACTCGGGTGGGTGCTGTGCGACATTTGGATTTCCCTGGACGTGCTTCTCTGCACTGCCTCCATCCTCAGTCTGTGCGCCATCAGCGTGGACAGGTACGTGTCAAGCATTGTAGGTGTGCAAAATAATAATAGCCCCAATAATCATATTTCCCTGAACCTGTAAATCTATTCGTCAGATATTTGGCCGTCACCAGGCCGCTCACGTATTCGCGGAAACGGCGCTCGAAACGATTGGCCCTCATAATGATCCTAATCGTCTGGCTGCTGGCCCTGGCTATCACCTGTCCCCCCATCCTTGGATGGTGAGTATGCAAATTCACCCTGACCTCTCTCTCTCTCTCTCTCTCTCTCTCGCTCTCTCCTGAGAGCTGAGACTCTACTCCAGACTGAACAAACGGGTATAATTGGTCGGAAACTGTGTCTGTCGGGGAGGCAGTCGGGCAGGCTAATAATTGAGAACTTCCTGCAACTCGCATTAGCTGACTTTCTTGTAATTAATTGTATTCTGCAAATTTCACCACCCTTCTGCTCCTTCTGTTTCGTTTCCCTCCAGGTACGAGCCGGGGCGGCGAGACCTCCGGGAGTGCCGCTACAACCAAAACGAGGGCTACGTCATCTTCTCGGCGATGGGATCCTTCTTCATACCGATGGCAGTTATGATTTATGTGTATGCAAGAATTTCCTGTGTCATTGCATCGAGGCACGACAATATGACCGACATAAGTGTTCACAACAAGGTGAGTCCCTCTACCAAACACAAACCTACACACACACACCCACACAAACACAAAACCAACAAAATACTGCAGCAGCAGCTGTAGCTGCTGTAACTGCAACTGCTGCTCGAAAGTCATCTGTTCTCCTACTATTAAGTCCCGCCGCATCCTGGAGCCTCACTCCACGTACAGGGCAAACTGCGGCACGTTTGTTTCATAATTCCTATACGCTAGGAGCTTACACAGATTTAAATACCATGCCAGACCCAGCACCGGGCATGCAGCATGCAGCGCTGTCCTTTCCCCCTTTCTGTCGATCCGAGTCATATCCCTATGTGTATATGGGCTGTGGTGTGTGGTGGGGCTTTAAGCGTGGGGCATTCTCTAAGTTCGAAAACCAACGAGCTGAAATTTATTAGCCTTGAACACGCTTGGATTAGATTCTGCATACAAGTACATATCAATCGGTTAAACAGATTTATACAGGATTTCTGTTCTGCCATTTTCCATTCCCATTCAGGGGCCAACATAATGCGTCTCTGCCATGCAGACGAGCCATGCACTTCTGTCCGTACATCCGGCTTAAAGTGAACTTTATATTCGTTTACCTTTAAAGGTTTTTTGGCAAACTGTCAAGTGAGGCGCTTAGGCAAGTATATCCGCTGAAAACGAGCTACGCAAGGGTATTTAAGCTTTCGCCATACGGGTGCTAATCGTCCGCCAACAGTCCTCACCCGTAGTCCATTTTTTTGCCGACTCTCCCATGCAGAAGCCATGTACATCTGTCCGTCCTCTGTCGATACGTGTGTGCCTTTAAAGAGAAGTACTCGTACTCGTATTTCATGTAGTTTTTCTCTCAGGAAATGTTAGAGCTGGATTTGTAGCCAACCTGCGGTTTGCTGTTCCCTTTTTTCCAAAAGACAAACTTTAACTGCACTTGGCACCATTTTAGTTATTTATTATCCACTGACTTCTTCCCTCCGTGCACTTTGCGTGTCTAGAAATTCAAGCGCTACACGGCAGCGGATGTGGAGAACGAGCTGTCAGAGCAGGAGCACAGCTCGGCGGGCCATCGGCAGCGGCAGGCGACGTCCCGCACCTTCTCCAACCAGACAATTGCCAAGGAGCTGCACGAGATGATGCTAGGCGACAGCGAGCAGCCTGGCGTGGCCCCAGCAGGAGCAGGAGTAGGAGCAGGAACTGGCGTAGCAGCAGGATCTGTGGCTGGAGGTATTCACTGCCAGTCGTTGCTCGCACTGCCCTCCGGTGGTGGAGGTGCTGCATCCAGTGGGGTGAAGAATGGATGCTACGAGCTGACACGGCCCTCGTCCCTGAAGCGCACATCGACCGCATCGACAACCATCACCACAATGACAAGTGGCATCGGGCCGGGCAGCGGCCTCCTGGACACACAATGGCAGGCGCAGGCTCCATCCCAATCCCAGCCGCAGGCTAGAGCCCACAGCTTTCGTCACTCGCACCTGGGCTTGGGCACACAGGAGAGGGAGCGAGATCGACTGCGTGGCCACCATCACCACCATCACCACCAGCTACACCAGCATCAACATCACCAGGGCCCGGGTGTGACCACAACAATCCCAGCCAACCCGAATCCCAGCAGCAGCAGCACCATCACCAACAGCAAATCCCTGTCGAATCGCATTACGTCGCTGAAGAAGGAGACCAAGACGACGCAGACCCTAAGCATCGTGGTGGGTGGATTCATAGCCTGCTGGCTGCCGTTCTTCATCAACTATCTAATCACTCCGTTTCTGGCGGAGCACCAGGCCAGCCAAATGCTGGCCAAGGCCCTCACCTGGCTGGGATGGTTCAACAGTGCCATCAATCCGTTCATCTACGCCTTCTACAGCGTCGATTTCCGCGCTGCCTTCTGGCGCCTCACCTGCAAGCGCTTCTTCAGCTCCGGCCAGAAGCCGCAGTTCCCCACCAACACGATGTCCATCAGGCGCTAGAGAGTCCCCAGTCCCATATACCTTGTCCCTTGACAACCCATACTCATGCCCTGAACAAATTGCCACTGCACAACATATGATTAACTTATTCATCAACTTTTAGGTGTGGTCCCTAATTGCACCTTGAGCAAACCCTCATCATCTTTACCCCCCCGGATGTGTAATTGTTCTTCAGTTTGTTGTATAATTTATTTGCATTTCCCCTCGCCGTCAGGGTTCGTTTTCATTCTAGATCATTCGACTGCAAAGCGTGGATGCCACTGGATTTGGCTCGGACTCGAAGGGAGGTCTTGGTGTCTAGGTTCCAAGGTCCCGAGGCAGGAAATATATATGTTGGCCTTTGTACGTTTCTACGGCCAGTTGTCTGTACATACACGTTTAAATATGGTTCCACTGTTGCACATGATTTAAAGGCATTTTTGCAGTCGCTTTCCCTACGAGAGGACGGTCGGAGACCCGGATGAAAATCTGATACGTGGAAGCACGTATCGATTTAGTAATTTCCGCATGACTTTTCCGCTCCACGCTCCCTCAAACATGCAACAACGTGGCAGTGGCAGTGTCTGGAGCCAACGGCATAGACAGTTTAGATGGATGAGGAAACTTGGTTACATGGTTCACCGAAATTGCGCACACATCTCTACTATACGTAACATTCCCACTCTAATATTCAGCTTTTCAGTCAGACTTGCTCTGAGGGCTGCGTGCGTGCGTGGAACGTGCCCTGGGGTGGGTCACCTTTTGGTGACCCCGACACCTGTCCGGACGAATTGTGCATTCTCTTTGCCAAGACAAGTGCGTGATGTATTTATGAGGCAGCTCCACCCTATCAGACTCGAATTTAGTGCCAGAATATATCAGAGAGACGACCTCTCTCTGTATCTCTGTCATAGCTGATATCGGTGCACCATAAATCCAAGAGATAGTAGAAAGTACCCGTCCTGATTTACAGTAGAGAGAGCAGTGGAGCAGTGGAGCAGAGTCCGGGCCGCATTCAGTGGGCATTCCAGTCGAGAATTAGCTTTAATCAGCCAGTTAAAAGAGAGTTACTGTGATTTAGTTTATAGTTGGAGTCAGTTAGAACTTCAAGAGTTTTTCCTTAGCCTTAAAGTGAGTGTGTTTGTGTGTGTTCATGCATGTATGAGGGATGTGTGTGAGTGTGTGTATGTATGAGAGAATACTATATAATTTAGGCATAATTTATTCAGGCCATCAACCCACAGCTTAGCCAACCGTAGAGCCAAGCACAAGTAGCACAATTTAAAGTGTTTTACCAAGCAATCTACCTTTAACACCGTCCTCCTCACTTCCATTTTCATTTACATTCCCATTCCCATTCCCATCTCCATCGTCCCTCACTCACTCGCTTGGTGTGAACTCATAAACGTAATCAGGCAATGCTACGACGTAGAGATTAAGTCAGAAAGAAGCCTCATAAGCATATACACGTAGCAGCATATCATTTCTCAACTCTTCCCTTGTCAATACCATCATCGCCCCCGCCTCAATCCTCAATCAAAATTCTGAATCCCAAATTTCAGCTTCCATGTCAGGCCTAACCGTGAGAGGATGAGAGACTCCGTATGAAAGAATTTTTAAACTTTTGACTAAAGCAAACACAGGAGCAACACCATCCGCCATTCGCTATTCGCCATTCGCCATATGCAATCTCTCATCTGCTGGGTGTACGAGTACGAGTAATATCATATACATAATCCGCATAATCTGCATATATATTAATAGTTACATATGTGTACACAACATCATTTTTTTGTGAAACGAAACAACCAAATAAATAGACAAATCGAAAAGACAACTCTCCCCGGATAGAGATCTTTGTTATTTAAGGATTTTAGTCGCAGTCGGAGGACCATGAACAATGGTTAGTGCGTTTGTTGGGCGTGAATTATTGATCAGCTTCAAAATTGAATTCACAGCCAACTGCAGGATATATGTACATATACATACATATACATATGTACATGTACTCTTGTGTATTTATATTTAACCAGCGGAAAATCCAAGGGAGCACCCACAAAAAAGAAAAGGAAACCCAGCGAACGGTTGGAAAGCAAAGTTGTGTTTGTTGCGAAAAATAACCATAAATATGGACCGCTTTCAGCTTGCTCTCTCCTTCTGCTGTCCTGTCGCCGTATGAATATTTCATTGGAGCTGCTTCCCACATCCCGGGAGAAACAAAACGAGAACAAATTTCAACAGAGTATCCTCTAAATGGAGTTTTAAGACTCTAATTGAGCCCAAGCCCAACTTGGATTACATTAATTGATCGAATCCCCTCTGCAGCCAAAGAGATTTGGGGGAGTGCCCCACACAGCGAGCGAGAGAGAATGAGGAATCGAGCACTCAAGTGGGGCCCCCCCCCCCCCCTCCCCTATCATTCACCAAGGCGAGGACAAAAACAAAGGGAGCGGAAAATACGGGTAAAACAAAAGTTCATTCGAAAAACATTCAAGAAGCATTTGTCATTGGGAAACTTTTCCTGTCCCGAGCACTTGTTAAATGCTTGAAAATATCGATGTTGTTTTTGTTGCTTGTTGGCAGTGCAGTAGAGCCTCTTTTCAACTGTTGCGATGACATAACCGAAAATATTTGGCCAACGTGCCTGTCGGCACCTGGCTAAAAATAGGAGAAACCCAGGCCCGCTTCCATTCTTGCGCAGCCATTTAATTTAACACATTATGCGATATCAACCGCCCTCGAAAAAACCCCAAATTTCAGGACAGTTGAGGGATTCCAATGGGTTCTCAGAGGCCGCTGACTTGTTGACATGGGGCATTAGGGAGACGAGGCCGCTTCTGTGGCTGCCCCTGTTTCTGTTTCCGCTGAGCTCGACTCGAAAGTGAAATGTGACAGCGAAATGTGTTGCAATTCATTAGAGAGAAAGAGCCCCCATGCTCCACCTGCCACAAACTGCCACAAACTGCCACACTGTCACACTTACATACATACTTACATATGTACTTGTACTTACTCCTATATGCATGCCACTCTGTGTGAATCGCATGTGTGTTTGGCAGCAGCTCCCCTTTCTGCGCCTTTGTGTGTGGCAGCTCCTCCCCCACCGTTGTTTGTGGGCTCGTAATTATGATGACCGCATCTTTTTTCACGCCTTATTTCCAGCTAAATTAATGTATCGCCACGCAGCCCCCAGCTGGAACCGGAGCCGGAGACGGAGATGAAGTCAAAACCGCCGGAGAGCCTCTGTGCTGCCGAGCCGTAATGTAATCCCAGTCCTAGTCGCGACCGTTGTGGGTGCCGTCTGATTCAGCGTTTCTTTTGCTTCCGTCCTCGTTGCGGTAAACAACTTAGTGGCGGCCACTGGGTGGGTTACCACTTCCAATCATAAATCACAAAAAAAATATGCCAAGGCTGCGAGGAAACTGCACTGCTCCACGGCTCCACGGCTCCATGGCACTCTCTGCAGAACAGGACTTTTCCTCGAGTTGAACTCAACTTTTATTGCAAGAAGATATTGGGAGGGCAGGCCCTGGTCCCCACAGATAGCCATTCCACGAAAACATCTCAATGCAGTATAGAACACATTACAATATTCTTTTGGCTGAAGAAGACTTTGACTTTCCTTTGAGTTGAACTTAACTTTTATTGCAAGAACTTCCTGTCTTAAAGAGATCCATTCCAAGTGAAAATTTATAAATATAAGAAGTGTAATATAATACAGCTTTGTACGATATATCTATATGTATGTATGTATATGTATGGCGGATTATGATATTATTCCCAGTGTATTTCGCATCGCCCATGGGATTGTTCTCAGTGTATTATCACTGTTGCCATTGTACTTCTCTCCTTCTTGTATTATCATCTTCTTGGTCAATTTACAGTGGTTTTTGTTGTTTGTCTATTGAGTGGGGGAGAGAGAGAACAGTTGCGTTTGCCCACACAACTACGAGTATTGTCGCAGAGTGATTCGCTATTAGCGCTGAGCTCGAACAAAATGGCCGAAGCAAGCGGTGAATGACGCGACAATGAAAATATAAACCCGACTTATACATAATACAAATATGTACACAAAGTGTCTAGTGACTTTAGTGGGGCCTAAAACGTGCTTCCTAATTCTAGAGTGAGGAAAAAAGTTTTTCTTTTATTCTTTTTTTATGTGTGCCCACTTCAAAATCTCTTCGAGCACAATTGCAGCTTCAAATCCTGTTTCAGTTTCACTTTCAGTGCTCCTCTGGACAATTGCTCAAACATTAAATGGGTTGGCCAGACTCTGTCAGTGCCCGAAGGGCCGTGCAGGGACGGACGGGCCTACAAAGGATACGCCACATATGTCGTTGGCAGCTACTGAACCCAGTCACATAGCTGGACAAGACCACACACTCACACACTGGACACACAACAAAGGATACGGCACCATCATCAGCTGCCAGATATACAGACAGTCAACAGTTGATGTCAGGCAACAAAGACCCTGCAAATACTATAATTTGTCATTTGGTTCGGTTTGTTTTTCCACTCACACTGCACACACATTTATATATTTATGACATACTCACTCTCATGTATGATGGAATCTGACTTAGTAGAAAATCTTAACTGGGATCAAATTGCATCTGCTCGAGTGGCTCAGAAAATGAATCAGCTAAGACTAAAAGAAGATAGCTGATACACTATGCATACTGCCTTTAATTAATTATGCTACGATACTCTCCAAAAGTAGTTTAGAGAGACTTTCTGGGAACCTCCTTAGAGTAAGTATCCTCCCGACTAGAACAATAACGTTGAAGGAATTAAAGCCTAGTGCACACTGAAAGCTATGGCACATGGCGACATCCAGCTCAACTCTTTCCTTCTCTCTGAACCTGAACCACGCTTGGTGTTGGGAGGGTGTCTCAGATTATGGCACAATTATCAGGATACTGCTCTAAAGGTATCCTGGGATGCAGATAAACTTAGCCACGGAACATGGCAAGATGATTGGGAGGACGCTTCGGCTTGCAGATGGGTCGGCAGGTGAGGCGCCAGAAGGCAGTGCGAAAGTCGGGATTGTAGAAGGCGTAGATGAAGGGGTTGATGGCACAATTTACCCAGCCCACCCAGGTGAAGCCGAACATGAGGTCCTCGAGCACCGCCGGGCGGGGCAGGAAGGGTATCAGCAGGTAATAGACAAAGAAGGGCAGCCAGCAAGCAATTAGACCGCCCATTACAATCGTCAGGGTCTTGGCGGTCTTTGTACTATCACGTTTCGTGGTCGACACTCGCATCGGCATCCGGTGGGGGTTGTGCTGGCCGTGGTTATGGTGCTGCATGTCGAAGACTCTCTTCTGCAGAGCCGCCTGAGAGCCGACCTTAGAGTCCCCGTCAAACTGCTGCTGCTGTGACTTGGAGTCGGATGGCGACTCGGCGGCCAGATTGGATGCGGCACCCATGCAGGTTTCCGAGAAGGAGGCCTGGCTGCCCGTGTAGTGCAGCCCCGAGGGCGTGGAGTGAATGCAGGGGCCGCCGTACTTGCAGCTAATTGCCGAGCAGTGGATGAGTGAGGATAGCCGAGAGACCTCCACTAGTTCGTAGAACGTGGGCTGGTGCTTGAAGGTCAGCGTTTTGTCCGGCACTTGTCCAGTCTTCTCCTGGCACTTTGAGCACTTGAGTGACTGTTTTCCGGCGCTGGTGGCGGTGGAGCCTGTCTGTTCGTGCAACGAGTTGAACCTCCAGCGGGACTTCCGGTGCGGCAGCCATTTGGTGGGCGTGCAGTGATAGTGCTCCGACTCGGAGATGAAGTTGTCGCCATCCACGTCACAGTCCGCTGTGCGCTCCGAGTTCTGTGTTTGTGTGGAAAAGTGGTGAAAGTTTGTCAGGCGGTTAGATGGTCTGATGGTGGGGCTTGATAAATTTCATGACACATTTCGGAAGAGATTGGAGACAGCTTACCGCATCGCGCACAATGCGCTGTCGGCGCGAGGTGAGCACATAACCAATCTTGACGTAGACATATAGCATCACTGTCAGGGGGATGAAGAACGATCCCATGGCCGAGAAGACCACGTATCCCTTGTTCTGGTTGTAGCGACAGTCCACATAATCCTCCTGGTGCCTGCCCGCCTCGTACCTGCGAATGGAAAATTGAATTCCAGTTTGAATTGGATATTTGGCTGTATTCAGTAGTCAGTAGCTGTAGTTTGGATTTAAATGTAGATGCGTATGGTGTATGGGGATGTGGTTGAGGTCCCTGAGGGTCCGGGGACTTTGAAATTTGAATTTAAGGCCAAGGCCAGTCGTGGATTTTTCGCTCTCGCTCGGATTCCCTTTCGGAACCCCTTTTATTTATGCACGAACATCTCCTCGTGATGGTCATTGAGCCCACACAAATCTGAACTAACTTTTGAATCAATTCCCAAGAAAGCCAACCATAGAAAGCAAATGAACAGCTGACGAAAGTGGATACCCTGTGGATACCCTGATAAATTAGATCAACCAAAAGGCAGTAGTGTTGGGATGTTGGGAAGGGTGTACAAAGCAAAGAGGAAAGGACACCACATACTCGTATTTGATTGTAAATTGATTATAGGACAAGCAGAACTATTGCTACTTATATCATATGCAAAAAGCAGCTTTAATCTCATCTTTGATTATGTTTCTGTTGCATTTTGATGCAGATTAAGAATATACTTGTACCCATTCTGCTTTCATTTCATATACATATGTACAGTACTTCTGTCCGAAACTATTTCTCCAAGTGATGCTGTGGCATCCTGCTGTCGCTGATTATAATTGCACTTTTTCCCCAGTTAAATTTGAAGAATTTTTCTAATCCGCTGGCTTTAATGTGTAACTGCAGTGGAATAAGGAACGGAAAGAACATACCCGTATGTACATATATGTATGTATGTACATATATATATGTATGTATGTGTTTTGGTTAATTTTGGACGCCTCAGGGTATGCAGCATACGAGTGTACATATGTGTACATGTGCACCAGTAAATGCTACGGCAAGTGCGGCGTGCGGTAGTCAAAGTCATTAACAACTCATTAAAACTTCAATGTAATGGGTGCAAGAAGACCAACAGAACAACAAACCAATACAACAGCTGAAGCAATTACGTAATGTTTTAGGCGCAGCTGGAAAATTGTCTGTGTATAAATAAGCGCATGTACATATTTCGGAGGGCACTGGAACGGGCCCTTTGTTGGCCATTATCTATCCATACCATTAGCCAGTGGAGGTATCAGTGGAGGCATCATCGACGGAGGAGGCAGGCCATAAAAAAGAGCATTGGGGATCGTTGGGGCATTACTTACCAGCCCAAATACGGGGGACATGTGATTGACAGGGCCGTTATCCACACGACCAGTATCATGAGCAGGGCCAGGCGCTTGGAGCGTCGCTTCTTCGAGTACGTCAAGGGTTGTGTGACGGCCAGATACCTGAAAGAGAGCCCGGCAATAAACGCACGGCAAATGGAGGAAATGGAGAAAAATACAATAAACAAAAAACAAAAGCCAAACAGACATATTGTTCATAAAGCCACAGCTCAGGCAAGGACCAACGCTCAGGTCGTGAGCCATCGCCACCATCTCCTGGCCCAAGTCAGAGGAGCAGGGCGGAGAACAGAGAGAGCACCACACAAAACTTGGAAATGCCATTAAAATGTAATTGAAACTTCCAACAAAAGCAACGGACGATGGACTACGGATTGTGGACTGTGGACAGTGTACTGTGAACAGCCCCACCCAATCCTTGCTGCTCATCCATTGTGGTGTCGGAGGACATTCAAAGGGTATGCTGCTGGCGTGGCACTGGCAACAGTCATGGGGCAATAAAAACGTCAACAAATAAATTATTTTGCACTGTTTTTGCACCTTGTCTACCATCCCACAGCGATAGCTTTGGGCCATGGCTTTGGATTTGGCTTTGGCTTTGGCTCTGTCTTTGTCTTTGGATATATTTTCAACTATGGCTAGGACTATGACATCAACGACAAATTAAGAAATTAGCTCTCTGAACACCCCCAAACACTCACCTGTCCAGGCTGATTGCGCACAGGCTAAGAATGGAGCCGGTGCAGAGGAGAATGTCCAGGGAGATCCATACATCGCACAGTATCCATCCGAAGCGCCAGGTGCCTGCGGAGTAAATATTTGTTGAACTAGATTCTTTGTCAGCAAGCGATTTGCTTAAGAAGTGCCTTAAATCCTGACTGTCAAAGGGAAAGTGCTAATTAGGCTCACCCACCTGTTATGTAGAGTATGACCGATGGAGGCATCACACAGGTGCCCACCAGCCAGTCCGTTATGGCAAGGTTCATCACGAAGCAGTTGGTGACCGTGCGCAGCCGGCGGGTTGTCATCACGGCGAGTATGACGAGCGTGTTGCCCACCACTGTGACGAGGATAAGCACTAGGAACAGGGCCACAGCCAGGGACTTGGGCCAGGCCATGCTCACCAAATACGAATTCACCGAAGGCACTCCCAGCACCGCTGCCGCTGCTGTAGCCCTGAGCGTGGATGTGGCTGCTGATCCCAATCCTGCTGCTTCTGATGTTGCACTGGTTGTCGTCTGAATGAGCAGCAGACTATTACTCGTACTCATGCTGACAGTGGAGTCCTCTGTGACGCCGGACAGCGCCGAGGACAGGAATCCGGAATAGAGTAGCATGGTCTGCTGATGATGATGAGGCTGATGCGGGTCGGCAGTTTCACTTGGCAAGTAGCTTGCGGTGCTACTGTTCAGTGGCATGGTCATGGTTCTGCCTGCCGACTGGCTGACTGGCTGGCTGGAGGACTAGACTGTACTGTCCCTCTGTCTGTCGCTGCTTTGTGGCCAAGGTGTACGTATTGGACATCTACCATTTGATTCTGCGTGGGGAAAGGTTCACTTAATGAACTGCCAACACAAACTGGGCTGGGTCCGACTCCGTGGCGTCGTTAGAAAAACGCCAGACTAGTGAGAGACCGCACCAGAAATGCATTCAAACAGTACACTGAGGAAAAAACTCCAGCTAGTAAAAGTTGCAGAATTATTCGGAAAATCGGCCAGATGATAGAGCATCCAACATCATCTCGATTCGATTCAATATGAGCTTGGAATATATGTTCAAGATGGTATCGGAAATTTCTGATTATCCGATCATTTTAAAGACGCTTTGCTGGCTGTCAACTTAGAACACTTCTGTTTCTCAGTGTGGAACCGGCGACGACTGCCTTACACAATTTCCAATTACGGCCGGACTGTGGCCACATAAATTGCAATAAGTAAGCGTAATTGGCCTTGGACAGCACACGAAACAAAGTAATTAGCGTCCATAAATTATGCAGCGGAACATGCACGGCCCGAAAAAATATTTAAATGATCCCCAATTAATATTCCCATTACATTTCGATTCGGATTCCGATTGCAATTGTGAATTCGGCCGAAAATCTGTTTCTATTCTTTTGTTTATTCAAAATGTACCCGAGAGAGCGTTTGGCAATAAATAAATTAAACAAATGGAGCCATATCCAGAGGAATTCCTACGAATTGGTTGTTTTATTGTGCATTTGGCGGCAGACTACCCCGAGAAAAATCTTCGATCGGATGACACTATGGGTATAATGTATGTACATGGGTATAACAGATCCGACATACATACATATGAGTTATGGTCTTCCACACCCCGTAGATAAACACAAACTGGTTGCGCTGCATTGCTCTCGAATGTCTCCCAAACACTTCTCAGATATATTTCACTCAAATATCTCTCACATTGAGTCGTAGAGGCAGCCATGTATCGTATGGATGCTTTTAAATACATAGTTAAGTAATTAATCTCTGGGCCACTGCACAATTGATTTCTTCAAACCTGCAAATCACACACACCCAGTAGGGAAACTATTGGTAATGCTGCCAACTAATGTTTCCATCGATATCGATGCTTATATGTCACGGATCGTATCGGAACTGGGCGATTGGTGTTATGGGCCTATGCCGCCCGAAATGTACAAGTATCTTATGCACACGCACAGCTGCCACTGGCACGCGTTGATTGCAAACTGACAGTTGGCTGTCGGCTGTCGGCTGTCGGCTGTCGGCTGTTGGGGTGTCCAACCTGAGATGATTCTCCCTCTGCTGAGCGGAATAGTCAATGTAGCGTATGCGCAATATTTGTATACCCTTGCCGAGGGTACTATCAAGTTCGAGGAAAGTTTTAATTGCACTGAAGGAAGTACATACATATGTATATATGTTCTGGATCAGGATTACAAGTCATCCGTCGGCTTTCATCAGTCTTTCAGCCTTAAAGTCATCTGAGTCTGCAATGGATCGATGCATCCCCAAGGGCATCCCAAGATTCGGTTTCGCTGTTTCTTAGTTTTTTTTATTGTTTTTCATTTGTGTTGTCGATTAAAGTACACAAATAGCAACAAAACCACCGACACAGGGCGGCATCGAAAAAATTCCTTAGCTACTTTTCATTCTTTACTTTTCGAATTTAACATTTTTTGTGTTTTTTTTTTATTATTTTTGATGCTGCTGTTTTATTTAGGCGCGCACATTGCCAGGTTTTGTTTGGAAAATATTTGGAAAATTCTGATATAAAATGATTACGAGAGTGGGCTGAGAGGGAAAAAAAGATAGGATAATATTGGATAGAACACGCGGTAAGGTATGGTAAAGATGAGTAAAACTGAATAATCAAAGTGCCGGTGCCCGGGGATTAAGTACAAACATAAACGAAACTATTAGACACACGGGTTCTCGCTATGATTCATCAAAATTCGGCATCAAGCAGGGTTATGCCCTATTAAGACGGGAGGTAAAGGTGGACTGGAGTGGAGGGACAACAGCTGGCGAAGCACCCACAGAAGTTTATGAAGCGAAGGCGGAGGTCCAAGTCCCAGGGCACTTATTAATATGCATTCCATTTCCCAATTAACTGGCATATTTATTTGATTAGACACACAGACTTGTTGCACCAAAATACGCGCACAGACACACACAATCTCATTAGCTCTTGGCCGCGACTGATAGCAGACAAGTTAATTGATAAATTTATCAGTTGATTATGTCCAGATGTTGTTTCGGAAGGCAATAAGAACATCGTTCAGTTCAGAACTAACCATTAAATCAGCTCTAATGGAACATGGTTATGGTTATTTTTCTTGAAAATCCTTTTTAAATTCAAATTTTTGGGTAACATAACACTTCCCACGCAGTTCTCGGAGGTCTATTCCGTGCCGTTCTGGGGCTGAGCTGATTTCTTTCTGCGGCCAAACGCCAGGACGTCCCGTGAGCGACTGAACGAGCTGCTTGTCGGCCAAATAACGCATTTGGCTAATTTTCCAAACGCTTGCCACTCGCACTCTGTCCCTCTACCTCTCTGCCCACTGTCTGCCGTTCGTGTGCGTTCCGTGCTTTGGGTCATGGTTCATGGTTCAAGTTCTTGGTGCTGTGTAAACAGAAGAGGGATCACTGTACGAATAGAAGCCACGTTAATTTCGTTTCTCTTTCTTTATCACTCTTTGCCAATGTATTAATTATGAATCTACTTTGTGTTTGCCGGCGGATTCTAAAGGATGCGACGCTCGATGGAATTAAGAATGAGCTTGGAATACGTAGGAGAAGGAGAGATGTGGTGTGTAGTGTTATGGAGTGGAGTGGGTTGATGGTGGCATAGGCTTGCATATGCAGATGGAAATAAATGGGTTTACTGTAATTGATAACGGCTGAGTGCGTGGGAGTGTATGGGGATTTCAGTTGACATTCATTTGATGGGGTGTCGGTGTTTCAGAGGGGAAGGGAGAGGGACGTGACGAGTGTACGCGAAAATCGATCGTGCCCATTCCCGAGCTGTCACTCACATTAAGTACATTAAAAATCCATAGGGATTTCAACACCCACTCCGACTATGACTCCGCCAACTGCTCCTCCCATATGCAATTGTGGCACACACGCACATCGGGCATATCCGCTATCCAATCCCCTATCCACATCCAAGCTGACATAGCTTGTGTGCCGAACAAACACTCACTACTCCCTCACTCACTAGGACATACTTACTTTACTCTACTCCCCGACAATGCTAATAAATTTTCGTTTTATGAGCATTTGGCTTTTAATTACCGAACTAAATTTAAGCGCCGCACTAGCACAAATATGCGTAAGCGTATGGGTGGGTGTAGTATCGGTGTGTGTTACGTAGATATTTATACAACACGCTTGATTTCGCTTGATTGATCTGAAAGGAAGAGGGAAGAGGGAGGAGCAGGCAACGGGAAGGAAAGAAGCCAATTCCAATTGCTGTCATAGGCGGACGAGAGAGGGTCGTAAACTAAATTTCTTTCTTTTGTAGCTGTTCTGTGTGTTGTTTCCGCACAACAATTGTGTAATTGAATTGGAACTACGTTCCGCATTCAAGCGAAGTTAAGGAACCCTTTGAATTACTTCATATTGACATGACAAAATAGTTTATTAATTCATATTAATGGTATTCATATGGCAGTCCGTTATCTGTTATTCCTTTGACTACTCGTTCTGAGTACTTAAGGCAATGGCTAGAGGGTTAGGCAAGGCGAATCCACTGGCGAAGGTATTCGGTGATCTTCCATTGCATCTCCTGCAGGTAATCCGTGAGATATAGATGGTGCAGGAGCGGGGACTTTTGCTACATTCTCTGGATGACACACCCTTTGAAGGAGTTCAGTCTCACATCGATTTCACCCTCCTCCAGCTAAAGCAAAAACACAATGGGGATTAGAGTTCCGAAAACGAGTCCTCTGGTTATTCCACTCACCTCGTTGAAGGCATATATATCCTGGTAGCAGGATGGCGATATGCAGCGCCTTATGCAGTTTATCTTGGACACGTCCACGTTGAGATTTACGCACTGCGTGTGCTGCTCGCAGGCCACCTCCTGTTCGTGGTAGGTTATTTCCTGTTTAAGAAATACGTGAACGATTCAGCCCCGGGAAAAATCAATAACCTTGTGAACTGACGGTACTTACATTCTTACTAGTTTCCTTGTAGGCGTACTCTGGAAAGTGGAAAGTGGCAGTCTTCGGGAACATCTTGCCACTCAATCCGGGTATTTCCTTGTAACAGAGCGTACATTTCAGTAAAATATAGAAAACAGCACAGATAATCGCAGGACGTTGCATTTTAGTTGCGATAGCGACGACAAAAAAGTACGTTCGACGCGGCACAGGTAGCCTTAGGGTAATTTTGTTTTTTGTATCTTTTAAGGGCAGAGTGTGCCCAGGCACTCTTGAAAATACCGGAACTGGAACTGAAAACTACTGATGAACTGGAACTACTGATTGACCTGGAACTGGAACTACTAGCATTTTTCGGTATCTTCTCAAGAAGTATGACCAGATAATCAGCAAATACCAAACCAGGGCCGCATAAAAATACCGAAAAAGGACGAATTGGCGAAGAAGAAGAGCGTGCGCGCGCGGATGCGTCACTGGCCGAGGAACCGGCCGCGGAACCTTGTGACGGATATCCTCGGATACACGCTAAGCCGCAACGTCATCTTGTGCCGCTCGTCCTCGTCCAGGCCGTACTTGGAAAGTGCTTCACACAAAACACCCAACTGTCCGTCTCTGGGCGGTACTCGACGAAGCGAGTATCGTTCTCGTGGCAGGCGCGACGCAGCTTTCCCAGCTTTTGGTGTTTAAGATATCGGCGGCCTTGTCCTTCTTGTTCTCTCCCATTTTCTCTCTTGTTTTCCTGTTGGTGAACTAGTTATCACACCACTTTTCCTCTTGCTCCAGGGGAAAAACCCTTCGCATGTTGCCTTCTAAATATCTGGCGTCTCCCACCGTCATGTGAATGTTATTATTTAAAATGTACTATCCCACAAGCGTTATGAGCTTCCTCTGTTGGGTCGCTTTGAGCTTTACGTTTTTGCGCTTCTTTTTTAGCAGCACATGGCCCGCATTTCCACTGTTTAGGAGGTTGCAGTACACGGTTATAACCGTCGTCACTGTGGACGGGCTGTGGACTGTGGACTGTGGTCGGCCTCATCCGAATCTCCACTGCTCGACGTCACATCGAAGTCGTCGTCGCTACTTACATTCTTGAATACGGTGACTGGCACCGGAGTGTAATCATGGTCACGCTCAACATGGTCGTAACCAGTGGCGGCGGGCTGCCACCACATATTATAACGGATCTTTCACTAGGGCTGGATCGTTGCCGAAACGATAGTATCGATATAAATTTATAATTTAAATTTATATAAATTGCAATTGAGATGGATCTCATGAGATGAGATAGTTATAGCTAGACTATATCTATAACTATAGCTTCTGATAAGGATTGGTAAGGACCTAAACTGGACGTAAACGTACAACAATCGATAGTATTGTGTTCGTATCGATAGCATAGATAGGGCTGCAAAAACTGCACTACCGACGCGACGCTTTACTGTTTATATTTATTATATTTCTTTATTTCTGCCAGGTGAGCTAAGGGCACAAGTGCAAACCAAATGGAATGATTTTAATATGGCGCGCCACAAAATTAGGAACGCCACGATATGCCGGCAACTGGAAACAGACGAGTGAAAAGACCATATATGAGGCGAATCTCTACAAGCGCCACCAGCTGGTATGCTATATTGTCAGCATGTTGTTGCTTTATAATTTGAGCATCATTTGCAGAATATGCATTTTCTTACCAACCTGCCTACCAGACACACACCCACCTATTTGCCATAGCGTGGTGCATGATTGTGGTGAAAGATTGCGGTGAAATCATTTGTTGCCTCCTGTTATGACGCTACACATGTTATTTCTCTTGGCTAGGAACAGCCCGCTGTTAGCTAGCCTGCCGTCCCTGCTGCTCCTGCTGTACCTGCCGATGATAAGCCAGTTGTGGCTTATGAGCGTTGGGCTTTGCAGGTGGCCCGCGCTGAGGACGAGGAGTAACCATTCAATAACCAATAAAAAAAACTTATCTATCTATTTTTGCATTCATTTATTTGTATGAGGTACTACCTAACGTCTTCCAGCATAAACACTCCTGCAAATTTTGCTAAAATTGCTCCTGCAGGCATGTCTGGAGGTACGTCAGCCCAGTACCAGGAACAAGCTGTGGGCCCTGTGCGACCGACAAGCCTGGCCGGATGAAGAAAATAGCAACAATGCGGGTGACGTAGTATAATTGATCACTTTTAAGCTCTGCCATTTGGTCAGCCAGCGTAGTTGTGTACAACATAATTTCGTTCATGTGCCTTTTCGGGAAACTGTTTGGCGTTGAGACCACCATCTTCCGGATGGCCTTCACTTCGTTCCTATTTCCCGAGTCGGTCGGCGTATTTAAAAATACTTCCGCCCAATGTTGCTCGTACAGTTTCTGTACCGTTGCGTCGGTGTTCAGGTGTAATGCTGCAACATTACGCTGGTGGAAGATATCCCAAATAACTGGGTACTCCTGTGTAGCCGACCTTAGGGCATCCAAATTCGATTTATTGTGGTCGGACACAATGGCCATTCGATTTTTGGCCAGGCCCAGTTTGGAGATTTTTTTTAAAACGATCCCAAGAGTCGATTTAATTTTGTCTCTCCCAAGCTTTGATTGACGGTTTGTAGCTACATATATAGATAAATACTGGGACCTGTTGAAATATATATTTGTTGGCGCGCTAGTATAAAAAGGAATTTACTATACTATAATGAAAGGAAACTCAGTGGCTCTGTGGCAGGAGCCGTCATACGATTCTTGTTGTGTATATTTAAAGTTTAATTCATTGAAATCTTTTGAAATACTCGTCGTCTTAGGCGTAACTGTAGAAGGAACCTTAAAGAACAATCCTAGTGGGTAGAACAATTGCAATAATGTGATGCACTGGCACAGATAACAAAAACTTAATGTAGCATATGTAATTAGTATGGAGAGAGCGTAAATAAAAAATTACAATTAAATGTATACATATATCACAACAGGTAGAAGAGAATTGTATTCAGAATACATAAGCTTCAGTTTAAACGTAATCCTCGCTGCTCTTCAGCATGCTCTGTGTCTCCACGCCCAGCACCGGCTGCATCTTGCAGGTGAGTGATCCGTGCCGCTGGATGGATCCGTGGATGGTGAAGCGCGAGGTGGCGTGGGTGGAGGAGCTGTGCTTGTACTTTAAAGCGCTCTGCCGGCAGAAACCTAATCTGCAATGGGAATTCCCGATGAATGATAGATACCTACAGGAATGAGCAAGCCATCCCCATTACTCACTTCGACAACAGTGTGAACAGATCCTGGCGATACTGCGACGTTAGTATGGCATACAGATAGGGATCCGCACACGAGTTCAGGGGATAGAAGAATACCAGTAATATCTTGGATTTTGTTACATTTATCAGCGGATAGCCACCCAGGGCGGTGAGGCCAAAGAAAGCAATGGGGGACCAGCAGGCAAAGTTGGTAAAGACCTAGAATGCGATAAAGTAGAGCTTCGCCATCTATTATTATCCCCATTCACTCACTAGCAGTGCCATCTTCTTAGCGACGCTCATCTCTCCGGGGTTCTTCTGGCGGGCGTGACGCGTCTCGCGGCCTAGCGAGAGATAGATCTGAGCGTAGCACACGGCTATGATGGAGAAGGCCACGCCGTTGCACCCAAGAATGGCAATAAGGTAGGCAGTGTCGTATCCGTCGCGGTTTTCCATCGGCAAACAGATGCTGCAAACGCAAGAGGATTCAGTTGATGCTGATAGAATGAACCTCCCTGCTGCGCGCTCACCTGGTCGATGAATAATTGCTGATGCCAAACAAAGGCAGCGAGGACATTAGCACGGAGTAAATCCAGCCGGCCAGCATGATTATCGCCGCCGGGCGCAACTTGATGCGGTGGTTCAGGTGCATGGCCTGTGTAATCGCCAGCCAGCGCTCGATAGTAATCACGGTCAGTGTGAATACCGACAAATGGCTTGCGAATACCGTGAGGAATCCGGCTACTTTGCAGCCCACCCCTGGTAGAAGAGAGAGAGAGAGAGAGAGAGGAATGCAAATTAGAATTAGAGAACAGAGTCGAAAACAAATCCGTGGCCTCAAACCAACCAACCTACCGTATTGCCAGTCGTAGGCATAGTTAAAGAACTCCCCCATGGAATGGGCATCGATGGAAGCAACCAGCAGCAGGTAGAGGCCCAAGCAGAGGTCAGCAAAGGCCAGGTGGCACATGAGAAAGCGCGGAACCGACGCCGACTCGGGCCTGAATAGCAATAGGCGATAGCAATGGGGTTCGAGATTAGCACACCATTCTTCTGCTGCTGCAAATTGTGTAACGTAACTCTTACCTAATCGATAGTATTACTGTCAGCACCGCCACGTTGCCCACGACCGCTAGGGCGACCACTATCCAAACAGAGATCCTCAGCCACTGATAGCCCATCACATCCTCGCAAGGATTCAGAGCGTTGGGCATGGGATAGCACTCCACATTAGGTTTCCTGCGAATGTAGTTAGCTATTGGACCACAAAGATCAGCAATAACTCACCTGAATGTGAAATTTCCACAGTACTCGGCCGACTGTCCATCGTCCGGATTAATGGTGATCTGCTCGTGGAATTGGCCCAGGTTGATGGTCGTATCCGCCATGTAGTCGAAGGAAGCGTAGAGGCTAGGGGCCGCATCCGTCACCGCCTTTTCGGTTTTGTCTGAGTCAGCTATGCGCTCGCTGTTGCACAGCTCCCGCCTCTTCTCAATCTCCCGCAAACGCTGGGCGTGTCGCTCTGGATCGTGCCGCGAAGGGAACTGGAAGGCGCAGCAGTGGAACGAGTGGGTGAGGTATGCCCGCTGCAGATTCTGAAATAGAAAACAGTAAAAATGTAATGCTACGGATTAGCAATGGGGAATGAAAGCCCTTGGCATACCCGAAAGTTGTATATGGAGGGTATCGTCTTCAGAGTGTGCGTGTTCTGGATGTACAATGCTTCGATGGTCTGGAGTCCAGCTGATGGCAGGCCCACAAGCGCAGTACTAGAGAGATCGCTAAGAAAGGATTATATTGATTATAGGTATGTACATACATATATCCGTAAATGCCTGTAAAAAGACTCTGCTTACAGTTCTGTTATGTCTATAATGCCATGGAATGCATTCGGATGCAGTTCGCTGAGCTTTCGGTTATCCTGCAGAGAGCTATAAAAATCACACCCGATCCATTATTCAGTATCCCATCAAGTGGGCTTCTAGTTATACTCACAGCTTGGCTATCTTTGAGCCAAAGAAAGCCGAATCATCAACGTAGCGTATGTCATTGTTTGCCAAAATGCTATAAAGATTACATTCCTAAAGAGATCACTTGGATAATTCGTGGTAATGGGGCAATACATACAATTGGGCAGTCTTTACTTTTATGGATTTAGTATCTATTCGAGTGATTTGATTATTATCGAGATCTCTGCGAGAAAGATACGAGCGAAAAGCATAAGCTTTAGAGTTAATTACCCACCGAGGGCTGCGGCTACTCACATCATTTGCAAAATGTTATACGGCGGCAGGTGACTCAAGTCCGGAACGCTGGTTAGCCCGCTGTTTATGATGCGTCTGCGGTGGGGAAGAGAGGAATGAAATTTGTAATAATGTTTCACTTGCGACCCCTAATGCAAGTTTGCCATTCGCCCACGATTTGCCATTTTCCAGGTAAACTTTAAGCTCCCTCCCACCCCTCGCGTACAACAACTTTCACCTCTCAGCGTGCTTATTTATTGACATCGCATCGCATCTGCATTGTATATTGTATATAGCACTCTGCTCCAGGCATTAGCTTTGAGTGTGTGTGTGTGTGTGTGTACGAGTATTGTGTATGTATGTATATAAAGACACGCAGTTATAGATAGCGGATAACAAAGATATGCACTTGAACAGTTTCCCCTTTTTTTATTTTCTTTTTGTATACGTAGTTGTTTTAGCACTCCCCCTCCTCCTCCTACAGGAATTCCCCAACATTAAACCATTTCCTTGGATGAAGGAGCAACAAGTAGAACAATTGTTTTGGCTCTAATTACATTCAAGGCATACCAGAAATATCCTAAACACTCTCTTCTTTCTGCTCACACCTCACACCCCAATGACTCAGACTTGATTCTATTTACGAGCATGTATGTACATATCTATCATGTGCGTGTTGGATGATTCCCAATGAGATATTTGATAATTTCAGATGGCTTACATTATTTCAACTGTGTCCGAAATGCCAGCAAATACGTCCCTAGACAGGAAGGACAGTTTGGGTGCATTCGAAATGTAGCTGTAAGTATAGCATAATATATTGTATCTGTATAATGAATGGCCTTCCTCTGGCCCCAGTTGATTGATGCTCCCACTCATGACAATTACAATCAAGCCTTACATTGTTCGCAGTAGCGTTAAGTTAGCGAAAGCGCTGTTCTGTATCAATTCCAGCTGCAGACAGTCGGTGAAGGCTCTGTTCCGGAGACAAAGGACACACAGTATATAGTAGAAATTGGTTAGGCAGTTAGATGGATACACAGATGTCCCTTCCTGGATAGATACTCACACATCAAGTAGTGTGGGGGCATAAACCTTCAGTCCCGTGGAACGGAGGCGCGGCAGGCCCGTAGACGCAATAGTTAGCCGCTGGATGGGGAGCTTCAGCGTCTGGGGAACACGAGTGAGGTCCTCTCCCTCGCAGCGACATTCAACCTCTTCGCTCTGTGGAAAAGGAGAGAGTTGATTAATTCAATATTCGCAGGCACTTGGCCACTTAAGTTCCGATGATGCGAAAGTTGTTGAGCTTTTCAGAGCTTAGAGTCGAGTGGCGTGTCGTCAGGAGCCACGTTTGTCCACGTTTATTGTGTAAACAAATATAGGGCACTCTTGTCTACATTGCGTACATCAAACACTTACTTGATTAGATGCATTCCAGCAGCAACACTTCCAGGGCGAGGGCGAAAGTGTCAGTGTCAGGGTCGCTGGCATCAAAGTTGGATTGGGATTGATATTTGGATTGGCGTTGGCGTTGGCGTTGGGATTGGGATAGATATCGAAACCGTTGTGGCTGTCGTGGCAGTTGCTCTCTTGGGGCCCCTCCACCTCCAGGGCGTATGGGTGATGTTGGCCACAGAGCAATGCCAGCAGCAGGAGCAGCAGCAGGAAGAGTAGTTCAATTGACGGGCACGTCCTCGGCATGTTTTTGTAAGTAGTCGCTTCCGTCAGATCCTAAGAGCGTAATGGGAGCCGCATGGCTTCCTCGCTGTCTCAATCTGTCATTGACTCGTACTCCTCTCTAATTGGAATGATTCCGTTTGCTCATCTTGTGGTAAGCTGTGAGGGAGGAGTGTGGATAAGAGAGTCAGTTCTACGTCACGGAGTGCATAATAAAGTCATCAAGCTGCGCGAAGAGAAGAATAGGCGAATGATAAAGATAAATACCATCCAGTCCGATTCGATCGACGGAACCGCAGATCCGCAGATATTTTGCCAACATGTGAATTGGTCGCTCACGTTGTGCGGCGCGGACGCGTGTTCGATTGATTTTCAAAGGCGGAGAGATGACAAACAAAACCGAAATCAGCCACTCAGCTGAAAAATGTTCGCAGCAAATTTCTTAAGCAATCCATTGGGAGAGACTATTCTCGTACTCGTACAGTGAAGCCTCGAGAGGACACTGGCACTGAGCCAAAGAGAAGAGGCCAACAGAAACAAAGCAAACACCGAAGGAGACCGAGTGGGCACTTTTAATTAACATATGTTATCACCGACATAAAATTCATATTTAACCCATTGCATTTCATTTTTAGACACAATGTAGGTACAATCGGATCGTTCCGCTCTGCTCTGCTCTGCTCCATCACGTTTCGCGGTTACACCGAGTATATGTACATAGATATGTACATATGTATGCACATATGCATGTATGTATGTACATATATTTATTCCGAAAGGCCCCACTAATTGAAACATTCAGTTTCAGTTGCGCGTAATTAGTGGTCAATAAACAGAGATTGGCCGAGAGTACAATCTCGTACGCTATTCTCTGGTTATACCAAACTATTTCTATAATTCTATACGCTTATCTGCAGCTCAAAGGCCTGCCGACAGGTGTGTGCGCCATGAATCTACCTTTTAATTAACAAATATTTGTTCTCGCATGTGCTCCAGCTACAGCTCCAGCTCCAGCTTTACCTTTATTGTCTTATTTGGTGGGTAAAAAATGCACAATGCTAGCTACCGAATAGGGACCCATTCCCCAGTCCCCATTCCCCATGGAACTGAGCATGCAATCAATAAAGGGAATAATTAAGAAATTAATTAGCACCTTTAGACCGGCGACCTTCCAGCGGAATGTGCAAACCACCATGAACCAAGTTCGATTCTCGGATACGTAGACCGTAGATACAGGGAGATCAGAATGGCAACTGCCAAAACTCTTGCACGTGCTGCTGCTGCTGCGGCTGCTCCGCTTCCAAGTTTAGTTTTTGTGCCAATGACGCAATCAGTTTACAGACCGATAATAAAATTATTCGAGTATGCAAAAGTTTGTTCAAGAGATAGAAAATGAGCTAAGTAAATTATTTACACAATATTTCATTTGATTGGCAGCTCTGCTCTTGATTGTTTGCTTCAAAATCAACGCGCGAATGAATAGTTAGCAGTTCGAGTATGAGTACGAAGTATCAATCGAATCTATCTGAAACGAATGCAGCCAATCCTTCGACGATTTCTCTTTGATATTCGATGGAAGCAATTTGTTTAATTGGTTGCCTGCATCCTTTAATGGGGCACAACGAATGGACCCATCAAAGCTCATCCAATTAGGTGGCAGCAACTGTTTCCCATAACATTCATGCATAAATGAGCACAGTTCTGATGTCCGCAGCAGCAGACCAGACTGGAAGGTCGGGTCGCTTTGTTTCGCCGCCTCTGCAGTCTTTCTGGTGTCATTTTTGACAAATTATTGTTAATTGCGGCAATGATAGCATTATAAAACAAGTTAGTAACAATTTGTGGAGCGGAGCGTTGATCAAAGCTGGAGTACAGCCAGAGTGGAGCTCTCACTAGAATATTCTTCATAAATCAAATTAAAAGTCCAACACTTGAGTGCCCCCACAGTGGCTGTAAACTTTATTTGTGTCCCTAGAGAGGTTGTTCCTTTAACTTAATCGGATTGCCAGCTCTTACATATGGTTCATTGATTGCTCAACATAATGACACTAGTTATTATCCGATTATTATGAAAGTAGTCATATGGATATCATGTGTACCCAAGTGATAGTGCAATAACTAAGATAAATTCTTCTCTCCTCTCTGATATATCTGATATACAAGTATATGTAAATGTATGAACACAAATCAAACTTCAGAGTCATGTGCTAACAATTTGTTAGTGCATTAAGCATCATTACTGAATGACAGCACCGATTACACTTTCGAGATTACGAAACACAATGTGTGCTGAATTTCACACCCATGAGATTAATACCAATATTAGCAGTACGAGTACGGGGAGTATGGTATGAACTATATAGAGAGCAAAAATAATGTTTGATTATAATATGGATACGATGCGATGCACACACGCACTCACCTCACAATTTCCGCTCTGCCCTATGAATGAAAGGCGGCGCTGGATTCTGTAATAAATTATTCCACTGATATGACGCGCACCATCACATGGGCGATTAAATATAGAATTATGATGCCTTTCCGTCGTAATGGTATTGAAAACACTTTTTTTCAGTTAATCTGGTCAGGCGGTTGCTTGGTAATGTTTAACACACACTTTCCCCTGAATCCACTCGCAGCTTCGTTTATTTTGCTGGGTGTAAACAATTCATTGCACAAAGAATTCCTCAGATGCTCAGCAATTAAATTACTTTCAAATTAAGCGGGTAATCATGGAGATGCTCGTAGATTTAAAGGACCGCAATTTCACTAGCTTTCCTATCCCGCTGGCAGAACGCGACTCTTGTGCACCTGTTGAAGCCCCGAGCCGAGCTACACCAATGGAATATTAGCGTTGCTTCCAAACCGGAAGCCAGGTTAAGCACAGACGAAATGAGACGAAATGAAACGAAACGAAACGACACGAAACGACACGAACCGAACTGCTTCAGCAGCAATCGCAAAATGAGAGCTTCATAAGAGCCGTAACGTAACGGAACCCCAAAGGTGTTTGTTTTAGCTTCGGGTACGGTGCGTGTATGTTATGTTCGTGTCTGTGCATATCTGTGCGTTTGTGTGTGTTGGATTTGTGGGTGAAAGCTTTCGCTTTTATGGCCCCACCCCACTTGTTGCCCTGCGGTCACTGCCTCCTGTCAAGGCTGAAGTAAATGTAGAAATAGAAGTAGGCCTTGACATAGAAGTGCTACCCAGATAACTAGCCGTGTACATATGTATTTGTAAGAATCTAGTCATTCACCAACAAGCCTCTAAAATAGCCCAGCCAAATCCTAAACAAAAATTTTAATCTCCATTTTGAACGCAATCCGTCGTCGTTTCGAATACATTCTTGCAAAATGGACATGAACTTTCAGTACCAGAAGGATCACACCTTCGAGAAGCGCCGCAACGAGGGTGACAAGGTCCGTCGCCGCTATCCTGACCGTGTTCCCGTCATCGTGGAGAAGGCCCCCAAGACGCGCCACCCAGATCTGGACAAGAAGAAGTACCTGGTGCCTGCTGACCTGACTGTGGGACAGTTCTACTTTCTCATTCGCAAACGTATCAAGCTGAGCCCCGACGCTGCTCTCTTCTTCTTTGTGAACAACGTGATTCCCCCGACATCGGCCACCATGGGATCGCTCTACCAGGAGCACCGCGACAAGGACTACTTCCTGTACATGTCCTACTCCGATGAGAATGTCTAGAGACGTCAATGTTACGTTTCTATCTGTCGTTTTGTCACTTTTTTGGCATTTTTAAGTTCATCAATAAAATAATTGTTCATCAACAGCAACGATCATCGTCATCAGTCTGCCGCTGCCTCAGCATCAGCCTGAGACTCGCACGCTGTGCTTGGCAAAATAATAATTCAATGGAAAATGTACTTCCCCTTTAGTCTAATCCCGACATCTTCACCGATCTACGAAAAAAACCAACAAATTAATTAAAATTGAATCGAACACAACACATCTAGTGAACTCACGGCTTAATTATAATTCACAAATCGATAGCGAGTCCCATTCAGATTGGACAGCGGGGCCAATTAAATGGAGTCTCAGGTCTCAGCCTGGACTGATGTCTCTTGCTGCTTTATTTAATTAAGATCACTAATTGGTGAAAATATGAGAGATGAAACCAGTTTAAGTCGCTGCTCTGCTTTAGTGTGCTCTGAAAGCATGCAATACTATGCAAAGTTAAATTCAGATTGGGTGGTGCAGCAAAACAAAGTTGTAGATTCTACTCATTGACACCGCATTAGCAAAGGAAACTTTTCAGCGGGAGAATTTTGTAGTCGGGAAATTAAGAAGTCAATTATGCGTTTGAATAATTCCGCCACACCCCCAAGGAGCAGCAGTGGGTGGTAAATAAATGGCGAATGCGCAATTGGGTCTCGAAAATTCTGTATGTATACTTCAGTGGATTCTCATTCGATATGTAGATAAAGTTCTCCGGGTGAATCGTACTTGTAACAAGCAAATGGTAGTATGTATATTAATTGATCCGCCAATATTCATATCTAAGGTAAGGGAGGGGCTTAGGTAAGACTTAGACCCCACCCACACAGAACAGACAGTCTGACAAGTCGAGCGGAATTTATATAGACATTTAATAATATTCTGTTATACATTTTAATTTAGACTGCGATTTGCATATCATGTTATTTACAATCGAACGAACGAACAGCCACTAATTGACTAGATCAATGCAAAGCGAATCCACACCTGACTCACTCACACAAGCACGGAATCTTCTCTGCGGAAATAAAAGTGTAAAATATATTAGTAAATTTAATTAAGAAATTAGTGAGTGGCCGAAAATACACGCGAATCGTGGGGCTGAGGCTGGGGCTGGGGCTGTAGAATATCTGGTAAGCGATTTGTCATTTTTTGGTACATTGTAACGCCGCCAACGATTGTTGGGTTATCGAAGAAAGGGGAAGAGCAGACAGCCAAACAATTTGCGTATTATTAGCAATGGAAATCAGCTTAATCGCTTTGGGCGGAGCATGAATTGGAGCGAATTCGATGGAGGCTTAAATTTCGCTTCTTTGTTTAAGCCGCAGGTACATAAAGCGGGGGATATACGTTCGACCGAGCATTCGGGCATTCAAAACTTGCTAAAAAAAAAAAATACGAAATTAACAATTAAGAAATTATCTCAAGTGTGCCAGGCATTCAGATTCACGGCAGGCAGGCTAAGGCAGCCAATAATTTGTCTTTCGAATCTATTGCAGCTGGTTGGGCGTGCCCGAATCAGATGTTAGGCATGGGCGGGCAGACAAGACTTGTGGCCCAACGCTTTAAATGCCTCAGTTTGATCCCACTCTGGATCTGGCACACTTGCCATTTTAAAAATAATGTGATTGAGCGCCCCAACAAATACCTCGGATTTTTTGATAAAATATATACCGTCTGCCGTACTCATGTTCCAAAAATACCGTAAATATACCGCGCAATGTGTAAATTTTCTCTGTCTATGATCGGAAACAATATTCCCCGATTTTGATATTCGGTTCAACATTACTAGCTATCTAGGACTCTCAGCACTTCAATTATAATTTTATCCGTTATATACATCAGTCGACTGGTTATTTTCAAGGACCCCTTTTTATAAAATTGTTTCAAAAATAGGGTTAACACAAAAAGGTCAACGTTGGTTAACAACGTAAAGACTTCAAACCTGGTCACACTCTTGTCTTGTGCTATCGAAATTTAAATCTTTATCGGATCGGCTCTATCGTATTATAAAAACTGTTCCGACATTAAAGAGCTCTAAAAGCACTACAATAAACATATTGAATACGTTTGTAAAGATCAGTTAAAGTCTAAATATATATATCTCGATAGTTCATAAAATGACAAAGATATCGTGATGTTTGTGTGTATTTTCGAAGGGAAGTGCCCAAGAATTTTCATTCAATGTGCCTCTGGCGTTCCTATTTGTTTAAACAACCAACTAAATTTAAAATTTTCTACTGAGAGAACATGAGGAAAAAACGAATGAAGCCCATCAGTACTCGATGCAATGACGTTTTGGGAAAAACTTGGACCAGGCATTGCCAGGGGAGGTACTCGTTTAGTCCAACCAGACGATCCATATGTTATTCATTACATGCCCCCGGACAAATATCTCATAACCATGGGAATAAGTAAACTGGACAAGGCCGAGACTGTTATCCTGTCGCCAAAAGGATTCCTTGATGAAGACAACAAAATAATTGAGAAATTTAAGTACTTGTGCTGTGTGCCATATAGGTTTCGCTTCACGGAGGAACTTGTCGCACACTGCACGGGTCGGTTCGGTGGCTACGCACACTTTATTTCTAAAGTTCTAAATTATGCAGTGTATGATTTTAGCCGAAAACAAGAATGGACAAGTAGTGCGTCGTTTGATGATTTTGAAAATTGCACTTACCACTCGAACTGCTCCGCCGAATCCTTGGGCGGATTGCGATGGTGGCCCTTGCTTCTACTAGGATGGTTTCTGTTGGTTACGATATACAGCAACTTGAAGAGATAAACAAATAAACGTTAATACATAGCGTGTGTAATTATATACGTTTCACAGCAAAAAAGTCGCGCCAACTTCGTGATATGTATCGATTAACGTTACTTCCGACGTAACGAAGCGCGCGAAACGTAATTGTTGCAACAACAAAGGTCGCCATTTTTACGAGATTTTTATTTTTCTCTTTTCCGGTCACATTGAAAATATTAACATTTTGTTGGTATTTTTTACTCGTCGTAAATAAATGAGGAAAAAATTGTGCGAAGCGAGACGAGAATGGCGTCCACGCTGTTTAAGAAAAAATAAAATCTAACAATTGTGTGTATTTAGAGTCGTTAAATTGTGCGTACAACAAACAAATACAACATACATTTTAAGCAGTCGTTTCGTGCTTCTGCTCTCGTCGGCGGCGGCTTTCTCGTTGTATTTGATTTGCAAAAAAAAATCGCTTTGTATGTGGCTCGCTTCGTCGTCATGCTGCGAAATTGTTTAAAAATTAAGTGAAATATACTTTATTAATAGAGAAAAGTATGTGCAACATGTGCAGGGTATATCTGGTGATCAGTCGCGAGTGAGTGTACCCTCCCCCGCAGTGTTTTTGCAAGCCTAGCAGCCTTGCGAAAAAAATTTCCTTGGCAGCGCAGCGCAGCCAGACAAGACTTGCATACACTTCAAATTCGTTTCGTTCGTATACCGAGCTTGCTGCCCTGTCCCTGTCTTCTCGCGCGAGTTCGTTTTCAGTATATATAGCCAGTCTATGGACGGTCGTCAATGCGTGAATATTCTTCTATGTGTAAGTGTACGTGCGTGTATTAGCTGTATAGTTAAGAAAAATCATCAAAAAATCCCCAAAGATCTATAATCTGCCCGGACTTCGCCCACAGGCGAGTGAACAATTGTTAACTCGAGAGTTGCTGCCGCTGCCGATTCTGCTGTTGTTGTTGTTGTCGTGTCGTCGTTGCTGGTTCTGGTGCACACCAAAGGTGTCCAAGTGTGTACATATGCAAATAATTGGATGTCGGGACACATCCTTGCATCATCATGAAGAGCATCGCACCATAAGCAAGCAAAAACCACAGAAAACGCAAAAGACTTCTCCCCAAAACGAAGCAGAAGCGATACGAAGAGAAACGTCAGCAGCAGCAAAGGCAGAGAAGTAGCAGCAGCAAAAAAAAAGCGGCTGTCCGCTGGCAATTATTTATAAGTCAGATGAGTTAACAAATGCCGCGGGAGCTGGGAAATGCGTTGTCCAAGGAGCCGGAGCCGGAGCCGTGTCCAGAGCCAGTGGGTTACTTCGTAAAGGCAAAAATTCGGCATAGAAAATAATTAAGAAAAAATCATTACTGCCCGTTTCGTTCGTTTCACACAGAAACTAATAACGCCATGAGTGCGAGAGTGAGAGCGACATATGCATGTAGAGACGAGACGGCGTGTGCGTCAAGAGAGCCAAGAGAGCGAGAGAGAGAGCGCGAGCGAGCTAGCGGCAGGGTTGTCAACGCACGGCAATCTCTGTACGCGGTAGAAATAAATGTTGTTGTGGTATTGGTGTGTTCGTGTCGGTGTTGGTAGCGGACTTTTCAATACACAGAGCCATGAACCGATACAAATTATTTATGTTTCCCAATATATTCGGTGTCCGGTGTTCCGGGTCCCGTACGGATTAGTTAGATCAAGATGAAGGGAATTGAAAGAGCAGAACGAGAGTGCACTAATCAGTCTTTGATAACTTGCAGCTAACATAACCTCAAATTTGCCGCTGCAGTCGTCGGAGAAGTCGTCGTCATCATCAGCGTCAGCGTTGTTGGCGGGTCCTCCCCAGCCCCCACAGCCACACCGCCAGCAGCAGCAGCAAATGAGCAGCCATGAATGAGAAAATAAAGTCGCCGTCAACCCAGGGAGGTGCTGGGGCCGGAGCCCCCGCTGCTGCTCCGCCCGCGGCATCTGGGAGTGTAGCCGCCGCAGCAGCAGCCAGCAGTGGTGCAGGTGCCGGTGTCGGTGTCGGTGCCAATTCTGTATCCACCCCACCCACTTCCGGCCCACCCACGCCCAACAACAACGGCAGCGATCCGATCATACAGCAAAATGTCGGAGTGCCGCACCCCTACGGTGCCCCACCACCACCTGGCTCGGCACCAGGTGCACCACCGGACCCGGTGGCAGTAATGCACTACCACCATCTGCATCAGCAGCAACAACAGCAGCATCCGCCCCACATGCAACATCACGGCGGGCCGGCGCCGCCGCCAGGAGCACCTGAGCATGCGCCCGGCGTGAAGGACGATTACGGTGCGGCGGTGGCTCACCTGCCACCGCCCCACGCTCATCCTGCCTACGCGCGGTACCACACGGGAGACCCCAACATGGATCCCTACCGCTACGGTCAGCCATCGCCCGGCGGCAAGCTCCCGCAGCCCCATCAGCAGCAGCAGCCACAACAGCAGCAGCAGCAGCAGCCACCGGGTGCGGGAGGCTCTCCCAATCGGCCGCCACAGCAGCAACGTTACATCCCTGGCCAGCCGCCGCAAGGGCCCACGCCCACGTTGAACTCCTTGCTGCAGTCCTCGAATCCGCCGCCACCCCCGCAGCACCGCTATGCGAATAGCTACGATCCCCAGCAAGCCGCCTCGGCGGCAGCAGCAGCCCAACAGCAACAACAGCAGGCGGGAGGACCCCCGCCTCCACCTCCAGGACATGGACCGCCTCCGCCACAGCATCAGCCATCGCCGTACGGAGCGCAACAGGGCGGCTGGGCACCGCCTCCACGACCCTACAGTCCACAGTTGGGGCCGTCGCAGCAGTATAGGACGCCACCGCCGGTAAGTGTGCGGGTTGAAAGGAGCATTTTCTTTTGTGTTTTCTTGGTGGCTCTCTTTTTTTCTTTTTTTAAGAGCTTTTTTGACATTGACACTGATTTTGATTTCATCGACCCCATCGACTCTAGCCTCCCTCACACACTCGCAGATAGTGGAATACAGCATACAAAACACGAGAAGTGGCCTTATGCTAGCGCAATCTGCACCTCACCCACTCCAACTCATTCAAAGAGAGGGGCTCGTCACGTTTTGTACACATGTACTTGGAGCAGTGCCGAATGTGGGTGTGTATGTGTGTGTAAATTTGTGGTCGGTGGGGGGAGGCTGGCTATGTTTACTGTTACTTTTTAAGGTTTCGTCGTCTTGGTCGCACTTCATTTCAGAGTTTAGTAAAAAGATTCAACCAAGTCCTTCTGCTCGCCCCACACAGGCCCACTGACACACATAAAACGTGTGTATTCCGCGCCTTTTCGTTGTATAGCCCGTCACCTTCCCCCTCCCCTTCATCTACAGTTTGTCGTTCAAGTGCCGGTTGTTGGTTGAGAGTGGGAGAGAGGGAGAGAGGGAGAAAGAACCGGCACTTGCCGCCACAAAACAATAACAACAAAGACCGCAAAATAACGTTGAAAAAGGAGGTGGAGAAGTAGAAGAAGAAGCAAGAGTTTGTACACGAAAAATGTTGAGGCATTCCGCATCCATTCACTTTTGTGGCTTCATTTACTTCAATTCCAAAGGCATTTTATTGGAATTGGTTTAAAATTGTTGCACGGTTTAAGGTTTCCTTCCTAACTGCATTATTGCGGAAGTTACTTTTGGTGTGAAGCCAATAAGCAAATTTAAGGATTGAGGCAGACAGACGCTATGCAAACTTGTATCCATCAGCAGTTCCCTTAAAATGATAATGAAATATAGCCAACCTCTCGGAGAGCTACTATCAGTTTCGCAAAGCGATAAAGTGTATGGGCATGAGAGCACGTGAGAAGAACCATCACGTTTCGATATGAAATGTAAACCGGTTAATTATTTGTACGAGTTTCATTGCCTTTTTTTCCAAAAGGCGGTTGCCCCAAGTCATATGACACCCGGAATGAGTCGACTCCCCCGTGGAATATCATTCCACTGCAATCGGATCGATTGTTGTTTTCATGAATGGGAGATGTCTCGCGGATAAGAGTCAATGAACTTTGATGTGGCCCGACGATTAGCCAGAGCAATATAAACAAATCTATGTGAATATACAAATCAAAAGCAATGCTAGGGTTTAGACATGTGCGAGACGCTGCGGTGCGATACGACCTTCGAAAGCTTTGATGATATTCGTATGTACATACATATGTAGATAAATATTTATGCGTGCAAGTGTATTGTGATATAAAAAGAGTAAAATACCGCTGCCATCCAATATCATTTTGGTGTGTGTGTTCGTGAGTGTGCAGAGTGTGACTTACGCGTGCATGCAATAAATACAAACAGACAGACCTTACACACATGTTTGTACATATGTATACCTATGTGAAAGAGTAGGCACCGTAATCAAAGGCAATAACAGAGAAACTTGTTGTTGTCACAGCTGACTCTCTCCGGGAACTAGGGTAGCTGAAGTGGTCGAGAGGGAGGGTAGGGTGGGGAGCCGGCTAGCTGTGGAGAGGAAGCAGAAACCAAAACAAAATAAAAATACAAAAAATAAGCGAGACCCGCGCACAGTCAAAGAGAAGGAGGAGGAGGAGGGCTCGTCGACTATGACATGCCGCCTCTGTCGTCTCTTTGAATGCCGCCGTCTCTGCCTCTTTAAGTGCGCTCTTCCTCTTCCGTTAGCTTTGGTGCATTTCTCTCGTTTCAACAACGCGATGGAAAATCCTTGACGTTTCATCAAACCAAGGATGATATTCCCCTTATGCGGTCAACAGGTGCAGAGAGGAAATAGCTGTAAGTGAGAAAGTATGTGTGTGCATATATTAGGCAGCTTTAAGTTTAGTAATCTTATTTCTGGTACATCTCCCCAACACTGCCCCGCTTTCAATACTTGTGGCCTATGCTAACTGTTGTTTGTGAATTATGTGGGCTCTCCTCATTGCATTACCCGATACTGGTTGCTTTACTGCGTATCTTTGCTGTTCCTTTTAGTCTGCTTCTTCCTCATCCTCTTGGGTAGTCGTTTATTGGGTGTTGTGTGCCCGTGCGGTGGCGGAAATTTGTTTTAAGCTCTGCCTGTGTGTGCCTGCATGTGAATGTGTGAGCTGACTTTAAAGTTTGACCTACAAAAAGGAAAGCATATAAAAAGCAAACTGCTTCCTTTGCTGTTATTTTTCCTGTGTTCCTGCTTCTCTTTCTTCGGTCGATCTATCTCCTTTGGCTGATTTTGGGTAAGCTTAAGGCGCAGCCTTCTTGTAAGCTCTCCCACTCTACAGTTGCAATTAATAATTTTCGGCGTGCATTGTGGCTCAGTCTTTGGGGGAATATGCACAGAGTGTTACATTGTACCATTTCAAATTATTTTCGCCCGAGTCCTGAACGTTCTTCTATCACGCCCCTTCTTTACGTCGTACGTTCATTGCCATCAGCCTGCTGGGACGTCTCTGTCCTGTCCTGCCCTCTGCTCCCACACAATGCGCCGTGGCATGGCCTGGCAACCCTTACAACTGCTGCCGGCTTTACCTTTTTCGCTTCAAAATCGCATTCACTATGTTCCATTCTCTTCTCCCTCCTTCACAATTTATGCAAGCGCTACCGTCTGTCTGGCTCTGTTTTGTGTATATGTGTGCGTTTGATTGTGTCTGTTGGTTATGAAATTATAAACCCAAGCCCCGGACAGGACCACTCCCTGTCTGCCCCCTGTGCCTTCCACGGCTGCTGCGCTTTGTTTTTCCCCGCGATATTATAAAATATATGTATGTATGTAAGCAGTAGCTGCGCTGTTGGCAATGGCCCGTGGTCCCAAACAGAGCCGGCTTTTAACTGGGAAACCTACCACCACTACCATCATCAGCACCATCCCATCTCTGGCCTGGCAGCTCCCCTCCTCCATTATTCCTTCTTCTGCCTGCTGCCGGTCCGACACTCTCGAACGTAATTCCGACGTTACACTCATTGTATGTGTGCGTGTGTGTGTGTGTGTGTGTGTACCGTACGACCCTTGCTGCATTAATTCAAATTCCACTTCAGCTTCGTTTCTACCCGCTGTCTCTGCCTGTCCATCGATCCCTTCCTACTGCCGGCACGGCTCGTTCGTACACATTTCTGCTTTTGATTTTCATCCATGATGAGTTTCCCTTTTTTACCTTATTTCTCTCACTGCCTGGCTGAATATACTCACACACACACACGAACACGAACACATGCAGTCACGTACACTCTCTCTCTCCTCTCTCGCTCTCTCTTGCACACTGAGTACGAAAACCATCCATTCATGTTTCCTGTCACCCTGCAGTGGACCGACCGTCGTCGTTGTCGATTGTTGTTGTTGGCGTTGTCCTCGTCCTCGTTGCCCGTACGACGAGATCTGGCTTTTGCCTTTGCTTTCCCTTAGCTTTGGTCTCGGTTTTTCTCTTCCTGGCGTGGGCCTCTGGCCTGGCTCTGCGCTCTGTTCGTTGGCTGTGTGTTTCCATTAGATTTATTGCCACATTTTACTCTGGGGCTGGCATTCGCAACAACATTCGTGTGAGTGGTGTGCTGCATGTACATATATACATATTTGCGAGGGCGAGTGTGTTTGTGCCTTGCCATGTCAGGACATGTCTGTATTTGTGTCTTGTCGCACTACGTCAAGTTGAAAATCCTTTCATTAATGGCATCCCAAGCTCTTTTTACTGGGCTCGTCCTACTCCAGTTGTCTGCCACGACGATACGAGGTGTCTCCGTCTCGTAAGTTGCTTTGTTGCAACTTTGTCGTTGGCTGGTCCTGGACATGCACATGCATGTTCCCGGCATAAGTTTCACTTTATGTTCCGCTCAAGTGGATTTCTTAGGTCCTTGGACCGGGCGAACGGGCGGCCTTTCTTTCAGGCAATCGACTGTTATGCCTTCCCGCCAGGATAACTCCACTGGGTAGCTGGGTATGTACGTCTGTACGTACATCTGGGTGTGTACGTCTGTAGCTATAGCGGTAAATGTTTCAACTTTTTTATTGCCAGCATTTAGTTGGCTTTTGCAGCAGCATTATTCCTCGCTTTTTGAGAGTTGTCTCTTTTTATTAATCTTTGCTTTTGTGACTGTCATACCCGAGGAGTGACACTGTCGCTGTCTTACTCTCTCCCACTCCCTATCTCCGGCTATCGTGTGTATGTATATGTGTGTTTTTGCGAGTGTACTACAGTGCGCGCCAGATAATTAGAGCCACTTGCTCCCTGGGTCATCTGTTTATAATTATTGCAGCTAGTATTCATCTTCCAGTTTTAATTGCTGCAAATTTCCCATATGCAGTCAAATAGAGGGAGCGAGTTCCAATAAGCGAGCAGCCACTGTACATGGCATGGAATCGGTGCTTGCGCATTAACGGGGGGATGAGATTGTGGAATATCGATTAAAATCATATATGTACGATATAAAACGGAATGTGCGGTGCTCTGCACGCAGACAGCCAACAACAAAAGCAAATGCCAACGCAAATAATTGATGAATTGCAAAAGAGAGAGTAAGGGGATCACTGGCTGTAATTAAAACGCCATGTGGTGTCTGTCCCTCACTCGCTCTCTCGATTATTATTAGATTTATTTTGAGGGTATTTGAAAGGATTATAATACATACTTTTATTGATTAATTTTCGTCTCTCTTCTGTGCATTCACAGACAAACACTTCCAGGGGTCAATCGCCTTATCCGCCAGCTCACGGTCAAAATTCAGGTTCCTATCCTAGTTCGCCGCAGCAGCAGCAGGCACAGGCACAACAGCAGCAGGCGGGTCAGCAGCCTGGTGGCGCGGGACCGGGAGGACCTCCGCCGGGCGCCGCACAGCAACAGCCGCAGCAGAACACACCGCCAACATCTCAATATTCGCCGTACCCGCAAAGATACCCCACTCCGCCCGGACTGCCGGCCGCGGGACCCAATCATCGAACTGCCTATTCGACGCACCAGGTGAGAGGATTGTCCTTCTTGTTTGATCCAACCAGAGATTAATCATGATTCCATTGCAGTATCCGGAACCGAATCGGCCCTGGCCTGGCGGTTCTTCGCCCAGTCCTGGTCCCGGACATCCATTGCCGCCCGCCTCCCCGCATCATGTGTCGCAGCCACTGCAACAGCCCCCTCCGCCGCATGCTGCAGCCGGAGGACCCCCACCCAGCAGTCCAGGCCATGCTCCCAGTCCCTCGCCACAGCCCTCGCAGGCATCCCCCTCGCCGCATCAGGTAAGAACAGAGACGATGGTGATTTCGTTATACGGAGCATTTTGAAGAGGGAAGACCACTCTCATTCATTGAATGGTTTGGTTTGCCTCGCCAGAGTCCCTGTACCCCCTCCGCTCGTATGCGCCTCGAGTTGGCTTCATTTCTAGATAATACACATCGAAAGTGGGTCAATAAACTGGGACTGCGTGAACAGCACGTGAACTTGACTGGTGACGTCACAGAGGCATACACTCATACGTACTCTTTACCTGCCTGCCTTTTACTCAACTCACTCCACTCCAGCACTCGTCCTCTCACACACACTCTGTTCCTATTATACGGGCAGAAACAGGCACAGGCAGGTCAAATATTTATGCCTTTCCATGGGATGGCACTCGCATATTTACAATGGGGGTACCCGTTCGCACTCACTTTTTGGGTTGGCTCTGCTCTGGCTGGTTCCCCTTACCCCTTTCAACCTCCTCTCTTTTGTTTGTGTTTTACGAATTTTCTTTTAGGTTAAACACCTCCCACTTCACCTCATTCCATCCGTCTCTGTCTAACGCTTGAACTTGAACTGCTATCGCATCCCGTTCGTTTTCTCCCCGGTCCGTTCCTCGTACAACTTTAAAGCTGTTGTTGCTCTTATCGTTGTTGTTGTCGCTGTCTTTTTTTATGAATTTTAATGATTTTTATTTTGTTTTGATTACTATTTCTTTGCGTGGCGGCGTCGCTGCGTTTGCGTCGCGTCTGCCATCGGCATTTTTTCCCTTTTGTCTTATTTTTCGCATCGCCGGCAATTCTGCCTCCTGTCATCCCTCTCCCCCTTTACCTAGTGAGTGGTATGCACGTGTCATGAGCATTTTCGATTGATTTGTTTTAGTCTGTTTTCTAAGAATTTCGGTTTTGTTTTTGTTGGAAGATATTCGGCTAGCGTGGGGGAATGGCGTAATACAGTGAAGGACAACAACAACTACAAACGAAATAACCACCGTGCTCTGGGGATGTCTTGCATACGTATGCATGTACATATATATGTATGTACAAGGTATCTTAAATAGAAGGTAATGCAGTTTTCGCTGCACATTCTTAACGACTATGGTATCTGCAGAGTGGGGGGCTGTCTTACCCACATATGTATGCATATGCGTCTGCATGTACATTCTGGTATGAGTCTGTGTGTGCGTTTTTTTGGTGCACCCCATTTATTCGTTCAGCATGTCCGCAGCCGCCTTTTCTGTTGCTTTTGTTGCCTTTCATTCTCCTGCCATTTCTTTATTTTGTATTTTGCTTTTTTCCTTTTATATTTGGTGCACACACCGTTAAACATACACATACACACACTGACTACACTACGCTCAAGATCACACAGAAATGTTTGTCTGCTTCCATATATTTGGGTCAATGCCAAGGTCATTGTTGTTCTTCTTTTCGTTCTTATTTTTTGCTGCTGTTGGATGTTTTTAGCGGTTTATGTTTACATTTTTATGCTTTTCGTGGCAAGTCATGTTAATTTAATCTTCAATCTATCCCATCGTCCACATGTCTCTACCAAATAATGTATCTTTAATCCATCAATGCTGGAGCACATGACTCTCTATCACTCGCAAATGTAACTGCAACTGCAAATTTAATGATGGTTCACGCTGAGCAAAGCTACTCTCTCTCATACACTTCCCGCCTGTACGCTCTGAGCGTCGGTCTCTTCTCTCTCTCCTGACCCCTTCTGGACATGTTGATTACCTTTTTAATGCCACTAGCGTCACAAAACAAATAGAAGAGAGCGGAAAGAACTGTAATCAGCCGTCCAGCCATTTTAATCCGGCACAGCATGGGGCGGGGGATGGAGTCCATTTCCACTCCCCCGTTGCCCTCGCTGATTCAATATTGCATTTGTAAGCTGCTTTAAATTCCATTGGTTTGTGTGTGTGTGTGTGTGTACACACACTGACAGAAATAATATTGCAATATTTAACTACTCAACATTTTCCCGCTTTGGCAACAAAAATTGCCAACATTTTACGGTCTCTTCCAATCGTTATACCAAATGCTTTCATCAAAATGCATACATATGGACATGCAAGCATTATACTATGATTTAAACTTCCATTGACATTTCCATCGATTTCCACAGCACCATCCCCGTCCCGATAGGAATCGCTGTCCTACTTTAAAACTTATTTCAAGATTGCTCTGCGTCATGTTCTGTAGGCAATCTGCCCCCAACAGCCAACAACAACGGAATTCATTTCATGCTATCCAAATTTTAGTGCACCAAGTACTAGAGGTGGACGCGTGACATATGTATGTGCAATAGCGTGCACTTACGTGAAACAAGAAGAGTAGTCGATTTGTGTGAAAATAAAATTACCCTTTGTGACTGTGACTGAAAATCTTGTCACGCGACCATCCCCACCATCCCCATAGCTAGCTAAGGTGCTCGGTCTGCTCCTGAGCTACATTTGGAGAATCCCCGCCAGCCCCCAACCCTGAGCTCGGCGAGCCGTCACATGGCCGCGGCCAATGGACAATTTTTCCGGTTTTTCTCTGTCGCATTTTCTGTTGTTGCTGGGATGTTTAGTGCTCCACTCATTGGGGGCTGGCTGTTTCTCTGCCGTTGCTCTGGCTCCACTGCTGCTGCCGTTGTCGGCATCATCATCGTTTTTCATTTTAACAGGCATAGACAGAAAAAAGCAAAAATAAAATAAAAAATAAGGAACATTCAGTTCTGCGGCTGCCTTTCTTCTTCTTTTTTTTTCTGTGTGCCATTATTCGCATGCATACTTACGTGCGCCTGTGTGTGAGTTTGCTTGTTTTTCAGTTCACTTCGTTTGGATACACACCACGAAACGAAACGAACGAAGCGAACAAGTCGGGTCCGGATTGAGTCGGGCGCGGAGAGAAGTGGAGCTTTGGCTTTGGCTCTGCCGGTTCTGGATCTGACGCTGGGAGCTCCATCCAACTCGATTCATGGGACAAATGTCTGTGCACAAAGTGGTTTGCAGTTGTTGTTTTTACTGCTGTCGGGCTGGCGGACTGTTGGGACTGTCGGTCTGTCACGTCTGCTGCCATGCTGTAAAGTGGTCAGAGCAGGGTGCTTGCAAAACGAATGGAACGAAACGAACCGAACCGACTTCTCCGATGTATACTCTCCGTTTGGGAGTGTTCGTGCGTATATGTATGTACGTTTGCTGTTGGCGTTCCCCGTTGCCATTTACACAAACACATGCATCCATACAAAGCTGTGGAGAGACACACAGAGCCACACAAACTTTCGTTTCGCTCATACAATTTTTAAGCCAGCACAAACAGAAATTGCATCCCGCTTCCACTCCTACAACCATACATGCATACACACGCACTCACCCTCTAATGAACGACAGTCTGATTGTCTGTCGCTGTTTTCGCAACCGCTCAGCTGTGCCTGCACCCTTGTCACCTCCACTCCTTGTCTCTTTGGTTGGTTTTGATCAGAGGTGGATGTGGTGGTTGCGACCGCAGCCCCACTCTGCTAGCTCCCCCTCAGGAAGATTCTAGTGTGAAAGTAGGGATGCGGTAAAAAAGTTAGTAGTTTGACGTTTTATTATTCGTATTAAATATTTCAATCAGATGGTTGGAATTGTCTACACAAAACTTAGTCAACAGGGATACAAATCTTGCGACCAAATTCGATATATGTATGAATGTATGAAAGTACAAGGGTATCAAAAGCATCGGTCCTCAAAGCTATGTGGTGTTCGTGCTCCCTTCTCGTTTTTTATGGTATTCGTATCCCAAAGTTTATTACCTGTTCTCTCTCTTTTGCTGGGTGTTTTTGTTTTCGTGCCTGCCACATTCAACATTCATCGCAAAGGGTTTTAAGGTTTAAGGTGGTAAGCCACAAAGGTCCCAGCAGCTGACGACCAACATCTCCAGGGCAGGCGCACGCACACGCATGGGCAAATACTTGTGTGTGTGTGGCCAATGAGTGTGTTTGTACATTCTTTATTTAAATGACATTGCATAAAAAAAGAGTTAAAGTGCTTTTGAAAAACTAAAGTCAAAAATTGTGGCAAAAGGCGCTACATCATTCCAGTCTTAAGGAAAGACGAGGTCTGAAGTGGGGTTCCATCATTAGCATTTGGAGAGAAGAGACAAAACGAATCGTGTTCGAAGTTCGAACTCCACTCACCTCGAACCCTTGGCACCTTCCTTGTGGTGCTCATTCACTTGAGTCTCTTACTTTTTGGCGCGTAAATCTCTGCTGAACTTTATGAGCACTGTCTATCTGTCCTGCTCTCGGCCTCACTGCACTCGTCCCCACACCCACAGCACAACACAACAGTTAATTCAATAACATTTTGCTGTAATCGCATGGGTGGCGAAGAATGTAATAGAGTGATGGATATGGAAAGGCAGGAGCTTTGGGGCATTTTCAAGTTTACTTTGCTATTTTAAACTTCGAGTGCGAACTCTGTTTTACTTTTTTCGTTTTTCATTTTGTTGTGTTCTTTCGTTATAAATGATTTCATTGTTGTTGTTCCCGCTCAGCGCTTGTTTTTCTTCCAAGTAATTTTTCTACACACAGACACGCATACTTAACTACAAACGTGGGCCGCCTTCGTATTTCCTCGCTGCTCCCACTCTACTCCCCCTTCACACCAAAAGCTAACCGCGCACAAAGCATTCTATCTCTGGCCTTTGCTTCGCCTTTGGCGTCCCCTCTCCTCCCCACCGGTACGTTCCTGCTTCAGCTTGCTTGCTATTCTCGTCATCAACGTCGCCGTTGCCGCCGCCCTTGGCCCCCTCGCTCACATCACGCTCTCTCACACTCTCAACGTATTTTGGATCCCTCCCCTCTGACGGCGAACGAGCGAAGAAACGAATACGAATACGAATGGCCTGGCTGGCTGGCTGGCGACGCCGTTGCTTATTTCATTTTATTATACTCGAGTGTGTACGGGTGTGTGTGCATGTTTCTGTTCCTTATCTACGTCTTTGTCATCGTACGTTTCGAGCGCGCCATAACTACCACAGAGAACTGAGCAGCCACTTGCCTGTGTCCCGCCTCGCGTCTCTCCCCTCCGTCGAGTTGCAGCCGTCGTCGTTGTTTTTGTTGTCGTTCGTTCCACATAGCTTTTATGCCCCGTGCCCCCTTCCATGTCCTCCCCCCTCCCGACCCCTTTGCTGCTGCCTTTGCCGTCGTCGTCGTACATTTCATTTCACTTCACTTAATTTCTCAGATACCAAAACGAACAGCGCTAGCTGTATTTTTCTTGCTGTGGCTGTCGGTGCTTGCTGCTTTCCTCTCTCTTGCTGTGCTTACATTGTGGGGTGTGTGTGTGTTTCGAATTGCTGTCGACTTAAGCTTTATATGTATGTTGGTATGTCTGTGTGTGTATGCTTCCTTGGCTGAAATTGTTTGTGCGGTGTGGAGCTTTTGCTTGATTTTCTTATAAGCTATAAGGCGGCAAAAAAATAAAGTCGTGTCGCATCGCACCGAGTTTCTGTTGAAGACTGCTGCAAGAGTTGTGATTGCTACGAGAGATTTGGCGTTTATGAGAATTTCCCCTCTTGACTCTGACCGGGTTATAATTGCACGAGTGTCGCCGCATAAGTTGTGTAAGTGTGAGTAGGAGAGGGATAATAATTCCTTTGGCAATGTCAGAAAAGGTCGATAAGGAGTGAGAGAGCGAGGGGATCAGCGCAACAAGAGTGTAATTGTATCCGTTTCGCTTACTCCCAATGCTTGAGATTATTCAGACACACTTCCACTCCAATCTCTGCTGTGGCTGTCTGTTTTCGCTACGTAACAATAACAACATTTGGTGTTCCGCTCCGCTCTAGCACCCACCACCTACGATTTGGGATAACATATGATAGGCATTAATATGTTAATATGTATGTAAATGGTCAATCGGTTTCAAAACCAATACATATGTACATTCATACATCACCAGGTGTGACGGTATGCAATGAATGTATGCTCTCTTAAAGTTAATTGCTGTTGCCGCTCAACTAATTCGTAGTTGCTATCACTTTCATTTAAATAAATAAAAACTACCGGCCGCCGGCCGGCACTTTTTAATGCCTCAACTGAATTCCTTTTACAACGGAACTGGTTCCGCTGTTTTTCCCGTTCCAGGAGCTGATTGGTCAGAACAGCAACGACAGCTCCAGCGGCGGGGCGCACAGTGGCATGGGCTCCGGTCCTCCCGGCACACCCAATCCCCAGCAAGTCATGCGGCCCACCCCCTCACCCACTGGCTCATCCGGCTCGCGTTCCATGTCCCCAGCAGTGGGTAAGTAGCAGGATTCCATTCCATTAGGGTGCAAATCTCATGAACACTTCACTTGCAGCACAAAATCATCCAATCTCGCGCCCGGCGAGCAACCAGTCGAGCAGCGGCGGTCCCATGCAGCAGCCTCCGGTTGGAGCCGGGCCACCACCAATGCCCCCTCATCCGGGCCTACCCGGCGGACCGCCTCAGCAGCAATCTCAGCAGCAGCAGGCCTCGAACTCGACCCCGCCGCCGGGCCCGCCGCCCAATCAAGGAATGAACAACATGGGCACGCCCCCACCACCACCTCAAGGTGCGTCCGGCGGGGGCTACCCGATGCCTCCGCACATGCACGGAGGCTACAAGATGGGCGGACCGGGCCAGAGTCCAGGAGCGCAAGGCTATCCCCCGCAGCAGCCGCAGCAATATCCACCAGGTGCGATGAGCCACATTTCCTTGGAATCTTCTCCCTGACATTCTATAATCTTTGGTACACTCATAGGCAACTACCCGCCACGTCCGCAGTATCCGCCTGGGGCTTACGCAACCGGACCGCCACCTCCACCAACCAGCCAAGGCGCTGGCGGAGCCAACAGCATGCCATCTGGAGCCCAAGGCGGCGGCTACCCGGGACGGTCCATGCCCAATCACAGCGGCGGAAGTCCACACGGGCAGTATCCGCCTTACCAGTGGGTGCCGCCGTCGCCTCAGCAGCAAGCCGGGGCTCCGCCTGGCGGTACAATGGTTGGCAACCACGTTCAGGGCAAGGGCACACCGCCGCCTCCGGTGGTGGGGCCACCGCCTCCTCAGGGCAGTGGCTCGCCCCGCCCACTCAACTATCTGAAGCAGCATTTACAGCACAAAGGTGGCTACGGAGGCAGCCCCACGCCACCGCAAGGCTACGGCAACGGGCCGACCGGAATGCATCCCGGCATGCCAATGGGTCCGCCCCACCACATGGGACCGCCGCACGGGCCCACCAACATGGGTCCGCCCACGAGTACTCCGCCCCAGTCGATGCTGGGTGGCCAGGGACAGCCGCCTGGCGGTCCGGACAGCGGTGGCCCCGAGCACATATCGCAGGACAACGGAATAAGCTCATCCGGGCCGACAGGCGCCACCGGGCTGCACCCGGTCACGGCGGTGGTCACCACTGGTCCCGATGGGACGCCTATGGATGAAGTCAGTCAACAGAGCACGCTCTCGAATGCATCAGCTGGTGAGTGAAGCGAAAGATCGGAAAAAAAGGGATTAGCATCTAATTTGTGGTTCTCCTCTGTTTGACAGCGTCCGGCGAAGATCCCCAATGCACCACACCAAAGTCGCGCAAGAATGACCCTTATAGCCAAAGTCATTTAGCCCCTCCGAGCACGTCGCCGCATCCCGTTGTGATGCACCCGGTCAGCGGCGGCCCCAGCGAGGAGTTCGACATGAGTTCGCCACCCAATTGGCCGCGTCCGGCTGGCAGTCCGGTAAGTAGAGACATCGCATTCGAGTATACATATACCAAGTCAATGAATGTGTTGCTGTTTCATCTCCATCCACAGCAGGTGTTTAACAGCCATGTTCCCGTGCAGCAGGAGCCCTTCCGCAGCACGACGAAGAAGTCGGATTCCCTGTGCAAGCTGTACGAAATGGACGACAATCCAGACAGGCGAGGATGGCTGGACAAGCTGCGGTCGTTCATGGAGGAACGGCGGACGCCGATCACCGCCTGCCCAACCATCTCAAAACAGCCACTCGATTTATATAGGTTATATATTTATGTAAAAGAACGTGGCGGATTCGTCGAGGTATGCAAGGTGCCGTAGTAACTCCTTTTACTAACTTCTTTTTAGATTTACTACTAGCAAAACCAATTCAGCCAAAACCAAACCAAAACCAAAAACACCACCAACGTAGTTAACACGAACCAAAATCAAAAGATATATCCACCAACAATATATTTATAAATAGACACCAATCTATGTTGCGATTCGGCTTCAGTAGCTACAGAAACTAAAAGTCTATCTACCAGCTACTCGATCAATCTAGCAACCACCCTATCAGACCCAGCTCTAGTCTCCGATCCAAGTGTCCAAATTATAGCTGCATCCTGCGTAAAAGATTTAGCCTACGGTGCAAGCGTTTCATTCAAAATAACAACCGAACCATTTTACTACAGCCTTGCTTGCCCTATAGACAGCATGCTCCAAAAAGTCGATTCCAAACTCAATTCGTTCTTAATTTAAACTAGTTTTGAGATCGATTAGTGTTATATCATATCTCAGGAATGCTTAAAAAGTTAAATTTTGGTTTTTTTTTTAAATGTGTTTCAATGAAAATTAGTTTCGATATGTTTTCAATACCTTTTTCTTTTGGTTCTGTTCTGCACGTATTTATCGAAAGCATCAATAATTTGAACCAGTTGGATCCACTTATTTAGCTTCCATTTATCTCTTTTCGGGTGGACTTAATTTTTCCCTAGCTCCGTTTGCAATCACATTCTTGAGTGATCTTCTCGTGTCTGTATTGTTGCCTTATCCTTTATTCATTCATTTGTTTTCCTATCCAATCCCCATTCTGTAAGTAGTATAAAATTTCCTCTCTATAATGTAGAATGTTTGGTTCCCATTCCCGAGAATGCATCCACACCAAATTAGTTTTTTTCTCGTTACCTTCTTTGATTATCTTTTTTCGATTGACACTTGAGTGATATGACAATGCCTATGATCCATCAATAAGCATTTCCGACTAATCATCCCAACCCCATACGATTCTCCCGTTCTACCAGGTGACCAAGAGCAAGACCTGGAAGGATATTGCCGGACTCCTGGGAATCGGCGCCAGCAGCAGTGCAGCGTACACGCTGCGGAAGCATTACACCAAGAATCTATTGACTTTCGAGTGTCACTTTGACCGCGGCGATATTGATCCCCTGCCCATCATCCAGCAGGTGGAGGCCGGCAGCAAGAAGAAGACGGTCAAGGCCGCCTCCGTTCCCTCGCCAGGTAAGTGTCTGCCGAGTGCGGTGGTGCCCCTCCTTTTTGGTTTATTCTTTCGATGCTTAATTTGAATTCTCTGTTCGTTTTTTTTTTTTTTTTATTTGTATTCCTCCGTTGTGCGATTGTCGTTGAAAATGGAACATGTTTTTCACCACCTTTTCCTCGCATCATTTTACGAACCCGAAAAAAAACGAACCCTCCCACACACAACTTGCAACCAATCGGTGGTGGCCATTTGGATGCTGGGACAACCAACTCGACAGGCTCGTCGAACTCGCAGGACTCGTTCCCGGCCCCGCCAGGCGCCGCCCCGAACGCTGCGATCGATGGCTATGCAGGCTATCCGGGCGGCAGTCCGTACCCTGGCGCCGGTGGGCCGCAGACGGACTATGGCGCGGCAGGCCAGATGCAGCGCCCGCCCTCACAGAGTAACCCGCAGACACCTCATCCCGGTAAGAGCCGAATGTTCTGATCCTGCTCCGCAGAGTTCAGATTTGGGTGCGCTCTCATTTGAATTAGTTCGATTGGTGGTTTCCCTTTACCCAATTGATCGAGAGCTGCCCCACTCTAGTACATATCGGTATAATTTAGTATATTTTTGGTATTACATTTTCTTTTCTGGAATCCTGTATCCGTGTCCATGTTATCGTTGATTAGTCTGCTGATTATTACCAAATTATTTTCCACTGTGTGATCGATCATTACTAGACGATATGCTTATTCTCAGCCTCCACGACCTTCCTTTGCCTAACCCTCTAACCTGTAACCTGTAACCCTTCTGTACCTGTGCACAAGTATACCTAAATATTTACATTATATGTTTGTTATTAATTTCATTTGTGTGTATATTTTGTTTATTCATTTTTATGTTTTTGTAACGCTTGTGTGGGCGCACTACTAAACCATAAACTCAACCGAACCACCACCACTACAATCACTCGATCACCAACAAACCACCACAACGATGCTCACATTATCGTCACTTCACCCACAACCACAAACCACCAAACCAAACCACGCCACAACAACTACAATTCATTTGTTTGATTCCACTGACTCATTCATTCCAATTCCAATTCAATTCGATTCATCCAAACAAACAAACCAACCAACAAACCATTCATCCGAACCGAACCGAACCGCCGCTTCAGGCGCCGCCGTAGCTGTTGCCGCCGTCGGTGATAATATAAGTGTGAGCAATCCCTTCGAGGATACCATTGCTGGCGCTGGGCCTGGCCCTGGTCCAGGACCAGGTACCGGGGGTCCTGGTGTTGGCGTTGGTGCTGTTGCTGCTGTTGTAGGCGGTGCCCTGCCACCGCCACCACCCCATTCACCACACGCCGTCCAGCAGTCGGCCACGCAGCAGCAGCATCCCCAGCATCCGGGACTGGCCGGGCCACCGCCACAGCAGCAGCAGCAGCCACCACAGCCGGGTGCTCCACCGGCGGGTGCACCACAGCAACATGGGACTGGGCCGGTGCCACCATCGCCGCAGCACCAGCAGCAGCAGCAGCATGTGCGCCCAGCCGCCGGAGCACCTTATCCGCAGGGTGGCTCCGCTTATCCAACGCCTGTGTCTAGAACGCCAGGTATAATCATCTTTAATTTTTTTGTTCCTATCATCTCCTCGCTTTCTGTTTTTCCACCAAATTCTTTCATGTGACAGACTTTTTTCACATTACTATTGCGTTTTCTTTCATACGCCTCATCTAACGACTGAATGTGGTTCCCACCAACTAACTAAATAATTAACTAGTTGATTTAGTATTTAGTGTGTAAGATGCATGTCCAGATATCCTTTAAAAGGCAGGCAACAATTATCCTGGCCTTGCGTATTTTTGTGTTCTTTAATTTAAATTACACTCTATTCTAGATAGCCCCCAGTCCTTATTCTAATACATAATTATAAACGTTTCAGGCTCTCCCTATCCATCACAACCCGGAGCTTATGGCCAGTACGGTGCGAGCGATCAGTACAATGCCACCGGGCCGCCTGGTCAGCCATTTGGACAGGGCCAAGGACAGTATCCGCCACAGAACCGCAATATGTACCCTCCCTACGGTCCGGAGGGGGAAGCGTGAGTGCCACCATTTTGTACCTCTCTCCAGACCAGACCCTCATCCACAAAGACACAGACACAAAGACATCATACCACACCACACCACAGCACAGCACACAGAACCCCAAAACACTGTACTGTAGCCTCGGTTTTGGACGAGAGCTGAAGCTGGAAAAGATCAGGACGAATATGAATCCACTAATGCTCCACCTCTTTTTCTCTCCTTATCTACAGTCCACCGGCTGGTGCCAATCAATATGGACCCTACGGCAGCCGGCCGTACAGTCAGCCCCCGACAGGGGGACCCCAGCCGCCGGCGCAGGCAGGGGCGGGCGGGCCACCGACGAGTGGATCACCTGTGGCGCCACCGACTGGCGGCTATGCACCGGGAACACCCACGCAGCAGGACTACTATAGGCCGCCACCCGATCAGGTGAGCTGCCGTGAAGGCACTCCATTCTATCCCATTGAATTCAAGCTAATCCAAGCTCCGCCTTTGCCTTTACAGAGTCCGCAGCCCCGAAGGCATCCTGACTTCATCAAGGATCCACAGCCTTATCCAGGCTATAATGCAAGGCCTCAGATTTACGGTAGGTACCAGACAGATGACACCGCGGAAAAAGCCTACTCTAATGCCCCTCTTTTCTATCGACAGGTGCATGGCAAGGCGGTGGGCAGCAGTATCGACCACAGTATCCGACATCTCCCGCACCTCAGTCCTGGGGGAGTGCCCCACCCCGTGGGGCAGCACCTCCACCTGGGGCCCCTCACGGTCCGCCGATACAACAGCCCGCAGGAGTGGCCCAGTGGGAGCAGCATAGGTATCCGCCACAGCAGGCCCCGCCGCCGCCTCCGCAACAGCAGCAGCAGCAACAACAGCCACCATACCAGCAGGCCGCACCACCCGGTCAACAGCAGCAGCAGGCGCCTCCTCAGTGGGCCCAGATGAGCGCTGGGCAGCCAACGCAGCCCGGCATAGCTCCTCCAGGATCCCCGCTAAGACCTCCGTCTGGCCCGGCGAGTCAGCAGCAGCGGATGCCCGGCATGCCGCCCCAGCAGCAGCCTCCGGGAAGCCAACAGCCATCCCAGCAACCGCCACACGGAGGCGTCCCCTCGCCAGGCATGCCCCAGTTGCCCGGAGGGATGGTGAAGCCACCGTATGCCATGCCACCGCCGCCAACTCAGACGGTGGGCCAGCCTATCGGCCAGCCGGCCGCAGGTGGAATGATTCCGCAGAAGCAGCCGCCCATCGTCGGTCCGGGAATGCCGCAGCCACCTCCCCACCAGCAGCATCCACATCCGCACCAGCAGCACCCACAGCATCAGCATCCACTGCCGCCCAACCAACAGCAGCAGCCCGGTAGCTATGCTCCACAGGTGTCCGGAGGCGGGCCAGGGGCTCAGTTGGTAAAGAAGGAGCTGATCTTCCCGCACGACAGCGTTGAGTCGACGACCCCGGTGCTCTACAGGAGGAAGCGCCTGACCAAGGCGGATGTGTGTCCCGTGGACCCGTGGCGGATATTCATGGCCATGCGATCCGGGCTGCTGACGGAGTGCACGTGGGCCCTGGACGTGCTCAATGTGCTGCTCTTCGACGACTCTACGGTGCAGTTTTTTGGCATCTCGAATCTGCCAGGCCTGCTCACACTGCTGCTGGAGCACTTCCAGAAGAATCTCGCCGAGATGTTCGACGAACGTTGTGAAGAGCCACTGGACGAGGCGGAAGACGACGCGGACAGTGGCACGGTCATGGGCACGGGCGGCATCGAGCATAGAGAGCGGGCCGGACGACAGACGCGGTGTGTACGGAGCATCTGCAGCTACAACCGGAAGCGTCACTACGAGAATATGGACCGGAAGAACGGTAGCAGCGACTCCGAGGACGCCGACGAAGGCATCGATCTGGGCCAGGTGAGAGTTCAACCAAACCCCGAGGAGCGATCTCTGCTGCTCTCCTTCACGCCCAACTATACGATGGTCACCAGAAAGGGTGTGCCTGTGCGCATCCAGGCGGCGGAGCAGGACATCTTCGTGGACGAGCGCCAAAAGGCATGGGACATTGACACAAACAGGCTGTACGAGCAGCTGGAGCCGGTGGGCAGCAATGCATGGACCTATGGCTTCACCGAGCCGGATCCCCTCGACGGCATCATTGACGTATTCAAGTCTGAGATCGTAAACATTCCATTCGCACGCTATGTTCGCTCCGGGAAGGCGAAATCTCGCCAGGTCACTGACACGGCCACCAGTCCCAAGCCTGACATCAAGCAAGAGGAAAACACGACGAATAGCACGGAGGATAGCAGCGGCGGTAGTCTGCTCCAGGATTCATTCAATAAGAAGCGGCGCCTGGTCAGCGGTGACAGCAGCAGCAGTAAAGTCCGAGAAGGATCTGGCGAGATCAAGAAATCCAAGCTGGGTGACGAGATCGCCCCGCCAAACGTCGAGGTGAAGAGGGAACCGGGAACCTCCAGTACGACGGACACCAGTGACAGCGATTGTCGAGCCGTTGACATGGAAATCGAGACGCCCAGCATGCAGCTACAACGTCTAACGAACGGAATAGCTTCCTCCTCCCCACCTTTGGGCGCCTTTGATCCCAAAGCGACGGTGCGAGATGCGGCGCAAGTGCTTCAGCGAAAACGCGACTCCAGCTACGAGGACGAGTGCTACACGCGGGACGAGGCCTCGCTCTACCTGGTAAACGAGAGCCAGGACTCGCTTGCACGCCGCTGCATCGCCCTCTCGAATATTTTTCGCAATCTGACCTTCGTTCCCGGCAACGAGACGGTGCTAGCCAAGTCCACCCGATTCCTAGCCGTCCTGGGGCGCCTGCTGCTGCTGAACCACGAACACTTGCGGCGCACACCCAAGACGCGAAACTACGACCGGGAGGAGGACACCGACTTCAGCGACTCGTGCAGTTCGCTGCAGGGGGAGCGCGAGTGGTGGTGGGACTACCTGATCACCATTCGGGAAAACATGCTAGTGGCGATGACCAACATAGCGGGCCACCTGGAGCTCTCCCGCTACGACGAGCTGATCGCCCGCCCCCTCATCGACGGACTGCTTCACTGGGCCGTCTGTCCCAGCGCCCACGGCCAGGACCCGTTCCCCTCGTGCGGCCCCAATTCCGCGCTTTCGCCTCAGCGCCTAGCGCTGGAAGCGCTCTGCAAGCTGTGCGTGACTGATGCGAACGTGGACCTGGTCATTGCGACGCCACCGTTCTCCCGCCTCGAGAAGCTGTGCGCCGTGCTGACGCGCCATCTATGCCGTAACGAGGACCAGGTGCTCCGCGAGTTCTCCGTGAATCTACTGCATTACCTGGCCGCGGCGGACAGTGCCATGGCGCGGACGGTGGCTTTGCAGTCGCCGTGCATTTCGTATCTGGTGGCCTTTATCGAACAGGCCGAGCAGACGGCCTTGGGAGTGGCCAACCAGCACGGACTCAACTTCCTGCGAGAGAACCCCGATTCGATGGGCACCAGCCTGGACATGCTGCGGCGGGCGGCCGGCACTCTGCTGCACCTGGCCAAGCATCCTGACAACCAGTCGCTTTTCATGCAGCAGGAGCAACGGCTCCTTGGGCTGGTCATGTCACATATCCTCGACCAGCAGGTAGCCCTGGTCATCTCGCGGGTGCTGTACCGCGTGTCGCGCGGAGCAAGCCGGATGCACTCGGTGGAGTTCAGACTCTTACAACAGCGGCAGCAGCAGCAACAGTTGCAACAGCTGCGTCCTTCGGAGAATCAAGCTCTGGCTGCAAGTGCGGAAGCAGCAGCGGCGTCCAGCAGTGGAGTGAATTTGGAGTCTGGGAGGGGAGAACCGAATGCTGAGCCAAGTGGCGCCGATGTCAAGCCCTCACCAGCAGCCACATCCATGTCTTCATCCACAACTGGCAGCGCAATGATCTCCTCGGCGGCGATCAACGATGAGAACAGCAACAGCAGCCAGCAGCTTCCGCCGGCAGCCACCTTCAACGACGTGAGCAACAGCAGCACCAATAGCAACAGCTGCGGGACGGCCAGCAGCAACCAGACCAACAACAGTACCACCAACAGCAGCAGTAACAGCAGCCTGGGCAGCCAGTCCACCTCCACCATGAACAATGCCCCGACCACGCCAGCAACCCACGCAACTCCACCATCGGTCGCCGAGCAGCAGCAGCAGGTGAGCAAAGCCGCCGCCGCAGCCGCATTGGTGTCGTCGAACCTTAGCGGGAGCCTGAGCAATGCCACTTCAGCTGCCTCTCCTGTTCTGGCGCCGCCTCCCTCCTCATCGAGTGCGGCCTCGGCCACAGCCGTGTCGCAGCCGGCGGCACCACCGCCAACGAATGCGGGAACGACGACAGCCGTTGCGTAGTATACGACAATGCTGCCAGCGTCCTACTACTGGCCGCGCCGCGGGGCAGTCGACTGACAAGGAGCCGGAGCCGGAACAGGAGACTGTAGACCGGATACCGGATCGGATATCGATGTAATCAAATAATGTACATTTACTTAAAAGAAGGCCTCTGCGACCTGTATGCGTTATGCGTAGGGTGAGCGGAAGGAGAATCCCCTAGAGAAGGAGAAGGCATACATACTTGGCCAGAGCCAGAGCCACAGGTCCCATGTCATGTGCGGGCTTCACTGTAACAGTCAATACAATAACAACTGTATATTTTTTCACTCAAATCTATAAATAGTAAAAATATAAACTAAAGCCTAAGCATAAGCGATTGCAGCAGCCACATAATAATTATAATGATGAAGATAAAGTGAAGCAGATGCAGAAGCAGGAATGAACACGGTCGTGTGTGACGTTTTTCAACATTAGCAGGGGAAAAGTACCGTTCCGGAGATAATGAGATTGCCTAAACAGAAGAAGAAGGACAAGAGAAGAGAAAGCACACAGCATACTTATTGTATTAAATTTAATAAATGAAGACAAAGAGGAGAAACGGGAGGCGAGAAGCGTTAGGAGGAGAGTAGCTAATACATACATATGAATACGCACGCTATGGTTTATCATATATTAAATATATATATAATAAATGCATAAACTTACATTAAACTACAAACAAGAGATGGAGTGGTGTATGCCAACAGGAAGTGCATACACGCGTACGTATAGACAGACATTGATTGATATATAAAAATATATAGAGAGCATAGTTTTTAAAAATCTACCACTTACTAATACATATTAAAAAAATATGCAGCAAAGAAACTCATGAAGTGAACAAACAGAAATCAACGTACGACAGAGGAGACCAGAGAGAGCCGAGTCCCCTAATATTATATATGACTATTGTAATACAGTTTAAATACAGTTTTATGTGAACTACGGAAGATGCAGTGGCAACAGCAGGAAAGGGAATGCATAGTGCATGTCGATGGCGTAGGCGTTCACGTTCGCGTTGGTAGGAGCATTAACAAACCATTGTACATACTTAACTATTATGTAAATGTTACAAGGCACATGTGTGTTTAGGGTGGCATCATTGTATTTCGTATCATATAAATGGTCTGAAAAATTCCAGTTTTCCCCGAATACTACTTGCATAACTCCTCTCAAACAACAAGCAGAAAAAATTTAACATTAAATCAAATTAGGTGATATAAAAATATATATATATATATATATATATATATATACACGCATACATAAATATTGCATATAAAGAATGTGAAAGAGATGAAAACGAAACTAAGAGAAAGGAACCCGAACATGGACACACCCAGTACTGCTGTAATTTTTATGTTATTTGTATTATTTGCTGGAAGTGCTGCTGCTTCATCTAATTTTATATCGAACTTACTTAAGGCGTAAATGACAAGATAAATAATTAGGTTTTTATCTTAATCTTAATTTAAAAATATTAAATAAATAAAAAAACAAAGTGCGAAAGAAGCAAAAATAAAACAAACTAAAAATGTAGATAAGCAAGATATATTAAGTAGAAGGATAGGCAGTACAGCTCTCGGGGTATCGTAGCCCAGCCTACTGCCTAACCTTCTATAGAGTGTACCTTGCAGAAAAGCACGCAAAACACCTCTACTAACACACACACGCACATGCTGGCTGGGTGTTTGTGGGTGCCCCAATTTGTATACTAAACTTTCTCACACAAAATTAAAGTGCTACATAGATCGAAGAGATCGATTCGAATCTGACTCCTGGTTCTAGTTGCCAGCTCCTCCCTGCATTCCGCAAAGGTAGGCGAGGCCAGAAAATTATAGAGCGAGAGAGAATAGAAAAAGTGCTGCTGTTGATACCGTTTATTCGTGTAGTTGTTTGCAAACAAAATAATATAATAACTCAGCATCTCGATATCGATATATAACGTGTAGTTATAGGATGTAAATGTATGTCCCTCAAAACTTAATTTAATTATTTAAATAATATACATACATATATAATATACAATACAGCCGTTGTCTTTGTCGTTTCAAATCGCAAATGGAGAAACAGCTGCTTAAGATATTTCTTATCAACCACCATCGTTCATTTAAATTGTGTCAGCTTTAACGGATTCGCCCGCGCTCATATCGCCATTCCCATGGAAGCATTTGCCATAGTCTGGCAACGCTTTTAGTACTCGTTTACGGTTTATTTTGACGGTCAAAAAATACTCAAAACCCATTTGTTTTTCCGTATATTTTTAGTATTTTCCAGATTTTTTTAGGACGCGTTATGAACCAATGTAGAAAACGTGTAGAATTGCCATTTAAAGCCATGTTCCAGCCCACATCGAATACTAAGCAAAAATATATATCGAATATATTAGACGCTAGTTTTTTAAGTATTTTCTTGTTTCCCGTATTTTTAAAAACGCATTATGTGGCAAAATTTTTTCTGAAACGTATACATTTCCTCGCTAGGTTCTGTCGTATATGTAGTTAATTTGTAGGAAATGTGTAGTTAGCGTGTAGTTACTATGTAAAAGCTGATGCTTTTTCATCAAAAGACAATTTCTTTATTTGATTAAACCTTATTTTATGAAAATTCAAATGCTAATGAGTACTTCAAATTAGCAAATCTCTTAGGAAAGAATCAATTTTCCGTAGAAAATTATATGATCAGTGCTGCGGGCTTCAGTATTTAGTAAATCCTATTCCGAATATCAAAATCGAGGAAAGGGTTCTTGCAATCAATCATTGGGTGGGCCCATATTCTTCAGCCCATTTTTTTCAGAAGCAAACATTTTCGCCTGGCGGCAAAACTGGCGGCAAAAAAAAAAGAGTTTTACTTCCAAAATGGATTTTAATACATTGCTGCAGCGTGCCCAGAACCTGACAAATGAGGCCAAGGCAGAGTACGAGCTGCCCCAGGTGGAGCGTACGCTCCAACAGGTGCTGCAGGCCACCACGGAGCTCCACTCGCGCGTCACTCAATCCAGCAACAAAGATATACAAGCGTTAGTAAACTAATTGGGAATACCCTAAGCGATTTCCCTTGCTGATCATACTTTTACGGCAGGCATATACTGCTCGGCTCCAAGGGCATAGATCTACCCAAGTTGACCCAGAAGCTGGAGGCGCTCAATGCACGCAAAACCTTCGAGCCGGTTGATGTGGTTGGGTCTGACAATTTGGATGTGTGCACGTTCCTGAAAAACGAGCGCGAGAACGCAATACTTTCTGTGATTGAGGATACCAATAAAAATGTGAGTACGGTGTCTTTTGCTGCTGAAGCTCCTCACCTCCTCCATTCACAAACATGCTTCTTGAACAGATCAGTGAAACGGTGAGTAAACAGAAGTGGGCCAATCTAAACAGCACTTGGAATGAGGAGAAAACCCGGCTGCTGGATGCCCTAATTGGGCCCTCGCAGAACCTAATTGACCTGCAGCGGCTGCCAGAGCACATTACCCTCGATCCCAACTTACCGCCGAGCAGTTGCCTCAGCCAGATGGAGCTTATCTACGCCCAGGAGCTGCGTCACTATAACGAACTGCTGCTGAGGGGCGCCCACCGCCCAAATCTTGTGCAGAAGTTCGCTCTGTTGGCCAGCAGCTTTGGCGATGATCGGCTGGTGGACATGTGGTCAACAGTTGCTTCCGTGACGCAGGTGAACGAGCCCTTCCACAGCGATCCCATAAAAATTCGCCAGCAACGGCCCGAGTTCGTGATTAATGCCAAATCTTATCTCGAAAGACGCTACAAGCTCTACATGTGCACCCTGGTGGGGGCCGCCCACTCTAGCAATTGCTATCAACTGGTACGCGCATATGTGACTAATAGGTTTAGCGCTCAGCAGACAATTGGCCTAGTTGACACGTTGGACGACAAGCCACTGTGGCCCCTGGTCTACTATGCAATGCGCTGTGGAGCAGCAGAGGCGGCTGTGGAATTCCTGCACGAAGCCGGCTCCAGTTACGAGGACTTTGCCCAGGTCATCGCGGATCGCAATGCGGGCGCCGTCAATTCGAGGATAGAGACACAGCTGAAGCTGCAGTACGCCAATAAGATTAAGAACTCCACCGATGCATATAAGAAGGCAGTGTACTGCTTCATCCTGGGTTGTGACCCCAACGAGGGGCACGGTGAGGTGGCGAAGACCATCGATGACTATTTATGGATTAAGCTAGCGATGCTCCGTCCCGGGGATGCCGCCGGATATAGCAGGCTTCAGTCGGAGATTCTGGAGAAGTATGGGGAAAAGCATTTCCATGCCAGTAACCAAACTGACGTATATTTCAAAACCCTTGTTCTTGTTGGCCTTTTTGAGGCCTCGATTGAGTTCTTGGCCCGCAGTGGTCATCGTGTTCATGGCGTCCACATGGCTATTGCCCTTCACGAGCTGGGTGTGCTGGGCGGAGCCCGCAGCGTCTCGCAACCGTTGCTGTCCATCGATGTCGCCGACCCGCAGCCACTGCGCCGCTTCAATCTGACGAGATTGGTCCGGCTGTATGCACAGCGTTTCGAGCGTACGGATACGACGGAGGCTCTTAACTACTACTTTACGTTGCGTTGCTTGCGAGATCCCAGGGGCCGAAACATGTTCCTGACCTGCGTCTGCGATCTGGTGGTGTGCAGCGGCGTGCTGGATACAAGCATTTTCGACTTGATATTCGGACAGCGGATGACCGATACGGACGAAGAGGTTCCAGGGTGAGTTCGAGTCTATTCCGTGTTCCCCACCCATCAGTATCTCACCATCTCTAATTACTCTTTCAGAGGAGTTTTCCGCCAATTTGATTGTCCGGAGTTCGACACTAACATCATGGCCTCGCTAGTCGCAGAAGAGCTGGTTGCCCGAGGCAGCTTTGAAATGGCTGTGCGGCTTTACGAGTTGGCTGGCAACTACAACCTCGCGCTGAAGCACTTCAACATATTGCTGGCACAGGTTGTGCAGTTGTCGCCGCAGGAGGGATCACAGCGTGCCCGTCTTAGGGACGAGGCAAATCGATTTGTCAAACTCCTGGCAGCGCGTCGTATAGAAGTGGAGCCCAAAATAAGGGGCAGCTTTGTACTGCTGCAGCTTTTACTCGTCTTCTTCGATCTCCATCATGAGGGCAAACTAGTCCTAGCTCTAGAGCAGCTGCAGCGCACATCGAAGCTGATGCCGAACACCATGGATGATGTGGAGGGCTGTTTGACCAACATCAAGAAACTCAGCGGAGAGGTCATCAAGGTAATCCCCGACGTGGTGGTGGCAGCCATGGACATCACACTCACCCAGTACAACCAGTTGATGCAGGGCATGTGTAACTCGGATCAGATGCAGTTCCAAAAGTTGCGAGTGCGGGCCAAAGCCCTGTCCAATCTCGCCGCCAGCATGCCCTTCCGTATGCCCTACGAAACCAACAAACGTCTGATGCAGCTGGAGCTGATGATGCATTAGAATAAAAGTATGTTAAGCTCTATAGGAGATCTCTCCTCTATTTATTTCATCAGCATGAAAATGTACTCTTCCTCCTCTTCGGTGTACTCATGATTTTTAAGCCGAAGCTTAAGTTTTTCTATTTTAAGCCGAGCAGCAGCCAGCTGCTGCTGCATGTCTTCGCTGAGGCTTTTGGTTGCCTGGCAGTTTGGACATGATTCAGCCTCTCTTCCAATTCCATCAGTCCCTTTCGAGTTGTCCTCGTCGATTCCGACATCTTCAGACTCGCCCCTGAGACACTTTGCACTCTGTGAGCCGCATTCCAAAGGATCTTTTGTGTCAATGCCAAGATTCAGTTCGGGGAAGGCTTGTTTTGGCAATTTGCTGTTCTTGTTGGGCAGCAGACTCGGACGAAAGTGTCTGGCGCATATGAAGTGCCATTTTATTCCATCTTTAGGCCTGCACAGCTTTATCCACTCTTTTCGCAACTGCGGCTCTGTGGGAAAACAGTGCAATCTATCGGGCGGCGATCTTGTCATGCAATCCCTGATGCAGCACTTTCGCACCAACATTTTTTTCTTTGCGGAGCCATGCTCCAGTCCCTCAGACCTGCCTGAAAATCTTATGTTGATCAGAGTATATCCTCTAGCAGTAGTAACTAATAGCAACCTACCCACAAAGAGCGTTGGAGACGCTTTTCCGTTTAATTTGTTCGCAGTTTTTTTTTTACATATGTTTCGCATATTTTTATACTTTTTATGGTATTTTTGATTATTTTATAGAAATTACGTATACTTTCTAGTATTTTTAATTTTTTTTTGACGGAGGAATGTATTTCTGAGGGTCACTTAGGTAAAGTTTTTCAATAAATCCGCGGTCACACTGAAACCAAGTTGGTGCGCGCTCGTAAAAAAATTGTTTAATAAATTTAAAGAAATTTCGTTAAAACAAACGTCCATTTGAAATAAATTTGAATACCAGTAAGCCAAGCCAAGCGCGTAACGCTAATAGGTATCACTAGTCGCGCCACAAATGTGTCGGGACCAGAGAACAAGTCGCTCAAAGATTTCGCTTTTGCTGTCCTCTCTGCTATGGGAATGTGTTCCCTGGTGTGTGTGCGTTCGTGTAATCAAACAAAAGTATTAAGCAAAAGTTACATATTTTGCAATACGCGCCGTCCGCAACGAAAGTAAAATAAAGTCAGACAGACAATTGTCCCTGTACCAGCTGTGTCGCAGGGCGCTCTTCCTACAACGGTTTTTCGGCCTGCCTTCATTTGCAGCTGCTGTTATTTGGCTGCGTTGTGGTTGTCATACTCACACACACACACACACTCATTAACTACCTTGAAAGCAGAAGAGGGAGAGCGAGAGGGAAAGACAGAAGTGCAAAGTTGATGCCGTTTAACTAAGCTTGGACACGGTGTGCTGTGTGAGTGTTACTGTTCGTGTGCTCGTGTGCGTGAGCAGAGGCATTAGTCATTTTTGGTCCAAAACTGGACTGGAAGATTGACGGTTCTGTTCGTTGATCCCTGGCAACACATCATTTACAGCGCATCAACCAAAAAGAGAGTCACATCAAAGTCATCTGCGGATCTTGAAAAGGTTAGTTACTCGCTCTACAATGGCATTTTAATACGGCTCGACTCATTGAAGATTGGTGCAATCTGCTCCCTCTTAACTTGGTCATACATACCTTTGCATATATATTTATTGAATCCGTAACGTTTATTCAGGCTATTTGCTTGATTGAAATTCCTGTCAAGGTCGCATTTGTTAATTAATTAAATGTTTGCCTGGTTGCCTGAGCTGTGTGCTGTTCGTGGGGTTGGTAATACGAGAAGAGACTTTTAGTTGTTGCATAAACCAGATATGCTACGTTAGTTTCCCGACTGTTTGTTTCACGCCTCAGCGATAAGGAATTCAGTGACATTTATGGATATGTACATATATATGTTTGTATGTAGATATGTATGAGTATGAGTGCATGCATATGTATGTAATCGCTCCATCTTTGCCGTGCACTTGTTTGTCTAAAGCTCTTCCTTATACAAGCCACCCTTTCACTCTTTTTAGACACACTCCGTCCAGAGCCAAAGGAATTTAATTTTTGTGTTGTCACTTTCAGGTGCAGCAGGTGTGTTGCGTTTACTGTTTTGCCTCACTTTCCATGCCAGTGACTCCATCCGATCGGCACATGTCGTTCATCCCTCGCCACTGCTTCGAGATAAAGTTCTTCAAAAAGTCTTGGTGGTGGGTTTTGTGGGGGCGGGGGGGGGGGGGTGTTTGCTGGATATGTGCACTCTCCAGCTTGCTCGCTCTCGCGAAACGAACTAGATCAGTGATTACATTCGAATTGAGTATCGACTCGTATGATTTTTGTTCTTTATGTTCATTGCATTGCAATGCATTCAACAATGGAACTTTCAATATTTACCTTCAAAAGAACATTTTTCTCTGAAGATCTGGAACTTTTTTAAATGCACTTATACTGGCACATTAAATACACATTCAAGTTCGTAAGCTTTCAGCTTTGATTGTATTCAACTTTGACCCACATTCGTCAAATGCCCTCTTCACATTGCGTGCTACGCAACAGAGAGAGAGAGAGTGAGTGAGCAAGAGAGAATAACAAGCTCGCACTCTCTGATGCAGCAGCTCTTCATGTTAAGTTTTTGTGGTCGAACGTGCAATTTTAGATCGCATTGTTTGCTTAGAATTTGCTACTGGAAGAAAAAAGTACATACATATGTATGTATGAACTTATATGCATGAAAAATGCATTCATATACTCGTTCGTACCATGTTCATATACATACATACATACATACATACATACATACATAGATACACACATATGTACGAATGCATGCTAATAAGTTATAGAATGAAATGCATGAGCTGGAAAAACAGAGAATAAGCTAAGGCACGACGCACCGAGAAACGTGCTGACAATGCCGAATGGTGCGGTGGATTTAGCCAATTTTTATTTCACCTCTAAAACGGTTTTTTCATCCTCCTTCATTTTTCTAGTTCTAAACGGGGCTTTTCCCTCAGTGAGAAAAGGAGAAAAGAAAGAATAAAACTTGGGCCAGCTTCGAATCGAAGCTGTAGAAACTCTAAAATACTCGTTTGTGGCTTTTGAAGGATAAAATAATCTTTAAAACAAATAATCTTTACAAAAATACAATGCTTACTCAAATTTAAATTCAAACCAGTTCTCAGTGTTTCGACTTGTTTTAAGACTTCCCGTCTGCAATGCTCATATAACTATTTGCCTGTGTTGGTTTTATATTATGTTTCGCCGTTTTGGGAAGTACAAGATCTGGGGGGAAGCGGAGATCGGCCCATGTCAATGTTTGGTGGTTGTGTCTCGTTTTGCCCGCTTGTGTTAAATGCTAAATTTGATGATTAAATATTTGTAGATATGTATTTGCTTATATTGTTGTGACGCCAGAATTAAGCTGTGCCTATACACTCTTACGTTTGCTTCTTGGGGTAACATTAGGAGGGTTCATTTACCGAAATAAATTGGGTAAAAAACCCTCTGCCCATTGATTTAGAATAAAATTAATAGATTCTTAACTCAATGGAACCTTAATCTCAAAGCCACTCACAAAGAAAGCGTTTATCTCCATCTCCCGCTCGAGTCAAAGACTTAACGTAAATTGAATGATTTTGGTTTTTATTCTCTTTAATTTGCTTTAATTCTACAAACGCATCGCGAGCCATAACTCATTATCTCTTTGGGGCACGTTCCATCCACTCCCATCATCTGTGCGAGTACATATTACATATGTACATATGTATGTTTTTTTTCGGCGGCAGGTCAAAAAATAATACTCCAACCGATTGGCAAAAATTGTAGCGAGTTTTTTATACTGATGTTAATTTCAACTTGTATTTCGTGGAAATAAATTCAATTGGCTTTATCGGCGCTACGCAGTGCCTACGTCCGCCGTCTGTTGTCTGTCGTCTTCGCCTTCGCGTGGTTATTGATGTGGCGCTGTTGCGTTGGACGCCTCTGATGTGGTTTCGCTCTCCCGTTTGCTATTTTTACGCCAGATGGGGCTTCGAAGAGCCGCCTCTCTAGCGTGTAAGGTTACGTTTGGTCAAGGAGCGGTCAATGGAACGCTTTGTGACCGTCCCTTTGTATTGCCATTGTGTGTCATTGTAGTCTATTGCAGTCTATCCATGCTCGTCTGTGCATCGGATCATAGCGACTTCAAGAGCTGTTGGACCCATTAAAGTAGTTTAAGTTTTTGGCATACGCCGGAAAATCGATATGTATATGAAAATATTTATGTGCTGTGGAAGCGGGTTGCCTATAGTCGCAATATGTATTCTATAAAGACTTTAGCTTCTGTCTCGTTATCTTTGTAACGTAAAAAAAACCTTTCAAGGTCGTCTCAAAGGGTGCCAACATTCTATAAAAATGTCGAACTGCCAACGGAATTGCTCGGAAATTGGAGGAGAAACACAGAAAGTAGAGCGCTGAGCGTACAAAACAAATTAATTAAAATGGAGCATGGAAATCGCTATTTCAAATGCAATTTTTAAGCCATAATCTCTTTCCTTTTCATTCCGTTTTATTCGATAATTAATATCGTCTGTCCGCTGTCGTGGCGCTCTCACTTTGCTCTTACTTTGATCGTTGGGGAGAGGAAGAGCATATCAGCCAGCAGCTCCACCCCACACACATACACGCACTTTGTAACTTTCTTTTGTTCTGCCATCTCCCCCCATTGTTTGTGAGAGTCTGCTCCGAACGTGCGGTCATCTAGCCACAGCAAGCGTAAAAAGTGGCCACTTCCAAGTGTTTCTCATAAAACCACACCCCACTCACACACACTTAGTAGAGATATTGTCAACTCATTGAAGCTTCCTCCAATATTTTCAATAGAAATCAGTTAGCCAATCATATTGTTTAATGAAATAACCAAAAAAATGAAAAAAAAACAAAACAGAATTTTCACATCTTAATGTTATTTTCTCACAAATAGTACTTGGGAGACACCCCCCGCCACACGCTACACTCCCTCCCCTCTGGCCCCAGGAAAAACCGGTTCTTATCATTGACTCAAACATCCTGTTATCACTTGAACTTGGACCATCGAAATACAACCACATTGCGACAATAGCCTTGATTAAAACTCCAACACCACAGTATTGGGGTTATTCAGCCTATTTAAAGTTTCGGCTTTATCGAAAATTCGTATACTTCAGCACAAAAGATCAACAAACTGTAGAACACTTTACTACGTATACAAAATGAAAGAATATCATCATTAGTAAGAGGAGGAACTGATAGAATAAAGAAAAACAGAGAAGAGAGAAGGGAGCGTAACTCTGATCTCATCTTGAGCTCAATGAAATCGCCTTTCTCTATTGAAACGTATGGCAAAAGATGCGGATGACCATTTCATAAACTATTATTTTAAGAATTGATTCATCTTGATTAGAAGTGCATATGTACATAATATTCCCATTCCATCTCTATTTAGATTTCCTTCTGCACAATCATCAGCGATTAAAGAGGATTTATAATTTATAATTATTTGATCAATTTTACTGACGCCACATGCGGCGGGCAGTAGTGCTGGGGACACACGAGTTCTCACTGTATTTGTGTGTCTGTTTAGGATTGGTTTTCTCTTCACAGCAGACATATGTACATATATGTATGTACATACATATGTATACATGTACATACATAAGAGGTGGTGAAGGCAGGGGAGTACGCCAGCAAATGATTAAATTGGCATTCAGAATCCAAACCATCGCACTGTACATGAACGTGCCTCTGTGGGATGGGTGGGTATGAGTAGTGGGTGTACTGCCTCTACCGCCCTGCCACCTGCCCACCCATCATCACCAATTTCTGAAGGTGATTTTAATTAGATTGCAACTGTAACTATTTGTTCTCCCTGCTCTGTTTTTGGACTGAGCGGTGGCAACGTGTCGGCGATTAGCGTCACAATCCGTCATTCATTCAGCCTTTCCGTTCTCTCATTATTTTCGTTTTCTTTCTCTCGTTGCTCTTGCTGATTGTTGATTTGAAGCGATTATTTCTTGGGTGTGTTCATCGTTTTCTATATGGATTCAGATGAAAAATTGAAAGTTTTAGCGATCAAAAGCAAATCCGGCTTATCTTTGTTATTATCAAATGTTTAACGGAACCAGTGCTTGGAGGAGTGTTGTGTTTATTGGAGACTGAATTTGAACTTGTCGCTCAGCATGCGGAAATATATACTAATAAAATTATTCCAAATATCTACTGTAATTAAAAAACGTTACTTGGCGATATGTTAAGACTTTATTATGTTCCCCACTCGTAATACACCCCCCGATCCCATTTTACCCCAAGAGGCGGATACCGAATTGCGTAGAATTGTATACTGTGCCAGATTCCGGAAATGCCTCCCTCCCTTAGATACGAGAGCATGTCCATATTTCTCGTGAACGCACTTTGGGGAATTCTATCCAAATGACGCACGGGGAATGTCAATCCCAAGCAGACGCCACAACTGGTTTTGGGAGGAGCATCATCATCTATCTATTCCTCTGAATGGCGACCGTCTGTTAAACGTATTTCTAATGAATGAAACATTCCAATATTGTATCCAGCAGAGGCCCAATACTTTTTTGCGACATACAATATTCTGATAAGAATATTAATATTTTTTTATTCCCTCCAGCGGGCGGCTCTTGTTATCAATGCCCCATTGTGCTCCAATATTTCCCATAGCTATTGTGCGCTCTCTCAGAGATGCTGTACAGCTTGGGTTCGGTTCCGTCATGTGCCGGGCACCGAAACGCTCCGAGAGAAGTCTGTCGCAAGTGGGGCATGAAGCAGTAGGCAACTACTGCACTCTTCTCTGATATCAGAGAACCACAAGTCGAACCACAATAATCAAAAGATAGAGACTTTGTGGGCGTGGATTTGTACTGGGATGATGAGGATCTCTATCTGAATGAGATGACGTTTTATTTATTTTAAATTCCTTCTTCTGTATCGTGAATTAAAAACAAAACAATAAATGGGGTGATGGGTGGTTTTTTATACCCGTACTCAAAAAAGAGTTAAGGGGTATATTAGATTTGTGGTAAAAGTGGATGTGTGTAACGCAGAGAAGGAAAATTTTCCGACCCCATAAAGTATATATATTCTTGATCAGCATCAATAGCCGAGTCGATATAGCTATGTCTGTCTGTCCGTCTGTCTGTCTGTCTGTCTGTCTCGATGAGCGCCTAGATCTCAGAGACTATAAGAGCTAGGGCAACCAAATTTGGTTTCCAGACTCATGTGATATCCCACTGCTACAAGTGTATTTCAAAAATTCGCCCCGCCCCCTTCCGCCCCCACAAAGAACGAAAATCTGTGGCAGGCACATTTTTAAAGATACGATAAAACTAAAAACGCAGTATCGTAGAGAATGCCCATATCTACCAGATTGCCGAATCTGAATCAGATCGGATCATAATTATAGCCAGAATGAAGAAATGAATTTTCTGTTGGTTCCCTCTCCTTCTCCAGCGCTGCTGACGCTACTGATTCTCTTTCTCGCCGCACACTCTGCCGCGTTCAGTGCGCGAGCAACCCCTAGCGGAGGAGATGTAGAATATAAATGGTACATGTACAATCTACATGTTAGATGTGGAATATACATTGTAGATGTAGATGTAGATAACAGATGTAGCAAAAAAATGTAAAATGTAAAATTTTTTTTTTTTTTAATTCTAAAAAATCATTAGCTCAAAAATGTATATACAGACTGAGTACGGGTATAAGTAGAGTCGCGTCCCCAGAAGCGACTCACACGTTCCTTCTCGTTTTATAATTATAATTATATTATTTTAGCGATCTTTAGATTATCGCGTGCTCTGTACCTATAATATTGCTGATAGACGAAGGAGGTAACCCTCTTTTATGATAGTTCTCATTAAAACTGATTTTTACTCGAAAATGGCGGATGAATCATTCGATTCTACCAGTTCTAATGCCACTTGTTGTTTTCTTTATGCCTGAAGCTATTTTATCTACAGGTTTTGGCCATAAGTCTCTTATCATGCGGGCTGCTAGCCGAAATTCATATCTTGTTTTATATACAGTTCTCGTGTGGAATGGCATGCCATGGGGGTGGCAACAAATTGGATATATTCCAAGTATGTCTGATTATTAAAATGCACAACAATCAAGAAGGACTTAGACTGTTTTAATTGGCATGCCTTTCATAAACGTACAGTTTTCACATAATTCCCCAAAAACAAAGCAAACATAGAAAAATGCTAAATTTTATTCGGATTTATTTGAGAAAATTGTTGAGTAGAATAGTGCCTCGGAGACTCGTGGACCCAGATAAAGGTCCACAATTCCACACGACTCCAGTAGCCCCACTTCTCCCAGTACCGCATCCCCCTAATAGTTGGGAATTTTGAATATCTAATGAGATTTTTAATGGTTCTTTCCTTTTGTAGGCGACATGACTATTCCATCGAGACCAGCGCCGGCCCCGCCCGGATCACGTGGGCAGAGCGCCGCGGCTGGAGCGAATGCCAGCCTGGATCAGCTGCGTCTGCAGCTCCAGGAGCAGCACTTACAGCAACAGCAATCGTCCAGCGGAAGTCTCCAAAAGTTGACCATTAAGCTCCCTCCGCCGCCAAAGGGGCCGCTACAGCAGCAGTCACTGAATGCGCAGCACAAAAGATCCAACAACAATCTTTTTGCGGAGCAGACGGGCTCCAGCATCACGCGAAAGTTCCCCCATGCGCGGTATACGCCGACCACCAACTGGGACGACGATCCCTTTGGAGGTGGGGGAGCTGCTGGTAATGGAAATGGCAACTTAAGGAAGATGCCACCGCCGCGACCGCCACCACCGAAGGTGCAGGTGCAGGTGAATGGGCAGAAGCTTGCCGCTACAAGCACATCAGCGACGTCGGCCGGTGGTGGGGGTAACCTCATCTCCAACATCTTCCACCGCAAAAAGACTTCGTCTACGGCAGCGGCTGCTGCTTCCAAGGCCGCAGTGCAGAATCGTGTCTACGGCCTAAGCAGCGGCCATGCCGGGACGTTATCCCATAGTGCATCGTCGGGCAGTGGGGGTCTCAGCAACATGGATTGGAACGCTGCTTGGAACACGGCGACCACCACCACCACTACCACAACGGGCAGCAGCAGCAGCGCTCACTACTCTCACACGACCAGCAATGGGGCTGCGGTTGAGGGACAGCTCATCAGCTTCGACTCGCCGCCGTCGTCGCCCACCTTCACGCAGAAGTCAAACAGCGACTGCGTGAGTGTCGATAGCTTCAGCTCGGACAGCAACTTTAGTTCACCCAACAACGGCAGCGTCTCGCAGCCGGAGAGCGGGTTCGAGGACGACTTCCACCGCTCCCGACCAGCCACCCAGAGTCCGCTCGATCCCTGGGAGTCGGTGGACAGTGCTGGTCATAGCGCGGTCGACAGTTTCGGCTCGGCAGCGGTGCGACAGACGTACCAGACGTACCATCACGTCCGCACTTCAGATAATCCATTGTGCAACGGCAAAAGCCTACTGCCCCCCACACAGTCGCTGGCCATGCCCACCATCATCAAGCCGAAGATATCGCAGAAGCCGAAGGCACCCAGGGCTCCACCGTTCGTCGGTGGAATGCCGCCCGGCTACGGAGGTGCCTTCAACCCACCTTCTCCGCCTATGCCCAAGGGTGCTCCGCCACCACTGCCACCATCTGTGGGCAGTGCAGCGGCAGGAATCTCGATGCTGGACGTGATTGCGGGCAGAGTGGATGCCATGGCCCTGAGCAACGGCTGCTCGGGCTACGTGGAGGAGGAGGTGAATCCTTACGCCATAGCCCTATACGACTTCGACGGTGTCGAAGAGGGCGATCTTAGCTTTAGGGTAAGTATCTGAGGACGCCACAAGTATTTATACCATCTGACTCAAGGACTATTGCAGGAGAACGAGAAAATCTATCTGATGGAACAGCCCACGCCTGAATGGATGCGAGGACGCACGCGCTCCGGCTGCGAGGGTATTTTCCCGGTCACTTATGTGGACATCAAAGTGCCCTTGGGTGCTGGTGTCTCAAACTACCAACAGTCACAATCATATCCACAACCAGAGCAGCAGCAGCAGCCACAACATGAGCTAACTGCGCTCTGTTTATATCATTTCCCCGGCGAGGTCGAAGGAGATCTGTCTTTGCAGGTAAATATTCCACAGCGATGATTATTCTTGGTATGTCCTTAATAGCCTGATCCCTTGCTTAATAGGAGAACGAACTGGTCACAGTGCTTTATAGGATAAACGAGGAGTGGCTGTTCGGTGAGGCGGGAGGGCGGCAGGGTCAGTTTCCGGCCAATTTCCTGGAGCAAGTGCCCGACAACCTGCCGACTCTTTAAAGGAGCTGAACCCGAACCCTAGTTCTATAATGTATACATGATAAAAATGTCGATAGGAGTGAAGCGAACTGAACCATATACACACATACACACACATATTACAGATTACAGAATTATATTATAAAATTGTATTTTTGCTATATTCGAAACAGATTATATGATATAAGATAAGAGAGAACTATCTTTAAGCTACACCCCAGAAATGTTTTAATGGGACCAATCGAAAGATTTCCAGCTTATACACTGGATTGAATGATTGATTTTATTCTTAGCCCGCGATTATAATTGTTTGTTAAATGGATGATTCGATGTTTACGTATTAGTTGATTGTTTGCCGATCTTTGAATTTGAAGTATTTGCCCAGCGTCCATACCCCTATACCCCATTGTATACCCCAATATAGAGCACACAAAGAGAAAAACACCATTGTAAATAAGTTATATTTTACATGAATTTCTATTAATTTTTAATTATTTAAATCGGGTTTAGTTAGACGCTTAGCCTAACTAGACGCACCTTAATCGATTCCAATTGATGGTTCAAACCTTTTGATTCTATGTATTATTATTACGTTCACGTGCTCGAAGGATGCCTGGAGTAGATTCTGTCTTTGCTTATATCTGTCCTAGTCGCATGTTCTAGAGAGTGGAAGGCCAAGGCCTCGCCCAGCTTATGATATATATGAATATCCTATATCCCAGCTACGAAGGAAATATATTGAAATAAACGCTGTTTACAAACCTGGACAACAATATTTTCAATTTCAATAACTACGTTGCCTGGCCCCCAGACGTCAGCCTCGACTAGTGCCCATTTCTCATAACCACATGTATCCCCAGTCTGTGTGTAACACATTCGTCGTGAATATCTGAACAAAATTATTTTTTAGTCGTTTCGGATGTTTTAAGTGTGATCAACAACTGTTCTCCGCTCGAGCACGCAAAATTATTTCCTTTGACAAGTGCCACGTTTTCGTCAGCATTTAGCATCGAGTGCAACAAAAATACAAGCTGTAAGTTCCCATTTCGACGATCATCAGCATATTTACCAAATCGAGTTTGAAGGCAGGCCACAATGTCGGGCGATTGCAACACATACTGCCCCAACGTGTGCGATCCTTGCCAGGCGCCCACTGACTTCACGCCCTGTCCACCCAATGCGACGTGCCCGCCATGTGATTGCGGGGACTACAACGGCTGCTGCTACCAGCAGCCGGCTCGCGTCAGACCCATTCTGCCGGTTTCCAACTTCATGCGTTCGACGGCGCCTCTGGACACGGATACTATCTACCGCCGCTCTTACTACGGCAACTGCGGAGACAACTTACGAGCCCGTCCAATCCTGCCGTGCTCTCAGATCCGCGCCAGCACTGCGCCACTCGAGAAGTGCACGGTGCAGAAGCTGTCGTTCATGCCGCCCTGCCCTGGACAGCGTACCAGGCCCATCAAGCCCATGGAGAGTGGGCTACGATTCGAGGGACCCATCTACGCTATGACCTCGCAAAAGCACGACTACGTGCCCAAAGGGGTGGTGAAGCGGAGTCCGATCAAGCCGGCCGGGGCCATCTGCACCTCGTCCGCGCCCATGGAGCGCTGCACTATTCAGAAGCTGAGCTACATGCCGATCGATGTCTGCCAGAATCCGCCGCCCAAGGCCATGCCGCAGGAATCGCACTATTGCAAGCCGAGCGGTCCGCTGGAGCGCTGTACCATACAGAAGCTGTCGTACATGCCGGTTTGCCTGCCGGCGAAGGAGCCCACTCCCTGGGCCGACAAGATCCGCTGCGTGCCACCGCGATACCAGAACATTTGTACAACCTACAATCTGAGCTACATGCCCAACTGTAATGCGGGACGCACGGCACCAGTGATGCCGGTATCCAATTTACGTTTCATTGGCAACGATCCCGCTGCCGGGAATACCGTCTACAAGCTTAGCTACATGCCAGTCGATGCCTCTCGCAGCAAGCCGATGCCGATCTTGCCCAGAGACACCTTCTGTCGACCCACCGGACCGCTGGAGAGGTGCACCATACAAAAGGTGAGTGTAGTTTAGTCTCGAATTCTAATAGTAATACTATACCTATCCTGCCATTCTTCCTTCAGCTCTCCTATCAGCCAAATTGTACAGAACGCACTCCCCCGATTCGGCCCATGGAAAATGGACTGCGCTTCGATGGCCCCATGTACGCCATGACCACCCAGAAGCACGACTTTGTGCCCAAGCCGCACGTGCGCCGATCTCCCATTATGCCGACCACGGCTTTCTGTCGCCCCAGCGGAGCCATGGAACGCTGCACGGTCAACAAGCTGTCGTATATGCCAGTAGATGTAACTTGCTTCCCGCGGCCAGAGGCCGTCATACCCAGAGCCGGGTTCTGCCGCAACGAGGGACCAGTGGAGAACTGTACTACATACAAGCTGAGCTATTTGCCGAATTGCATTCCGCCCAAGGAGCCATTGCCCTGGGCTCGTTACACCTCCTACTGTCGTCCGAGCGGACCCATTGAGAAGTGCACCATCCAGAAGCTTAGCTATGGGCCCCCGGGCGCTTTTTCGCGTTGTGGCGGTGAGTAGATAGGGGCTCTGGACTATGGGTTTGTGTTGTCATCTGGTTAAAACTGAACTTTTGCAGGACCCTGTGGAAATGGCGCCGGCGATGCTGGTTGCTTCCCGAAAGCTGGCATTTGTTAAGCAGGAAGTACATTTTGATTGCTCTCCTAACGTCCCGCCCATTCTCTATGTTAAATGTTAAAAAAAAATTGTAATCCAGGTCCGGCTCTATGGACACTTTCATTTTTTGAGCAGCCCAATGGCAGCTTATTGCAGCCCACAGGAACTGCCAAAGAACTTTCGCCACACCACACACCCACAACTATTTTGCCGATATGCTCTGGTCCGATGGCCGCTACCCAAAATTGCAAGTGTTAATTGTTTGCTTTGCGAGTTAAAGTGTATATATATTTATATTTATATATATATATATATATATATATACAGAACCACGGGTGCCAATAAATAGCCCCTAAAGTAAACAGTTGTTTTTTGTCACTGGTCTCCTGGATGCTCCTTTTTTTTTTTTAGGACTCTCTTGATCACGAAAAGCTAGGCAAAATTGTCCTTGATGCATTCAAACGATCGGTGGAATTTTTCAAGAAAATTTTCTCTGCCGATCTGGGCGTTACATGACTTCCTGTGTTCGGAAAAATATTCTTGAGGGGGCCCTTATCAAGGATGGTTTTTGAAATTCGTCGGTTGAAATCATGATTGGGACCTACAAAAATCACATTGTTTGGTCACGATTGAGACACGTGCGGGTCAGCAGAGATCTGTACAATAAATTATGCATTTATTTTTAAATTATTCATTTATGGCAAACTCCAATCGAAATGGCGGCGCATTAGGCGATGCTTCTCCAGAGTTATGTTCTGTATAAATCGTTCGCCACACGTGCCACAGATAAATGGACATTCGCCTGTGTGCTGTTGCAAATGGAGCTTCAGATCCTTCGCTTGCCGGTAGCTCTTCTCGCAGTACGTGCACTTGTGCGGTTTCAATCCGCTGTGGGTGAGCATGTGCCGCGTCAGTTTGTCGGAACGGGCAAAATCCTTGCCACAAACTGTGCAGTGGAATGGTTTCTCCCCCGTATGCATCCTGCGATGCGAAGCCATCTCCGAGTGTCTCGGAAAAGCCATTTCACATAGATCACATTTAAAGGGCTTCTCGCCGGTGTGCCGTCGCATGTGGGTAACCAGAGCAGCAGCCGACCGCGTTTCTCTGCCACAAAGCGAGCAAAGGAATCTCTTAATCGCATCCTTGCGCTTTCGATCTCCGTTTACATGAACATCCCGAATGTGGTTGTTCAATCGCGACTTCATTTGATAGGTGCGATCACAGTGCGGGCATTGCAGAAGCTGGACTCCGTCCTCTGTGGCATCATCGACAAGACCACTTGTCGGCTTGGCTGCTTTGGTGATTTCGGAGACTTCGCTATGCTGGAGGCGCACGTGCTTATCCAGATTCTCAGGCCACATGAATTTATAGGTGCACTTGCTGCATGAATGCTTCTTCTCTGTGCTGCTGCATTGCCATAGAAGATGATGATCCATGATATTCTAAAATAAATAGCATTGAGAAATGAAATTACACACTAGCTACATATTTAGACCAAAAAACACACCTTGGAAACACACTTAAAAACGCATTTATCACACTCATGAGGCATTTTGTCGAAGCGGTGCATGGTCCGTTGATGTTGAATCATTTCGAATTTGCGCTTGCACTGGACACTGCAAAGCTCGCAGACGTAGAGAGGATGGTTGTCGGGCCCAGGCTGTATTTCGTCCTCTGTTTCCGAATCTTCAAGCTGCATCTCGAAGCCGGATTCATTGGTTATAGAGTAGTTTTGCGGGGACTCGTAGCTATGGTGCGATAGAGATAGCTTTAGTTCCATTTGAATGTGGGCACGCAAATCTATGATGCGGTCAAAATGCAGGTCGCAAATTTTGCAGGTAATGCGCTTGGATCCATTCCGCTTAGATGTGGCTGCTATCAGGGTCTCGGCCAATGGAATGTCCTGCTCCTTGAGTCCGTGCCGCTTTAGATGTTTCACTAGGTAGTCACGCCGATAGAACTTGCGCGTACACCACTGACACGGAATGAGCTTCGATTCCTCAGCATGGGCGCTGAGTAAATGAACAGTCAGGGATTTTTTCTTGTCAAAAACACGCTTGCATTCGGAACATTCAAAGGTTTGATTCTGTAAGCAGCATATACATACATAACATAAAATAAGGAATATCATTTTGAGGGGCTTACAGTGATTCGGTGCTCTCGGAAATGTGCTCTCAGGTTGTGCTTCCACCGGAACCGCAGTGGGCATTTGTGGCAAAGGAAACGCTTTTGCGAATTTCTGCACTGCGACTCATTATGATGCCTTAGCATTTGCAAGCTGACAAAGCGCCCATCGCATCGGCCGCAAACATGAGGTGCTTCGGACCAGCTGTGCGTCTGACGCTGATGATCGTAGAGTTGATACTTCCTGGTAAACCTCTGTAGGCACAGCTCGCAGCTGTAATGCGCCTTTCTAGTTTTTCGCTTCCTTTGTTGATCTTCGGGCTCGTCCAGCTCACTATCAGTGTCAGAGCTGTCCAGGTTCATTTCATAACCACACTGATTAGTTATTGAATAAAAGCGATGATATATCCCCCCTGCCAAATCTTTGCGAATCATATCAATTAATTGATCCTCGCCTACATCCTTGGCATCGGGATATAACAACTCGGCCAACTCATTGGGTTCCATATTCGGGCGCACTCCCAAGGTAATAATTTCCGGATGCTCCTCCAAATGGCGTCGAAGATCCGCAATCTTGTTGTACTGACTCTGACAGATCATGCATTCGATGAGCTTGTATCCATGAGGTTTGCATAGATTTAGATCCACAGACTTTGCCTTTTTATGCTCACTTATATTGCCCGAGCGCTTGGGATTTCGATGTACTTTAAGATGCATTTCCAAGGCCTCACTGCTATTGAACTTCCGGATGCAAAGTGAACAGGAGAACCAGCTGGATTCTGGCTTATGAGCCCTGATTCGATGTCGTTTCAGATAATCGGCTCGTTTGAAGTTTTTTGGGCATTCATTGCACTGGTAAAGAGACAGGTTCAGACTTCGCAAGGAATCGCCATTTCCCGTCTTCCATTTAAGCATGCGCTGTCCCAGTGGCAAGTTATCCAGTGAGCTGCAAAACATAGAAGTTCCGTTATATTACATTATAGAAGGCAGCACATCAGATGGACAGTATCTGCTACATACTCTTCGTCCTCAAAGTCCGACACGGCTTCGTAATCTACATGATTTTCTATCCTGGCCTGCACTGTTTCCTGCTTGACAGAATCGATCATTATTAGAGGATCAACAGATTTCTTGTTGTTGAAATCTTTTTCGTCTGGACTCTCTGCCGGGACAATTTCAGATAACCGAGAGCAATTTATGTTTGTTTCAGTTTTCCCTCCATCCTCATCCTCCGTTTCTAGTTTTACCATCACATGCTGCTCTGCACATAGCTCCATGGGCGTTTCTTGCAAGCAATCAGTACCGTTTTTTATGTGCTTCAGCAGTAGATCATTTGCGGCCTTGCATTGCCTTACATAGCAATAGGCACCAATCAATTTCTTTGTGCAACTGCTACACAAACACTGTGGAAGCTTCTGGTTAGAAGATGTGTCCAGCTGGAAAAGATATTGAAAACATAGTTTATAGATTTGTATAGATACATATGAACAACTTACATTAATATTAATGGCTGTGAGTTCGCTCAAGATGTCCGCAAGCAACTTGTCTGGGTACTTCTTCGTGGGAGTGGCCAGTTTCAAAAGATTATCGGCATCTGTCGCATCACATGTCCGACAAATTACCGGCAGCTTCATTATAGAATGTTAAGTTTTTTCTCGTTTCTAAGGTTTTTTATGTGCAAATTCAGGAATAAAGTAAATTATCAAGTAGTATACCGATATACCTGGACAATATTATTTACCAGTTTATCGATACTAAAGACGCATACGCATGGTGTACGACCTAGGGAGGGTGTTCAAAAATACTCGAAATTTCATATTTAAATCAAGAATGCACTTTATTTGTTTTTATATGATAGAACGGGAGCAACTTTTCTCTTAGACTAATTCGGAGCTTAAAATAATTGGTGGCATGTAAGGAGCATGCAACGAAATCCACGAAAAAGGAAGCACTACTTTCCTAGTACTTTTTAATCGTTTTCCTAATTAGGGCCAAACGCTGCTTATGCGCTTCTGTTACTGCGGCGCGTTTGTACGGACGCAGTTCATCTGTACCGAATCCAGGTATCCACATGTTATACTTTCGCTCGAAATGCAATTGAACATCCCGCACCTCAATTTTGTTCGACTTTCTGTGCTTTGCAAATGCGCTGGTTGACTTTACCGTGTCCTCGACAAAGTCATCTATTATTTGCAGCAATAGTTCCTCTACGTCTTCGTCCAATTGCGTGGTGGTGTCTACTTCCCTAACCAATTCCGTGAGACGTGGCTTTGTCAGCATCTGGAAAGGAACCCTAGAATCACAATCGACTTGTCTCGGTACAATGAACGTGTGCTTACTGGTGTGTTTTCACCTCCGGCTGAGGCTGCATGATTGGATGACTTTCCACTACCGCCACCTGAACCAGTTGCTGTGCCAGCGGTTGTGCCACCGTTTTGTGAAGATGAGTTGCTGTTGTTTGTCATGGGACTGTGCTGAGAGGGCGAGGCCATTGGGGTGTTGTAGTTATTGTGCTCGGCGTCGCCGTTGCTATCAAAAGTGTTAAAGAGATCCGACATTGCGATTTGATTTTCTTCAGTCTTTTGAGTGTACGTATGGTATGTTCTATCAAAGCAAATTTTGGACACGATACGATACGTAGGAGTGCGTTGTGGAAAGGAGGAAAAAAATAGCAGGCGTGGGGAAGTGGGGTGAAAAGAAGAGTGTGTGCGGAGCCAGAGCCAAAGCGTTGAGTGGTTTCTAGTGTTCTTGTTGCTTTTTAAACTGCAATTGGTGTTAATACATGTGTGTTTTGTCAGCACAATGAAAGTAAAAGGTTTGTTAAATGTTTTTGTGTTCAGAGATATTAGCTTGCATTATGACTCTACGGAAGAGGTATTCCACACAGATGGGCGAATTTCCCATATATTCAACAGTGGTTTACGGCACATGATTAGCCAGAAAAACTTACTTTGATCGCTTTTTACTTGACTTATTAAATTATTTTTCCACACAACTTTTTTGATGCACAATAATTTAGTGTGGCCTATCGACAGTAGGTCTATCGACTGTGCACTCGATAGTTATTAAAACGATTAAATAGAGGTGGGCTTAGTTCGTCTCTGGTTTGTACGGAACAAAGCAGAAATCGCTTATTTATTTTGGTTTTGTATTTTTGTAGAAAATAGCTGTGCAAAATCAGAAGAATGTCTACGGTCGAGGAAACATCAGCAGGCACCAGGGCCGGAGAGGATGTGGGCGATGACGGGTATGTGGATATGGTGTTCACAAAGGAATTGCGAAAAGCCACCAAAGATGTGCATAATCTGACCGATGTTCTAGTTAATGCAAAATTTGCTTTCGGTGTGTTAGACTCGGGGGACACACTTGATCTGCCTATTGACTTGCATGTTTCTTGCAGCCCTTTCGGACGATGAAGTTTGGTATGATGGACTCTTAGCCTTCTACGAAATATACAAGTTCTTTGAGACCCATCTGCCGGAGCGCCTGTTGCCAAAAGAGCTACATAGAGCCGAGGCATTTGAAAGAGACTTTGCCTATTTCTATGGTCCCAACTGGAAGGACACATATGAGCCGCGCCCCGTTGTCAAGAAGTATCTAGCACAGTTGGAGAAGGTGTCGGCTCAGAACGAGCTCCTTCTGTTTGCCTATGCGTATCAAATGTACATGGCATTGATGTCGGGCGGCCAAATGCTGCAAAAGAAGCGAATGATTGCACGCAAGCTGTGGATTTTCCCCAAGGGCACCGAGGAGGAACGACAGAAACAGGCTGAAGCAGATGCCGATGTAGCCACTGCAAATGCCGCATCTGTTGGGACCGATAAAGAGGATTTGGAGGCGCGTCCAATGCCTGCTCAGGTCACGATTTGTCCACCTGGCTGTGAGGCCACATATTTTCCAGTCAAAGTCAGTATTGTGGTTGCTAATTGTATTGTACCGCATTTAACTACTTCAATTTGCAGATTAATGTACTAAAGGCAAAGCTAAGGCGCGTGTTCAACAGTCAGTACGGCGCGTTTGATGATGAGCTGCGGTCTGAATTTATAGAAGAGAGTCGGAATGTGTTCCGCCTCAATCTAGAAGTGATTCGTACAATTAAAGGAGTGAATCGTGCTAATCTTAAGAAGCTGGCTATAGCAGCTATCTTTATAACGAGCATATATTTGGCCATAAAGTTTGCCACCAAGTAAGACAAAGTCTTTCCTGTCCTGCTCCTTCTTCTGATATTTTAGTATTGTGATCAGACATGAAACGTATATAATATCCTGTTTTTGTAGTAAATAATAATATTGAATCTAATATTGAATCTATTCAGTTCTTCCGGCGTCAACAGAGTCTACTACAAAATCGAGAAGCCCACGCCCATTTAGCCAAGGCATAATACGCTCAATGTTAGCTCTGTATCGCTCATTGCTCATGAGCTTTGATCTCAGAGCATCTGATTCAGGATTGTCACCAAAAAAGGCATCTGTAGTAAAATTGTCGTCAGCTTTGTTGAGGCAAATGGTTAAGGTACTAATTATAGTGCCGACCGCTGCAATAATATAAAAATCAGATATTAATTGATATTAACTGACCATGTATCTCGATTGTCCCAGACGTACCGAAAATGGGATGCTCTATCAATATGATGTGAAGTTCCTTAAGAGTGGGAACGAAACCGTGGTATTTCAAGAGTCCGGCGTGTTCCACTAGATTTTGATGATACCATCTGATGAGATAATCAAACTGATCAACTTTAATGTCCAACGTTGTGGAGCTCATTATGAAATAATATAGATCTTGGGCTGGGTTCCCGTATTGCGTGACCTGATGATCTAGCAAGTAGGTTTCCTGGACATGTTCGTCCGAATCGTATTTGAACATGATGTTATTCACCCACGCATCCCCATGGTTGAGCACATTGAACTCTTCCTCATTAACTTTGGAATCTTTAATGACTTCCGCCACATGGGCATCCAAAATCGATGGCTGCACAGAGAGAATGGAGGGAGATCGGTAGTTTAACTATTCAAAATATATTGAATTAGAAATATTACCAGCTTATGCATATATTCATCAGCTCCTTTAAAATTGGCTACTACATCCAAAAAAGTTTTCCTGCTCTGGGCAAACATGGGCTTAAATATTTCCTCCGTTTTTTCGGTGAAGATGCCTTTCTGGCACATAGCGGGGTATGGTCCATTGAGCTCCTTGTACTTGAGTGAAGCTGCATGCCATTGAGCCAGCTTTTTTAGTGCACACTTGCTATGTTCCAAGTCCATGCCTTTCAACCGATCGCACATCTTGAATTCTCTTGCTTGCAGATTCTCCAGAATCAGATACTCTGCTGTGACCGGCTTGCTCAGCCTATAGGACTTCGGACTAAACGTGACTGCTAGACCTGCATCTTTATAGAGTTCCTCAAAGGCGGGCACATATTTGTCGTATACCATAATCTCCTTGGAAAATAGGTTGAAGTCGGAAAAGTTAATCATATCACTAGCTGCAACTTGCACTTTCAGAATATACGAATAGGTCTTGGCGCTTTTATCTGATAAAAGATTGTAATGTTTTGTTTTAGCATTAGTATATACTAGCAATACTTCACAGACCTTTTAGCAGTACGTTGATGTCCACTCTGTGCAGTTTGGACGCATAGTTATCGCCTGGTTTGGTTGCCAATACCGAATAACCGCTCACAATGCTCTCGAACTCTGGATCCGTGGCGGCTATTATGTCTCTGAAGTCGTCTATATTTAGCCAGTCGAAGATCTCGTAGAAGGAATTGGGCTGCGTAGGTAATGGAGTTTCATTCTTCATCGGCTGGCTGCAAAATGTAACATGACAACAACAAAAATCATCTTGTGCACAAAAAATTATCTTACTCGAACCATTCATGTACTCACTCTACGTCCAGCAGACCACGATTGTCCAGCCAAGGTAGTATCTGCTCGATGTAGCTGTGGTAACGTGGGTTGGTGTACAACAGATTTTTGAAGTTGGCGGCTGATTCGGTGTAACCCATGAAATTCTCGAATGTGGCACCCTCAGTGGGATCCAAGAGCACGACAGGCAGCACGGTAATCGACGGGTACAACGCCCAGTCTCCGTACTTATAAAACTGCATGTGAAGCTCACGGAGCAAAGGCTGGTGTCCTGTAAAGCCCAGCACATTCAGATGTTTGGTAAGCTGCTCGTGATAGTGCCGTATAAAGAAGTCAAAGTATTTCATCTTGTAGTCTATGTGCACTGAAGTGATGATAAAATAGAAGATGTCCTGGACCGGGGATCCGTATTTGGGATTTTGAAAGTCCACAAACACCATATCTTGAAGTTCTCCCTTGGAGTCGAGCTTGAACAATAAATTATTTGTCCAACAATCGCCGTGGTTCAAAACATTAAACTCTTTGGGATCGTACTCGCTTAGCTTTACGAACTCCGAGGCAAATTTTGAAAATGTTTTGTTCTGTTGGGATATATTTTTTACTCTGATGATTAAAGTATACAATTGTTGTTTATAAAGTCAAGACTTACGAGCTTGTCCCGATACTGCTCTCCATCCTTTAGGTTTTTCAGATTTTCCATAAATGTAGTTTGGAAGGAACCAAGCATTCCGTCTACGAAGGCTTTTATGGCATCCTTATTCGTTCCGAACATACCATTCATGAATATATCTGGATAAGGTCCATTCACTTGAATCATCATTGCAGTGGCCGCATGGTATTGGGCCAGTTTTCGCAGAACAAACTTGGTTTGCTCCAAGTTCAGGCACTCCAGACGATTCAAATTCTTGAAGCCGTCCTGACCCAGATCATTCATGAGCACGGTATATGCCAGTTTTGGCTCCCGGCTAGAGTCTAGTCTATGGGCTCGCGGTGCCAATGTGACGTCCATTCCCTTGGCTTTATAGAGCTCTTCCAGTTTCGGTAAAACATCAATATAAGCCATATTCTCAGTATTGAAAAAGTTTGCCATAGCCAGCATTTGTTCCATTTGAGGGGTTTTATGTGGAACCTTCATCATGAAGGATGTGGCTTTAGTACTTTTGTCTGGAAAAGGCGAGAAGTAACGAAAGATTATTTGCTGAAAAAGTACCCTACGTACGTGCGTAGTAAGAAAATTGGTCAGTCATTGTTAGATTTCTAATGCGGGTAAGCATGCAATAACTATTATGATTGTGAAATACCAACAGCGAACTTTTATTGTGCAAAAGGTATAAATAAATTGAAGATATTTTTCGATTACTTATCGCAGCCCAAACCGATGTTAAACAGCGGTTGTTCCGACTCTCCTCGTAGCGATAAAAAGTACATATGTACTTTAAGTAATAATCTATTTTTAAGTAAGCACGTATTTTACAATCATGCATCAGGTTTCAGGTAGTACTTACCATTGAGCTCCACATCGATGCTGATTCGCAGCATGAGGGTGGCATAGTTCTCTCCGGGGGACATGGCGGGCTTAGCGCGAAAGCTAAGAATCCTTGAAAACTGAGGAACATTGGCAGAAAGTATATCCACAAATTGTGTCTCATTAAGCCAATCTGGCCCCAGAGAAGGACCGTCGGCGATTGTAGTGGTGCTGGGGCTGAGGATAGGTGTGTCGTCAGATTTAATCTGTGCCACAGGGGTGGGTTCCGGGGATGGGGATATTGCCTTGGGAGGGAGCTGTTTTTCAGACTTTGGAGGAGTTACCTCATAGCTGTGCTTTGGCTTGGAATTTCGTAGACCCATTGTGTAGCTGGAGGTGTACTTTGATTCTTTGTTCAAATAGAGATCGCAATTTGTGTGCGTCCGTTCGACTGTGCGAACGTCTAGGGACTGATATTTGCACCGCCGTGCATAGTTCTGTCGCACAAATCACAGACTTAGTATATATCGCCGATAGCTCGTACTGTTGATAGCTGTTTTGTTGTTTTGTTTTATCAGTGCTGCCGACAGGCATACGCGTTTTTGTACAAATTGAATGATTGATGGTGATGTGAATCGAGTAAGCACTCACTCGAAACTCGTACAGTGTCTGTAAAAATTTCGAATATTCGACGAATCTCTTGAATTCTATTGCTTATATTTGGTTTTCCGGATTCTTTTCCGGATTTCTTATATCAATCAACATAAATCTAGGATGTTTTGATTACTTCAAAGGCTCCTCGACTGTGAGCCCAAGGGAGGACCTCCTTAAGGTGTCTCCCGATGCGAGGGTTGTGGAACAGGCTGTTTCTGAACTGGTCCCCGACTCCATCCTTGTCCATTAAGGCATCCATATTGGCATTGTCATTGGCATCGACAAGGACGATTGGCAGGAGAACGGTTACTATCGGAAAAACTATTCGAACACACGCATATTAAGAAAATTCTTGTAAAAGGAAGATCTAGTATACTGGGTACTTACTCCAATCGCCGTAACTGTAGATGGATTGATGGAGGCTCTTCAGCTTTGGTAAGCTCTTGGGGTACTTTAAGAGTGTTAAGTTTTCAGTGAGTTTTTCGTGGTAGTAATGGATGAAGTAGTCAAACTTTTGTATCTTTATGTCGCCGTTAACGGAGGAAAGAATCATGTAGAGCAGGTCCTGGGCGGGCGAGCAGTACCGACTCATCTGCAGATCTACGAAATATGTTTCGCTTAGCACACCCTCTTCGTCGTATTGAAACATGAAGTTGTTGCACCAGGCATCGCCATGGTTGAGCACACGAAACTCGTTTTCTATCTTGGGGGCGTGCGCTTGGAACATGTCCTCTGCTTGTTGGCTGTAGGCTTCCTGGAAAATGCCCAATATATACTTGATTCGTAGATCAAAATCAGTATAGTGTAAGAGAAAATATATTTACAATTGTCTTCTTCAGGTGAGAGGCGTTATAGAGGTCCAGCGCTTCGACAAACGTCTTGGATTGGTGTTCCCGAAACTCCTTGAAGTTATCCTCTGTGCCGCACAGATTTCTGTCGTAAGTCTCTGGATAGGGTCCCTTAAGTTCAAACCGCACTGCCGAAGCGGCATGAAACTGAGCCAACTTCTCAAGTGCCGCCTTGGTGTGCACCATATCGAAGCCATTCTGACGGCTCACATTTCTGAAGCCGCGCTGGCACAGATCCTCCAGGATAATGAGCTCCTCATCCAGTTCCTTCGAATGCTGGTAGTAGCGTGGCCCAAAGGTAACTTTCTTCTCGGCCTTTCGGTACATTTGCTCGAAATCTGGCAGGTAATTGGCATAGGAGTTGCTCTCCTTCTCGAATACCTTCCAAGTCGTAACGAGATCCCGTGTGCTGACAGTATTGGGAAGAACCTTGGCCATATAAGAAGTGCTTTTCAGAGAGCCATCTGGTAAAAAGGCCTTTAGTTAACGAACATTGATAAAATGCGCAATGGACGTACCGTTCAGCTCTAGAGAGAAACTTGCACGTAGCAGGAGGGTTGTGTAGTTCTCTCCCTTGCCACCCGTTGCCTCCACTTTAAACTCCTTGATGCTCTTCAGATCCTCAAAGTCGCGTTCTAAAAACTCCACGAACAATTCCTGATCCACCCATTTTGGTAGCTGTTGCTCTTCGGCTGTGCTCTCATATGCCTCAACCATTTCTCGACTTTGTTCGTCGCTAGTCATGGCTGGCGTGTTATATTGGTTGTGCATGCCAACAAATGAAGCTTTCTGGATCGAGCTTTTTCGCGATTTCGTCATTAGATTAAATGTAACCCATTTGAGAACTTTTTCGGCGGGGAAACTGTTTGGTAAGATATCAAATATATTCGCGTTAGTCTAGCAAGACTATTATGACTGTGATTGAGTGCATGATTTGGCAGCATTTGATCACAACATTCCCTTCGATCTCTGATGTGATGTTCAAGTCTGAATTAACATTGTGCCTATTCACTATAATTTTTTTATTTTCTCTTATCTCTTCACAAATATTTTTAAATGTCACAGTGAGGCCTCCACTTCTCGCTCTCTCTTTCTCTATCTCTCTTGTGTATAGGTTCCCAAGGCCCGAAGCGAAATTATTGAAAGCTTTTTTTATTCAGAATAATGTTCTATTCCTCTCCGAAGTAGCCACGATTCTCCAGCCAAGGTAGAAGCTCTCTTATCTGTTCCGAAAACACAGGATTCCTGAACAATTCGACAATGTCGTCGTCATCGCTGCGAGATGAGAGAACGAGCGGGAGAATCTCAGTGGCCACTTCAAAGGCTAAGAAATAAGCGAGGTATTACATACAGTGGAATCATGGAATCTAAGCTGAAGTAAGCTCTTCAGCTCACCTGCCGCTGCCGCATCGGTCGCCCCTGCCCCACCCGATAAGCATTTCTTATCAGAGCTCATCTGTATATAGCGGGCTGTGGCCGCATGATAAGCCGCTAGCTTCCATATTACTGCCTCCATGGTGGGTCTTTCCAGGCCGTTGGGTGTATTGGCCACACTGTAGCCTCTTGTCTGGGCATAGTCCAAGAAAAGGACGCTGTTTTGTTCTGAGGAATAGGGGAGTAAAGTGAATGGCTTGGCCCTCATCCATGTAGAGACCTTCTAAAGCGGGCAGAATGTCTTCGTACATTTGCAGCTCCATTGTGAAGTCCCCTTCAATGGGAAACTTTCTACCACCCGGAGTCTTGTGCGGGGACTTCACTAAGTAGCTCAAGCAACGTTTCTTTTTCCTGTGGAGTCCTTTGGTTATGGCGAGTTTGGACACTTTTGAGGGATACTCTTACCCGCACACTCTATTTGGAGCTGGACACTGAATGTAGGTTGCACCAGAAGTCAGCCATCTCCTGCTTGAGAAGACTCTGCAGCTCCTGCTGGTCCAGCCAAGCCGGCAAAGAGGACGGATCGTTTAAGACCTGAGTCCCGAAAGTGGGACTCGACATGCTGTTCAGTGCGAGTTCTGGTTGGGAACTGTGTAGCCAGCGGCACTTTCAAAACGTGAATGTCTTTCAATTGTACTACACATGAATCGATAAGCATCCAGATAGTGCATGTTGCTGGAATTTATTGATTCTTGCGAATTGTAGTGTATGTTTATTGATTTCCCAGTCATCATAGATAAGTCCCAGTAAGTACACTAAACTTCGCGGCACTACTCAGTAAATGAGTCAGTAGGGAGAAGAAGGGAAGAATTGAAGAAGGCAATAGTACCCCAATCCATTGTTCTGCTCTGACAACATCTGGTAGATTGATGTCAACTCCCATCTATCATGACCCAATATATATTCGTTTCTGCCCTAATTACGCCCAGCAAAAAGAGTCGAAAAATTGCGAAAAACTGTCGGATATTGTAGCAAAATTCAATTAATTTGTCATACCAATTTGACATACAAGCCCATGAGCAGGGATGGGCTTACAATTCGGGAAATCCCAGTTAACCTGATTTACTATGGGAAGAACTTAATATAGAACACGCGGCATGTCCAAATATAAACAAAGTCATACATTAGTACTTTATGAAGTTTTCCCACACCACAGGTATCGAAAAGACAGATTTTGCAGTTGATTTCCTGATGCGCTAATCGCCGACACGTGAGGCCACTTCATAGGTGAAGGAAGGGATGCGGTAATTCACCCTTGCGACAGGATTCGGATATGCAGATGGAGATGGACTTAATGCGGCATGAAGTGTCACAAATTCATCAAAACATATTGTACACCAAACGACCAAAACAACAGCAGAAGCGACCCTTTTTTCCACATGAGTCAACCCTCGCTGGCTGATATTCTTGCAATATCCGTTCAGAATTAATTTGCTCCCTGGCTGAGGGACGCTAATCTGTTGAAAATGGGCGTTGAACGCAAAAATTCCTTGGTATTTAGTCGGACAGGGCTCTGCAGGGGAACGGGCCACGGGGCAGGCACAGGGAATCCCTCAAGTGTTACACTTGTTCCTGTTTTTGGATTATTTTCTGGCTTAAGGGTTGTTCCAATAGACTTTGAATCATACCCGGCCCTCTCCCTTGTCTGACTCAATTTATTAATAATAATTTCACGCTTTGTTTGCCTTGTCAAATTTTGTATAATAGTTTTCTTTCTTTTTTGGGGGGCACCGTACGCAATGTGACTTCATTGAGGACATGTGGTGTGCTGTTCCCTCTTCGAGCAGCTGGAAAGGATCGCACGCAAATCATGGTATGGTCCTGCTTTGACACGGCATGAAATTGTTCGAAACAAGTGCGGTACGTACTGCCAGTTAGCCGGTATTTAAAGGGATTATCAGGTGTACTCGTATATTGGTGGTGTATTGGATTTCTAAGTAACCAAATTTTCGTTGAAAGCCAACTGGTTGATTGGCTTATGATCAGAAGATTACTAAAAATTTTAAAGTTTCCCTCGTTCTTTTCACACTTTCATAAAATATCCATTTTAAATAGCAGTTTATTTTATGCTTATTAAACAAAAATTGGGATGTTCTTCTATTCTTTCTTGTCACTAACAAAAAGGAATGTGCACTTTCTCTTCTTTTAGTCCTTTATTCCGCGATCCACACATACGAGTATTATGTGAGGCTGTGGCTGTAGGGTGACGCAAAGTCTCGGTGATACGCCGCCGCTGGGTGCAGATGATGGGGATGTATAGGGGGTGGTGCGGCCGGGTGGTGGCCGTTCATTCCGGGATAGACATCTGAGCGGGACTTCGAGTGGGAGTGGGAGTTCGAGGGAGTGCCACTGAGCAGCTCGGCCATGAATCCTATATATGTGATGGCCAGGCGTAGCGTCTCTATGCGAGAGAGACGCTTTTCATAGGCGAAGGTGGGCACCTTACGACGGAGCTTGTCAAAGGCCTCGTTCAGGTTGAACATGCGACGGCGCTCCCGAATGTTGGCGGCTCGTCGCTGGGCCATGGAGGCCACCCGGCGACGAGTCTTCTTGGAGGAGCTGGAGGAACCGTTGGAACGCCCATGTGTGCTGGAACGTTGGGGCACCAGTGGGGCTACCTGAGAGCGCTGCCAGAGTGCTATAAGGATGCCGGTTCGATTTAATTCGATTTATTCAGACCAAGATCTCTTAAGGTTTCACGGCTGGAGTACTTACACAAATCGGTGCATGGGAACCCAGCGATGAGCTCTTGGTATGGTACTATGGGCGGCGGTGGAGGCGCCTCCTGGCCCCACAATGGCTGGAACGGCACCTCCGGCATGTAAGTGGGCTGATCGCTGGGGTGGGGATGCTGCATGGCTGTGAGATTTGATTCCTGCCGATTTTTATTGTTGCAATTGGAAGACCTTGGGTCTGTTCTGCTTGGAAGACTTTGTTGCAATAAATTCTGATTGTCCTTTCTGGCTCGGAAATCATCTCGGCCGGGCCTCTGCACTGCTTATTGGATTTTCCACCCCTCTAAGTGTCAGCATCTGCTAGGGGAAGCCATTTTGGATTGGCAACAGTTTGCAGCAATTGGATTGGTAATTGGCTCATTGGCTCAGTGCTGCAGGGATGGACAAGTTTTACATGTATGTATTTGATGTACAATAATAAATATTTTCTTTTTGTATCCAAAAAATACTTTTCGATACAGAATTCGTTACAAAATTAATGGTTTTTTTTGACGCGTTTCTTGTCTCAAACAATCAAATCGTTCGAAATTTTCTGTAAACATTTGGGGTGGATTTCTGGGCGATATCATTCTGGGCAACGCCCCTTTCGGTGTGGTGCAGCACCACCAATGTTGCTTTTAAACTTTATCTGGTCTCTCTCTTTCCGATTTATTCCATTTTCATTTATAGTATTTTCTTTTAATATACTAATATAGTAATTATAGCGGTTAATATAAAAATTGCTTATTTGATATCCCCAGGTATCCCTCAGGTGGACCTGAGACGTTCAGGTGTGGACCTGAGACGTTCGGTTCATGGACCTGAGACGTTCGGCATTTTTTCGACATGTTCGATTCATGACGAGATGCGAAAGGAAGCCGAGAATTGCACATGTATGTGTGTACAAAGACACGACAAAATATTTATCCATTCTTATTTTCCGAAACCGTTTTGAGTTTGTTTTGAGTTTTCAGGCTACGTAAATGTGTGTGTGCCATGTATTCTCACATCCTGTGCTTGTGGTGGGTTCTACAATTTTTGGCCGCTTGAAACGAAATTAGTTTTTCGTTTTGTTTTGAGGGTTTATGTAGCGTCCTAAGCTGACCTGCCGCAACATACATGAGGAATGGGCAGATTGGGTGGGGGGTGGTAAATAAATACAATACATAAAAAAAAAATCATCAGTCAGCTTTTGTCAGCGAGCAACTATAATTTTTTCGTTTCATATCAGTCAGCTTTTGTCAATGAGCAATAAAAACATTTGTTTGGTTTGATTTTAAATTTTTTATTACATATTTCATTTTTCCTAAAAGTTTACTTTTTTTAATTTTTCCTAAATTAAACGAGAAGGAACGTGTGAGTCGCTTCTGGGGACGTACTGAGTCAGTTACACATTTTTAAGCAAATGATTTTTTTGAAATTTTAGAATTAAAAAATTTACATTTTTTGCTACATTTTGTATCTACATATACTATGTACATTTTACATCTAACGTGTAAATTGTACATGTACCATTTAGATTTTACATCTCCTCCGCTAGGGGTTGCTCGCGCACTGAACGCGGCAGAGTGTGCGAGCGAGAAAGAGAATGAGTAGTGGGTCTCTGGCTGAAGTAGGTGGGGGAACCAAGAGAAAATTAATTTCTTCATTCTTGCTATAATTATGATCCGATCTGATTCAGATTCGGCAATTGTGTAGATATGGGCATTCTCTATGATAGTTTTTAGTTTTATTGTATCTTTAAAATTGTGCCTGCCACAGATTTTCGTCCTTTGTATGGGCGGAAGGGGCGGAGCGAAATTTTAAAATAAACTTGTAGCAGTGTGATATCACATGAGTCTGGAAATCAAATTTGGTTGTCCTAGCTTATAGTCTCTGATATCTACATATATACTTTATGGGGTCGGAAACGTTTCCTTCTCTGCGTTGCACACATCCACTTTTACCAAAAATATAATATACCCCTTAATTTTTTTTTGAGTACGGGTATACTCATTTTTTTGTGGTTGCGTGGTTTCATCGCACTTGTTGCAGAACACATATATTCGTTTCGTTGGAATATAGAAAAATTAGACTGGATTAGATTGTATGTGTGTGGAGTGGATATATCCACTCCTATAGGAAAATACATACGTATATATTTTTACGTATAAAGCATAAATAGCAAATTAAACTCTTGCATTCAGCGACTTCTTTGCTGCATTTCATGCATGCATTTTCTTTTAGGCAGCCGTTGCATTCGTAAGTAATCCTTCACAGAAAATAGAAATCGGCTCGATCTCTTCGTCTGCTTCGCCTTTAGAAGTAGTGTTGGTAGTGGTTTCGCTATTAGTGGATTTGCCATCGATATTCGGTATTGCCGCCATTTTTTCGGCCTCACTTTTTTTTTTTCAATATGAGTCGTAAACTTTTATGGAGGTTCTATTTTTTCAAATCCAGTCATTCCGGATTTCGCCTGGGAGTGGTTTTAATATTTCCCCCAGAAGTTTCTCTTCTTGATCTTTAGTATTGATTCCATTGTTTTGTTTTGTTTTGTAGTAATATTGTGTGATGTACAATGCTATTCTTTTTCTCTCGTGTTCTATAAGGGGCGTCCTTGTCTTTGTTTTTTTTTTAATATCTTGGTTTGAGAACTCTTTAGGAGTATGCCGAACGTTGTTACGACCACCATAGTTATTCGCACCGGCGGAACAATTTTGTTTTTGTTGAACCTGCTGTTGTTGTTTTTATGTCCCAATCCGTTTCCAACTCCGACTCCGATTCAGATTCCAGGCGTTTAGGCGGTGATGGCGGTATGCGATTTTTTTTAGTTGTTTTTGAAGCGTTTTCGCCATCAACATCCCAATTCCCAAACTGTACAGCGTTTCTTTTGGATGGAGTCTTTTGTCGTACTAGTTAGTTTGACCACGCCAATAACAATAAAAAATACCCAAAAAAAATACCATTAATACCATTTTATACCATTTATTTAATTAAATAAAAAGAAAAATACATACAGTAGCACCGTAACTGCTCCGATAACGATAAAATATTGTACCCAAAAAAATATTTTTCGGTATAAAATCCGTTACAAAAGTAACGGTTTTCTTGACGCGTTTCATTTGGGGTGGATTTCTGGCCATTAATATTCTAGGCCACGCCCCCCTCGGTGTGATGCAAGAATTAAGCTTTTGTGGTTGTCGTCTTCGAAATTGTTTTCCTCTTCTGTTTTTTTGTTGGTTCAGAAACCAGCCTAGACGAGTTTCACACCACCAAAGTTGCCTTTAAACTCTATCTGTTGCATGCATCTGTTTTTGTTTTTAAGATATTCTTGCCGCCTCATTCAGCTGCTCTCCCGCTGAATAGAAATACAGTGCGCCACCGCGGATAAACTCGCAGGCATCCCGCACCCAAGCCTTTACAATAAATTCCATATTCGAGTGAGTGGCTAACTAGTATCTATCTAGCCAAGTGCCAACGACTTTACTTAGTCTCTTATTAACGGCATACATCTTTATGTGCATTTTTTATGGCAATAAGCAAACTTCGAATAAATTAAAAAAAATAGCACAAAAATCACAAATCACATCTTTTGGTATACATTTGAAAGTTTCTTTTCTTTTATAGCCGCCAAAAATGAGGTTTCGGCTGTATTTATTTAGTTTGCTATTTGTTAGGTTTGGTGAAGGTTGCTCCGACGAACGAAAGAGTAGAGTTCAAGAGTACTTCATTGTGTCAATAGCTTGGAATTGGATATGAAGTGCCTCGCGGAGGATACTGTCAAGTCAAGACAGACACACGAGGCAGCCAAGGGCTGCTTCGGCATAGTGAATCACTTTGATAGCTAAATCCTGCGACTAGCGACGAGAGAGGTCCTTAAAACGTGCTTCGGCCTTCAGTTCAAAGGAAAACGAGTCTCGGGAAAAAATAGTTATAAAATTTGCATTTATTTCATTTTCAGCCATTACCCAGAGTTCTCCGTTGACGCGACGCGATTTTAAAGAACAAACAAACTTCTCTGTAATCTCCTCCGATTTGTGCAGAGAAAAGGAGAATTCGAGTAACAAGAAAAGGTCTAAGGCGATTTGTTTGTTCCCTCCCTCTGTCTCTGTGCAACTGCCCCGGTGCCTGCGTCTGAGCTCTGCCCAAGATTTATGCTCTCTGTGATGGGAGCAAACTCTGAGAGCTACGAGCGAATTTATAATATAAAAATGTGGAAATTGTGAAATTTGAATTTTCTCTGGCTTTTTTTGCCATTTCCTAATTTTCCACGCAAATGCATTTTATTTATTACGCAATTTGGGGATTTGTTCTTCTGGCAGCCTGAATAAACAGAAAACTGAAAGCGACATGACAGCTCTTAAAGTTCACGGCGCTAAACGAGTCACGGTTCTCGGTACATTATGGCGGTCGCCACTGATAATAATTTATTGACCACATTCAGCGCGGAAGGTTATTGGCATGTTAGTAGTAGTCAGTAGTATGATCGAAGAAAAGGATTAGGAGCAGTACCGGAAAAACCAGGTGCTTTGGTCGGTTCAAAGATTCTTGTAAATACGGCTTATAAATAAGGGGAATTTACTTTTTTGTGTATTTTCTTTAAGCATAGACTGCCTCCTCGGTACAGTCCCCTGTTTTCCGTGAATGCAGAGATTGCGCTCATCTGCAGAGTAACAAAAGAGTTTCCCCACACCCCCTTTACACAGGCCGTACAATAGGCAGGCGAAGTGGCAACCAAAATGGATAGAAAATCAACGTGGCAGCCAATTTAAGTGATGATACCCAATACTTGACAAACGAGAAGGTGCAAGCAACAGTGCCTTCATCCCGAGGCTCTTTATGGAGAGTTCGTTTCCCTTGAATAGAAATAAAACGAGAAGGAACGTGTAAGTCGCTTCTGGGGACGCGACTCTACTTATACCCGTACTCAGTCAGTATATACATTTTTGAGCTTATGATTATTTAGAATTTTATAATTAAAACAAAAAAAATGTTACATTGTACATTTTTTTGCTACATCTGTTATCTACAATGTATATTCTACATCTAAAATGTAGATTGTACATGTACATGTACATTGAGATTTTACATCTCCTCCTCGCTCGCAGAGAGTGCGAGCGAGAAAGAGAATGAGTAGTGGGTCTCTGGCTGAAGTGGGCGGGGGAAGCAACTGAAAATTTATTTCTTCATTCTGGCTATAATTATGATCCGATCTGATTCAGATTCGGCAATCGGGTAGATATGGGCATTCTCTACGATACTGTATCTTTAAAATTGTGCCTGCCACAGATTTTCGTCCTTTGTATGGGCGGAAGGGGGCGGGGCGAAATTTTGCAATACACTTGTAGCAGTGTGATATCACATGAGTCTGGAAACCAAATTTGGTTTCTCTAGCTCTTATAGTCTATGAGATCTAGGCGCTCATCAAGACGGACAGACGGACAGACAGACAGACAGACAGACAGACGGACAGACAGACATGGCTATATCGACTCGGCTATTAATGCTGATCAAAAATATATATACTTTATGGGGTCGGAAACGTTTCCTTCTCTGCGTTGCACACATCCACTTTTACCACAAATCTAATATACCCCTTAACTATTTTTTGAGTAGGGGTATAATAAACAGCACAAAAGGTGGCCCTTGGCTGTAACCAACATCCCGACATCCACTTTGCCAATAAAGCAGCATAAGGTGTGCAAAGGAGGCAAAATGCGTCACAATGCGATACAATTTAGATTTATATGCTTTGTCTGATTTATTTGTATTGGCCGTGTGGGGGCAGGCGTCTGCCTTTCAGTTTGTGTGTGTCTTCCTTCCATGCCAGTGGCCCAGAACTCGATAATCTGTGCGATGCCAATGCTCCACACATCGTTCTCCATCACTCCCTCTTTAAAGACATATGTATGCACATATAACCGAGTAGAGTGTGTATCTGTGTCTGCATAGTGAAATTGAGTCTTGACTGAGATTTGTATTCGCGAATGTGCAGCAGAAAAAGTCTTCAAGTTGTTTGCCTGCCAACTAAGACCCAACTCAAAATGAACCTCAAGTCGTGGCTCCTTTGTTCTTCCCGGCTTCTGGCTTTAATGAGGATTACGTGCAATTTCATTATCCTGCGTAATAAATAAGTAACAAGTCAAATAAACATATAGAAACCTAGACAAAGAGTAACAAGATTGCACACAAGATGCAGAGGAACGAGGCGAATGCCGACAGCATCCATATTAAAATTTAGACACGTACACATTTTATTGCTTGTACTGTATTTTGGGACTAGTGAGTGGGAGGGGCATTGGGAGTAGGACTGAGTGCGTGTCTGTATTGTATCCGTATCTGTGGAGGGGGAAGCCCCGAGTTTGTTGCAAGTACCATAAAATGTTGCTGTGGAGTGGGAGAGAGAGTCATGGATCCTGCACCAGTAGCACCTTTGATTATAGAATTAAATGATTAGTGAAAGGATGGGTATTCCTATGGGAAATAGAGAAGTCATTATCCTCAAATTTAGTTATAAGCAATTAGCCTTGACAGGGCCGCCACAGGACATAGACCCAAATACAAACGTTCGTTTCCTTCCCCTTGGACTCGTACGAGTGTGGTTGTATAATGACTGCAAACGCAATTTATCTCAATTAAATGTGGATAACATTTTACGAATATTGATTTTCGTCACAGCTTTCGTTCATCCGGAGGGGCTCTATTAATTGGATTTTGGGATGAAGAGTGGCTTATTGTGTTCAGATCGAATATTCCACGTCCAACCCCATCCGACTTATGACAGTGTGTACAGTCGGATGGCTGTTCACCTTTTAAGGCAGCCCCAATTCATTAGCTGTGCCTCCAGCTTTAGCAGATGAAAAGATGCAAGATAGTATGAATGCTGCAGTTTGTGTTGCAGCACTGGGATGCAGATACGGAGGAGACCTTTAGGCCACCCATTTTATACAGTTTCCATTCTAATTCCCGGGCTCGCTCACTCGCTGCGCTTGTTACAGCGATACAGCGAGCGAGAAATTCAAACTTTGTGCAATTATCTTAAGAGACACAATTTTCGCAGTTTCTCGATTTTTATTAGAGTGCACAAAGTTGTCCCCGGGAAAACTTTCTTCTCCGCAAAAAATATATTTATGATGTTGTTGCCACTGCCACTCTTAAATTAATAGTTGGAGACAGTTGATTTTTATACCCGTACTCAAAAAAGAGTTAAGGGTTATATTAGATTTGTGGTAAAAGTGGATGTGTGTAACGCAGAGAAGGAAACGTTTCCGACCCCATAAAGTATATATATTCTTGATCAGCATCAATAGCCGAGTCGATATAGCCATGTCTGTCTGTCCGTCTGTCTGTCTTTCTGTCTCGATGAGCGCCTAGATCTCAGAGACTATAAGAGCTAGGGCAACCAAATTTGGTTTCCAGACTTATGTGATATCCCACTGCTACAAGTGATACGATAAAACTAAAAAGGCATTATCGTAGAGAATGACCATATCTACCAGACTGCCGAATCTGAATCAGATCGGATCATAATTATAGCCAGAATGAAGAAATTAATTTTCAGTTGCTTCCCCTGCCCTCCTGACAACAACCTTGCAACTCATTTTCCTTCTCGCTCGCACACTCTGCCGCGTTCAGTGCGCGTACAACCCCTAGCGGAGGAGATGTAGAATCTAAACGGTACATGTATAATCTACATGTTAGATGTATAATATACATAATATATGTATATGTAGATAACAGATGTAGCAAAAAAATATAAATGTAAAATTTTTTTTTTTTTATTCTAAAATTCTAAAAAAATCATATGCTCAAAAATGTAAATACTGACTGAGTAAATAGTCGCGTCTTTAGAAGCGACTCACACGTTCCTTCTCGTTTAATTTAATGTTGATTGCTTGTCTCGGTCAAATTTGCGGAGAAGATGCCTGTCTTAATTGTGCCACAATCAACGGGGATGCTGCATGCGTCTTTAATATTAAATATTAAAGAACGCGTTACTTTGAAAATTAACGGAAAAGAACGCTGAGTAGTCTCCTAATGAGCTTCTTGCCATAGACGTGGCAAGGACCCTAAACGAAATTGACACCCAGTGGAAGGCGAGGGGAAGGCGATGGAAAGGGACCTCCCCTTCCAATGAATGTCAGATGCTGTCGCCGCCTGTCGTTTTTCTCTTTTTCTATTGCTCTGTTACGTCCCGTTGTGCTGTTAATGTAGATAAGGTCATCGGGTGTGGGGCTCATAGAGAGGAGGCATAAAAGCGAATTGCGGCTGAAAATGGCGTGCGACAATTGAAAAAGAGCTTCCTAGCTTATCAGTGTCCTGGGCCAGCAGCCGGTATATTAATAAACATGTTCTCAATGTGGACCACATTCTGCCATGAATAAAGCGCATATTTCTTTTGTCCGAAGCATCACTGACTTTATTTGGAATCCACATTTCCTTGTATTCCTTGCCTTTTTGGTGAATTAATATCTGTGGGTCGGTCAATCGGTCCGTCGGTTGGCTCCGGTAAGGTTGGGAGGTAATTGGAAACTAATTGGCTCGATGATTAGCAGAGAGATTAATTCTGATTTGAAACGTTTATGGATATTGGAATCCCTGTTAGTATTTCGAGTATAGGATTATCCCAGAAAAGCGAAGCGCTCTCTGCTTACCGCATTTACTCTTAAAAACGAAGTTCATTGAACGAAAGTTGAGTTGGTTTTTTCATCCTGCGCATCCTCCATATCCCGCACTCCATTATTCCTACTAAAGTTTGCCCACCGTTAAAATGTAATCAAAAGTTTGCTGATTAAAGTGAAAATGCAAAAAAAAAAAATTATGAATCAATTTTCCCATCGATGGAGAGAGCAAAGTGCATAGTCATCAGAGCAACTGCCCCACAAGTGGCAGGATCCGGAGAGATGATAAAATTTGCATTACTTCTTGCATACTGGATACTGGATCCATGGATGCAATATGATAATTTTATCTGAAAATTATTAAAGTTCCGAAGAGAAAGTAGTTTCAAGTAGGCTACGGGAAATTCATGATGTCAGGGGGGCCTCCTGGGGAAACTCTGAGTTTCAGTTGTTCAGTCTTTTATGGGGATTCCCTTGGATGTTTTCAAAGATTTCAGTAGTTTTGTTTTTATATTCGAAAGAATTCGGTTCGTGATTTTTTTCTAGTAATCAAATAAGTAGGAAACGGAAATTTTACCAAAAGTGCTTTTATACGATGGACCGCAATTTGATATTCTTCAGTCCATACAACAATCAAAATTTAGTTGAAAATCTTCAGAACCAAATTATGATTAGTCCTGAGCTCCACAGCCATCGCATTGTTGATTCCTGCGACCTGTATCGCTATGAGGATGGTGGCGGCGATGCACGCGCTTTGCTCCTTGGCGAAGAGGAGAACCACGTATCCTACTCGTCCACTCCAGAAGGCCAGATGAAAATGATTTTGGATATGGGGCGGAGTGTATCTGTTGTGAATCCCGTTCTACACACACCCGCAGAAGGGGCAGCATCGGGGGTTAGTCGCTCCTTCGGACGGCTGCCCTACCTGAATCTGGGGCAACGTCCAACGTGCTCCTGCCCCTTCATCCTCATAGGCCACGAGCAGTATGTGCTACAGCCAGACACCATTTTCGTGCTTGGGATGCGTCAGAGTATCACCAAGAATGACATAATTGTGTGCTTCGGCAAGATCGGGCACATCAAGGTGGACGAGGGGACCAACAAGCCGAAGATCTTCGTCTACAAGGACAAGTTGACGGGCCGCTCCAAGGGGGAGGCCACCATCACCTACGTGAGTCCCTTGTCGGCCCAGGCGGCCATAGCTGCCATGAGTGGCAGAAGATTCATGGGCCACACGCTCACTGTGCTTCCCGCCTACCTGTCCACTCGCTCGGGGACCGTGCGCTACAGCTACCCCCGCAAACTTGCCACGGAGCAGCAGCTTGAGCCCCGCTCTCAGAGGTGGAAGCCGGCCAGCGACAACTGGTCCTGCCTGGTGTGCCGTAATAGCAACTTTGTGTGGCGCTCCTCCTGCAACCGATGCCAGGCGGAGAAGGGGACGGCGCCAACCGCAGAGATCTCCAACTCAGATCGCCGCCGACGGCCCCACAAGAACGATTGGCTGTGCGACGGTTGCAATAATATTAACTTCTGGTATCGCAAGAAGTGCAATCTATGCAACTCCGAAAAGGCAGAGACGAAGGCGGAGACGAAAACGGAAACCCACTTCAACGGTGACTCCTCAATGGAAAAGGAAAAGTGGGAGCTAATGCTGCAGTCTTCAGCGGAGGATTTGCTCTCTTCCCATGCCAATAATGATGATGTTTCGACCGATATTTAATGTTAAGTTCAAGTAATATTCAATGACCAAATGCCCCTAAATTTGATGTAATAAACGTCACGCTCAATTCTTTAATCTTTTAAATCTTTGGGAAACAATAAAGTCACAAACGAGGAACTTGGGTCACAAAAATAAGCCATATACGTTTTTCCTGGCATTCCCTGGCTTTTCCCATTTGGGCACAGCGGGACAATGGTACCAATGGTGCATTCACATCTACTGGACGGTAAATCCACTTAATCCTGGCTAACTGAATATTTTACTCGTGCACAAATGGCATCCGACTCTGTGGACTGCATCTGCATTCACCTGGAGAGCTCCTCTAATCGTTTAATGAATTTATTTACTTGCCTTCTGCTCGCACTAGGAGTGCCAGTGCCAGTGGCTGTGGCAAACCACTTGAATCTGTCCTTCCCCAACCGCTGGGCATTCCTCCTCCCAGTGTTTCATGTGATTTAATTAAACTTTGCTGCAGCCAAATCTCTCCTACGATTCCTACCCAACACTCAACAAAGGGCCTCCACAAAAGGGGAGCCTGACTGCGCATCTTCTTAACAACCGCATCACCCCATCCGCCCATGATTCCACTCCCTATCCTGCCGCCTTTGCACTGTCCACCGTCTGGTGGACTTTTTGTTGTGTTGAATTTACTTTGCACTTTCTTCCACACGAACGAAGATGGCAGCTGGATGTGCCTGGGTGTGGGCCTGTGTCCCGAAGTCCGTCTGGAGTCCATTCCTGTTCTTTGCTCTGGCTCCCGCAGGATATTTGCGTAGCTGCAGGTGTCGCCCCTGCCCGCATTTCACTCTCTCCTCTTCGCGCCTGTTGCGCAACAGTGTCGCACTTCACTGCTGGCTGCCCCATGATGCCGATTTAAGTGCCACAGAAGGAGAGTAAATGCAATAAACACCATTAGCTGCAACTACTTCTCTCTCAACGCACTGGCCATGGTTCTGGCTCTGGCTCGGGGTCGGGGTATGGCCCATGTTTTACTTTGCTTTTTAACCAGAGAAAGTTTACTGCTTGCCCCAAGAACTAGGCCACCAAGGTAAGCAAAAAGAAACTGAATCGAGTGGAAAACGTTGCGGCATCAAAATGCAAAGGCGAAAAGCAACTTATTCGTAAGTGAATTGAATGAAAAACTTTCAAACTGCGGTTGCCATAAACTCTGAACGCAACGCAGGACAAATGACGAAGGCCGAAGGAAACTTTCCTGAAACATGATTTGTTTATACATAGCTTGTCTGCTGTTTTGTGTTGTCTATTTGAAGCTTTTTCCTCAATATTTCAACATAATTAGGCCATTAGCTAACTTGATTCTGGCTATCAGGGAATAGTCCTCGTAGGTATGGCTATCTACGATTATGTAACATACACATATGGCATTCCTATCCCCTGTCTGAATGAGATGTCATTCACAAGAATAAATAATCCCCAAATGCTGCAAAAACATAAAACCAACGCCTTTTCGCTTTTTCGCCTCTTCTCTTCGCTGCGGCGGAGGGGAACACTTGTAGAGATTTCATTCACTGAAATCCACTCAACTACACCCACATACGAATGCCACATACACCACACAGCATTCCATGCTCCAGAATGCAGCTCTTGCGGTTCATTGTACTTTACGAGCATTTTTCAGCGGAAACGGAGAATCCAAGCTCGCGACTTCCGCATGTTTTTCCCCTTCGCCGGCTATCGGCTGCCGCCGTTTTGTTACGTTTTTTCCTTTGTCTGCTCTGCCCTTTGCACGTACATTGAACAATGGGTTTAAAGGCCCCTCGACATTCCAACAAGCGTTGAAATGTTTGGCTATAAATTATGGAAACTGTCGCCACTAAGATCGAAACTGAAAACACCGCTACGGGCTTAGATTGCCATGCTTCTGACGGCTATGACAAAATTTCAAAGTCTCGATGGCTGCTGCATACGTAGCTGCTACGTAGGGGGTCCGGCTTCTGGCTGTCATATTGCAAACGACACGCTAGGGATTCTGGAACTGCCGCCACTGTCACACTTCTGTTGATGCCGCTGTATTTTTCGGTCTGCGGTCGCATTATCCACCAAAAAGTTCTCACAGATACACAGATGCATACATGCAAAAGGACTGGACCCACAGGATGCCCCTCCATTTTTGTGCATTTGTGGCTCCTGTCCTGACAGCTGTTCGAGAATGGCCGTCACATTAGCACCATTTTCCACTCTGCGGTCATAATTCACTAGAATTAATTGTCGCACTCTCTGGGGCGCTGTAAATATCGATTGCAAGGCTGTTCGACTGCTTGTACGATACTGTTAAGTATTAAAGAGACCCAGACGCCACTTTAAGTCTTTCCACCTTGGTGAGCTTCTGATGGCCACGAACATTTCTTGTCAGCTCCGTTTCTGCGGCACATTACCAAGAGTGTTTTCGCATAGGTAAGCTCTCGCATTAGCATTTTGCCTCCTTTAGAAAGAAAAGGGAAATTATGCTAAACATTATAATAAAATTTAATAATAAAGAATACCAAAGGAGGCGGCAGCATTCCGTTGATTGTCCCTCAATGTGTAACGACCCTCGCTAATTCCGCAACATTTTATGCAAATATCCTCCTATTGGAGTTGCGTCCGAATCCAGACTGGACTTTAGGCTCAACCTTTTTTCGGCAACAGGATTAGAAAGGGTCCCTTCCCCAGCTATCTTTATCAGGTATTTGTTTATACAGCTGCAATGCCGAGGTTTATTTTATTACATTTCTTTGGGGTACCCAGACCCCGACCCAGAACCGATTGCTGCTTTGTAACCGTTTATCCAAATGGCTTTTGGAACGGGCAGATAAGTACTTGGTAAGTAAATTCTGGTCGTCACCTGGGGTGGTGCTGGGACGGTCGGGAGCTTCATTCTCTTCCTATAAAAATAAGCCAGAAGACAGACATTGGCCTGGGAATACTCTTGAAATGCCGCCAACGATGTCATTCAGGGGCCAAAAAGTTGAAAACTTTGTTTTGTTTTATTCGTTTGGGGTTATAAAATGAAACGGGTGGAGGCAAAATGGCAAAACTTTCGCTGCCTGGTAAATACGCACGCCATCGTTGGAGAAGGAGGCGTGGCATACAGTGGTACGAGTTCTGGCAAAAGTATTCGCTTATTGTTTCCACATATCTCTGAGTTGTGTCCCACTGTTGCCGCCTTAACTTTCAACAAAGACAATGCTCCTCCCCTGCCTGGAAACAATAAAAACGCCGCTCTTCACAATCATGCGGCATAAAAACAGCTTATTACGCCCTATAGTTGTCCCTTTGTCGGGAAGGGACAGCAAAGGGAAGCTCCAGTTTCAGTAACAATTGAAATAAATGAATTGGCCAAAGGATTGGTGGAGAACATAAAATTCAGCGAATGTGCACGCAATGCCTCACATATGAGAATCCAATATTCCCGCAGAAAGCTGCTTCCAAGTGGTATTCAAACTCGTAAATGCTGAATCAGCCCCGAATTGTAGGCACTTTAAAGTCGTTTTCCCACTAAACCACAGAGGAAACGCACGGAAAAGTTAAATCAAAATTGCAATCAAATCCAAATCAAAAGTTACACCATCCACATCCCCTGATTCCGGTTTAAGGCTGTACCCTTAAAGAAACAGAATATCACAGCATGAAGCACACGCATCATTCCTTGGTTGTTTCATGGGAGGATCTCCCACAACTAAGCCAATTTCGAGGCGTCTCACCGACTGAGAGAAAGCATCGGACACCTATTTCAAACTCAATTAAACACGGAAAGGGCAGCTGCAGAGACAACTACCTCCTGACCTGTCTCCGCCGTTGTGTAACATGAAATTCTCTACGGTGGACGCAGCTGTTCTTTATGTGGGTGCTGCTATTTGGGAGCGAGCGCCAGTGCACACCGCTCGGGTGTATTACATATTTTAATACTGCTTGACTGCCTGCCTCCTCTGTCTGTCTGCCTAGGTCTTTATTTTGATTCCATTTAAAGGGTTGCCAGACACGGGTTCTTTGAGAATGTAACTAAATAAAGAGCTTCGGTTCGGTCAATGTCGAAAATTTTAAAAACAGTTTGGTAGACTCTAGCTTTGTTAGCCAGGTTAGTAGCATCATCCTCTACAACCTCCTGCTTCGGATTAGCTCTGGTCTTTCCGTCTCTCGTACAATATTTAAATTTTCATCACAAGAGACAGGAACAACAGCAACTTGAGCATCAACAAATCCTGTAACATACACACCATGGCGATTAGAATGTTTGCAATGTTCTTCCGGTCATTTGCATACATTTCCCTTGCGTATAGATATACAGAGAAACAGGATAGATAGAGAGCCACGATACACGTGAGGCACTTTTTTTGAACCATAAGCCCATGGCTAAAGCTGTCCTGCATGGTGGTGCATGGTCACCATGCATAATTTGACCAACTTTAGGGCCTTGTTACGAGTACTCTCGTGTGCCAAATATTTGGCTAACAAATGGATTTTATTCAAGCTTCAAGCTGTATAGAGATTCATGAGATTCTCTCCGCACTGTCTCTATATCTAAGTTTAAGTCAATATTGTCTATATCTGTCACTGTCCGTCCCCGTTGACGCCTAGTTTTCAGAGCTTATGACTAGAACTAGTTGTACCCAAAATCAAGAAAACAATTTCAAGTAAATTTTCAGTTTTAATGGCTCTCTCTCCGTCAATCTTTTCTTCTTTCTGCACATGTTTTATTTTTGATTTTATTTTATTGCAATCGTCGACTGTTTAGTTACTGTTTTTTATGACTGGCAAACCTTTAAGCATTCAAACATTGCAACATTGAAATGTTTTAGGGTCAACGAACCGGAAACCGGCCATGCCACTCCCACATTCCATTGACCATTGGAACCATTGGAGCGGAAAGCTGGCCAATTATTGTGTGCTAGGTCCATATATAATATGGATAGAATAGACGTAGATACACGGAATAGTAGGCGGAGGAGAAGAGTTACAGGAGAGGGTTAGAGATCTATCGAGTGCTCCAGTGCCACTTGGTTCGAGTGGGGAGCAGCTTTCTTCGAATCTAATCTACATTGACGTCCACCGACCCTCGGAGCACCCGAAAGAGCCCTTTGCCCGCAGAGCTCGGTTTGTCCCCGGCACACATTTCGAGTGTTTTGTTTATGTGGAGTACACATTTCCATCTCAAGACACGGAGCCGTCGTTTGCATAATAATTTAACACAGCCCCTCTACACTCCCTCCTGTACCATGCACCCAACTTAATAAGCATAAGTGAGACACACATTCATTTGCCACACAAGAGAGCGTAAGGGAACGGAGGAGGCGAATGCCGTTGAGTCTTGCAAAAGGAATTACGGCACCTTGAGGCACTAACTAGGTAATTTTGGGGCTCTGCGAGGTCAAGATGTGACGAAGACGAGAACGACGCCACTCCTAGGCTCCTGCTAGCCACACGTCACATGCCACCACATAGCTCCAAGCGATGATGAATGTATTTCTGTTTTCTCACTTTCATTACGCACACGACACGTGTATGTTCCCAAACGACTGCTCCTAAACGTTCTCACATCTAAAATATGTTTCGTTTCGTTGCCTGAAATGGTAGCTCCATTCAATAAATAGTTATTTTCCTTATCCAGAAGAATACACAATTCCCAAAAACAGGCTGCCGAAATTGCAGGGGGATCAACTTCCTTTTCCATGACGGGTCGGTAAGGTCAGGGCGCCTTTTACTTCTACTTTTTATCCTGATTTTCGTTGCTCTTCAATCTCCTCTTCATAGCTATTATCGCATTCCTGTCGCAATCGTCGAAGGGGTTCGCTTAGCTCCCTCTCTCTCCCTTGTAGTAAAATCGTCTTCCGTACACTCCTGGCCCGTGGCTCATCTCTTGACTCTGCAGCAGCCCCTGCCAAACCCTCGATGCTGCAACCCCTGACGTAGCAGAAGCAGCAGCAGTTCACTTAACTTACTCAAGTCGTTGACGGCATAACTTCCGCTCCGCATTGCGCCCCCATCCTCTGGGGCAGAAGGTAGAGGGCAGAAGTGAGAGATGTGGCAGGGCTTTGTGTTTTAATGCCAATGCTCGCACATTTTACACAATTTCTTATACACATTTTGAGCTCCTTTAGAAGCTGAATGCAGTGGTGCGTTTTTACTTACATCTTCAAGAGGATGCGCCCAAAGGATGAGGATGTGTACGGATGTGGATTTGGATTGAGCTGCTTGAACTACTTCTCGAATAGTTGGATTAAATTCGAATACTCCTACAAGACGATTGAACAAGACGCAGAGGAATGAATGATAGAACAATATTTACAGAACCAAAGAGAAGGGTACGATTCCCATGATTCCTAGTTTGTTTGATCTGCTCTCAGTGTGTGCCAGAAAAAGGGTCACGTCACAGAAATCTCCTACTGGATGGATGTGTACTTTCAATTCAATTAGCAGCATTTGATCTTTGGTCAACCTTTGAATGGGGAATATTGAGGAATAATGAGGAATGAGGCTGCTTAGTGAACTAATTTGATCAACGACTTGCCACCGAGATGCTAATTGATCTGGTTTCCACATCAAAGCCAACGCCTCTGCAGCCAACGAAAGCCAAAAGAAAGTGAGTTTTAGGTGTGAATACTCTTCTGGGTGGCTCTGTTGCTTGTTCTGTGGCTTAGTACTGAAACTGTTCTCGAAGCGATCGCAAGAAATGCATCGGACACTTTTAAGCATCTTTCTGGCTGCGCTATTCCTGGCCTGTGCCGGAGTCCGAGGAAATCATCTGAAACGCTTCAGCCGATCGCTCCTGTTTCCACCCACTAGTCCGACGCGCGTGCAATTTATAGGCGGCATTGGCATACCTGTGGAGGGGCTCCACTTCGAGTCCGTGACCTCGGGATATGTCCTGAAGGCCGAGTATTTCCTGCCCACCAATGCCACAGAGATCACGCGGGTGTACCTCAAGCCACAGGCCATAACGGGCAGAGAGGACGAATTTAACTACGGCGCACTCTACCGCTGGATCATATACCGCGGCATCGAGATGGTCATAGCGAACGCAGGACTACCAGGACGTAGCTGCCTCCTGCGTTTAATATGCGAACACGCAGCGCTGCCGCTAAACCACGAGAGTGGTTTACTTGGGGAAATGCTGGACATCATCCTCACTCCCTCGAGCTCTAGGGACGAGCTGGCCCACAGCTCAAACCGCGACTATCATGCATCAGAGCGTTTCGGCAGGCGAGGCGGCGATTGTGAGGCGTTCTATGCGAGAGAGTGCCAAAAGACGCCCATGGATCTCATCAGCATGTTGCTGGAAGTCAATTAATAAATGTATATAATCGCGAAATAGTTGTTTTACTTTGATTACAATGTTAAATTGTATTTTAAATGCATACAATGCATAAACAAATGAAAATCACGTAGATTCGATGACACCGATAGCAAATACAAAGTTAATAAACATTTTAATTCGCTGGTGCGTGTCCTGCATTCGGAGGAGCATCAATTTTAATTAAACACAGGATATATGACAGCCGCCACTGCGTATGGGTAATGTGTGAAATCAGACAACAAAGGAGAGGGAACGAGAGAAGTAAAGGGGAAAATATGTCAAAGGTCAAACAGGCGAATCATTTAGGCACTTAATTCGCTTAAATTTAAATGGGAAATGGATTATGGGGCGACTTACATGACACTAATACAAAATATACTGCCTTCTCATTAGGTTATACAGGACACGTATCCTACTCACTCTCCCCTCTCCTATAATGGGCTTACCGATTCCTGGATAGGCCCTGGCGCCTACAGTGCCATGAAATAATTACACACATCGGATGGAAACGCGACCAGAATTAAGGATTCGGGATGGCAGGTGGGAAGTCTCCTCTGCAGGCTCTTCCTCTGGCGCTTGCTTCTGGCATTTCAATGCGAGTATGTGGAATGTGAAAATGAGTTTAATGTTAATTAACAGCCTGTTAACGCGTGTGGCAGCCGCATGCAGCAAAACGAAAGCCAATAGGGCGAATAGAGAGCACAGACCCGTTCCCCATCTCTCCTCCCAATGGGTTCGCTTCATTCGGTCATAAGTTGTAGTGTGCATTTTCTGTGTTTACTTTAAAACATTTATGCCTCCCAGAGGGTTTGCATCTGTGCTCCTTTTTTGCGCCCAAGTACCCCAGGCCGAGTCCGGGCCACATCCATAATAAAAATAACAATATGAAAATGAAATTCTTTGGAGCACTCGGCCTTTGTTGGAAGTTGGGGGTAGATGGCTGGAGGTTAAGGGGTTAACAGGCAGCCTGTTGGGTCCATTTGTTTTCAATTTATAGCTGCCCCAAGGCTGTGTGTTTCGGTCAACATATGTGCTAAATTATTTAACAAATGCAATTTCATAGCCAAAAGGCGAACATGGTCCCGGGATTTCAGAGGAGGAATGTACACTATATATAATGGGGAGTGATTCAAAAGCATCGATTATTATTTAAAATTAAATATCAGCTAAGTTGCAATGGCTATCATTGCTTACAGTATGGCGTTTTTGCTTGAATTTACACATGTCCTGTGCTTCGCATAAATTGTTGAGCGATTTACGCCAGAAAGCTGACATAAGAGACGTTTCCTGTCGCACTCAGATTCGGAGAGCCCCTCCGTTGGTCTGTAGTTCCTTCACTAACTGCAATCCTTTCAAACTAAACACAATTTAAATGCGGGAGCAGTTCCTGCGGGGGGTCGAAGGGCAGCCTAGTCGATGGTCTGCAAGTTTGTAGTGCCTGGATTTATGGCCAAATGTGGAGATAAACTTGCTGTCATTTATCAAGAAGCGGATTGCTGGTCCTCTCTTGGCGTCCGGACATCGCTACTGCTTCGACCTTTGAAAACATTTTGACTTGAAATGATTACGCCAAAAACTCAACAGATAAAACCCCGAGAACGAACCCTGGAACCTTGGAAGCGACCATAAATCAGTAAGTAAATGTGACTCCTCCTCGGCCTCTGAGTCGTGGACTTTGGAAACTTTACACACGACGACGACTGCAATGGCAGTGATGAGCAGAAAAAGAACGAAGGAAGGAAGGAAGGAAGAAGGGTGGGTCCTCAGTCCTACGTTCGCTCGAGTGGCCAAAGCCAAAGGTAGTGGTAGCAGGACCAAATTGCAGTCAGCAGTCAAGAAATGGCATGGGACATGGGCATGGGGCATAGATTGGCAACATTTGATGGCAAAAGTTACGTTCGCATTTATCTTTCGAGAAAGTGTCACTTGTGAGAGTTTCTTGAACCACAGCCAAGACCGGAGCGCTATCCCGGATGGGATGCGAGGTAGGAGAAGTGAAAGAAACGGTCCGTTCTGCCGTCAAGCAACACAATCCTGGCATTGTGGCTTCAGCTTTAAAAAGGATTCCAAACTGACTAATGTGCTCCTGCCGAAGATTGTAGGGAAACACGTTTTCCAGTTGTTATTACTGTGTTTTCCAATTGCCAGACACCAATTTAGGAATATTTGGGTATATTTGGGAACATTAACTACTCGACAGGCTGTTGCCTGCCAAAATCAATGGAGCATAGTTTCCACACAATCCGAATTTGAATACTAAATACCCAGCACAGCGAGTACTTCCTTTGTGCCAATCAAAATCCAAATCAAAGGAACTTTCAGGCAGCATTCAGCACACCATTCCATTTCCTTGCCACGTTCTCTTCATCCCCGTTTACCAGCGTGGCAGCAACCGCGCCATCAATTTGCATGCATTACAAATCATGCCCCCATCCGTGGCATTCTGGTAATTCATTCTGGTAGTTCCACTGATGGAATGACAACAACTGTTGCAATATTGGAACTCCCGTAAATCCCCGAATTTGTTGTCGTTTGACAAATTAGCTGCCTTTGTGGCAGTTGCTGCTCGAAGAGGCAAAGCAAATTACTTAAATTTGTCTCTCAAGAGAAATGTGATTTATGTGGCATTAAACAATTTATACTTACAAGTAGCTGTTGGCCCAAAGAGCGGAGACCAGGGACAACACGGAGACACTTTCAAATAGAAAATTATTATTACTTCCCAAACAATGACTTCAAGTGGCACAAGTTGATGGCCAAATTTTGTAGGAGATTCGTCGCTGATTAGCATAATAAAGTGGGTTCCTTTCGCCATGGATATGCACATGGACTGTGACAGTTGTCCGAGACACAGTCACAACAACACGTCGTATGCGCAATATTAATTATTCAAAGCGAGCAAAATGTGACACCGGCAAAACAATGTGACAGTTGTCGTCTTTTCTCAGTTCGCCTTTGAGTCGACACACACCTTTTCTCCTTTCTGTTTTCCCTGGTTTCCTTTTCGCGTCTGCTGTTCTGAATTTAAACGTGGCATGTGCCGTGCTGCTGTCTTTCCCTGGCAATAAACGGAGCAAGTTCGTCCAAAATTACAAAAATGTGAGTAAACACATTTTATGTGCGCTCTTAAGTTTGTTGTCAGTGTAGAACGTTTAGCAGTCGCCAGTTTCCACAGAGCCTCGTTGTATGCGAGAGTATGCCTGCCACACATAAATCGTTGAAAGTTGTACAAGGCCATGCGACTTCTTTATTTTATTTTCTTTTCATTTGTTTTCATTTAATTTTAGTTTATTTCACTCTCTTTTGGCCTTCGTTCTCTTATATTTCCTTCTGCTGCTGCACTGACAAGAATTTGAATAATTTGCCGAAATGTGCGAAAGTTGAAATGTTAAAATTCCGAAAGAGGCGATGCGTCGCGACTGAAGGAAGTTGGCAACCGGCTGGGTACTTCCGGTTTGGCTGGAAAAACTGGAGTCACGACCCGCCAAATTGTTTCCAAATGAATGGCTTGGAATGGTGGTATGGCTCCCGCGAGGATGCCAGGCAGAAGAAGTTTCTATCTTCTTGCTTTAATGCATCATTCAATTTATAGCCCCCCCATTCAACCATTCCAGATGAAAATAATTTAGCTCAATTTCGCTAATGTGTCGCACCATAAAACAAATCACAAATGGCAGTCGCATTCGACACACAGTTTCCCTTGTTAAGTTTTTGAGTCATTGATTTTTGTGTTTGCTTGAACCTTTTTTTTTTTTCGCAGTTTTTCCTTCAACTCGATGATTAATAAGAAGCATCTTCCACTGCTCAGTGACATGCTGCCGGTTCTTGAATTCTTGTTGCTGTTGCTGCTGCTGATCCTGCCCTTATCGTAATTTTCCCACTTTCTCGGCCAAAGATGATGACTAAGGAATTTTTTAATAAAGGAGATTCTGCTATGTGTCCTGAACATGCGATGCTGCTGGCACTGCTCCTTCCGATATCAAGGAGATTAATAAGCAGTCTCAAGGACCTGTCTGCATGCCTCTGGATGTTGAGGCATTTTGCGGCATGACATGGTGTACAACTGAGAATTTCACGCAACACAGATGACAATAAAGAAGCATAGCTCTCTGCGCTGAGAGACTCATAATTAGTATCCTTCTTGCAACCGCAGAGTGGCTTCGCTTCGTTCTCCATCCGTGAACGATGGCTCATCCATCATTCTTTTGGTGGATTCTAACGGCTTCTATCTCGGATGCACTAGACTCTTCCATGGTGGAAATCCACCTCACGAACACACGCCTTAAAGCACCAGAAAAGCAATTAAAACGCACAAATGAACGGTCTCCCATTTATAAATACTCGTGACACACACATGGGCACACACGGGCAGGCAGCATGCATACATATCTTTAAGCACATACTCTGATAGGCATTGCAGGATAATAGTTCCTTGGTCCTGCCCGCGGCAGCCAGCCGACCGACAGATCCTCCAGCATTTAAGCCCAGCTCATTTATCACAAATTTCCCATTTGCCTTTCTTTCGGAACTTTGTGTCCGAGTTGTCTGAAAATTAATATGCGAAAATAAATTATGTGGCCAAATGACCAACGCTTACCGCAGCAGCAGCAGTAGCCGCCTAAAGCTATAGCTCGGGGGCGTCCGCCAGAGAGAGAGTGGGTGAGAGTCTGCGATGGGGGGGGGACACTACTTTCACACGCATGCCATTTACTCCTCAATGGTGATTTTTTTGCGTTCAGTGTTCTGGGGAGGCTTTTCAGCTCCATCAGTCATGTCACAAGAGGAGCAGCAGGAGAAACATCAGAAGGAGCAGCCGAACAAACTCGTTTGTCGCCCAGCAACGACCATATCGGAGTGTAGGTATTGTGACCAGTCACTGGACTGGTTTAAATGGCCTACAAATAATGGACTGAGGAAGCAAAAAAAAAATGTGAACCCAGTGGCCATGGAGCTCTGCTTCGCTCCGTAGGGTAATTGAATGCCGGTCAAGTGTGAACATCAGAGTCAAGGAGAAGGAAGGAGTCCATAACCCCGACCCTCGTATTGGGCACTGCTCATCCACTTGGAAAGCGATAAAATTCAACCATATATCGTTTTAAAGTTGTGCCCCAAAAGTCCTTTAAGGCTGCCACTTCCACTGACGTAATCCGTGTCGGAGAAGCATACTCGTACGCATACTAATCTTTCCCGAAAAACAAACCTAATTTGGACTCTAATTTGGGGGCATTCAATTGGAAAATTAAAAATTAAATTGCTTGTGTTCGGTGCCTCTTGCCCTTTGACATGGGAAATACTTGTACTCAAAACAATCTACGGCAATAAATCTCATTAACGTGCGCAAAAAACATAAACAGTGATGCCAGCCAAACGAAGAAGCTCTTCCATTCCCCCCATTGGATGCGGCTTCCTTTTTCAGACTGCCTTTTTTTTATTTCTGTTGCTACGGACACAAAGAAGAGCTGAAAGATCAATTCAGGAATAAAAAAATCAAAAAGAATTGCACATTTCTTGCATTAACACAAATATTCGAACACCACTGCTCGCTTCTGGGTTTCCTTTGCCACAAATCCCACTTGCCACATTCCGCATGTCGCATAGATAATGCGTTGATCAAATTATGGTGTCGAACAATATTCTGAGTCGCAGAAACTCATTTAAATAGAAGACACGAATCTAGGATAGGGTTTCCCTTGCGGCAAAGGCATTTTTGAAAATTGTACTTTGTCGGCTGCCAGATGTTTGGCAACGTTTACGTCTGCAAACTTGCCTGCAAAAACCCAAACAGACCAGAGCAGAGCAGCGTAATAACTTCACGCCATTCGAGTCGCTGAAATAATAGCCTCGCTTTCCAGGGACCACCATGAGCAGCAGCAGGGGGATGGACATGCTCGCACTCTCCTTCGTCGTTGCTACTTCACGGAGTGCTCTCACATAGAAGGCATGTGGGCAGGGGCGAATATTAGGTCTCAAAGGGCATGATAGTGCCTCTGAATCATCAAAATAAATATTTAAACATGAAATGCAGCTTAAATGTAGTCAGCAGAGGTCACAGTTTACACTACAGCACATTTGGATAATATCTCGAGGCATTTCAATGCATTTCCACAGAGGGAAATTTTATCATTCGACTTGAAAGCCACTCTTCTGACTTCTGGCCAATAAACCCCCTCTGCAAATCTTGAAACACCGAAGCCTGACGCCTCTCGCTTGCCCATTTAATTGCTCAGCAAACGGTTCATCAATTAAGCAAAGAGAAAACTCTGCAGAAGATGAGAGAAGAGGCGAGAAGGAGGGTGGTGGTGGCGTTGGCCATATGTGATTGGTTTTTTTATCGTCTGAAATACATTTTTACAGAATTTTCTTTTTTATGAAGGCCACCAGCCATGCGGTGGGAGACCCGCCAGGCGGCAGCGGGGCGCAGAGGGATTGGGGAGAATCCTCTGATGTCCGCCTCCAATTAGAGTCCTGCTGATTTGGCGCACTTAGCGAGAGGCATGTGTTTGTAAGCCTCGTTGCTTCGTTGTTCTACGGGGAAGGGTCCGTTCGACTGTTGTAGCAACCTATTAAGATCATGCTCCATTAATTGAGTTCCAATGAAATCGCCTGTTCCCTCTTCCATGCGGCATGCGGTACGGGTGAAACTGTACTTGTTACTCCCGCTACTCGTACTCTGGAGGGGCGTAGTCGTGGGTGTGGCTGATTGGGTTGATGGTGTCAAAATTGAGCACGTTCCAAATGGTTTTTGGCAACAGCAGTGGCATCAAATGAAGTTAAACTTGCAAAACGCCAAAAGAAGAATCGAGGCCAAAAAGCCTAGGAGGCGATGAGGCAGGGTCAAAGGCAAAGCAGGATAAGGCGCATAGAGGCAGGGAATTCTGGGTAACGAGAGAATTAAATATGCTTGGCTATGTTTTGGAATCCCACCAATTGCTTTGCTCTGCCCCTCCGTTCGAACCAAATCCGAACCAAAGTTTCCATGGCGGCGTAGAGCGTAGACCGTAATTATAATTAGCTTCCACACAGAAAGCTAGTGTAATTGGGAACAAAGGATCTGTTGGGCGTAGGACTGGCTGATTGCTGGGATTGCGATTGTGGGTCTGAAATCGGGAGAGTAGAGTGCCTAAATTGTTCTAAATAGGTTACTCACTGGTCGCGACGGCCGCCGCCGTTGCCTTTGCGCCTGTGGCACTGGTAGATAAAGGGCATGAATAATTATAATCGGGGCACACACATCGGGTGTGAATGGGGGTTTAAGCTCTTGCTGATTGCTTATTCCGTGTGTGGGAAGTACATTTTCCCATTTTTATACCCGTACTCAAAAAAGAGTTAAGGGGTATATTGTGTTTGTGGTAAAAGTGGATGTGTGCAACGCAGAGAAGGAAACGTTTCCGACCCCATAAAATATATATATTTTTGATCAGCATCAATAGCCGAGTCGATATAGCCATGTCCGTCTGTCCGTCCGTCCGTCTGTCCGTCCGTCTGTCCGTCCGTCTGTCCGTCTGTCCTCGATGAGCGCCTAGATCTCAGAGACTATAAGAGCTAGAGAAACTAAATTTAATTTCCAGACTAAGTGTATTTCAAAATTTTCCCCCCGCCCCCTTCCGCCCACACAAAGGACGAAAATCTGTGGCAGACACAATTTTAAAGATACAATAAAACTAAAAACGCAGTATCGTAGAGAATGCCCATATCTACCCGATTGCCACATCTGAGACAGATCGGATCATAATTATAGCCAGAATGAAGAAATTAATTTTCAATTGCTTCCCCGCCTACTTCAGCCACCCATTCTCTTTCCCGCTCGCACACTCTGCCGCGTCCAGTGCGCGAGCAAATCCTAGCGGAGATGATGTAGAATCTAAATGGTACATGGTGTAGATTTAGATAACAGATGTAGCAAAAAAATGTAAAATGTAAAATTTTTTTTGTAATTCTAAAATTCTAAAAAATTATATCCTCAAAAATTTATATACTGACTGAGTACTGGTATAAGTAGAGTCGCGTCCCCAGAAGCGACTCACACGTTCCTTCTCGTCCCATTTTTTCCTGTAATTGTTAATAAATGAGTATTACTATAATCGAAATAAATCCGACTTCCTTCCTTTATCGTCCCCTATTGTCCTGTAACTGTAATCGTCTCTCAGGCAACACACTTTTAACCTGCTACGAGAATCCTTCCGTAATGAAGTTGTTCTTGCAGTTTACCAAACCTCAGTAAATCATAGTCGTAGCACCTGACGGCGTGGTACTAATAACCCGAACATCAAAGCCCCCTAGCCCCCACAATCCAAGTCAGGAACTCAATGGTGAAAGCCAAAGCCAAAAGCAGAGTAACATCCATGCGGCTCTGGAAAACAAACGAAACGACAAAGGAGGCGATAAGGAGGCCAGTGTGCAACAAAAAAAAAAACAACAGTAGAAACAACAGGTGTTTCCACACCGACACACACACGAACACACTCACAGGGCAGGCTCATGAAGGAAGCGGTAATATAAATAGAGATCTGGTTGCCCAATTTCAGTTGCTCGCTTTGTTCGGCGGAATGCGGGCCATGGAAATGCGTGTGTGTGTATGTTCTGCAGGCCTCCTTTTCTCTCTCTTAACTGCATTTGTTTACTGCATTTAAACACCCGGCTAAACAGAAACAAACACACAAGCTTACACAACCCCACACACACACACACACACACACACACACACACACACATACATGAAATGAAAAGTGAAAAACTTTCAAGCTACAAAGTTTGTGGCACAATTGGTTTTTTTTCTCACCTTTTGCGGTCGAGAGGGACTCCCGAGAGTCTCCAAGGGAATCTACGAGGCCAAATGTAGTTAAAAAACTTGCAGCAACCGCAATTCAATTAAAACTTCAATTTAATACCAGGATGCACCCACGCACAGGCATGCAAATATATGTACATATGTACAAGCACAGACTCTTCTTAGCCCTGAGATGACATGCCCCCAATCCCCCTCGTGCCGTGTTGCAAGTGGCATGTGCCTTGGCTGGCTTCAAACTTTTTGTTGTCCCCACAAAACCTCAGCAGCTGTCCCCATGTAAACAAACCGCATTGAATGGGGGAGCAACAGCAAGGACCTGCTAAATGAGCAGCGGTTATAGCCGGCTTCCCTCTATAGCGGCCAGACATCTCTTTTGACAGCGGAAGTCAGAGCCACAACGAGAGCTTATCCGCGCAGGCGCCTGGCTGCCATCGGATCATTTGCGGATGCTATAAAAGCCTCTGTTTGTGGCCATTGCCAGGCAGTTGGTTCGCGGCGCTCCTTCGGCTACTCCTCCTATCTGGATCAAAAAGTGCAGCAAGAATCTTCGTTGTTTGTTGTTTTGTGTGTTTCGAACTTTGAACTCTGTTGCGTGGTATGCCACATGCTTATGCTGACACGGGTGTTGATGCTGCTGTGGTGTTGAAGCAATAAAAGCTGTAATTAGTGTGCGCTTGTGGATTTGTGAAATTTAATTAGGAAAAAATATGGTGAGAGCAGTGGAAAAGTGGAAAATAAAGTTGCTACAAACAACAGGAAAATCAGACAGTAGTTTCTGTCAAAAGCTTTATGGAATCACAATTCTCAAATCAAATTAATGTTTTTACAAACCGCAGACACTAATCTGATTGTGAGGGCAATTTAATTGGCATTCAAATCAGTTTAAACTCAACAGTGGTGTGCTTTTCTGGTCAATTGATTTGGTGATCTCTACATTAATGAATATTTGTGGAAATATTCCACTAACTCAAACTGTGCGTGAAGTCCTGGGCAACATTTAACGAGTGAAGTTCTGTGGTGATTAATATGGATTCCGAATAAACAGAAACACCGAAATTGTGCATCATAAAATCCTCCCTACATGGGTAAGACTACCACAAATAGTATCTGTTATGATGCGACTATCTGTAGTTTTTCTTTGTAGAGAAAACAGAGAAACCTCATGTGTAAATAATAAGCATGTTGTTGTCTGTAATGTGGATTTCTTTGCCGATTGATATGCTTCTGTACTTTTGTGATGGGGCACACACATATGTGGTTTGGTGGTGTGTGGCATTCTGAATAATTGCAGAGCCTCCTTCTACCGAAGCTCATACCGAATATAGCGTTTTACGATAACGAGTACGAATACGAATACGAGAGTACAGCCACAATTTCATATTGTTACAAAATTGCATTGTTAATGTCCGTTGGCAACCCTCTCGACTGTCGGCTGGCACTGGCATCTGACAGTCGTTTGTTCTGCTGCTGCTTCTTCTGCCAATTCTATCTGTGTTTCCCTTCTTTGCCAAATGGCCAAATGGGTTAATGTGGGTCTCCCAGACAGAAGATGGAAGTGGGGATGTAAAAGAGTTTGGGGTCTGTGGTCTGTGGTCTGGGGTCTGCAGCACCATTTACATACCCATTGGTTAATGTGTAGTCGTCCTTTTATAATGGAGCAACTTTTTTGCTGCCTCAGCGTAAAATATCTGCGGCTGTGTTTCTATGCCAGCGAAATGCTTTCCAGGATATAATAAAAATAATCCTAGCATATAGATAATGGATAATGGGGCAATGGCAACCCACAGCCCAGTATCTGTACGAGTTTGTGCATTTTCAGGTGTGTCCGTGTGTGTAGCCACCCACACACACACACATGCCCCGCATGTGCTTTATCTATGCTAATTTTCCAGTTAAGTGTGCTTTGCATAATGAACAAACGGAAGGCCACTGGCAATTGCGGGAGGAGTTTGTTAGGGGCGACCTTTTCCGAGAAACCTCCAATCACAGGCAGAATGGTTTCTGGCGTTCCACGCCTTCAGTTGCCATTTGATCTCTTGTTGATCAAATTCTTCATTTCTATCGTGTTTGATTTTACATCCAAATCCAAATCGACGACATATAAAAGTTAATTGGCTGTTAATCCCGTCTCCTATCTACCTAGAGTACCGTTTCTCCCACTGGAACCCACAAAAACCATAAAAATAAACAACAGCAAACAGGAACAACAGATACGCACTTATGACATTAAGTGGCATTATAATTACTATTTGCTCAAAGCAGCACCGACCCCACGACCCTTAACCCGATCCCGACTATAAAGTTCGCATTTGAAATGCTCATTAAGCTGGAAGGAAACGGAGAGCTCCCTAGCTCTCGTGGGAGGAAGGGAGGCGGTAAGAGACGCCACTTAAGTCAGTGACAGTGCTTAACAGCATTTAACGTAACGACTGTCAGGACAGAAGGCAGGGATTGTTCGCTATACGCACTGTGAGAGGAAAGGATGAGAGGAATACGCGTCTAATCGGAGAAGAGCAGAAGAGGCTGAGCCATTGCCATTGCAGAGCCAATTAGCAAATACTCCGCTTGGCAAATAATCCGCTCAGATTTTAATTAATTGCCTGCCCCGTCCGAATAGCCTGCGTCCTTATGCTTATGATAATCGACTGCTGCAGCAGGTATGCTCGTAGTATTTTATCTTGTTTTTATACGATGATTTTTACTGAGAGTTTCCTAGAGAGCAGCAGCTGTAGCACCAGAGCACCACATCCTTCCTTAATTGAGCAAGAGCCGGTGCCAGTGCCGGTGCCAGTGCCTCAGAAACCTTTTGGCTTTTGTTTTTGTTGAGGCTCCATCGTTGGGAGCAATAAATTCACTTTCGTCTGAAATGAGTTTGCATAATTCAAATAAAGCAAATTGAAATATCTCTTCCGCTTCTTTAGCCCCTTCCCACCCCATTTATCCTTCTCTTTTGACTGAAAAGTATTTGTTTAGCCATAAAGTGGATTTAATTCAATTTGTTATGATTTAAAAATTCGATTCGGTCTGGGCAGAGCCATATTACGTAGTTGCTTGTCGCGACACGACGGCGACAACAATGATTGATGACAGGTCGGATCTTGGATTGAGTTTACAGCGATGGCCCACAATTGACCCACCCCCTCAATCATCTAGCATGTCTAGAATGGAGGCATACCTATGCTTCCACGACACTTCCGAACAATGGGAAATGGGATAATTGCCATGCAGCAGGAGACACGAGAAAAGGCATTGCAAAGATGTGAATCAATAAAATAGGAATTTAATATAGCCACAGCGCGTGCCTCAACAGAACAGGCGGCAGAAGCCCTGCTGAAATTGTTATGCAAGAATTTCGTGTTCATTGAGGAAGTTGAGCCAGCAATAGAGCAAGGAACGTTTTCCCTTCAATTTTCCTCTTAGCCAAATGATTTACATTTCGGGATGTCTGTCTGTCTTTCTTTCTGGGTGTTGGGGCGGCATGTGACATTCATTCAAGTATCTTTCAGATACTCGTAGTTCGTTGCACACTTTGGATAATAGCCGCACAATAACACAGCACCCGCTCCCCTGGCGTTTATGGATGTGCACCCTTCCGATCTCCCAGCAATTTGGGGCTGCTCCGCCCACACATTTTAAGACACTTTGGGCTTAATCATTCGCACAGATCAAAAGCCAACAGTTGTCCCTGAGGATAGTTGCGTATGCGTGTGTAACGGACGGAAGGAGAGCTTGAGAGAGCTTGATGCTTTTGGGATCAATGAGGCGGGAGACAGGAGGCCCGGACCAGACGGGAGTCCCACTGCCTAGAATTTTAGGCATAATTTGGGCACCAAATATTTTTACTGCTTTGTGCCCCCCACCACCACTTTAGCCGTTTAGCCCATCTGAGACTCAAATACAGAGCCCAGCCGCCCACCAATTGTAGAAGTTCGGGCGGCAAACGTGCTGGAGCTTTACGAGTCCTTTGAGAGTCGCACTTGTTAAACTTGCCTGCCGAGCTGCTCACATTGTTGTCAGGTCAGAAATTAAACGGAATTGGTGAGGGATGTTGGAACAGGGACAACTTGAAACATGTCAGAGATTTGCGTTTGCCAACTGCCTTTTGATATTCAATCATGTCTAGAATCGACTCTGGAATGGAATCCATTCCACACACACACACACACACACACACATGTTCTAAAGATGACATTCAACTGGCCTTCAATTTGCCTTTTAATAAGGTCTTTGTATTTTGAAGTGTAACGAACGGTGTAGGCGGAAACATGTTTATTCATGACCACCAAAGAGTGGTGGGAAAGAGAAGCAGTAATCAGCGCATTTGAAAATCTATACACATATTTATATGTATGTATAAAACAAATTCGTGTTCGTTAGACCGCTTATAAGTTATAACTCGAGAACGGATGGACCGCTTTTCATATTACTTGATTTGTTGAATTTGCCTCCATCGAGGCTACCAGAGTAGCTTGATATTTTGAAGGGATATACATTTTGCCTGATATACAACGCCCCTCGACTCGTTCATGGAGTACCTTTAACGTACTTTCGAGATTGCATGCCAACCTATGTTTATTTGAAATTCAAAAGCTTTTAACAGATTTTCGCAAGATGTAACTTTACAAAAGTTCAACGGAACAACAGCAACAAAACAAATGGATTAAAGGCAATAGAAACAAAGAAAAAAAAAAGTGAGAAAGCTATAATAATACTACTGCAAGATACTTAGATACTCTGCAATTATTGGAAAGGTGGGATAAGGGAGGCAACATAACACGATAATGGACTTTTTTTAACTTCTATCTAATTTAACAGATCGCGTGGTACATTAAATCGGGGAATTTGTTGAATTTGATGCTTTAGCTGGTGCCCTACTCTGTGCTCTGCGATTACAGGGTAGCATAACAATAACAATTACACTGATTGCCGCCCCCGGAGAATATGTTGAGTGTGAGTGAGTGGACGACCTGCCGGCCAGCCAAACGGAAACAAACAGAACAGTATACTCATCCAGGTCCGTCCGGAGCACAGGTTCGGTTCCGCAACTCTGTCGCTTCACGTCCGACTTGGCCAGTATTTCTGAGTCATAAAGCAATTGTGCGCTCAATTTTTGTTTATGCCCGACCCTCAGTGTATCCAAAGGATGTGCCTAAAGCCCCCAACGGGGATATGAACATTCGAAACGATTTGGACTGCAGTCACAATTTTGTTAGGGTTTCGCTGAAAGTTGCAACTGAAAAGGGAAGCCCACATTTATCTGGGAAAATGGTTTGTGTTTCCATTTTTGCACATTTTTGGCAACTAGGGTAAGAGTGCTGCAGAGGAACCTTGGCATGACCCTTGGGAAGCCAATATGTATATAGTTCGTAAGCGTATGAGTGTAAAAATTCAATTTTATTACACATTTATGCAATGTATTGGCAACAGATATATAGACTAATACAGTAAAAAAAACTCATTTAGCTATTGCATACGTATGTACATATGTAGGTATGTATGTGTTTTACTTACCTTTACGTTGAGTTGATTTTCGAGATCTGCATTCCACGCTGCTTCTGATCTGCTCTTTCTCTCCCCCATTTTCTCTCAGAAAAAAGAGCGAAAGCTTGAGAGCGAACTTCATTTACCATTTTTATTTTAACAAGCTCGCTCACGATTTTTTATTTCTTCCCAACTTCACGATCACTGTTATTTTACTCTCCGACAAAGACGTAATAAAAGAAGAATATTCCCGAAAAGCAATCAAAAATCATGGCATGAAAAGTGCCACCGGATCAGTGCAAGCTGTTTGGAGGCAGAATGGAGGCATACCTATGCTTCCACGACACTTCCGAACAATGGGAAATGGGATAATTGCCATGCAGCAGGAGACACGAGAAAGGAGGCATTGCAAAGATGTGAATCAATAAAATAGGAATTTAATATAGCCACAGCGCGTGCCTCAACAGAACAGGCGGCAGAAGCCCTGCTGAAATTGTTATGCAAGAATTTCGTGTTCATTGAGGAAGTTGAGCCAGCAATAGAGCAAGGAACGTTTTCCCTTCATTTTTCCTCTTAGCCAAATGATTTACATTTCGGGATGTCTGTCTGTCTTTCTTTCTGGGTGTTGGGGCGGCATGTGACATTCATTCAAGTATCTTTCAGATACTCGTAGTTCGTTGCACACTTTGGATAATAGCCGCACAATAACACAGCACCCGCTCCCCTGGCGTTTATGGATGTGCACCCTTCCGATCTCCCAGCAATTTGGGGCTGCTCCGCCCACACATTTTAAGACACTTTGGGCTTAATCATTCGCACAGATCAAAAGCCAACAGTTGTCCCTGAGGATAGTTGCGTATGCGTGTGTAACGGACGGAAGGAGAGCTTGAGAAAGCTTTATGCTTTTGGGATCAATGAGGCGGGAGACAGGAGGCCCGGACCAGACCGGAGTCCCACTGCCTAGAATTTTAGGCATAATTTGGGCACCAAATATTTTTACTGCTTTGTGCCCCCACCCTACCCCTTTAGCCGTTTAGCCCATCTGAGACACAAATACAGAGCCCAGCCGCCCACCAATTGTAGAAGTTCGGGCGGCAAACGTGCTGGAGCTTTACGAGTCCTTTGAGAGTCGCACTTGTTAAACTTGCCTGCCGAGCTGCTCACATTGTTGTCAGGTCAGAAATTAAACGGAATTGGTGAGGGATGTTGGAACAGGGACAACTTGAAACAACTCAGAAAGCTATAATAATACTACTGCAAGTATTACTCGGATTTTGGAAGGTGGGTGGAAAGGTGGGAGAAGGAGGCAACATAACACGATAATGGACTTTTTTTAACTTCTATCTAATTTAACAGATCGCGTGGTACATTAAATCGGGGAATTTGTTGAATTTGATGCTTTAGCTGGTGCCCTACTCTGTGCTCTGCGATTACAGGGTAGCATAACAATAACAATTACACTGATTGCCGCCCCCGGAGAATATGTTGAGTGTGAGTGAGTGGACGACCTGCCGGCCAGCCAAACGGAAACAAACAGAACAGTATACTCATAATGGAGCATAACGGATCGGACGGAGGACAGGACCATCCGGAGCACAGGTTCGGTTCCGCAACTCTGTCGCTTCACGTCCGACTTGGCCAGTATTTCTGAGTCATAAAGCAATTGTGCGCTCAATTTTTGTTTATGCCCGACCCTCAGTGTATCCAAAGGATGTGCCTAAAGCCCCCAACGGGGATATGAACATTCGAAACGATTTGGACTGCAGTCACAATTTTGTTAGGGTTTCGCTGAAAGTTGCAACTGAAAAGGGAAGCCCACATTTATCTGGGAAAATGTTTTGTGTTTCCATTTTTGTGGCAACTAGGGTAAGAGTGCTGCAGAGGAACCTTGGCATGACCCTTGGGAAGCCAATATATAGTTCGTAAGCGTATGAGTGTAAAAATTCAATATTATTACACATTTATGCAATGTATTGGCAACAGATATATAGACTAATACAGTAAAAAAAAACTCATTTAGCTATTGCATACGTATGTACATATGTATGTACATATGTAGGTATGTATGTGTTTTACTTACCTTTACGTTGAGTTGATTTTCGAGATCTGCATTCCACGCTGCTTCTGATCTGCTCTTTCTCTCCCCCATTTTCTCTCAGAAAAAAGAGCGAAAGCTTGAGAGCGAACTTCATTTACCATTTTTATTTTAACAAGCTCGCTCACGATTTTTTATTTCTTCCCAACTTCACGATCACTGTTATTTTACTCTCCGACAAAGACGTAATAAAAGAAGAATATTCCCGAAAAGCAATCAAAAATCATGGCATGAAAAGTGCCACCGGATCAGTGCAAGCTGTTTGGGGAGCCCCCACTACCGTTCTGCAGAATCCTGGGTGCACGGCAGTTATTTGAAGTGCATTCTTTTGTCGTTCTGGAATTTCACCTTAATCAGAGTCATATTTTGTATCTCTTCAGCCCCAAAATGAATGTCAGCGTGATTTAAGTGTCATCTCTGCACTGAAAGGGGAAGGCCCTACTAAAACCTGAAGCCTGAACGTGACTTTTGCCGAAAGTAAATTGAGTCACCAGCCACCGCGGCGATAAAAGGTGCCATGCCAACCTGCGAAATACGCTAGGATTGGCACGGTCAAAGAGATAAAGGATCTGTCTATGCGCTACGTGTTGCCTATGGCTCCCACTTTGGGGGCATCGGCAACAGCCACAGCCTCAGCGATGAGCAGGGAAGGCAGTAGGCGACATCTTTCCCAGTCGCACGCTCGAATGCTGGTCCTGCTTCTGCAGCTACTGGCGATGGGTGCCACTGCAGCACCAGCACCTGCAGCAGCACCAGCTGCAGATCCCCAGAATTGTCCACACAAGGGGATAGTGGAGCTGATTCGCATGAGTCCAGTGATTGTAAAGGCCCTCGGTGCCCGTGTCTTCATCGATTCGGAGCTTGACGATGGCCAGGGGGACACATTAATAACATTAACCCCCGAAACGATATACAAAGGAGCCTCTTTGCTGAAAATATCCAATGGCGCCAGCGGCGGAGAGGTTACACTTTCGCTTCGGGCCGGAGAAGAGATGTCCAGCAGCGGCGGCCATCGCAACGGCGGAAGCTCCAATGGATCCGGAAGTGGAAGCGCTTGGAGCGGCACTGAGTCAGCGTTTCAGTACGAGGGGTAAGTACAGGACACTGTTCTTTGGTGACGTAGACAATGTTAATTTCATTGTACTCCTCTTTACTGTATCCCGCAGCCAGCTAAATGCAACACTCCAGCCGCTGCGCTGCTTCGATGCTAATATGCTGAAAATGCTGCCAGCGGAATTAATTGCCTTTGGAAAATTGTTGCCTGCCGTAGCAGCAACCAACTCTGGCAGACAGTTGCCACGACCGGCTGCCGCAGGGGCCAGTTCCAGAGACAGCACCAGTGATGTTCTGCACATCAGCATCAACGGGCTGCATCGCTGGACACCGCAATTCGAGAATCATATCTGGAAGCATTTGGGTAAGTTTCAACATCCTGTGTCCACTTACGGTCACCTCCCCTCTCCCAAGTCTCTAGGGGTATGCTGAAAGCCTGGCTTTCGTTGCTTCCGTTAGTTAATCGCATTTTGCTTGTCAGTTGCATTGTTGAGCAAATCGCTTGGCTCGAATGTTTGCCGAGCATTGGATGCCATGGAACCCATACGGACCCGGATACGGATATGGATAGAATTTCCAAACTATTCGTAGAGCAAGTGGTCGGGCAATCAGTATTAATTGGCACATGAGAGTTTTGGGACAGCAGTGCTGCTGTTTGCCAATGAATTGCTTGGACTTTAAATCCGATTCTTTAATGGCGGGATTATGCAACTTTTCCATTTCACGTTTCCATCAAACTCACTGGGAATTACACTGAAATATCCTGAACGAACAAGACCTTCGGTTTATTCCAGTTTATTATGACGCCGTGTTCTCCCTTCAGAGATGAATCTTTTATGAAGATTGATAACTATACGACCGACCACTAGTCGGTCTGTATCGTTGCCAGAGGTGACACATCTGCATGAAAATAAAAATAAAATAAAATAAAATAAAATGGAAGAGGGATTTTCCGATGACGCAGCAGATGTCGTCTGCCTCTGCTCTTACGCAAAGTCAGGAGAGGACGTGAGATGCTTTCAACTGGCTGCAGCACTTGAGGGAAGAAACACTTGACTTTTGTGTCAAGCGGCGTGGCGCCCACTGAGAGCGCCCCCCAACCGAATGAATTGCGGGAACCCGATGAAAAGCCTTAAATTTAAGAAATACTTAACTATTTAAAAACAAATTCCCTCAGAGATACATTTTTTAGTTTTTAGGGACTAAGAAAGTGACACATTTACACCAATTACAGGCTGGGATGATTGGAGCGACTTTACCGTATGCAGCGTCACCTGCGGGAAGGGGGTTCAGCAGCGTTTCCGCCGCTGCCTGCTGGACAATCCGCTGGTAGACATGAATATGAACATGAACTTGGAAAACCAGAAGGAGGAGGAGGAGGAAGAGGAAGACGATGTTGTGGACATGGAAATGGACGACACCGCAAATGGGATTTCCAGTTCTAGGGAGGCGAATAACGATGAAACTCTGGACAACCTGGAAGCAGACACGTCGAACGATGATGATAATAATGAGGTACTGGCCGATGACGAGGCAGCGGATGAAAGCAAGGCTCTGCGCGTCCAACGGCCGCTGCATAAATTCACACAGATGGCAACATCCCAGCCCCACCCCCAGGCACCTGGCCCCATGGGAACAAACAGCAGTAGTAACTCAGCGGTAGGAAAAAGTGTTTGGTTTGTGCAACGAGATGATGGTATAGCCCGTGCCCGAAACCCAGTTGGTAGCAGGAAGACACGTGCGAGCAATCAGCACAAGAAGCGCAAGTCGGCCAAGAGTGTGGCTCTGTCCACGCTCCTCTGCGAGGGCTACAACATCGAGCAGCGCAACTGCAATAGTTTTGAATGCAGTGGTAAGTAGAGTCCTTAAAGTCCTCAAACGCAACCTGTGCATACAATCGACACTCACACAGATGACATAAGCGATCTGCTCAAGTTCTATAAGAAGTTGCCACTGATGGAGGAGCTGCCCACGCAAGCCTCAGAGTCCGCAGCAGTAATTTCGTTTCCGGAAATTCAGATGCAAGATATGACTACGGCTGTCATGATTGGTACCCCATCGTCGCCCACACCCTCGACGCCCTACAACATGGGCTACATTCGAAGCTGGCGAAACATACTTAACTTTACTCTGATGATCACGCTCAGGGCAAAGGTGAATATGGCTTAAAGGCTCATCGGAGTCACAGCACAGTCTCCTACATAGTATCTGTCTCTTGCAGAACGACACAAAAAGTACGGCGACCATCTTCTCCATACGCAATGCTACGCATAATCTGTATCTGGAGGCGTGTAAGGACGGACTGCGCCTGTATCTGGAACGCGACAATACAACGGAAATGTTGCCGGTGAAATTCAATTTATATGATTATCGCTGGCATCAAGTGGCCATCAGGTGAGTGTAGGACATGGCCATGGGACTGGGACGGGGACTGGGATGAGTGCAATGGATGCTTGTTGTATTTTTATTTGATTGGCAATCACTGTGTCTGTGTTCGACATGGTTATGTGTCTGAGTATGTGCTGTGTGGCGCTCACTTCCAACTCACGAACTGATGGCCATTGTCGTTGACACTTTCCTTTTTATTTGCATTTTCAATTTATTAGCATAAATGTTTGCGCCATGAAACGCACACACACAGGCAAACACTTGACACACATGCAAACAAAAGTGCACACACATACACCTACACACATTCTGCACATGAATATTAAAGGCCTTTTTTTTGGTTTTGGTTTTGCGACGACACACGGCCAAATTGACACTTGGTTCAAGTGGGCGCCATTTGTCATCGGCCGTGGGTACATTTCGCAAACTTACTGTGGACACATACATACATATACATATATACCTATAGGTACATATACATATTGTATGGATACATACATTTTTATATGTATTGAATATTTTAATTATTTGCGCCTGGTCTCATGTTACTTTTGTTATTGTTTTGTTATTTGTTATTTTTCCAATGCAGCATACAAAATGGCGATTTTATATCAATCTACGTCGATTGCGCATGGAAAAATAGTTTTGTTGTCTCGAAACGACTGTACACACTGCCAATAGACGCGGATGTGGAGATTGGACGCGGCTTTAATGTGAGTACAACCGGGGATTGCATTGCCCCCACACACTGATTGTCCCACAGCTGCTTTCTCGGGGCACCCAAAAATTGTAAAAGCAAATTAATCCGATAGCCATAAATACATACTGCGTTGACAGTTCGCTCTGCATAGTGTGTCCTCTGATAGCGCATACGCCCCAGTTGGCCATCGGCATGCAAATTAAATATTAATTCGCTGATAATTGTGTATTGTTTGCTGATGTCTATATGGGTATTAACTTTCGCTTTTTCTTCCGCAGGGAGAGCTGCAGCAGCTTCTTGTCATGCCCGAGCACCAGGAGAGACTTCAGTGCAGCAACAAGCGCACATCCATCAACGAGGTGAAGCGCTATATCATCGACACATTCATCGAGGACTACGGTGGCAATTGAAGCGTGCAATTATGCAATGCCACCAAATGCAGAACAATAATGAAAAAAAATTACAACAATTGGAAGGACATCCCATATACACATGCATATACAATACACATACACATATTGCATACTCATGTATATGTACACTATACATATGGAGGGGAAAAGTGAAATCCAAACTGAAATACGATTACAATTGTGGGCTAATCAAAACTTCATAGATCTATGATAAATTACAATTTTAATTTAAATATTTATAAGTGTAACAACAAATGTGTCTATAAATATGCAAACTAAAAATACACATACATATGTAGATGATCACGCAGATACACAGAAATAATACACAATATGTGATTCATGCCTGCTAGCAGCGCATAGCGCATTCCCAGCGTAGTGCCGCACTGCTAGCAGTGGCCATGGCCACCAAAACACACAGACCGGACAAAGATATTTTGCGATTACGACTACAATGGCGTTATGGGTGCAACGCATCCCACTCGTTGCCCGTTGCACGCAGCGGCGTTCTACCAATTAAGTTAATTTGACGGAATACAATAAGAGTAACCGCTAGTAACCAATCCACAGAGTGCATTGCAGTGCGATTGCCAGGTGAATAATCATCGTACGAAAGGGTCAAAAATAAAACATAAAAAGATCAAATAAAACGTAAAAACATACTTATTTAATGGTAAATGGTAATGTTGTCTTCCTTTTTTTATTTGTGGCTACATTTTAGAAGTCTAACTGAGTGGGTTTTGTACATTCAAGTGGGCTTGAGTGTTAATCCAGATTTGAGAAGAAGAGAACTTAAAGAGACAGCGGCTGATCTGCTGCAATAGACTATTCCAAGGCTGGGCAAAAAGCATCCACACAGCTACACCTAAATTCATAATTTCCTCCAGGCTGCAAAAAAAAAAGACATCGGCTTCCGTTTCTGTGGCTTGCTTTCTGCTTTTCGTCCGTTAATATCCTCCTACGACCAACACCACCAACCACCAATAAAATTCCAGCCCCAACCTCCCCCTTCTTTCTGTATCCCTGTGTGTTTCAGTAGCTCTCTGTTAGCTGTTTTCCTCGTCCTGTTTTTACCATCATCGGGCATTTCAAGCTTTTGCTAAAAATTTTGCCGCTGCGCTGGGGGAGTTGAGTGCATGCGACAGACGTTGGAGACATTGATGAACTTCCTGACGCATCCTTGGCACTCACTTCGGTCTGGTAGACGTGGCAAGTGAAGCGTCTGCTCGTACACTGCTTGTCAACGTCAAATAAACAGCACTGCCTACGAGCATTGTGTCTTAATAACTTCTAATCACGTCATCGCGGTGCATTGAACCGCAATGCCGACCCACCATTACCCAGTGGTTTGTAATGGACGAGAAGAAAACTACTTTAAAATACGTTTTAAAAGGTGTACGTCGTACTCCTTGATCCCATTTGCTAATATGTGTGTGACACACATATTCGATCAGCGTGCAGAGACAGGATATATGTATGTACATACATACATATGTACACGTACAAGACTACATTGCAATTAGTTTAGGAATGCGACGCTTACGATTGCCGCCTCTGTGCACAATCGTTAATATCTTGCAGCCCGGCAGGGGCTTCATAAATAAATGCTGTGACACCCGGGGCATGGCAAACGCACCATAGCGCCAACAGACGACTCATGTAATTCATTTCAAAGTTGTATAAATGCGAACAAATATGCCAGGCACATGTGCGTACACGAATGCTCACGCAGAAACACTAGGGTATTTTTAAAAGTAAAATTTTTTATTTTTGGCTGCGTTGGGAGGTTCCAATTTTTACACGACTTCAACTTCATGTGCGAATTTCTTTCGAATTTTTCCGAATTTCTCCCCGCTCTTAATTCCCACAGTGAAAAACAGAGAACCGTAATCCTGCTCCCTACGTGTGAATCTCCAAATTACCATCCTAATAAAGCACTTTGAATTTAAGTCTGAATCAAGTTCGTGTACGTATGCAGCCAGAAAGAGTCCGCATCAATGGATGGTCGGTCCACAGTCAATCACAACCCAGACACCGATGGCGCTATGGATGGGGATATATGTATGCCCATTACAACTGGCTTCTCTATTACTTCCGTATTTGTATAGAGAAAGCAGAATGAACTGCAACAATATTGATACAGCTGACGTCGAATCGAAGGTTCAACAAGAACAAAAGTATTACAGCCCCGCACCCCATTTTGTCTGGTTTCCAGACGACTGTCCTCCTGTCGGGGAGCTTTCTACCCCCATTCACTGAACGCGGAAGGCATTACCCTTTGCAACAGAACTTGGACGATAGATTAGTTAGAAAATTAGACATGAAGTAGCTCTTTAATGCAAGGGTCTAAAATGCGAAATTCATTTTTACCAAATTCATTTTTTCTCTGACAGGCTCGAGTCTTGTTTCTGCACAACGACAAAATGTAATCATTGATATTAAACTTAAGCCAGTACTATAACTGATTATGCTAAATTCAAACTTACCGCCACAACGTAAAGATTGCGTCCATCCCTAAGATGAATCGAATTTCTGAAAACTATCGTACAGTGCGACAAGGAAATGAAAATGGTTTGAAAATCAAACAATAGCGGGTGGCCGAGCATATTATTTCAAGTTTATTGTACATTTTTTTTCAGTTCCACGCCCGACGCTGTCGTAATATGGCAGCAGCATGCAACCGCAATACAGTTTTAAAAATTATTTCGCGGCGCCAGCGAATGGCGATAACGAATGGCGGCCGACATTTCACACAGGTTGGCACTCTTGTGTATAAACGCATCTTTTGCACAAAAACAACAATTGGATTTCGACAACAAATGGACCACACAGTGCCCCCCAAAGAGTTCAAATGGACGCCAGGCCATATGATTAACGAAAACTTCAAGCTGGGCGACAACGGGCACGTGTGTGTTGTGCTTAATCGACAGATTCAGGTTCCGGCTCACGTGGTGAAATCGTTATGGAAGAATGGTAACTAAAGAAAGTCTCTCCACTTGGAGCATACAAACCCCAATCTTCTGGTTGTTAATGATTCTATCCCCTTTGTGCAGCGGCCGTTCGTTGCGCCGTTGATGGAGGCTCTAATCATTGGCGTGAGTTTTTGCTAGGTCAAGCTGTAGCCAAAAGGCCCAAGGGCACGCCAGCAACAGCGCCGCTCGAACCACTCGATGTGATAACAGGCGACTTTGATTCAATAACGGAGGAAACAGTCGATTTCTTTAAATCCACACCTAAAATACACACTCCTGATCAAGATGCAACAGATTTCACCAAGGCCATCACAGTGCTTCAACCAGTGATGGCGCAGCGTAAAATCCATGATGTTGTCGTATTCCACGACACCTCCGGGCGCCTCGATCAGGTTATGGCCAATATTAACACCCTGTATAAAGCTCAAAAAGACAATTGCAATGTGTTTCTGTTAAGCGGAGACTCCATTACGTGGCTCCTGCGACCTGGCAAGCACACGATACAGGTTCCTCTGGATCTGGTGAAAACTCAGCGATGGTGCTCCCTAATGCCGGTTGGATCAATGGCGCACAATGTTACGACGACAGGCCTGAAGTGGAACCTATGTATGTTTGTATACGAATTCTTTAGATCCATACAGTTTTATTTAATGCGATTCTTTTGTTTTGAAGATCACACACAGATGGAGTTTGGCGGCATGGTCAGTACATCGAACACCTACTCCACAGAGTTTGTACAAGTGGAAACGGACGCAAACTTAATATGGTCAATGGGTGCATACGATTTTGAGGAAAAATTGCGTCAAGCCGCCAAATAGGGGACAGTAATGAAAGTGTTTGAGTACTTAATGAACTGAAATTCACAACGTCTGTGCAATTTCAAAACCGAGTTTGTTTTTATGCTGTTTCAGCCAAAGATGCAAGCGGGTCCAGCGCTTACTTTTCTAAGTCTAATTCTCTAGGGCAATGTTGTTACTGTTAAACAAAATGAAAGTTGAAATGAGAAAAAATGATGGTCATCAGCACGTTTTTGTTTCACTAAAATATGACGATGGCTTTACTCAGATCCTGGAGGAGGCATCAGGTCAAAGCCAAAGCTGCTTCCTGTTTTTTTACTTTTCCAGCCAGAGGCAGAAGTGGCTCCGGCTGCGTTATCTCCGCGCTTAGCTGTCGCTCTTCCGCCACGACCTCCTTTACCTGCAGTAGTCCTTTTTGGCGCTGGAGAGGCTGAAGTACTTTTAAATCTCTTGCTTGATCCCGATTTAAAAGTTCGCTTTCGTTTTCCACCGCGGGAGGAGGAACCAAAACCGCTTCCACTGGTACCTTGCGATGCCACCTCTTTCTGCCAATCCACAGCAGTGTCGTTTTTCCAACCTGAGCTCCCGGCCCGCGACTTCTGTGCTGCTGCTGCAACCGCCTGCTCCTGCTCCTCGTCCAAAATGGCTTGCATCAGAAGCTTCTCCGAAGCATAATTACAAGTAATCTCAAGGAGTTTCTCGCCATATTTATCATAGTTCGCCCTCGTCACATGCGGAATGCTGCACATGTCCTTCTCAGTCAGTGGTAAAATCTCTGCCATACTTTTGAGAGCCTGTATATTCATTATGCTAGCCATCGTCACGTTTCGCTGACTAGCTATGGTGCGGCACAAGTCGAGAAGATCAGTATAGCAGCGATCGTGTATTTCGCGCATCTTCGACTTTCCATCATTGCTGCTCCCAGCTCCCGGCTCAGATACAGTGGCAATGGATGCTTTTGCCTCCTTTCGCATTGTGGCAAATTGGTAGTCGGGACTACCGTCCATTAGTTTGCTTATGCTGTGGCCCAGGTATAGATATGCCTGAGGAAAGTCATTCATAACAATCAAATCTTCCCGTAGGAAGCCATCAATAACCATTTTGCGCAGCAACCTATTTATATCGTTCTTATCCCAGTCCTTTAAAGATCCATGATGTGGGGTATTGTGGTGCCCGAATTCCACGATCTTCTTAATCTTGCTGCCCTTCAAGACGTCGGCAATGTGTAGGAGCGTGAAGCGCGACCTTCCACTGCATAGATCCTTGACAGCACGGGCCGCCTTTCTGGCCGGCTCCAGCGCATCAATTGGCTGATAGGCTCGCCTATTCACGCAGTTATCACAAGCTGTGGCCTTATTCTCCAAACACTGTTCGCTGGTGAAGTGCTCCCCAAAGTAGTCCAGTTGCTGGGCACGCCGGCAATCCGTTATGTTCTCACAGTAGCCCACAATGCGATACAAATTATCGATGTGCATTTTTTTAACATTGTACTGAAGAGCTCTGTCGCCTGGAATATTCCATTAAAAAAATTACTAGAAGCCTGTGTTTATTAACGGAGCAACTTACCATCCATCATCTTTTTGAGTCTAAGCATGTCAGAATAATTATAGTATAGGATGCAATCTGCAACATCTCCATCTCGCCCTGCCCGACCAGCCTCCTGATAATAGCCTTCAATAGATTTCGGAAGCGAAAAATGCAGGACAAATCTAACATCGGGCTTGTCGATACCCATACCAAATGCAATAGTGGCACAGATCACTCTGATCTTTCCAGTCAACCAGTCTTTCTGGCGACTCTCCCTCTCCGTATCCGTGAGACCGGCATGATACGCCACCGCGCGAACTCCGTCTTTGCAAATTTTCTTAGCCACTTCATCGCACTCCTTTCGCGAGAGGCAGTAGATAATCCCACTTGAGTGTGCTGGCTTTGTCCTTATAAATGCGCTCATGTCATCAATAGTGGACGCTCCTTTCTTTGGAAGCACCTTATAGCGCAGGTTACTACGATTGAAGCTCGACAGGAACCATTTGCAGTTCTTCAAATTGAGTTGCGACAAAATATCCAAGCGCACGCGAGGCGTGGCAGTTGCTGTTAAGGCTATTGTGGGTACGTTGGGGAAACGCTTCTTCAGAATTCCCAATTTCTTGTAGTCTGGGCGAAAATCATGACCCCACTGGGATACACAGTGCGCCTCATCTATAACAAAACGACTGAGGTAATTATTGGCGTTTAGAGTGTCTAATATGTCCTGGAAGCGAGAAGAACTGCTTATCTTCTCAGGAGTGGCATAAAGTAGTTTGACCATGGGAGGATGTGATTCCAAGTCCCTGTAAACGGCCATGGCATCGGACACCCCCAGATCGCCGGATAGGCTCTTGGCGACGATCTGTTTGAAATATGATCATGCGTTAGCAAATGTGAGAATTATGGCATTAATACTTACATCCAGCGAAGCCAGTTTATTGGTTTGGTCAAAGATCAGCGACTTCAAGGGGCTGATAACAATGGTCACCCCCTCCGTTAGTATAGCAGGAAGCTGGTAGCACAGCGATTTTCCTCCTCCCGTTGGCATGAGCACAAAGCAATCATTGCGCAACAATGTGGCATTGATTACTTGCAATTGATTGGGACGAAAACTCTTCAGGCCGAAGCTATAGCTTAAGCCGTGCATTAAGCGTGTGGAATGCTCATAGTGTAGTCCGTCAAATTCGCCGGTGATGCCATCATTATGCACATTTGAATGAAAATTTCCTGATACCTTTTGAGCATTGGTTGGTTGAGGCCGGCTGGGTGGATTTCGACTACAGCTGGGACCGGTTAGATCAGTAATTTTGCTGCAGCTGGGGCTAGTTAGATCCGTAATGCTGGCAGATGCAGCCTGAGAATGCATTTGCTCGAAAAGTGTTTCATCATACTCAGGAAACCCATCATCATCCAAAGAAAGTGCTTTGGGTGTTTCCTTAGGCTTAGGTTTTCCGGCCTCAAAGGCATTGTAGCCTTTATCCTTAGGGTTAAGTGGCACTGCCTCGAAGTTTTTATAGCCTTTATCTTCGCGGTTAATTTTCACTGCTTCAAAATCTTTATAGCCATAGCCGTTATACTCTGACTTGCGCCCCTGCATTTGCTGATGCTCGTTTTCAATGCTGGCCAAAAGTCCATCCAAATCATCATCATCATCCATCTCGCAATTTTCCTGCGTGTACCCGTTCATTTTCTCATCAGGTAGGTCTCCGTCAAGAAGGATACTCTGAGACAAGTAGTCGTCTTCCGGGTCCTCACACAAATCGTGTATGAGCTCTTCCCGTTTTCGCAGCATCCCCTGCTCATCCGGCTTACTTTCGCGTTCCACATCATTATGCATGAGTTTATTGAGAGGCGCCATGCGTATGCTGTTTTGTTGTGGGGTCATATTTGTATGGCTAGCTGCTTTTGCCCGATTTTGCTCAGCCTCGATTTCCTGCTCCTCCCGCTCCATGTCATCCTGTTCCTCCTGCTCGTTCTTGCGATTGCACTGCTGTCTCTCTAGGGCTTTTTGCAATAGCTGCGATCGTGCCTTGAATTTCTGCCGCATGACCTTTAGTTTAATAAATGTGTTTGGCTGGAACCCGGATATTTCCTCAAAATGAATGGCTGGAATCTGATCAATCAGTGTACAGTATTTGTCCATCAGGTCAATGTGAGTGGTGCGAAAGAAGTTAAGCGTAGCCTTGAGGGCCTCCACACTCTGCTGTCTGGGATCTACTGTGAAATTGTCATTTTGGGCCAGTTCGCGCAAGTAGTCAGGCAGGGAGTTATCAAAGACCATGCTTAGTTTGGACTTTGACGCTGCTATTAATGGAGGTAAGGGCACATCTCTTTCCCGTTCTGAATGCAGTTTCTTAGAGACGGATGGGATATCCTCCTTGAAAGCGGGCTGAATATATTTTAATACATCCTTAGAAACTTTTGTCTCTGCTCTTCGCCAATTACTCGTATCCTCGAATGGTGGGGAGGGAAAATCCCTCACCCATTCTGAACTCAGTCTCTTAGAGACGGACACGGACAGGTCATCCTTCTTCAAAGTGGGATCATTGTTTTTCAATACGTCCTTAGAAACTTTTGGCTCTACTATTTGCCATTTACCCAAATTTGCGTCTAAAACATTCAGACCGGATTTATTTGCAGGCTGTGGCGCAAATCGCGACTCCGGTAGGGCCACAGGATGCTCTTCCGATGCTCGGGTAGCATTGGAATCATCTTGTGATTCGGTTTTTGTGCTGGAACTCTGTGTGTCATCCTCATCCGAAGAAGAGGAGTCCAGAAATATGGGGTTGTAAACTTTACATACTGGGTTGTTGGCACCAGACACTAAAACGAAATAAATGATTTGAATAAATACACAGAAGCCATGCTGCTTACCCTTTTTAGTTTGTATTTGAGTCTGACTGCTCAAGCCGATGAAGTTACTAAGTGTAATCTGCTTTTTTGGTGCCATGGGTTTCTTAGACATGGTGACGTTCTTATACTGCGGTTAATGGACTTAGAAATACAAATAAAAACCTTAAGCTATGGTTTAAACCTTGAACATAAAATTATTTCAACAATAAACACTAAAAACGCGCGCAATCCCTGAAATTGTTTTTGCAAACATTCAGTGCTACCAGACTCATGCGAGTACAGTCAGCTGATCAGAGATGTCAGTGTATTGAAAATTGTAATTACGCTTATTTAAAATTCAAGTCAATGAAGGTTGCGTTAATTAATGCAACTATCGTTAATTATAATAAAATAAAAATGTATTATTCGGTGGGACAACTTTAGCTATGGCTACTGATGAAAGAATCTAGCATTAAAACGGCCAAATATGCATACATAGGCCTCAAACAGCTGTGAAGGGTACATGTGTTGTGTTCTATTCTTCTTCTTGCTTCTTTGGTATCTATTAAACAAAGCGTGGCGTGGTAATTAATATTTTGGGAATTTGAGCGACTATATAGTATGCATACGTAAGTATTTAGTCGACCGGAAGCACGGATATATCGTACTCATTCGCATTTCTTTATTTCAGGCGTAACCACTTCAAGACTCCCTCTGATGCTGATGAGCTTGATGATTTAGATGACGATATGGTAATTGGTGTCATAGAGGAGATCGAACAGGAAGCACTGAACGAGTCGGATAGCGACATCGATGAACATGATCTGGGAGACATGGGTGCGCCAGATCCAGGCCAAGAAGACGATGAAAACGAGAGCATTAGCGATAGCAGCTTTGATCCAAATGCGGAAGACTCCGACTCGGATGACTCCATGCTAGAGGAAGACGAGGCGGAAGGAGCCAGTAGCGGAGGCGCCACAAGCGCCAAACGGCGCAAGGATGACGATGGCCCATGCGGAAGCGCAGGCGAATCGGCCACTTTTGATCTGGATGTTGATGATGAGACAGACGAGACCGTGCGTGCTATCATAGCTGCCATAAAGAAGCCTCGCAGTGCCCCACCAGAAATTAAGCTCGAAGACTTCATCACGGATATTTGCTTTCATCCCAACCGAGATATCATTGCGTTAGCTACCATAATAGGCGATGTCCATTTGTACGAGTACGGCAACGAAGGGAACAAGCTGCTCCGCACTATCGAGGTTCATTCCAAGGCCTGTCGTGATGTAGAATTCACTGAAGATGGCCGCTACTTGCTGACTGCCTCCAAAGATAAGTGTGTTATGGTCACAGACGTCGAGACGGAGAAGCTAAAAAAGCTATATGAGACGGCCCACGAAGATGCCATCAACAAACTGCATGTTCTAGACGAGAACCTCTTTGCCTCTGGCGATGATGCTGGAACAGTGAAGCTCTGGGATCTGCGCACCAAGAACCCCATATTTGAGCTCAAGGAACTTGAGGATCAAATTACACAAATGATAACCAACGAACAGAAGAAACTGTTGCTGGCAACGAGCGCCGACGGCTATCTAACTACTTTTAACATTGCTGCCCGAAAGCTATATGTTCAATCAGAGCCGTATGAGGAGGAGCTAAACTGTATGGGCATCTATCGTGGCAGCTCTAAGCTTGTGGTGGGCACCTCCAAGGGCAAACTGTATACATACAATTGGGGTTATTTCGGCTACCATTGCGACATGTACCCTGGCATCAAGAGCCCCATAAGCCTCATGATACCCATAACCGATCGCATCGCTTGTGTGGCTGGAGAAGATGGCAATATAAGAGCTTGCCATATTACACCTTACCGAAACCTTGGAGTTGTCGGTCAGCACAACATGCCTATTGAGTCATTGGACATCAACACCAGTGGGGAACTGCTGGCCTCATCTTCGCACAACAACGATGTACGCTTCTGGAACGTCAAGTATTTTGAGGACTTTGGCGACATCAAGTATAATGATAAGCACAATGCCTATAAGGAGAAGCGGCATAACTTACCCTCTTCAAAGTGCACCAACGCGTCGGACTTTTTCTCCGACCTAACCAAAGAAGATGAGGACAATGAGGGCAAGAACGACGCAGCCGCTGGACCCAGTAATTTGGCCTAGATGAGCTTTTTACTAGGCATTATCTCTCCGTATTTTAAATTGGGTTTCGACCTACCAAAACACTTAGCTATAGGTTTTTAAAATTTTGCACGAAATCATTCATACAATATTAACAATGATGAGATATTTAAATTTCGCAATAAATTGTTACCGATTATAAATAAATTCACGAAACAGAATCAAAATATCACGTCTTTTAACCTTTCTTCTAGAAGTAAGTACCATTCCAGGTGACTTGATTTAATTTTTTATTCATATATTGATCGAACTTTAATTGAAAACATTGAAGCTTTGACCACTTTTAGCATAATTTCTTAAGTGGTATCATAAGTCAATTATACAAGGTCTGAAACATAGCAAATGTTTCTTACTCAAGCTCTTTTAAACTGTACGGAATCAAAATCACTTATATGGCACGATATAAGATTTTGAGCAGTGAATCAGTTTTATATCGGGTCAAGTTAACGAGAAATTTATAATTTAATTAAAAACGTAAAAAAATAAGTGACCATTTTGGAAATCGTTAAGTTAAACAATATTTTACTAAATCATAATCGTTTGTCATTTTGGGATACATATCTTAAATATTCAAATGCTCTATCATAAACATTTTACTGCTAACAATATAGAGTTTTATCGGCTTGCAATGGTGCTTTTAAAAACAATTGTAATTATGGGAATTAAAAATATAACAACAGCATGGGCATGGGCAAAATAAAAATTATTTCCCATTATGGGAGGTTCTATGCTATAACAATTTAAGCATTTATGAAATTCTTATCACAAGAATTTTTTTCACAGAACGTGGACAATTTGTACATATTTATAGGAAATTATACGCCAAAACACTTAAGACAATTATACACTATATATGTATAAGGGGGAGAGTTGAGCCAAACAAACTTAGCTTTTTGATATTCAAACGCAACACTGAAAATTTGATTAGTCTTTCGCCTTCTTCAAGTATCGTGGGGCGGGGATTTAAAAATTTTAAAGCGTGTGTTTCAAAGGTTATCTAATTAGTTTATATAACGATGTTAGTTAGCCCTCGCGAACTCAGTCCAAAGGTTTTACATGAAGATTCCATGCACACAATGTCATAAGGCGGCGGCATTGGCGGCATCAGTGACCCCACTGGAGTTGAGTGCGTCATTCGCCATGTGGGTTTCAATGTCGACACGACAAATCGGGCAGTGTTTATTGGTGACTAACCATTGATCAACACAATCGGTATGAAAAAGATGCATACAAGGAAGGCGGCTAGAACAGCATAAAATACATTTGCATTAACACTGCACTGATAAACACCAAATAGTCAACTTACCGCACATCATTCTCAATCTCGAACAGAGACAAGCATATGGCACACTTCTCCGCGTCCTCGTCTGATTCGCTAGGCCGACGCACACGCCGGTATTTGTGGGGCAAGGTATTTCGTTCAATTGTTTCCTACAAGAAAATAACCATGATGCCGAACGTTTTATTTAAACCAGTATGTGCACTCACCAAAGATGCCCCACGGTTTGGGCGTGGTGCTCCAATCAGTATCCGTGAGCCGAGCGACAGTGGTGTTGCAAGTCCAATTTCCAAATGCAAAGGCGAGTAATGATGATGGAACATATGATGATGGATTGCTCGTTGACGCTGTAGATGCTGCAGGACCGGCGGAGACTGCTGTTGGGCCTGAGGCTGCTGGTGTTGCACTTGGATGTGTCGCATGTTCGATTGAGAGTGCTGTGGCTGCGCAGCAGATACGGACGTAGCCTGGCCACCACTAGAAGGAATCTGCTGGGACGGAGCAGCAGCGTTTGCATTGCCATCATAGGGAGGATAGTAGGCCGGATCCAAGCTAGAGACGGGGCCATTCCTAGCATGCACGCAATTGCAAATGCTATGGAGGTAGCGTGTCCGCAGACTGCTGGTCAAAATGGGGGCATTCGACGAGAGATCAATGGGTGTGGGCGTCATGTGGCGACGATGCATTTCCTGCATGCTCTGCTGGCGATACCACAGATTTTGATGTACCGGATATGGCGGAGCCGGAGTCAGCGAAGTGGCTACAATGGCACTTGCGCGATGAGGGGGATGAATGTGAGCATGCATTTGATTTTGGGGAGCCTGGTGACCTTGATGCGGCTGCGGCTGATAGTGCTGCCGATTGCTGTACGCGGCCTCCGAACGTCGCACACTAAAGGGCGGGGAGCCGCAGTATGGTATGGTGGATCGACCCGAATACATTTCCAGCGGTGGAGGAGGCGAGACACCGGCAGCTGCCAGAGTACCATTAGTCGTTGCCACAGGCGGTGGTTGGCTAACCAGACCGACAGTGGGGGCATTAATAGTATGGGCCACGGGATGGGCTCGGGGCACGACTGGGTGAGGTGATTGGCCTCTGTCTAATCGATTATTTACGTTTGTTTCTGCCTCATTGTGAGCACTAGCCAGAGACAAGAGCTCGTTAAAGGATTGAGCCTGTGCCGCAGCCGCTGTTGCCGCCACAGCTGCAGCACTCATAGCGCCACTTAACGAGCTCCGACTGCTCCCACCTTGACCGCCTTGATAGTGTGGATGCGGATTTGGAGGACCATGTGGCGGACCATGGGGATGGGTGGGCGAATACACTGCTTCCATAACAGTGGGTAGTGGAGTAATCGCATAGTGGGGCACGTAATACGGCTGATAACGGTGGTAGACGTTTGCTGGACTTGTCCGTCTGCGTCGTGACTGCTGACCCGATTGTTCGGAGCCAGAAGTCGTAGTGGGGGCGGTTCTGGGCATGCGACTGTAACCCTCTGTGGGGGTGGTCTCTGGCGCTGCTCCAAAGAGCCACATGGATGGAGGAGTGATCGGCTGAAAGTACCGCTGCGAGTCCAAGGTAGGACACCGAGGCGTGCATCCTTGACCTTGACCTTGACGCGTAAAATAGTTACTTGATGCAGGACCGGGCTCTTCCATCATCGTAGCGGGTGTTTGTGTATGATTATGATCGTAGCTGTAGTTGTGATCCGTAATGGCCGTTCGATCCGGCAGACCTCCGCTATAGAAGGCAAATGAGGTGCCAGCATTGCTCGGCTCTGTCCGGCGGTCCCTTCGAGGATATGGAATGGAGTAGGCATAGTTAAAAATTGGACGTCTTTCTTCAGAGCCACTGACCGCGGGAAGCCCAATGGCTGAATTTGGCTGTTCCCACACATGCTCCTGTTCCCGTGCCCATTCCCGTGCTCGCTGCTGTTGTGTTTCATTAACGGCGGCGTCATCATCAGATGTCAAATCAATCGAGAGTATTGGCTCTCGTGTCGAGTGCACAAAGACCACATCATCATCATTTGAGTCTGAGGACCAATCGTCAAGTTGCAGATCTGGAGCAGTGAGCACAACATCACCGCGGTTCAAATTGTTTCGCCTTCCCGTCGAAGTAGAAGGCTGATTCTGTGTATCGGCAGGCGACTGCCTCTCTCTTGGTCTACCCACATAGGTAATTACGCAAGATCCGTTCAAAGGCTGCTGCGTCTGTGCTGAAGTCTGTTGGAGATGGAACATATAATACTACATAGCACGGGCATTTTTAGTATGCAATTTTTTTTAATTACTAACCTGCTGTAAGGAACTATTCGCGGGCTCGGCATAGGTGGGATGCCTTGTCCTTCCTGGCAAAAAGGAATTAAAGTTCGTCGGTGAGAGCTTTGTGGTGCAGTTGGAAGAGGATGCACCTTCTATCTCAAAGCGCGGGAGTTTTCTGGGTGGAGGCGCAACCTCGTCAATGGAACGCACACGATTTCTAGTAGTACCACTGTTCGCATTGGAACCAAAGGAGCTGCGGTGGGCTGGTTGTTCTTGTCTCTGTGGTTGTTGCAGCTGCTGAACCTCCTCTTGCTCTTGATCCGATGTAGTGGAAGGAGGAGACACAGCAATAGCAGGCTCAGATGATCTCTGACGCAGTCGATGAGCCCTGCAAAGATCTCTAGACCCATAATCCATACTGCAGGTAGTGTGTGTAGCAGTAGAGCAAGAAGCTGCGGACACAAAAGTGCTATCTGGAGGCGCCCTCGACACATCTTTGCGACTATTGTAGTAGTTATGATCTGTATGCCGGTCAGTCAGGTTTTTTTTGGTGTTGTTGCTCCTTACAACAGGTTCAGACGGTTTCGATGGAGGAGGATTACGCATGCGAAGATCCCAGCCATCGCCGCTACTATCGTTCTCAGGCTCCAACACGTTTGGGGGCTGTTGGAAGCTATTGAATAAATTTGTCGCCTGTCGCCGAGCTTGCGCACTTGTGCTCGGTGTGGCATCCAATTCAGCGGCTAAAGAGGAGGAAGAAGCATCCCCGTTTGCGGAGCAATTTGCTGCCTGATTCGCCTTCTTTTTATGAGCCTGTATGGCCGACGTGGTTGTAGTCGTATTAGTTGTGCGGGTGTTGGCAAACTGCACATGCTCTGTATCAGAAGCACTGGATGTCACATCATCGTAGACACTGGCAAGGCCAGAGCTCGGTGGAATATTGCTACTGCTGGCCTCAAAGGGGCTATTGCTCAGCAGCGAGCTGGAGGGCATCTCGTAAACCACTGCGGAGGCATCCATTGCGTAGTCTTCAATGGCTGCAGCTGGCCAAGTGCCGTTGGCAGAGGCCACCACTCCATGTGCATGTGCATTTGCATTGTCATTGTCCTGATCCAACGACAAATGCTCCCTTAGTGTTTCAGTCTTTTGTTGTATGGGATTTGGAATGAGCCCGGGACTCGAGTTTACGGTAGTCGTTGGCATAGACACAGTCGATGTCGACGATGAGGGGAGCTCAAAGAACTGATGCGGTGACTCTCGGGACAGGGTCTGAGTGGAATGCACCTGGTCTGCGTACCGACTTGTGCTGGCCGCAGGTGAAACCACCTGACAGCGGCACAAAGTTGTGAGAGAACTGCATTTGTCGCAGCGACCAGAACTGTTCCTATAGCTGGTGCTAGCTATTTCGCGACGTGATGCCACCAGGGCCGTAAAGGAAGGCGGTGTGTGAGACTGGAACGTGGTAGCACGGCTACTAATCGACTCGGGCGTCGACATGTATGGGCCCATTAGCATGTAACTATCAGATAGGACTTGTCCGACCATAGTATCACGCGGCTGTTCATATATGGAGTATAGAGTATACGAAGGGCCGCCATCTGAAAAGGTTCAAAAATATTAGTATTACCCCTAACTGGCTACGACTCCCCCTTACGGGTCTCCTGGTCTGGATTCTGACCGACATTTCCGTATGGCATGGAAACTCGTGGATGGTGGGCGTGCTGCAAATGTCTGTGTTCAAACTCTTCCTGGTCATTTTCCATGCTGCTTGTGTCTTAATTTTCAGAAAAATCCGAATGACAAGGAATCCGAATGTGTTTTACACACATATGCCAAACTGTTCTGAAAACATACACAACAGTATACAATTGTTTTGATGTGAAAGGTAAAGAAAATAGTACGACAGAATAGTCTGGGCTGGCTATACATATACACATACGTATGTATGTATATTATGTACTTCTTATACACATCCGCACAACATGCACGCACAACAAAATTGCAATATTGATTTATTACTTTTGAAAAGGGCGAACAGAACAGAAGCTAAACTGCCACTTGAAAAGGAAGTGAAAATACGTGCATAAAACCGAATGAATACCTAAAATACTTTACTCCAACCATGAAATACACACTCCATTTTGCGTCCACCCAACAATTAATAAATTTTAGGCAGGAGACCGCACAGATATCCAAACAGCTGTGGAATTTTCGACCCACCTGCTGCTGTTTCTCCACCTGGACCCCTTTTTAACATCGAAAATTATTATTATTAATTTTTAGAAGATGCATAGGGATGGGATGTCTGTGCTGTATCGATACAACATACCGATATATAAGGCATATATCGACATGACGAATGAAATTCGACTTTTAGATGAATCTATCTATATATATAAAAGAAAGTCGTGTTTGTTACAACACTTATAACTCGAGAACGACTGGACCGATTGCCATGGTTTTTGATTTGTTGGATTTGTTTCCGTCCCGAATAGCAGAATACATCTTAAAAACAATGAAAACTCGATATGTGTAATGAATACTTAATCATTTCAATAGATGCTGATTTGTTTATTACATGTCAGAAATTTGTTGTCCAATCCTGTCAAATAGTCTAACTATTTTTTTTTTTTTGGAGCTTATGGCCTGGTTGCTGAGACCTTTAAGCCACAACTTTATTTTTTTCTAAAGACATCATGTGTGCGTTCAGAAATTTATTTTTTGTAAAATGTCTAAAAAGTTCAGGTACTGTTATATTTGTTTGTTTTAGACATTACTTTTCGAAAATTATTTATTAATTATTTAATTTTTAATTCCCGAAAATAATACCTAAGATTTATTCTACAGTAAAAACATAAAATCATCGGAAAGGAACGGAATTTAGGGAATAAAAAATCAGTTTGGTGGTTTTATGCGAGTGCACATTTTAATAACAATGCCGCGTCCTAGAAGATCTAATCTTTCCCAGCGAAGCCGTAATGCAATTAGGCAACGGAATATCGCGAGTCAATTATCTGATGGAGAACGAGAAATTGCACGAGAACAGCGCAATGACTCGAGATGTTTTGGTGGTGCAATGATTTTATTATCTGTCGATTTCCGACAAACACTACCAGTCATTCCAAGATCTACTGCTGCCGACGAAATAAACGCTTGCCTCAAAGCATCAAATCTGTGGCGATATGTAAAGAAACTTCAACTGTCTGTAAATATGAGAGTTGCATTGTTGAACGATCTATCTGCTGATGATTTCTCGAAGCAATTGCTGACTATCGGTAATGGCCGTGTTCCTGTTGACAAATCGAGCGGTTTGATTTCATTTCCTCCAAATTTTTGCAATTTCGTATCATCAAAAGACGAGCTTATCAACAGAGTATTCCCGGATATCATTGCTAACCACAAAAATACTAAATGGTTAAGTGAGCGAGCAATTTTGGCCGCTAAAAATAAAGATGTAGATGACCTCAATTTTATAATTCAAAATCAAATCGTAGGTACTCTGTATTCATTCAAATCTATCGACTGTGTAACAAACGAAGAAGAAGCCACTAATTATCCAACTGAATTTTTAAACTCCTTGGATGTGCCTGGTTTACCACCGCACAATTTAAAACTTAAAGTTGGCTCGGTAGTCATCATGCTTAGAAATTTAAACTAACCAAAACTGTGTAATGGAACGCGTTTGGTGATAAGAAAACTGATGAGCAATGTGATTAACGCGTCGATACTTAAAGGAAAATTTAAAGATGAGGAAGTTCTTATTCCAAGGATTCCGATGATCCCAACGGATATGCCCTTTGAGTTTAAACGAATTCAATTCCCGATTCGTCTTGCCTTCGCCATGACGATCAACAAATCACAGGGCCAATCCTTGACTATTTGTGGCCTCAATCTAGAAAATGCATGTTTTTCTCATGGTCAATTGTACGTGGCATGCTCACGTGTCGGCAAACCATCCGCTTTATTACCAAAAAACAAAGAATGTCGTTTACCACAAAGTGCTTGAATGAAAATCCTATTAATGAATTAATCCGAGTTTTATTTTTTTTTTCCCAATCTGCACAACATAGTTTTCAATCATTTTTTTCTGACATGAGTTTGAAGTACTTAATTATTATTTTTTATTTTTTTTTTTTTTTATTCTCATTCTGTATGTATGTTTTCATCATCATTCATCATAATAAAATACTTTTTTGTTTCTATCTATATAAATATATTATTTTGTATCATTGTTTTACGTTCATCAAAGCCTAAATTAGTTCAGCTAAAAGGTAACACGACATTCATTGACTGTTAGGCGGTACGAAGTTTGCCGGGTCAGCTAGTAATATATAATATTTAAAATATTTCTTACGAAAGAAGCCCAAAAGAGAATCCAAAAGAAAGACCCATTATCCTGAAACCAAGTTCAGCCGTTTTCATGAAAACAATTTGTTCCAAAAATGAAATATTTGGTTTCAGATGTGAATGTGCCTGCCGTTTCTATTATTTTTTCTATCACTGTACACTGGTATGGCTCACAGCTTAAATGAACCAGAACCAAAAATTCTGCCTCATTTCATTCCACAGTTTATTTGAACCAGTCCTCTTAAACAACTTTTTTGTTGTTTCTATTTTACTTTTAACGAGACACCTTCTGCGCCCCCGGAATGGAAATCTTTCGGTCTGAATGCACATGGGGGGACAACAATCCCAACGTGGACATAAAGACAGTGTCCCCGCACATACGTCTATCCCTCATGAGTATCGATGATCTCTTGAATGGCGTCCCTCTGGCATATTCGAGCCAGACCAAATATTCGAAGCCATCAGTGAAGCGCTCAGACAGAAGGATCTGCTTTACTGTCTGTTGCCGGGTGAAGGTGTGGTATCCAACAAGTACTTTCCGCGCATTATCGAGCCCAATCAAATTACGTATTTCATCGAGCTGAGCTTGTTCGAAATCCATGGATTAACTAACTAACGTCTCTCCCTCAATACTCGATAAGCAATCTAACGCCCATATCCGCCGCACAGAGACTGCCCATCTGAACAACCTGATTTCGTCGAAGCAGTTCGTCAAGGTTCAGAATCAATTATACCGCGACTAATCCTTCGTCTCGCTGGGAGCTCCACTGAAGAAGTCGGACGAATCGCTGCCCGGTTACTTGTGCAATCAGTATCGGGACATCTTAGCGAACAGTTAGAAAAGTTAATCTATTATGTTCAAGCATTTTATGTACCATCACACAAACAGTTTGATATCTGTCATCTCTTTTATCAATATGGGTCTAGCTCCAATGTGCCTTTCCATCAAAAACGGAAGATTTGTATTTTATTGCAAAGGCGTTTGCAAAAAACCTACATGCTAAAACTATAACAAGACCTATCTTGAACATGATGCATCGTATGCCTTCTTTCACGGCCTTTCACCTGCCCGGATCGGAAGTAGAACCCAATGGAAGTTAAGGAAATATCTTGTTTGGATTAAGCTGGCTGATTTGTTTATTGAGCTTTTTTTCATGTTCTCTTTACGGCCGTATATGCATTAAATATTTGTATTCCGGATACTTGACTTTACACTAACAACACAAGATTTAACATTTTGTATATTTTGCATTTTTATTGACTTTTTTTATGTATAAAACAATATCTACTCTTTCGTTTTTTTAAGGTTGATTTTATCCAAGTCGCATTTTCATTTTCCTTTTATTTATATCTTTTGCAGCAATTATCTTAAAACAAATTTGTCATACAAAAATTTCAATTATTGGTATTATTCCGTTTTGTTTTATCAGTTAAAACTATACATTTTTCCACTTTTCTTTCTGTTTGGTCTTTTGTTCTTTCGACACTCACAAAAGCAGCGTTTAACCAGTTTTCAACAGCTTAAGTTTACTCATAAGTTTAACGGACATTCGAAAACTAAGGATTTCATCTCAAATGAGTGTAGTAGTATCGTATCTTAGTCACTTTTTTTGTTTCGTTTCGAAACATTCCTCACAGCTTAACAAATAAACGCGAATGCGATTTCCAAATTCTCCAATTTTTTAATGAAAACTCAATTTCTTCTGTAGGAATAGATCAATAGTTAAAAATGTTCTGGACGCTCTCGTTTTATAAATGTTATGTTCATACTTTAACTTAACTCGAATTGCTGCTGTTTTGACATAGTTTCTCTCGATTTCAGTTATAGATTTTATAATAGGTATTTTTTAAGTTTATACTTGTTTTTGTATTTTTTTCAGTTTTTTTAAATGGAAGTTTTTAGTGTTACAGTTACAGTTTATTGGAAAAATAGAAGTATTGATGATGCACTTGACATTGATTTTGAGGGACGTAAACAAATAATGATTGTGGAAACTTATTTTCCTGGCGGCCTTAACAGTATTTAGAAGTGTGGATGTTGTCGATGGCACAGCGTCATTTGATAGATTTCTTCAGGTGCATTTACATTTTATATCACAATTTTTTTAAATATTATAATTATGTATTTCATTTGTTTGTTTTACCGTTATTTACGCCCGTCAAAAATTGTTCAGCATTGTTAAATGTCAAGAACCCTTGGGTTTGTCTTTAGTGTTGTGTTAGTGGGTATGCATTTAAATGTACAATCTTTTTCAGGACTTAAAAAAATATACTTTTCAATAGTTTTCGAAAGAATGCTTGTAGTGGACGAAGAAATTTCAATAAAATTAACATGTGCAGGCCTGAAAAATGAATACACAATGCCCCCTCAGTATGTCGGAGGGCTTAAACATATCTACGCCAATTACTTGAAAATAACTCAACCATCGCTTAAGCTGTGGCTGTTTGGATCTGTTTCTTTATAATTATTGAAATTAATTTCGTTCTTATAACATCTGTTATTCGAAAAACAATATTCAAGGTGTCAAGAAATAAAAATTCGCATACATATATGCAGTGTTACTTGAAATAGTACAGGATTATAGAACAGAAATATATTAAATGGTTAATGCATCTCTCGCTTAAACACTTCTTGTATTCGTTTTTATTTTTCATAATAAAAAATTATAGTTCAATACAAATTACAATTTTTGAATCTTTTTTATAAAAAAAGTACTTTTTTATCTTGAACGACTTTGGTTTTTCGTTTCAAAACAGCGTCGACAATTGCTCTTTGAAGGCCATTCGCTCTTTTAATCATTTTCCTTCCTTACCACAATTTTATATCTGTATCTTTTGCAATGACGGAATTTTAAGTAGGATTATGCATTTTTGCGTTTACGGTTAAATGAAATGTTTGCGTGTAGTTGAAATGTTGCACCAAACAAACAAAGTATAGAACTGGAAAGTTGAATTTGAGAATGTGCGTAGAAAACGCCACAAAACTATGTATTTTGGCGCAGGTTTTGAAAGTTACACAATTCTAAAAGCTGATAGGGGGCATAAGGCATGCCTAGCAACTATCAGTTGCAGCTTCACAATACTCTGACAGATCGTTGGCTCTCTGGTGCTGCCTCATACGTCGCTGCAGCAGCAAGCTCTCGCTTGGCGGTGAAAGACCAATGCGCATGATGGGTAGCTCCTCCATCAACTGGGCTGGTTGCGAATGGGCAAAGCGACCGCTGCCAATTCTTGGCTGTTGATGTGGCCGATGCACAGCGGCCCGTGACTGCGGCTGATTCATTCCACAACTGCGCATTGGGGGGGCATTTACATAGACGCAATCTTGGCGCCAGTTGTGGATCACTGATGACGACAATGTAGACTGTTCATCGGATGGGGGGGAACCGCCACTGCCGCTGCTGCTCCCAGCGCTGTTGTTTCGCTGCGGTGGTGGCTGCATTGATGGAGCTACCTTGTAGCCGGCGGCACCGCCGCTGTGCGAGAAGCTACCTAAATAATTGCGCTGCTGATTGCCATAGTGGCCACCGCCCCCGCCAGTGCTAAAGGGTGGGCGGTACTTCCGATATCCAGCGGCCGGCTGTTGCTGCTCCGAGTGATGAGTGCGATAGCGCCAATTTTCAGGTTGGCTTTGACCCGAAACCGGAACCTGACTTTGGTACCGTGGGACAATGTTTCGTTGCTGCTGCTGGCGCTGCTTTCGTGTATAGGCATTATAAATAGATGGCAGCGGTTGCTTAAAAACTGGTGAACTATTGCACTGTGGCTCCATTTCATCTTCATCCTCATCGATGTCGGCATCCTCGTCGTTTTGATATGCATCAAGTGCAAAATAAACATTGCGTATTGGTTTGCTGTAGCCTGTCTGTTGCTGTTGGTGTTGTTTTTGCTGTTCGTCTGTTTTACCAAAAGCCGTTCGCATTGTTGTCTCCTCAGCTGCTGTTGTCGTCGGCGCGATATTGATCGCTTTCAAATCATTATCATCATCTATGTTATCGATTGGTGGGCATGTTGCGTTTGCTGCTGTTGTTCTTGTAGTTGTTGATTGCACTGCCGCTGAGTTGACAACAATATTTGCAGTCTCATAAATTTCAGGTAGCTTTTCATTTAAATCACTAATACTATCCAATAGTTTAACATCATCATTATCGCCAGTTTGCTGCTGCTCACATTGTTGCATTATGTTGCTAATGTGTGTTGTTGTAGTCTTAACTGGTGTTTGCTTCTTGTTATTATCGGTGACGGTAGTAGCACTAATATCACTTGATGGTCCTTGCCTCTCATTTCCATCAACATCATCCTGCTCTTTTATCTCCTTCTCTTTCCTTTCTTTTAACCATATCTCTTCCATCTCCTGCGCATCATTGCGCATTGCTGTTGTTGTTATTGTGAGTTTAGCAAATTCACTTTGCTTCGATTTTTCCATATTATCCATAATAAGATCTTTCTCCTTCTCATACCAACCATTCTCCGGCTGCTGTTCGTTTTCATTGGCTTCGCCAAATTGTTCCAGTTTAGCTTTCAATTGGTTTCGATTGTCAGCATGTTGTTTGTTTCGTTCCTCCTCCTCCTCCTCCTCTTCGGCTATATCATCGACGCGTTGCTGCTGCTGTTCATACAAATAATCATCGCCCTCATCTTCGTCCAACTCGCGCCAATAATGCTTATAGTGTTGATAGTCCTCGTCGCCCTCATCACCCTCGCTGACGCTTTCCCTATAGAGGTCCTCATGATCATCGCCAAGCGTCTCCTCCTGCTGTTGCTGCAGCTCGCGCTGCTGCTGATAGCGACGTGTCGACTCGGCCCACTCGACGTCATCATTATCCAAACGGCCAAAGGCCTCGAGTGCGTCATCGTCATCGTCTTCCTCGTGAACATTCAACGTCTTGAATCCTCCACTGTTTGGATATATCGCAGATGCGTTGCGTGAAGCAATTCGGGATGAGTGACGGCTGCTCGTCCGCTGGCCATGAATCGAAGACATACGTCCTCCGTAGCTAGACAGGCCACCTGCCACAGCTGCTGCTGCTGCTGTGCGCTGTGAGCGATTGCGAGTGTAATGAGAGGGCGGCTTGGGATTATAGTTCTCATCGCTATATGCATCCATATAAGCCTGTGATGGCTGGTAGATGTTGGGACGCTCTTTCATGTAGTCATAGCGCATGGAGAAATGCTGCAAGATCACGCGCTTAACCGCCATGGCAGATTCGGCAAACTGCGAAATTTCCCTCGCTGACTGGTGATTACTAAAAGTCAGAATATAAGAGATCCATATTATGAACTGTCATGACCTTCAGTGTTCTTTTAATTACCGTCGAATATTGCTTGGGGTCTGCAATGCCTTATGGCGGCCAGACTGCCTGCTGGTCGGCGGCTCATGCTCACACATACGAATCCAATGATGATTCAAGACAGCCTCGGCGCTCAGACGCTTTGAGGCCTGCTTCACAAGCAGACGACTAATAAGGTCTTTGGCCTCATCGCTTACATCATGCCACTCGGCCTCCGGAAAGTTAAAGCGTCCTGAAACAGACACATGTCCAATGTTTAAAAAAATTAGTTCTAAAGCCAACAGCGACTACTCACCCTCTTGAATTGACTCGAAGAGGAGCTCCTGGCAAGTGCGACAGTTTTCACCGCGATTCCAGCCGCAATCCTCTCCACAGTTGCCCGAAAATGGCGGATAGCCACAGAGCAGGATGTAAGCAATGACTCCCAAGGACCACAAATCGCATCTCTTGTCGTAATAGTTTGCCTCGCCCACAAACAAATCGACAACTTCAGGGGCCATAAATTCGGCGCTTCCGACCTGTTAAAAGTGAAACACAAAGTAGGTTTAGGTCATCAATCAGATAAGATTGTTTCGGTTTCAGGCTGTACATACTGGTGTCAATAGCTGGGGAGTGGCTGCTGGCGAGGAGACATCCGTGGTGAACTTGATGCCAGAGCCCAAATCAAAGTCGCAAATCTTGATCGGACACAACGAGTCGGTTTTAACACACAGAATGTTTTCCGGCTTGAGATCACGGTGGGCAATGCCCTTCTTATGCAGAAAATCCAGTCCGGAGGCAATTTCTTTGATTATCTGAGCAGCCTCATGCTCCGAGAAGCAGATGTGCTCCTGGATGCGGGTCAGCAGAGGACCGCCATTGATTTTCTCAAACACCAAATAAAACTTTTCGTCATCTTCGAAGAACTCGATCAATTGCAAGATACCCAGATGTCCCTGACAATGGTGGAATGTCTCCACTTCTCGAAAGACACGCGCACGCGCATGTCCCGGTATCTTATCAATAACCTTCACAGCATATTCCAGGTCGGTGTAAATGTTAACGCAAGTTTGTACCGAAGCGTAAGCGCCCTCGCCAAGTATTTCCCCGGTCAGCTTGTAGAGTTCTTATTAGAAGTTAGAAATATATATTTAAAGTACTGTTCAAGAGTACGTGCTGTTCCATGGTGCACTATACTAACCTTGAAACGTTGACGAATGCAGAGAGGAACTGATGCGTTTCTTACGGCGCTTCTTCTGCATCTCCTCCTTGTGTCGGTTGAGCTCGGCCTGCCGCTCCACCTCGGTCATGTTGGGTGCTTCACTCGACTCATTGCCCGACACATCCTCGCTACTGTAGCGCGTCAGCTCATTCTGGCCGTCTGTAACGATCAGATGTTTTGATATATTGTTAATTTTCTATTCCATATTTGTGTGCATATTTTTCAACATTTATCAATGCATAAAAATAGTAGCGCAGTAATTCGAAATAAGAAATTCTTTTGACCAACTGCGTAGAAAGCAAATCGCGTGTCGTAAACAAGTCGCAGCAGCAAGTGGGTATAAAATATGTACAAAAAAAATAATATGTAAACAAACACACACACAAAGGTTCATAGAAACATTCTGTATGGAAATATACAGGGGTTTGTCTGAAGTTAAGTCAGGCCACAGCACACCCGATGGCGATAGGAGTATGGCGGCTGACGATCAGCTAGGTTGATTGTGTGTGCTTTTTCTTTTTTCTTGGGTTTTTCAGAATGGATTTTCCTGTGGTTCGAGCCTCAACAAACTGTTTTATTGCGTCTAGCCAACTCACTAATACTACCCTATGCGAAGTCGGCATCGCGGCATTCGCATAAGAAATGCGTCCCATCTGCCTCATCTCGATGCTCTCCCTCTCTTCTTCCGGACTTCCTCGCATGCTTACGTATACAAAAGTGTGCGCAGGCGGTTTTCGGTTCTTCTCTAAATTTAAATTTGGCCTATTTATTGGGAAGCTTAAATTGTTATCAATTGCGTAGATAATTTTAAAGAAACTAAGAAAAGATGCGAATGGCAAAGCGATATATATCTACACATGTACATATATAAATACATATGATCATTGACCGGCAAGCCGATGCTGGGATCAACTGTCAACTAAACAAGACGCAGCTGATAGCTAAACAATAATCAACAGGAAGAAAAGAACCTTGGCGATTCGTGGTTTACGAGAAAACATAATCAAATAAACACAGTCTACGTATGTATAGAGAAACGCAGGAGTACGGTGGCAAAGATAATGCGAATTAACAAAATTCCGATAAGAGTGAACTACGCAAAAAGCGTGAAACTTAATAAGTATGGTATAATGATAAATACAATAAAAATTTAAAAAATATCTTTGGGAAGTAAAGTCGGGGAATGAATATCTATAGCAACTGTAGTTGTTGCTTTTATCACTAGTATTGACTGCAAATGAAAGAAAAAAGAAACATGCGGTTCGAGCTTTTAGCAGAGAGAGAAAGATAGAGAGCGAAATTTGAGAGAGAGAGAGAGAGAGAGAGAGCGAACAGCAGATAAGGCGTATCTCTCTTCTGGTTACTTCATAGCATGACGAAAGTAAAACAAGGGGACGAAATGAATGAATACGTCGTTTGGAGCTCTCAAAGTGTCAGCTGTCACGTGGTTTGAGTGGGATATAGATCCCATAGGTTATCGGTGTACTTCTAACCCTGATCTTATGTAACGGGATTATAAATGGTGGGGTTTTGATGGAACAATTTCATATTTCTTCTCCTAGAAGAGAAGACTGAAAGTTCTGGGAGTTCAGTTACTCCGCTCTTTGTGCCACCTTCTAGTTTTGCATCATGACTTCACGGGCAGAAACACACAGCCACAGCAGGAGCGGTATGTGAGAGTGAATGTGTTTGTGTTGTAAAGAAGCAGAAAATTATTGCGCAGCAAAATGAAATTGTAAAAGCAAAAATTAAATAAAAATGGCGAAGCAACGCAAAAGCAACGACAGGAAAAGAATCGAATAAACAGCATGAATACAAAATGAAGAATAACAAGCTCAAATTTAGTGCTTACGCCCATGTCAACTTTTACTTTATTTACACTTGTAATATACGTACATATATGCATGTTCATAGGTACGAACACTGGGTCGAAGGGTTGACATATGTATACGAATTGTTCAATGCATAAACATTCGCACATGCTCGCTTATGCACTAAAATTTAATGACTGTATGTATTTAGTGACAATACATACGAAAACACTCACATTAAATCGAAATTGAAAAAAGTAGTTAGTGGGCAGCGAAAAATTGGACAAAACAAAAGTCCAAAACCGGCATTTTGAAACGTTTTCCCACACATATCCATACGTGTGCACCGTACATACAGTAAAAGTATATACACATGCGGCGTTCACAACGGTGTTGGTTAAACTTTTAGAATATAACACACACACATGTATTAATTTCTATGCTTGTTTCGTATTTACCCAACATGTTTGCTGCGCTGTTGTTGCGGTTGCTCTCTCGCCTTTTAATCGCAACGCAATTTGTCTAAGCAACGCCCGCTTCGCTTCTGTGGGGCACGTTTTTGCAATGCGTAGATTAAAATTGCTACCGGTAGGTATTCCGGCTGTTGCTGCGTCTACTTTGTAGTTTCGATGTTTGTATTTGGGCTAATTTTAACCTTATTTTGAATTGATTTTCAAGTTAAAACGCAAAACAAAGCCGCCTGTGGTTTCGATGTCCACATCTTATTTTTCACTCACTAGGCCATCATCATCAACCATAAATTGACACTCAATGCGTTGTTTTCTATAAGTTGTATCCGCAGACAGCAGTGGGGCACACGGAAAATTTTCGACTATTGCTGACTAGTGGGTGGAAGATAACAGAAGGGATTCGTTGTACCGGGGGATGCGGAAAAGTTTTGGTGCACAATTAAACCAATGGGCGAAAGAAGTAATTTAAAAAATAAAAAACACGGACAAACTTTAGCGGACCTAACGTACTCGGCGCCAACGAGGAAAGAATCAAACACGCGACCGTTGGCGAACAGCGGACAAACAAGCAGCAGGCCAAAAAAACTACCGCCGACTTGACGCGAGAGTGAGCTTATTTTGGCGGATGAGAGCGCCAGCATGAGAGCGAGAGTGTGCTGTTGTTGTGAACTGTAATAAATAGGTGTATTTGTGTACATTGGGATTCTTGTTTCTCTGTTTCTCTCTTTACACGTGCCAAACATCTATGTATTGCAGATTGAGGAAAAGGAACATACATACCTACATACATATGTATGTTTATAAATATTACCAGAAGCCTCCACAAAGGGCCAGATAAACCGATATTATCATAGCAATTCTCCACACCAATAAGATTCTCATATGACAAAGTAAATAATAAGGAGAACTGCCCGGAAGGGCAGGTTTGAAATGTTACATATCATTTCCAATGTATACATACATACATATGAGTGTTTTTGAATCAATTACAAGTCAATATTTTGATACCTCTACACATATATGTATGTACATATATACATAATCGAACAGCAACCGGATGACTATAACCAGAAAAGTATTTACGTTTGATGCTCATTATTATTGAAATCACTGGGATTCGGTAAGTTCCCATATACCTCAAAACCAAATCAACAAAAGGAATCAGCCGATACCTGTGGTGATAACATGGTAAATACCGCCTATATATAAAATGTACGGTATGTATAGTCGCACACACATACACACATAAAACCACAGCAAACAATTAAGAGCGTACGAAAAACAAGAGAGAAAGAAAAGAGAGCCACTAAAGCCACATCATTGATTAGCACAACCAGTTTTGACAACAAGTAAAGGAAACGACAAAAGTCAGCTTTGTGGTTCAATCAGCACAAAACAAAAACAGCAATAGGGAAAATAACAACAAAGCAGAAGGTGGGCAGAAAGAACGGCGTACAGTTAAGAGTGTACATTGAAAAATGAAAGACCGGTATGAAGAAAAATTATGTACATAGTTTAGCGAAGTCTATTTAGCGAAATCATTCTATGATTAAATGAATAGACACTATACGCTGCCACTATACATAGAAGAGCTGAAAAACTGTCTAAGAAAGAGAAAAAGAGGGAGCGCCACCAAAATACAGCATAAATAACCCTATAGTACTTACTCTTTGTATCAAAGTATCAGCACCAGTGCAGTTGGCTCTGCTTTTTAAGAGCCACATTAGTACTTTTCGGAACCGTTTTCCGGAAAATTAATAAAATAGTGAATATATATTGTTTTCATTCATTTCTATCCTTATATAACTAATTTGGCAATCTGGCCTTTTTTTGTCATCGGTAGTTGGCAGCACTGTTTCTCCACTGATGTTTATGTGTGTGGGCAAGCACAAACACTAACGCAGATTCCGTCTCACGTAGCTCATTGCTTTTGGGAGGTGGGAGCGTGAATAAGGGGACAAACACAACACCGAAGCACAGACACACCAACACTAATGCGTTGACATCTATAAAGAGCCCTAATATGCGCGAATTCTTTAAATAAGCCAAAACATGGAAAGGGCTAAGGAAAAACATTTAAATTTAGCATAGTATTTGTCGTTTTCCAAGTTAACAATAAAAAAAAAAAAGTCAGCTGATGTTGTTTTGCCATATGTAAAAATTTCTCTCGCAGGGTTATAAGAGTGGGAGTGTAAGGGGTTTTAAGAGACGCGAATCTAAAGCTGCACGTAGGCACTAGCCCAGCATAGAACAGACAATAAGCCAACATACACATACACACATGCATATATGCATGTATTTATTGAATAACATCGCCCTCAATCAAAACACCAGCTTGTACTAGCTTGTTAATTGTATATTCTACGGAATTTTATTTGCGTATAAATGTTTTATTTATTTGGTCTGAGGCTTTAGCTATTCCTCTGCTCGTACGATTCGGTTCGGTCCATTCTATTTGAAATCTGCAATCATCTGCAGTTGCCCCCAAACTCGGTCAACATAGAAGCAAGTAGGAGGCAAGCAGACGAGGGGCCGCTCTCATCGCTTTGTCTCTGTTCGCCCGCTCATTCGTTTACTTTGCTTTTTCCCATTCTCTTTGGACGGTCGTTCTATTTTGGGTTGCAATAAACGTCATCAAGAGCAATAAACGTCATCAAGGTTACATACATATGTACATATATGCAGGCTGCTCTGCCAGCCGTGCCGCCAGATCGTAGCTACCGCTGTCAACGTCGTTGTTTCAAGCTTTAAAAATTTGTTACCATTGCATTCGTTTCGAACAAATTGCATGGACCGTAGAGTGAGTCACATTACTTTAAATGCCTTGCCTGCACATTCAACTCGTAGATACTCTTTTTCGTGTCACTCTCTTGTTTCGTTATGCTTCTTTGGCTCAATAGCAGCAGCTGTTGCTCCCCCCGGTATTTAAAAAAAAAAAGCAAAGAGAAAATGTATTTTCGACCACGTCGATTGCATATGCTTCAATGTACACTTTAATATACTCATCATGGACATGTAACTTCTGAATTTGATACAATCGGAGCAATTGTTTTGATGATGAAACAGAATATAAATCAACGTAACGGGAAAACCGAGCTAAGGAAATGTCGAGAACTTTCCTTAACTATTAATATGTCTAATCACTATAATGTTTTCCCCAACTTAGTAGTAGTCTCTAAATATTCACCTGATTGACTCTGGCTGCAGCTGTTATCCGTGTTGCTGGAAGAAGCTCCACTGCCGCATAACCCACTGTCTCCAGAACCTCTAGGGTTGTTGTTCCCGTTCCCTGCGTTGCCGTTGTGATGATGTTGCTTCGCGCCTGCTGCAGCTGTGCTGGCATTTTTTTCCTCCAACTCAACCATATTTTCGGGAGTTGGCGTTTTCGCTGGAGATTATTTGTGGCCAAAGAATAAACACCAGACACAGTTTCGGCTTTCTAATAGATTCAAATAGTAGGAACGGATCAGGCTAGAAGGGGGTTTGTGACGGATTGTCCTCCGACAGCTGCAAGAAACAACGTTGATGTCAGCGGCGCTGCTGCTACTTCGACTGCGTTGCGCTCTCGCTCTTTCTGCTGTCTCAGCTCATTCAAAATGGTGGATGGTTGAAAATATTTTTTCTGACTGTGATACTTTTTTAATCCAATTGCCAAGAAATGCGAGTGTGTGAATTAATTTGATTCGTTCGGTTAGCAATTGTATTCTTGATGGCGACTGCGTATGACGGGGTTTGGGTCAAATTGATTAGTAGTTGGATTGTTGGTGTAGGCGACTGCTGATTTCTCTCTTCACATCGGCAAAGCAAGCAAAAAATTTGGATTTATTCCTATCTTCCGTTTTGGTTTTCGACTTAATTTTTTTTTGCGTTTCACCTTTTCTTTGTGGGCTTGGCTGGCTGTACAATAGTGGGGTGTTGTGTGGTGCAGAAGTAATTCTATTGCAATAATTGTGTTGTTTTTGCTGGAACTGACGGGTGGTGTAGGCTTGTCGTTGTTAAAAATTATTCCTGCTGATTACAACACAAAAAAAATCGCTGAAATAGCGGACAAAAGCCGTTTTCTTTGCGTATTTCGCTTAAAAGTATCTTTCCCAGCTACCGATCCATTTTTCACCGTTCGAAGATTTCTTTCCGACAGACGACGAAAATAGTGATGTCAGATATATGACATATGAATAAATCGATATGTAATTTTGTATCGATGTTTTTGTTGATATATTATCTGATATTTTTGTGCGATATAGGGATATTGAACATACGAATTGAAATCAATTGTATTTAAGGCGGCCGTAGAGTAGTTTAGTAAAACTAAAATAAAGGGATCAAAACATTTGTAATTTTCAATTATGCTAGTACAGATAAATCAGAAAATCAATTAAATTTTCTATGAATGAAAGGAATGAACCAATGTACTTGTCAAAGTACTAGTGATTTCGAGATACATATGCATATGTAGTTAGAACTTAAACTCGGTTGGAAAAGAATTGTGTGGCTCCTATCCTTCCTGAAAACGTCTGAAATCTAGAATGAAAATATAAACCCCAACATATTTGAGTGAAACACATTTTTAGGTGATTATAATTTATTAGAATTTTTATTGACTTAAGGTATATATAAATAAAATATTATTCAAGTACAAAGTTATATATACTCATTAATATTATTTGATTCAAGTAAATATATTTCAAAGTGGCTGTTTTTTATATATTCTTTCAATTAAGTACAAGTTACTGTTCCTGCTCTATTTCTAAGGGTTCGTATAATCCTCAAAAGTACTGTGCACTCCACGGTCGAGTCGAGGTCAGGTCGAGTCAGGTATTGTATTTGACATTGCCCGAAAAACATTGCAAATCGAGTCGCTATAAAGTTTTGAACCTTGCATATGACTCGTATTAAAAATCACGAGTTTTTCGTTCTTTTCTATTTGCCTGTCTTAAAAACGCATGTGTTAAGTACGTTGTGAAGTTGTTAACGAACCCTGATCTGATGTTTACTTCAAACCTTGCCCATGCAACAAATGTATCTTCTTTGTGATTTAAGTTTAATTTGGATTTGGATCACAAACAGTAAATACGTCTTTAACGATAATTGCAGTTGAGTTAAACATATCAAGAACAGGGTTTCCATTTTTAATTATAAAAATATTGTATCTGCATTTTACATGTTTTGTTTTCATTCGTTTTGTCTACTATCGGTTTTGCTTGAAATTACAACGTCCAGCCTTAAACAAATAATTTTCGTCACCAATCGCCTTTGCGCACGCTCCATTATCCATAACACTCGGTTTCAATTAAATTTTGCATCTAAACGCTACGTTGCCTTAACTTCAGTCCTTTCGCAGAAAATCTAACCTTAAATGTATTTAGCTCTTCTCCATCTTCTACTCAACTTTCCTAGCATGCTGCAGACACTAAACATAAATTCAATACACACAGTTTTTATAAGGTGTTTAACTCTTTAAATATATCAAAATTGTAATGTATACTGCTTTCTTTTGTTGCCTGAATTAATTTCTTCTCTGTTCGACGTGTTGACCTCTCTAACTACACATAAAACTTCATCTTTGGCCACCGACCTCCCCCTTCCCTTCAATTTCCAAATTTTGTATTCTCAAAACTCGATACGATCGATACTTCCTTTCCTGTAAATATGAATTGTTGTTTATCTATGGTTTTGTTTTTATATAAATGCACTAAATGTTGCACGGACCATTTGTCTATGTATGTTATGTTTTCTGTTCTTTTTTGTTGTTGTTATGATATATTCGAAGGTTTAATACTTCGCTAAGCCAATGAAATGTGAGAAAATATGTTTCTATTTCGTCATTTTGATCGCTTTTTATGTATTGTTTTTTGTTTTATGTTTTATTTTGAGTTTATAAAATGCCAAAAATTTGTGCAAATTTCTAAAAAATTTTGTTTTGTTTTCGTCCTTTTTGTATTATACTAAAATATTTTTAAGTTTAAAATGTACTTTCTCATTAGATTAAATTTTTGTTTTGTTTTCATTTTTAAAATATTGCATTTTATTTTGTGTTTTTCTTTTGGAGGCTTTATCCCTGAGTGATTTAATTTCATTTGTTTGTCATTTATTGCAACTTTTTCTTTATTAACTTATTGTTTTATATACTCATACGCGATTTAAATTATTGTATGTTAGGAGAGACACCAAGAAAATCAATTGCAAAATAATAACTTCTTGTTTGCTGTTTGAAGGTCGATTCATTATTTATAAATTGTTACTTTTGTTTATAAATTGTCTCTGCGCAGAGGGTGGATGGGTGAGGTGATGATGGATCGGTTACAACATTGGAGAGTCGCCAAGTAAGCGTTTCTTGTCCAAAAAAAACTTGTTAATAATATGCTACCCTCTAATGTAGTAACTGTACTTAGGTTTTGCATAGTTTTGTTTTGTTTTTTTTTTTTATTTTATGGATATTTTTTTCTCGTGGTTTGTTTCGATTTACTTCTATGTGTATGCATGTGGCTGGTTGTTGCCTGTTTTTTAGTAGGGACTTCTAGAAGGTGTGTATTGTATTTGTACTTCGCTGCAAGTGTTTAAATTACATTCCATTTTTCTGTACTGCAAACCAAAAGACTGGTGTCAAATAGCACAGAAATGCGCTTAGTACTGCTGTTGAAACATTAATTTTCCGAAAAAGTTCGTTTACAAGCATATTGAATGACCCTCTTGGCCCGAACACTGCGGGTACTATTGCATACATACATATACCCTTCGGCAACAAAGTTTGAGCAGAAAGGGTCATTTGGGAGTTGTTTTGTGTGTGTGTGTGTATCACTGAAATAAACAAACCATGATACAGTTACTGTTAATCTATATGTATCTTCTGTATATTAGCGTATATTAGTTAGAAGCAGTCATATTAACTATACAAGTGTACGAGAATGCATACCATGAGTAAAACATAGCCTTGTATGCATATGGATTTATGGTTTAATCATGTACGTTTATCGTTAATCTCAAAAATGCTTTGTATTTGAACAGTAAATTACGTTGTCACTCGCACGAAGTGTTTGCACTTTATTTCGGTTATTGTTTTATGCCTTTATTCCTATTCTGTTTTCATATGCTCTTCTGCTCTCCTTTTTCCATTGCATTTATATATATAAAAATATTGTTTTATACAGTTTGTGTCTGGGTTATTGTTATTGGCTAACAATTGCAATGTTTGTTGATCTGCTGTGCCATCTTCTATCCTGGTATCTGTGGCTTCTGTATATATTGTTCATATTTTTTTAAATTTGTTTTCTTGGTTATCAGTTGTCGATTCGTAAGCTGGATATAGGTGTGTGTATTTGTATCTATCGCGGTATGAATGTGTATTACACATAGATATTATTGCAGTTTTTTGTATGGTAGTTTTCTGCTCTAAAGAGTGATGATGGCTGGAAGTTAGGCATGCATTGATGTAAGTATATTGTATTGCATTTTCTGTTTAGTGTGTGTTTCGCGTAGGAGGTTCTCCTTTCGTTCCTTTTTAACGTTCAAGTTTAAAAGCTTAAAATTACATGACCTCGAATCAGAGGGGGTTGTTCTGAGGGTTCCGTTCCCCTACTATTCCTATTGGTAAAATAAAATACAAGACTAGAAATCAATTTCATTTTAGGGTTTCTTAGTTCATTAATATGCGCAAAAGTGTGATTAATTGTAGGTTGCAACTCAATGAAACAAGGATTCATTCGCCCTAACACATGTGTACATAGATACATACATACATATGTACATTCTAGCCAAGTATTTTGTCTCGAAATAAAATACATTAACGCGATGAACAGAGGCGCCGACCAAGACAACTAAAAGGCAAATCAAAATGTTTGTAAATTGCACATAAATTGATTAAAATTACAAAAAATTAAAAACTTATTCTTAAAACGGCTACCGATCGATAGTTTTTCAATTATCAATTGTTGTGTTTGTTTTTTATGCAGCAATTTCAGATCACAGATCCTCAAAGAGAAATGAAAGTAACTTTTTGTGTGGTATGGTATTCCCATTCCCTTAATATATGCGCATACTAAACTTCGAAATCTTTTTAAATCTGTTCCGTATCTTGTTAAGTTAAGTTGTGTTTTGTTTTGTACATTTACTCTCCTCTTCTATACTTTATACTTTAAGAAACTTTTGTGCGAAAATCTCAACTGAAAGAACTAAAGCTAAAGAACTGAAAGTGTCGTGAACAAAATCGTACTAATACTTGCAAATTGTAAGTATAACATCTTTTTATTCAGAGGGTTTTTGTTATTGGAGTTGGAGTTGGGTGACGCTCAGCAGGACCTTTAATAAACTCTTCAACAAATTTCAAAGGTGGCACAACTGCTGCCAGCACCATACGATCCTTACTAAGAAGCGCAGGGTACTGCCAACAGCTCGGCCGCCTTCATGGTTTGAAATTTGTTTGAGAATTTACCAAAAGTCCTTGTACGATCCTCAGGAACCATGTAGTGCATTGCTCTGTGCATTGTTGCCACCGGATCCGTTTACGTTCTGCGCCGATACCTCGGACTTGACGCGTCGGGCAATATGGGAGCGTGTGTGCTTACGTAAATGATCCTTGCGATAGAAACCTAAACAAAAGCATTATAATTAGAAGAATTAGTCATTTAATTAGTCATGTACCAAACCACATTGTGGATGCGTACCTTTTCCACACTCAATGCAAACATGCTTCTTCTCGCCGGAATGGATAACAATGTGCAGAGTGAGCTGCTCCTTGCGCTTGAAGGACTTCATGCAGATCTATTGATGGAAATCAGAAGTCACAAATCAGTTAAATGACACCGAAGGGGGTTTATCAATTTCTAAAACTTGCATTGCACACATGAGGCCTGTCCGGTATGTGGGATAGCTTGTGCCTGGTCAAGTGGTCCTTGCGTTTGAGGGCCGCATTGCAAATATCGCAAACGAAGCGTCGCTCCACGGCATGGGAGATGACGTGCTGCTCGATTAGACTCCGATCCGGGTATGCCATCTGACATTCGGGGCAGCAATAGAGCGTGGATCCATCCAACGCTTTCGTCTCTCTGATCTCGCCTGGTTTCGGGCGTGGCTTCTTCTCCTTTGGCGGTTTCTTCTTTTTGGTTTTCTTGCCACTGGCCGTAGTGGTACCCCCACTCGCGTTTGTGGTGCCCACCGACCCCGAGCTGGACACTGCCCCGGCTCCACCGTTGGTGACCGCTCCATTGGCATTGCCGTTGACGCCATTGCTGGTCCCGCCATTGGTTAGCGAAGTGCCATTCGCGTCCGTCATGTTGGTCATGTGACCGCCGTGCTCCATGCCGACTAATCCCCCATTGTGGTGGCCTCCGTTCGCACCGTTATTGCTGGGTGTCAGGGCCACGCCTCCCAGCGCCAGGCTGGCCAAATTCGTGCCATTCTTCAGGACATCGCCAGAGGACTCCTTCTTGATGGTTTCCGAATACTTGAGGAAGTGCTGTATAGAGATTGGCAGTGTTGCGGAAAGCAAGTGAGATGAATAGTCCACAGTGTTGGCCGTGTTGGCCAGCGTCTGCCACGACTGATTGACATTCTGTAAGATCTGCTGATTGAGAACTGCAGAGGGGAAGAACAAAACGCTTTAGTTTATAAATAAATTAAATCATTTCATCTAAAAGCTTCCTGCCATCATACTTTTCTTGGTGTCTGCTACAATTACAACAAGAAACCTACCCCAACAACAATTTTCTTCACCTTGAAAACCTGGGAGGAGCGTGTGTAAGCAGCAGCAGGCTGCTGTGTGGGTAAGTGGGGACTCGGGACTCACGTCTATTTTCTTAATATGCTATCCCAGGGATAGCATCCATTTACTTCCAAGGCCACAGGCAGCATCAGCGGAAAGCCTACTTTTTTCCTTCCTGTGTATATCCATTCCATCCCTTCCTCACTTCTTGCCTCTGGCAAAGCTTTAATTTCAGACGAATTTTCCGGGCAAGATTTCGCATTTGCAGAAGCAGAATCGTAATCAAAATTAAAAAATAATATCCACTTATAGTGAAAAAGTATGCTATGAAATCTCATCTACTACAATCCACACACAATGGCCCAGACAGGCCCAAAAACATTTATAAATAACGAGAAGCCGAATAATAATGTGCGTCCTTGAAATACACATATACCAACCCAAAAAGGCTATGTATACTTAATACGTATACATGCCCATGTGTATGCCCGAGTGTGTGCCAGTCCCATGTACATACAGCTAAGCCTCCCCTCCTCTCCCACAAACCTGTACGGTTTTGTTACTGCTACCAACAGTACTGGTTTTGAACTGATTTTCTTAGCCACCCACGACGACTCACCTTCTTCCCGGTCACGTTCGATTTTTGGATGGATTTTACCCTTATGATCGGCTGCAGCGGCTGCATTCAGAAAATTTAGATCACCCTGCGGCTGTGAGGAGTATGGTATGGATATATTCTGACCATATTGCATGTTATTTGCTGCCGAAACTGAAATGACAAAAAATAATTATAGTTAGCAGGATGAACAGGCAGGCAATCAGACAATTCAAGCAATCGAAAATTTCATCAGGGTATGCATTTACACATCTTGGAGTTGAACTGGGAGGGTTATCACAGCCTGTATACAGTATATATTTTTGTGTATTATAGATTTAGATTTAGGTACAACTAGCACTGGGAGCAAGCCAATTCAACTTGGGACCGCCACTCGCGAGCTCCACAACGCACACTGGCCGACTAACTACAACTGACTGCTGACTGGGGCTCTGGTTCTGGTTCTGGCACTGGCTGTGCTGTGGCTCTGTCCCGAGAGCTGTCTAGAGTTTTCCCGATTTGGCGGCGGCGGCTCCTCCTACAACTCCTCTAACTCTCAGCTGGCAAGCCGAATAAAGATCGGGTGCCGGCACAAAATCCAACAACAAAACAGAACGACAAAAGTTACGACGATATGGCACGATACATACCAAGTAAATACATCGTCTGTGTGTGAGTGCTGTGTGTAGGCTGCCGCAAAAGCTCTCTGTGTATACAGACACATAAATGTACATACATACACACATACTTGCGGATATATACGAGTGTAGATGTATATGTATATATATGTTCATGTATATGGAGTTACCATACGCTGTTCTGTTCCTACCCGGTGTCGGCGTTGTCGAGAACGTGCGTGTGCCTGCCTACATTTGTTGTTGTCTGCCTGCTGTCGTCGCCTGCCTCCCCCTCCTTCTACCAGACGCCTGCCGTCTGCCAAGGCCAAATTTTAACACACAGACACACACACACACTAACGCACCGCACAGACCCTTACACACGTGTTTTTGGGACCGACAACGCATACATAGGAAAAAGGAAATTAAAACTGAAACTGAAAATGCCGGCCGCGGCGCGGCCTCTTGCCAACAACAACCGACACGCGCGCAAGCCTGAATGTATGCCATAGAAAAAACGTTCCCCATTTTTTTCAGTGGGTGTGCATTTTTTACTTTTCTGTTGGGCTCGGCTCTGCCTTTCGCCTTCAGAAAAATTTCTTAGCCGGGTGCTCGGTTTTAAAAATAACATATTGTGGCTGTTGCCAATTGCTTTGTTTTACTGTCTATACTTTGCTGGTACAACTACAGCTTACTTTCCCTTGCAAGTACATAATACCTTTGGGCATCAGACTGGACTATATAAATAAAAATAAAATAGTGAAAAAATAGAAGTGTTGGAATTTATTGTTATACTCTTCTAAGCTGTCCTGTTTGCAAGTCATTTGAATAAATTAGCGAGCGACCTTGAGCTAATATGTAACATATTTTATATTCCAAACGAATAGGTGCAGTAGTGCAGGGATAATTAGAATAAGTATTCCATTGGCAAAGTAATTAAAACAAAAAGAACTGAAACTCAAGTCATCCAACAAACTATTCCTTTCTAATTCAATAAGTTCAAAAGTGATGATATCGTTATCAACGAACAAGAGAAATGACTATAATGAAGCCATAGCAACAACACAAAATAGAAGGCATGCGTGAATGGGAGCCGGAATGCGTTGCGGTTCTCGTAGCATTTCACTTTTCACTTCACTTTCCCATGAAACAGGATGACGATGACGACAACATAGAAGAGAACGATGTCGCCTCTGTTGTTGCTATTTTGCCGAGCAACGAGTTAAAGTCGGTGAAGTTGAAACAGAGGCCAGGCAAAGGGAGAGTAAGAGCGAGGCGCCCGGAGCACCGAGTACGGAACACGGAGCACACGGAGAGAGAGAGAGAGAACCCATACAATGGCGGGGCTTTGACAGTTCAAGTGGGGTTCCTGGGCGGATCATTCACATCAAAGTGGAACAAAATGGAAAGGAATACGACTTGGGGCGGATGGTTTGGGGGGTTACGATTTGGAAAACATGGCGGATGGCGGTTATTTAGACCTATCTATGGCTTTGTGTGTCGGCTATAGTGATGGCATACATATATGTAGATGCTTGCATTCGTCTGTGTGTGTGAGAGGCAGTGAAAGCGAGGAGAGCGCCCGCGCCAAAAACCCAGAGAGTGAGGGAGTGAAAGAGAGTTGATACAAGAGAGAGAGAGAGAGAGAGAGAGAGAGACCATCCATGGCGTGGTTAGGAAAACAGCAACCCCTAGAGTTGGGCGAAATTTGACCCCAAGTTTGATGCGGTTGTTGGTATGAAAGGGGATACACGGCGCCACTGGCAGACTTTAAGTCATCAGCGCGCCAGCATGACAACAACGATTCTATAACTGCTTTAAGTCTTAAAGTTATTCGCAAGAATGGAAAAAAAATCATTGAATGCTGATACCCATCAACTATCCTACCAATAGCTGGTACTGGTGCTGGGGTGGTCTGCTCCCCTACCACCCATCGTTCATTGCTTTATCATGAGCATATTTTTAGTGTTGCATACATCCAGGCAACATTGGGGGTGTAACCAGCCATTCACACTGAGGCATATGTACAAATGTGTGTAAATATATACATGGGTACATAAAAATGCAAATGGTTTATGGCTTGGGTGTCTGTGGCACATTAGACCCCCTCTTGCAATCCGAATCCAAATTTTCTTTAGGGTAAGTGTCCTCGACAACAAGAGACCAGTTGTTAAAAACCTGAAACAATCCACAATTTTACAAATTAACAACATATTTACGTAGGTCTTTTAGTGACGTTGTCTAATCCAATCGCGGATCATAATTTTATTTGCTTAGGATGTAAAAAATATTGCCTCATTCCAAGAAATGTGCCTCATGAGCGTTTTCCTATCTTTAACACACCATGTTCTATTGAAACGACATCAGCAATTGCCTGTCGATGTAAATGGTATGGTATGGGCAAGGGGCTGCGAGCAGCGATATCTGCATATTTCCTGGTAGCCTAATAACAATTTTTACAACCGAAAAGCGATGAAAGCATCTGCATCAGAGATAACTTGCAGCTGGAACCGCCCGGACAGCCTCAGAGCTCAGGCACTGGCGCTGCAAAGCGATAATACAGCTAATAAGCGACAAGAAAATGCAATTGCCCGAGAGCCGGCTTCGACGTGGGACAGTTTACCTGCCTGCATGGGATCAACCACAGCCATACACACACTCGCACACAAGGCTGCATAGATTACGTACAGCTACATGTATGTACATACATATATAAAACGCGAGATAAAAGAGCAACCCACACGCACACGCACACACAAGTATAGAAATTTTCCTGTTAAAGCAGGTAAAAAAAATATAAAACGCTAAACTGGAAATATAATGCGTAGCTCAAAAGCCGGGATCAATGAACCTCTACATGCACGGTGGAGTTGTGGAGTTTGGGTCTGCGTTTAGTTCTTTACTTTCCAATAAATGCATACATACTACCTACATATGTACGAGAGCATTGTTGCCATAGCAAAAATAAATTATAAAATGCGTTCTCTAGAGGATGGAGAAATGGTAGATGGGAGACGGGAGGAGTGGGATGCCTGGCCGGGGAATCCAATTATGCAAGCAAATGCAACTAATTAGAATTAATAAGGAGATGGAGAAACATAACGCAAGAAAGAAGTGGGGGTGATTGGAAGTAGGATGCTTTGCTTGCCCCCTGTATTCGAGTCTTAAGAGAAGGAAAGGGAGGATTAAAATCCCAGTAGGGGTTGCATGGTGGTCGGTCACACCCGTCCACAAGAAATATTGCAACTTGGCAGGAAGTCAGTGCAATTAAAAAAGCAATAGCAGGCGCTTTTTGGTTGGGGGTTGTAAAATGTGCTCACACATACACATATACATATATACATGGGAGTGTGTGTGTGCCTGTTAAATTGTATTTCTATGTACATACATACATATGTGCATAAGTAGCTCTGAGAGGAAAACCCACCCCGACCAAACAGCAAAGTGAATTGCAGAAAATTCAAAAGTTATTTGAGTTCATTGCATTTTCAAGCCAAGCAAAACAACAGCCACACACCAAGAAACGATGGCAGCAGAAGCAGCAGATGCCACACACACTCGCAAGCTTACACCCACTAGCCAAAAGGGGGTGGGTGGTAATGACTCAAAACATAGAGTAGAATATAAAAAAGAGCGCAAAACGAAAAAAAAAAAAATCGTCATATTCTGCTTTGATGACAGGGTATAAGTCGGTCCGTTCCCTGCTTAACAACCCCCATATGTAGTGCGGTTTACAAATTGGACTAGACTAGCCCTCGTATAAAGATGTCTACTAGTGCTACAAGGGATGGGGGTGGAAATACATCCATACGACCATACATGTGTAGGTTTATAAATATGTATATAAAATGAATCTTCCTTTCATTTGCAGTTCCTCGAAACTAAAAACCTGCAACGATACGTACAAATAATCAGAAACTGATCGATCAGTACCCAAAAATCGGTCTAGAGTCTAGACCATAATAAGTAAACGATGAACAAATGGAATAAGAAGACTCTCCTTCACAGAACCAACAATTAAAGGGCGCTTAAACCCGTACCACGCATAATACATAAACGTAATTCCCTATATAACATATCCAACAAAACAGCAGTTCAGTTCCTTCCATACCATCGATACATAATACACCAAAGCGAAGCGTTGTGTAGGGCAAAGAGGCGGGTATATGCGGCAGCCGAACATCGTCGCTGCCGAGTGAGAGTGTATGCCCTGACGCTATGACGCTGGCGTCGCCGTCGCTGCTGCTGAACTGCTAGCAGCGGGGCGAAAATCGATAAAAATAAAATAAATTTTTAGTGATTATGTTATACATACATACAAGCACACACATACACGCACTCATACAAACTCATACTCTCGCACAAGCACGTGCATGCTTGCCTCTGTATGGGATTTGGTATATGCACTTACCGTTGGCCACATTCTGATTAAAATGATTGCCATTGGTCTGATAGCGCTGTACATGATTATCGGTTCCTGCTGCGGCTGCAGCGGCTGCTGCGTTCGCAGGCGGCGTTCCAAATGCACCCGGCGTTTGTGCATCAAATTTAGCGGCGAATTGATGTATGCCAGAGAACGGGCCACCAAACGCGGAGAAATTCATCATAGCAGTTTGTCAGCTAGCTGTTGTCACGGCGGGGTGGGGGTTTCGCCTCGTCTCGGCAAATAGCGGATCTTGTATTCTCGAATCGGTTTGCTTCACTTATCCGTTACACTATAGTAGATATATGTATGTATATTTTGAACAATTTACACAACACGATCCGATCTCTATTAAGCCGAAACCAGAGACAGGCACTGATGAAACGAAAACAACGGCTACGGCGATGTTGATGGCGATGACGCTGAACTCTATGCGGCAGTTTTTCAAGAGTGGGTGGTGCTAACTTTTCTTGTTTGTTGTTGTTTTCTTGTTTTATTCTGTTGTTGGTGGGGGTTGGTTTCCGTTGGTGTGGCGTGGCGTGGCACACACACACACTGCGACACGCTCGCGTTTACACATACACACACACGCACACACACACAGTCGCAAACGCGCGCGTATGAGCGCACAATTTTATGCTGTGCTTCGCTTTTTCGGGGGTAGTAAAGTGTACAACTTTCAATTTCATTTAAACTAAACACGCACACACCCAAGCAGAATTAAACTAAAATCTCGCTTCCAACCGGCTCGCTGAGGCTCCGAATTCAAACTAAAAGTAACATTACAACGAAAGAAAGCGGAAACACTGGGGCAGGCAACACAGACACAACGCGGACGGCGGCAGCGACTGCGACGCAAATGACAGGGACATATCATAGCATAGGGTATATTAGGCCTTTTCAATTTGTGCACACAAACATGCATCGAGCATGCGGAAATTTTGAAGCATGCTCGCTGCGAGTGCTTGTGTCCCTCTAGCTGTTTATTTATATTTAAGCCGAAGTGATCATTTCTGTTTTAAGCGTGACTTTGTGGGGCGCATTTGTACAGGTACTCGGTATGCAGCCGTCGAATAGCCCTGACACTTATTTCTTCGTCGACTGCAGCATTCTTACATGTTTGTGTTAGTTCGTTGTGTATATATGTGTAGTGTGTTTGTGTGCGTGTTTGTATGTATGTAAGCGCGCATGTTGTGTGCCGCTTTGAGGGTGGAAGTTTTTCTACTTCTCTGGAAAATGCGCGTTTATTTGTACGTTCCTTACATTTTGCTGCATTAAGCGTTGGGCATATGACACTTGCCCAACCTCTCCTCTTGATTAGCTAAATTTTAGAATTAGTCCGCTGTCGAATATCTTCTGTGCAAGCGAACTGCAATTTATGTTGCAACTGACGCAGCAGCAGCCACAGAAGACTCAGCGAGACACGAAATTCGCTGTAGGATGAAACCGGTTAGCAGCATAAAAACTGGTTTGATGAGCTTGACAACACCGCCAAGCAGGATGACTTTTTAAATGTGGAATTGGTTGTACATTTGAGTTTCGTTTCGAATTAGTCAGTTTAGTGGTCTTTGAACTGAAACGTTGCAGACATGAGTCAGAGATGTATGTATGCTATCTGCTGTTTTGCCAAATATTCACAGATTTCATAAAATGGGTGGAATATTAAAGATAATGTGGATTATTTGTATGTACTGCAACCGTAAGCAGAGTGCATTCACAAGTCGGTGATATGTATACGAAACATGAAAACGCACACACAATGCGCCCTGTATTTTTATTTGGATTTCCAACTTTTTAGGGTTGTGTGGTATTGCTGTGCACTTATACGCTTACATGGGAACGCATATATAATGTACATACATACAGTGTGTGCATGTATCTGGGATCTGTTTGCACGAGAGAGAGAAAGAGAGAGAGTGGCACCGAGGAGAGCTCGGGCGCATTTGCTCTCGTTGCATTTGATTCTGCTGCTGCGTTTGCTCGTCAATGCTTGTATTAATGAAAGTGAGTCCAGCAGCAAAAGAAAGCATGTTCTCTTTCAAGGGTCCGCAAGTGTTCTAGTATTTCTAGACGCACTGAATCTAACCATACATGCGTTGGCTAGGTTCAAGCAATCAAATATGTAGTTGAGTTTTTCAGACTGTAATATGTACGTACCTATGCACATGCAAACATAAATGCATATGTACATACATTCATATATGTGTATTGCTTACTTAAGCCAAAGTAGCTCAGAATATTATCCTATACCTTCAGGATCTTGCCAATTCTTCGAACTTGTTGAAAATAATATCCAAAACATTGTAGCAGCGCATGTTCAAGTCGCTGCGACTGGAAATTCTCTTTTATATGTTGAAATGAATGTGTGAAAATATATGTACATGTGTGTACCTATGTGTGTGTATGTATATTTTTCTCATTCTTGTTTTTTCCTGTTGCAGTCTTGTCTTCTACTCGTTTGACTTATTAAGAGGGTTGGAGTCTTTTTACGATTCTCTCGCATTCTCTCCTTATTCCTCATTCTCTCTCATTTTTTCTTCCACTCTCTCTCCCTCTCTCTTGGACGTTTGAATGCAATGCTTTGTTTAGCTTGATTTTTGAGCTGCAACTGTTACATACATACATACATATGTATGTACATTGTTGTTTATAATGAATTTATATCCACATTTTCCAATTATAATAATTATTAGATTTGCTCTCAGGTCGCATAAGTGTACGAAATGATATCGGAGAGGTTCCGTGTTACTCGATCACCGGTACTGGGTACTGTTTAGATGTAAACACAAAGATACATACATGCATCATATGTGCCTACATATTCATATATATATTATATGTATGCATGTATGTACAGAATCTGTCTAAAATAAGAGTAAATTTTACCTGCAGATATGTACAAACACACACTTAACTCGTATCCCTTATTAACATCCTCTCAAGACCTCCATTTCGAAAGGTACATAGGCATGTATATATGTGTGTACATATGCACAAAACATACATACTCGGCTTCCCATGGCTGCTGCAGCTAATGCGCGGCCTAGAGAATAGGAAACCAAACCTCACACTTACTCGGACTTCCCAACCCTATCCTCATTTGTAATAATTGAAAACGCCAAGGCTCATCTCATTCAAAGAGCTTAAGATAAAATAAAAATTACATGTGTATGTACATATGTAGGTTCATAATCATGTTTATTCATTTTATGACAAAGGTTGAGTTGATACTGAAAGCGTAAGAAGGCATGGCATTTAATCTTTGCTAATTGAAAAAGCATTGCATGGATTGAAATGCAGTTTTCTCTAAACCAAATCACCCCTGCAGAAGAATTTATTGCACTGGAAGTAACTATGTGCATACCAGTAGACCATCCTTGCAACAGCATAATTAATTAATTATATTTTTAAGTTTATACTCGTAAAGCTTCATTTACGTATTGTATTTGTATATTTATAAAACGTTGAATTATTTAATTTAAAAAGCAAATATAACTGAAATTTAACTTAAGAAAATGATTAGAAATGTTTACGTTTAATATCACAAAAATATACAATGTAGATATAACAGCGCAAATCAATGGAAAGAGTCAAGCGAAGGCAGCAGGTAATACAAAAATCAAAATACATAATATATATATAATACCGACTACGTAAGCATATAAATAATAATATTCTTTAGCTAGTTTGAGTATTCTGGATAGTATTTTTAACACTTTAGATATAGGTTTCATGGAAATAAATTGTGTATAGGTTTGTAAATGGAGGATATATAATTAAGCTTTGAGCACTTAACCCACTGCAGCTGATAGCAGGGGCTCCCATGCTCGATTGGTGTCTACATAAAGAAGGGTACACTGCTCGGCTAAATCTTCACCATCGTCCAGTATTGTTATTGGAAAGAGATCGTTCTAAAATTGAACAAAATCATGTAATTATCAAAAGGATTGTCTGACCCATTAGCGACATACATTCTTGGCCTGCCATAGCTGTTCCAGTAAACGCAAGAAGCGTTGCATTTCCATGCTGCTGGCAAAAAAGACAACCAAATCATCAAGACTCTCCAAGGGTGCCTCTTGACACGAAAACTCCAGTATGCACCACCAGGTGTCGATACGTGAGGTTATCTTAATGCCAGTCATGGCTTTAATGTCCCCACACGTGAGTATTGCCAGACCAGAGTTTTTTCCATAGAGACTACTCATTCGTTGCGTTTTTCCTGGAGACGACCTATGCTCCTTGGATAAATCCGGATCGTGTTCATGCTTTGTAGGCGAGGAGCTCGAAGAAGAAAAAGATCGTTGAGTCACCCTAGTCGGCGTACTCATTGTAGAGCCCATCTGCAAATATATAAGGAGTAATATTTTTATTATTTACAGCATAGGTATATTCCAAATACGTACTAGGCTACTCGTTTCAAAAACACTCAATAACTCTTCTTCATATAAAAGTGGTTTGATTTGTGGAACCACGTTATTATCCACCTGATGGTTAATGGGCCTCAAGGGGAACGAAAAATCTTCACGCAAAGTTATCAAGTGATTTTCGGTAACGATCAAAGTGCAGCCCAAGGTTTTGTGTTTCTCTTGCGGTATCAAATGCTAGAATCAGAACAGCATTTAAGAGGGTCGAATGTTATTTTCCTGTGTTAGGACTTACACCCGAGGCCGACTGTAGAAGAGCTTGCAGCCATTCGGATGCCACATACTCATCTGGTGCGGCCATTTGCAGGAGTTCACCCTTTAACAAAATTTCAAAGCAATGGGGGCGCTCGGACTTGAGTGTCCGACGGGCACCTTGACATTCGGCAAGAGCCATGGCCCAACTTGGAAGTGTCTGGGTGGAGTCGTTGAACATATACAAGACGCCGGATCTATAAAAGTTATATCCATTAGAATCATTTATCTTTACGAAACCTCAAACTTCAACGGACTTCAATAAAAAGTATCCTGCCTGCCAGTACACCCTGCTCGCTCCTGTCGTGGCTGCTGTTTCCTTAAAGCGCTGATGCATGAGAAATCCTTTAATAGATGGTCCCAGTGGCTCACTAGGTGAATCTGCTCTTAATGAATCCCCAGCTGGCACATTGACAACGGCGTAGAATAGCCAGCGTTCGTCTCTGCCCACACAGCTGTTGGCGCGAACAAAAGCCTGCAGCGGGGCCAAATGCTCTAAGGTCAGTTGACCCACAGCCGGTAGAGTGGCACCACTGCGTCTGGCACAAAGCTCCAAATTGGCAACAAGGGATCCTGCTGGATATGGTCCACCTGATAGTAAAACTTGCTGCATGTCCCGCATGCTGTTACTCAGAAGAACTGTATTGCCGAAGGGACCCATCTTGAAGAATTTAAATTCGGATAATAATAGATTAAAATCGCAACGGACTGGACCAGAGAGTACTTACCAAAATGACATCCAAGTCTTTGTAAGCCAAAACGAACTTGGCACAGAGACAGTCCCGATCCAGATCTGCCACATATAGTGTCCTGTCAGTAAGTAAAACCAACACTGGGGTCATAATGCCCTCGCTGCTGTAGCCCGTATAGAGCTTGAACACCTTCAACAGCTGCTCATTGGAATCTCTTAAATTAAGTAAACTTTTTCCATGAAAAAAATCAATCGATATTTCCCCGATGCCAAGCTCGAAGCTGGATACACTCTCCGTATCCGTATCCAGGCTTACAGCCAGCTCACGGCGCGGGGAATTCGTTCCACACATTTCAATCTCCATTGCGATCTCCGCATTTAGGTCATCTATTAGCTCATAGTTCTTGGGTCGCGCCCCTTTGACATAAAGCCTCTGTTCGTTTCGTAGTTTATCCGCGAAGAAATTGTTCTTCCGAATAGATGTTTCCAGTATTTTCTTCTGGGTGACATTTCGTAGGAATCGATTTATTAATGAGGTTTTGGTGGCAGGAGCTGAAGGTTTCAGAAGATGAGCATAGTCCACATAGTCAACGATGACCAAATCACTGTCCATGGATCGCTTGTCATTGGTCGTATCTGTGGTGGTTATTGTGAGTATATCATCGTATTCCTCGCTTAGGATAGTGCTTTTTGAGTCGCGTCCGCTTCCACCTGGGCCCCCACTCCCACGAGCTGCCAGATAGCTGTTGGGGCTGTACAGGCTACGATTGTGGAGCTGCTGCTGGTCGTAGCATCGAGTTAGTAGCATTGGCTGGCCAGGTTTCTTCAGAGGAGAGGGCAGATGACGCGAATGGCGATCTGTATTATTTGGGTTTTGGTTGATTAGGTGGCTGCTGCTGTTGTTGGTGGAACTTGTAGGCTCCGATATGGTGGATGAAGAGTGATTTCTATACAGGTTGCAGCTGGATTGCGGCTGTGGTTGCGGCTTAGCCATTTTTAAAGCTGTTAATTACATTCAACATTAGACGAGATTATAAATTTGTTTACAATTTCTTACCAGCACAATCATCTGGGTCTGTTTTTTCCTCAGGCTTTTCAATTGGAGTTCCCACAGCACTTGTGCTTTCCTTTAGGCTCCGAAAGAAATTGCTAAACGTCTTGGCTATGGGTGCATCCATGAATGATTTCTTTATCTGATTAGTTGCTGGCTCGGCAATGGGAGTGTTTTGCTCTAGCAAACTGGCTACACTAGAGTGCTGTGCTGTGCTGGAGAATTCTGGTTGCGGCTCCCCAGTCTCGTAGGACACACCAGTGTGCTCGAAGACAGTGCTTTCGCAATTGATAATAAATTTGCTGCGGAATTCATTAGGAATGCTTTTTATAGGGAATATTTCCTTATCGAACTCCTCCTGACGTTGTAAAGTGTGCGATGGATTAGTCTCCGTGGGCGAGGCTTCTACGGAGCTGTCATTATTTTTATGCCGAAGCTGCTCATCTACGTTGTGTACAAATTTCTTAGCCGACTGTGCCTGTTTATTGCCATCGAGACTTTTGCTCAGGAATGGCTTGAGTTTGAGAGTTGGGGACTCCTGGGGACGATTTGTTTTCCTATCCAGACTGTGCTCCAGCTCTGGCACACACTCTACCACCGCCTGTAGGTCCTCGGAGCCTTCAGGCACCCCGCGTTCTGGCAGGGGCATGGTGAAAATACTTTTCAATGAGCCAAAGATCATTTTGCTGCTATTGTCTAGTAGTTGATGCTTAATGTCGTGCACATTAAAGGTCTTGACACGGCCATTGAGATCTTGTTCTAGAATGATGTTTGTCTGACGTTTGGTTTTCTTAAGGCAGCTGGACTTTGGCTTTTTCTCTTTGTTCCAAACTGATTTCATTGAGGGACCATCGGTATCGCCAATATTGGGCTCCGAGTAGTAGCAGTTGTCACCTAATTGATGGAGATTACAAATATATATTAACCTTAAGTTATCTGCGAGTCTTCTATTGTCTTACCAATCAAATTATTGTTTGCATTACTCATGCCTATGCAATCGCAGGAACTGCTCTTGGCCTGTTCGTATTGCTTTCGATTGGCGTTGGAGTTCTTGTCCTGCTCATCCGAGTCCAGACTAGAGTTGGAGCTGCTGCAAACGCAATTGTATAGGACAGGCTCAGCCTGTTTCTGTGCAGACGGGGTATATTCGAACACACCCGAAGTGTCGTACTGGAGGCGAACAGGCTCATTGGTATCGAACATGTCCGTGTTGACATAGTCTAGCACATCCGAACAGGCATTTCTATACACCAAATGTCGCTTGCGACTTCTGCCACCGCCGGCCATTGCATCTTCCCCATCATCATCGTCTTTGCCAGCTGCACAGATCTCATTGGGTCCCTCGAAACGCTCTCGCTCCGGGCACCAGGAATACCGGCCGGGGGCACCTGCCACACCCGCCGAGTTTGCAAAGGCAAGCTTGCGGCCATTTTTGTACGTTATAAAGCCATGTTCTATGTGAATATTATCGGTGCGAGTGTTCTTCAGAATATCCTCGTGAAAAGACACGCGTTTTTTTGGTGCTTTAGATGTGGACGAAGTCTTGTGCACTTTCCGCCTGTACACAATTTTCTCAGTTGTGTCAAAGGTCGAACAGCCACTAGCTATCATGGACTCAGCCGGTGCCACATTAGAGTTCGGGTCTATTGAAGGTAATTGGGGGGAAGTGAGTTTCATGGGTCTCGAGTTCTCTTCATAGGAGCACATAGACTCCAGCATCACATCGCTGTTCTCGGAATCGAGCAACTGCACCCCTGAATCGCTGGGCGTTGTGTCCTCCAGTGTGCTGTTGATGCTGGAGCTCATCTTGTCAACCGGGGACACTTTAGTCATGTTGTTGTTGACTTTGGGTGAATCCATTATATCCATTGTGATCTTACTTAAAGTCGAGTCCGCTTAGGTAGTAACAATTTTTACATGCACATGCACCTCTTGGAATCGTGTGGCTGTTGTTCTATTTTTCCAATTCCAACTATAACGAAATTTAAAAGTGTATGTATCTTTAGTTTCTTGCAATTAATCAATATCCACAAGTTGCACAATGCGCCGCAGCAGTGGACGTGGACACTGCACAGGCGGACAACAAAGGAGATGAAGTCAACTCCCACCTCTCCACCGCCACATGAAACGACGAAATATTTGCATGCAAATTTAATCACTTACCTTCACAATTGTTTATCTCTTCCATGCTAACTTCAAGCGTGATTATTTTAATACAGGTTGTAATTGGTTGTTTATTTAAAGCGTCTCTACAATTGCTCCTATTCACACTCGTTGCCACTATATTTGTTACATTTAAAAATTTCAAAAATCAATATTTTGCACATCGAGTTGATATTGCTTGAAACAGCTGCTTGCGAAACCATTGATGGCACTAAGGAAAATGTCGATAGTTTTTTGTGTCGACAGGCGATATATCAGTTGGCGGCTCATTTGATTTGCTGAAAGTCTTTCAAATTGCGCAATTACGTATAGACTAAACTTTTATTTTGCATTATGTCTGATAATACTATTTTGCATATTTGAAAGAAATCCCCTGTAATATGTCTGTAACACCCTTTACTATGCCTGCTTTCGCAGACTGGGGTCAGTTGTCAATTTGAAAAGTACACAGTGTGTGAGGAATGCCAATGAAAACGAATGAAACCTTAGAAATTAATTTATCACACTGCAGTGCCTCACAATCGTGTAAATAACTTTGTTTTGCTATAGAAAAGAAAAAAACCGAAGAAATTCACAGCATTTATTGCATAATGCAATCAAGTTAATTTTTATAAAATTTGGAAAATTCGAAAAATGACATGGACTGCAGAGCAATGTGTCTTAAAACACTACAAATCGTATTAATATTAAAATTCAAAGTTAAGCGTTTTCATAATGCAAAAAATACTTAATCAATTGAGAAAATACAAATGCCTGATTGCAGTAGCACTCATATTGCATATAGTCGAGAAATCGATTTTGCTGTGCAATTGTGTTCATGGTTTCAGGTAAATACCCAAATGTAAATGATGAAAATAATGGCCTTTTCATCAAAAGTTCTACAAGGTTATCTGTGTGCAAACATATAAGCCCATTTTAATCTCCTTGTAGAAATAATACGGAGAGCGCAGAGCTGGTTTCCCATTACGAATCGAGTCTATCGCTGCCTGACATATTGCCTATACCTTCAAAAACATATGATAAGAACCGTGCTCCCAAGCTTTTGGGACAGCCAACTGTCGTTTACTTCCATGTTACCGTACTTTCCCTTGATTCAATTAATGAGGAATCAATGGTATGTAAGCCCCTGTTACTTCAATTTCCATTGATTTCAAAATTTCTTTGATTTCTGTAGACCTACGTGACGGACATATTTCTTGCACAAAGTTGGCGAGATCCTCGACTCCGGCTACCCGAGAACATGAGCGAACAGTATCGTATACTGGATGTGGATTGGCTGCACAGTATTTGGCGGCCCGATTGCTTCTTTAAGAATGCGAAAAAGGTTACTTTCCATGAAATGAGCATACCGAATCACTATCTTTGGTTATATCATGACAAAACGTTGCTGTACATGTCGAAGCTAACGTTGGTTCTATCCTGCGCCATGAAATTCGAATCCTATCCGCATGACACACAAATCTGTTCCATGATGATTGAAAGTTGTAGGTGGAAAAAAATTTAACAGTTTATAAAAATTATTCTTTTGTTGCTAGTATGTTTGCTCTGAACTTTTCACTTGCCTTTTATTCGAATATGTTTGTGCACATACTCGTACAAGGGTTTTTGATAATTTTAACTGAGTTTTGAATGACAGTATCCCATACAGTGGAGGACTTGGTGTTTATTTGGAATATGACTGACCCACTTGTGGTCAATGCAGAGATAGAGCTGCCTCAATTGGACATTTCTAACAACTACACGACGGATTGCACCATAGAATACTCAACCGGTAAGCATATAATCTAATTCAATGATATCTGTACATATTTATCTTATTCATCTTAGGCAACTTCACCTGCCTAGCCATTGTATTCAATTTGAGACGACGTTTGGGCTACCATTTATTCCATACATATATTCCCTCTGCCCTAATTGTGGTCATGTCATGGATATCCTTTTGGATTAAACCGGAAGCCATACCGGCTCGAGTCACCCTCGGTGTAACCTCCTTGCTCACATTGGCCACACAGAACACACAATCCCAACAGTCGCTGCCGCCCGTGTCGTATGTCAAGGCGATAGATGTATGGATGTCATCCTGCTCAGTGTTTGTTTTTCTATCACTGATGGAGTTTGCTGTAGTGAACAATTACATGGGCCCCGTGGCTACGAAATCCATGAAAGGCTACTCGGATGAGAATATCACGGATATGGATGATCTAAAGGTGAGTTTTTGTTACATATTGTGCTACCAAAGAAAGCTAATGCCAGTTTACAGCATCACCATCGTGAATCGATAATTGAGCCTCAATACGACACATTCTGCCATGGCCATGCTACAGCCATTTATATAGATAAATTCTCGCGCTTTTTCTTCCCATTTTCCTTCTTCATACTAAACATTGTTTACTGGACAACGTTCCTATGATGGATGAATAGATGATATGATGAAGGAAGGAATAATAAACACCATACCAAGCGCATTTGTTTAAAAATGTATATTATGGTTTTTAGGCCACAAATAATTGCATTAAAAATATTTATTGTATATTGATTTACTATATGGTAATAAATAAAGCCGAGCGTGTAATCATACATACGTTTAGTTTAGGTTTAATTTAATGGAAGCAATTAAGAAATCTCAATTTATTTTAATTGCGCAACAAAGGTGGAATATTCTTTGGTAATATTACTATGTACCTATATATGTAGATAGCTATAGCTGTCTATATATATATATATATATATATATATATATCAAATATGTATATAAAAAAGTTTTGCTGGGGTGGCGTTTTTCCGTTTTTATCATTATGATATCATATTTTTTTAAAAATCTCATAACTTTATAGGTTTTTCACACATTTACATTTCGCATAAGTTATAGATATTGTTGCTTGGCTAACATTTGTGTTAATAAATATGAACGAAGGAAATGCTAAGGTATGCTAAATATGTTTCTTTACGGCACACACGAACTGCTTCATCCTACAAAAAAACAAAAGATTCGGCACACAATAGAACGGAAATCCAGATAGACATCCAAAGATGTCATCGGCATTGCTTTTTTTATTGCAGACATGCCTGCAACTTTTCTATCCATTCTTGTGCCAGATTTGCATTGACGGCATAGAAATTGTAGGTGCGTTTCGATGTTTTCAACTGAAATTGGAGTGAAGGTTAATAAACAAATTTGTGTAGATTGTATATATTGTAGTACGAATGTTACATCAAAGAATCCCTTTTCGTCCACGCCCTTTCCGCCAATTTGTGCGGGTTGTGCGGCAGTTACCGACTGCACCTCGGCCAATTCTGCAATAAAATACATCCAATGTATAAACGAATACAACAAATATTACATATTGTTCCTCTTTTACCAATAATTCCCTTTGGAGCAGTATCCTCTGACGTGTCATAGTAGCGGAGTTGATGTTTAATCGAGTCAAGGACAAACCAGCGCTGCTTCCATCCCTTAAGCAATGCTCCACGTTTGTAGAGATGACTAAATGGAGATCGGATAGCGCATTAAAAATAAAAAATAAGACAGCAATTTATAAAACTAACCCCTCGTGAGTGCGATTTTCAGCCACGTTACTACTAAATTGATTGTAAAAGTGATGACTCGATGTCCTGGCAGTGGTGGCAGCACTTGAGGCAATGCTCGCCGTGTCTCCCTGAGACATATTGACATTCGGCGCACCGACAGCCCCATCGATGGCTTTGTACTTTGTGCAATTCTTCATCGAGAGTTCCGTGCACTTTTCATGATACGAATTACCACAATCCATGCAACGATATCCAACTGGGCCCCAAAGCAGCTTTGTGCAGTGATTGCAATTTGTGGGCGTCGTATATGGATGCTTCTCAAAGCGATGCGGATGAAAGTATTTGTCTTGATAGCCCGCCAGTCGACCTTTCATTATGATTTCTAGTGTTGACCGTTTGTGCTGATGCGTTTGGACAAAAATACTGCCGAGAGACGCTTTATGGGGTATGGGCTCTATTTTTGGAACCACAAGATTGTTCCAAACCTGTAGCCAGTTTTGTGGCAAGTGTCCACGTTCCGTCTCCGCGTGTTTGACCTCGCTGAGCAGGCAGACATAGGCGTTGGGATTGCACTTCTCCATGTTGTCGTAGCCGGCAGTAATAACCATACGCTTGCCCCTCATTTCGGACAGATCAATTTCATCATCCACAGTGGTGACTTCCAGATCGTAGGGTGGTCCCTGGGCTAGTTCCTCATTGGTGTAGTAGCTCCAAAGGTCTAGGGCAGCCACATTGTTTTGCGGACGCAGCGTCATGTCCTTGTCAGGAGAGTAGAGAAAGTTGTAGAAAACGGGCGTTTTGTTGTGCTGCCTTTCTATGTAGTCAAAGATGGAATGCCCAATGCGATTCAGTTGCGTGGGGGTGCGCGGGCTTCGTATGTCGAGAGGATACACATTGCATTCGTCATCTGAGCCATTCGACGCGATGCCACCCACGCCAAATATGTTCTTTGCATTGAGCGATCCCCGCTTGTCCTCCATGGCGGCAATCCCCGAGTCCGAACGCTCTAATTCGCAGTCGAACAGAAACGTGCGAAAGCGACACGACACCACATGATACGCTAGGAATCTCAGATAGAAATCATTAAACTCAAATGCCATTGGAAACTGTCCCTGCAGCTGATGAACCACATCCAGGAATTGGAGGAAAGTCGGAGCAAAGGCAATATTTGTGTTTGCGTGCGAGGGTTTCAGATTGCTGCGATGAGCAAACCGATGACCAAAGGCCAGCCACTCCTTCTCCACCAGCACTCGGAAGCCATCCAGACTGCGATAGTATGGATCCAGGCAAAGCTGTGCTATCGATGACAGCTGAGCGGTCACATCGGAGCCATCCTCCAGAGACAGCATCACACTGCTCTCCTGCAGGTCTATGAGGTCCACAACAGCGCCAGACAACTGCATTAACGAGGAGATTTGCTGCAACCAATCGGACTGCTCCACCATTTTGGCAAAGCTCTGGCCATCGGCATCATTGGTATTATGCGAGGGCATGCACGCACGTATAAGTTTCTTAAAAGCCGGCCTCGATTGACGAATGTCTGGGTAGTCAACGGGAATAAAGTCTGCACAGTAGTCCACGTTCTGATTGGATTTTGCCTGTGATTTTTCACCTGCGAAAAAAATATATGTGTCACATTTTACCTTCATTTAAGGCAATGATTACTCACCCAGAGCATACAGACGCATCTTGCGGAAGGCATTCGCGGATGTATTGGCCGAATTTCCCTTAATTGTGCCACTCTTGGTTGCCCCACTGGACTTGCTGCCATTGCTGACATCGAGGTTGTTTTTGTGCCTGTGCGTCAGCTCCGGGGTGAGCTGCGCAGAGTGAGCATCTGTAGAGCCTTGCCCGTGTCCAAGCAGGGAGCTCATTGACAAATTCATGCCCGTGTACTGGGTCAAAGTCAGGGGCGCAAGCTTCGGCATCGTATTGATCAGAGCCAAAAAATACTTGTCCTGCTCGGGGAAGTGCGTTACATCGTGATGGATATTTGCATTGCCTCCGGTAGTGTTCTTGAGCATTCCGATGACTGACTTGCTGTTTGGCTGGGCACCTCGGATGAGCAGTGCTCCGTTCTCATGTCGCCAGGTGGGCAGTGGTATGCGCTGGCCCTTAAAGTATCGCCCCAGGTGGATAATGGCTGCATCGCTGCACTGTACAGGCGACACAATAATGGCTGGGTAGGAGCGACAGGTGGCATAACTGGCATTGGCATTGCTGATGCGGAATCCACGCTGGGACTCTGCATCAAAGCCGAGTCGCTTCCAATCCAAGACATAGCTGCGCTCCCGCATGCGTTCCATGTCCTTCGTGGTCAGCAGTCGAGGTAATGCATTATTCTGGGCCTCGAATTCATCCCCATCCTCCAGCTCATCATCAATTGATTGCGTTTCCAGGGCATCTGCACCACTAGACAGCTCGTAGTCTGTCACAAGCTTCCGCTTGGTCTGCTGCTTCTGCTTGAATCCAGCCTTTTTGGCCGTGCGAAGCAATGTTTTTTTAGCGAATCCTTTGAGCGTGGAGTATTTCTCCTTTGTTTTCAGTGGGGCCACACCTTGCAGCATGGTGCCATACGATTGAAAGGCAAAGTACTCGAATTCGTCGAACGGATGCCGAGCTTTGCTTAATATTTTCCGAAAATTTTCGATCTGCTCTGGCGTCACCTCCGTATCGAAAGCGACCTTCAGAAGCTGAAAGGTACTGGAGCGAAGCTGCAAACCCTCCGGTAACGTCTGATCTAGATGGGCCAAGTAAAGCACTGATATCTTTTTCTCTTTCAGCAGGGAGGAAATGGGAAAGGATCGAACAATGGTCTGCTCGCAGAAGAGGGGATCGCAGGGCGAACCTTTAAATACAACACGGTAGTTTGTAAGAAACAGAGCTCCTTCGGCAGGAATCAGGCATTGCGTATCATCCTCGCGTCCATCTGGCATGAGGAAGCACCGCAAATGGTCGGTCACCAGCTCCTCGCCTGGCAACAGGCAAGGTGTTTGTATCTTGGGCTTCTGGACATGCGGATGCCGTTTGGCCTCCAAATAAACCGGCTCTAGGGACTCTATATGCATGTGCACCACCCCCGGCACCATGTCGTGCAGATTACGTATGTGCTCCGATGTGACGCCCCCCTCTGTGCAGACGCAGTCAATGAAGCGTGAAATTGTTTTTCCAACCGTGACACCTATTTCCAGGGCATTGTTTTCCTCGAAGCCTTCGTCGGAATGTTCGCTCAGACTATGGGAGCCCAAAATACTGCAACAGTAGCATATTGTTAAGATAGAAAAAATACATTTAACGACACCCACCTGTTGGAAACACTCTGATTTTCCTCCAACCGAAAGGCTGGCTTCGGCTTGCTGGCTGCATCCACATTGACATCGAGTGGTATCAGCAGGGAGACCATTCGGTTGGCGAAATGTATTGCCTGGCTGTACAAAGTGGACTCCTCGGACTTGGCCAGTTCTACCTTTTTATCGTCCTCGATGGTGGGGCTCTTTCTCAGTTGTTCTGCTGTAATCTCTAGGGCCGTGGGCTCCTCCAGTGGCACCTCGTCCAGCACACAGTTTGCTTCCTTGTGGTGTTCATTCTGGCGACGCTGCAGCAGATACAATGCCTTGATCTGGCCCTGTACATCCTGGTAGAATGTAGATTCCCAGAACTGAAGATTTTTCCATATTCCATGATCCTGTATCTCGGTATACGCAAACTGAACAACGCCGGTGGATAGTTTTCGACAGAAAATCGTAGATATTGGCAGTAGAGCCGCTGCCACGGTGTATTCATCCACGCCAGATGAATTCTGCAATGCCTTATTCATGAATCTTAGCACCAACTCAAACTGCTGATGGTCCAGAATCGCTTTGTTTCCATGCACGTATCCAAAGAGCTCCCTACAGAGGATCAACCTCGCATCTCGATGCTTGAGCGTGCGCATAACAGCGGGCAGCAGTTTCCTTGCATCTGCAATCCGATTCTCAAAGATATAAGACACACAAGTGCGCAGCACCTCCAGTCGACGGGCCGAGTTTTGTACATTTGGACGCACATCCAAAGCCTCGGGCAGCCTTGGTCCCATGGGAATGATCCGATGTTGATTTCGCGTAACGTGGAAGCGCTGTGCCCCACCATTCTTTCGAATGCCTTCCTGAATAATCAACTCCACCTTTTCCACACTGATGCGCGGAAATGAGGGCTGATGTATGCGCTGAAAGGCTCCCTCCGGTGGACGCAAAACCTTCTGTGCATAATTACTGTGCGCAAAGGAGCTCTCATTATCAAAGAGAGTGCGTCCCAATTCCTGGATATGTGGTATTATCTGCAACACAAAAGTTCGGGTTAAATCTAGTATGCATTTTGATTGCCCTATATTTACGAGATTCCGATTCTGAGCTTCCAGTTTGAGCAACTCGTTCATTGAGCTGTAGAGTTCATCCCACGCATCCGAGGCACGCCAAGGAGGTCCTCGCTCATTGACAAACGTCGTGAAAAACATGCTATCCAAGACGCGAAACAGAAACTCGCTCTCGATCAGATCGCGAGCGCCCAGAAATCCAGCCTTGTGAAAGGTGATCACCGTCTTCGGATGGATCCGAATTATGGTCAGGCAAGAGCGATAGCCTTGCAGCAGCTGGGCAAAGAGTCGCATGAAAATGGCACGAAGTTCCTTGTCGATCTGGGCATCTGTCTTGGCTACTGCAGCCGGGCGCTCTTGCGTGGGAAACGCGAGATCTGCCTGTGCCAGGTTTGGGAAGAGTATCATACTGAGCAGATTCTGCGTCTGCTCCCACAGAGGGGATGGTAGAATCGGGACTGGGGGTGTAAGGGCTTCCGGAATAGTAACCAGACCGCCATCCAAATCGACGACAATGACATCCAAGAGATCCGTAATTTCAGTTTGCAGCGAGCTGTGTATTCCCATAATGAAGGGAGTGGGCGTGGATAGTACTTCGGTGAGAGGTGCCGGCAGAATGGGTATGTAGACATGCGTGTATCGAAATGGGTACATCAGAGCCACCAAAGCCTTGCAGCTCTCCGTCAAGTGCCAGTAGCATTTCGAGAGGAAAAGGATTTTGTTTTCCGTCATCACTGCGCAGAGGAGTATGAGGACATTCTTAATGCCCAGTTGCTTGAAAAGAAAGTGCACACCACTGCCTGTCGTGGGCAGCGAGGAACTTTGCGGTGGCTGAAGCGATTGCTTGTCCCCTGCTCCAATGGAAAACCTGACTTGCGGCCCTCCCGCTGGGGGCACTTGAATGCAGCCAAGAATGTTTCCTATCAGTGTCTCCATGGCATATGACAAATTCTCGATGTACACCGTGTACATCGTCCCCAAGCAATTCTGCAACCGAAATTAAGTTTAAGTTAGGGGAAGGCTTACAAGACTTACAGCCTTTTTCGTACCTTGAAGGTCTCGGCACAGTCCAGGCGCGATATCAGCACTAAACACTTTGGGGCATACATGACGCTGTGGTGTGTATTTTGAGATGTCGTTTCAGCGATACCCGATTCCAGCGAGGCTACCGCACCCAACAGCCTGCTGCTGCCTCCTATTGTCTCATCCTCATCGTCCACGCTTCTCGTTTGTGTGATGGCCAGCGTCTCGTGAAAGCTCAGGCACGCACAGTAATGCTTGTTGGCATCGATGTCCGTGAGAACAGAAATGAAAAATTTTGGTTCTTGTTTTTCATACGATAAATTCCATCCCAGGGGCTGGCAGAACTGTAGCAATAAGATAATATATACACAAGTATGTATCACTTTTTGTGTGTATGCGAAATGGAAGAAGGAAAGACGTACGTACCCATTCAATGCCGTCAATAAACGGAGTGTCGGGCCAATCTTTCTCAGGAAAGCGTTGAACAATTTTTCCGCATATTGGCTGCCCACACACATTGCTGGCAGTCTCTGCAACGAAAACACATAATTAACATTTTATAACATTCCAACTACCAAGCATGTGTACTTACTCTCTTTATCGTTGTCGTAGCCAACAATTACAAAGTAATCAGCAAGCCGGGACATCTCGAAAGCACATTGCCGGTCCACACTAGCCTGGTATTTATTCCTCTTTAGCGTGGTTGATCAAACCTATGGAGTGCATTAAATCAAGTAAAACCAAAGGTTTTTAGTTGTTTTCACATAATCAGATGCTTAGGGCACACACATACACAATGAGCGAGCGCCGTCTATAATTTTGCGTCACATAAACCAAATCAACATTAAATAAACGAAGCACGAAGCTCTCCTCTCAGTTTGGCATACATTATAGCCAACATCGACTGATCAAATTGTTATTGTCGACCTAAAGCAATTTTCAGTCTTCACAGGTTTACATTCCATTTCTTTTAACCACACCCCGCCACGCAAAAGAAGTGCTAAATGCTACATAGTATAGTAAAAATGCAAGAGATAAAACACAACACGCATATTTGTAAACGCACGTGCTGGAGGCTGCTGCATCCAAATCTCCGCAGTGCAACCAGTTTAAATATTATTAACTTTTCCTAATAAATTAAGGACAGATAGAAAAGGCAAGCAAATACACAATAATTTATTTGTTTTCCAGGACTGGTTGAATCAGCTGGTAGAAAATACCAACTTTCCAAATCGGTATTTTTGTTTTCGATACTTCTTAATCGCTTGCGATGCTCATCACTAGTAAATGGCCGCCAATACCCCCGCTTTTCGGTGTTTATTTCTTCAAGCTGCTGTATATCGAAACCAACAGAAACCATCCTAGTAGAAGCAAGGGCCACCATTGTAATCCGCCCAAGTAATCGGCGGAGCAGTTCGAGTGGTAAGTGGAATTCTCAAAATCATTAAACGACGTACCACTTATCCATTCTTGTTTTCGGTTGAAATCATGCACTGCATAATTCAGAACCGTAAAGTGTGCGTAGCCACCTTGCAATCGGTCAGGCCGGTCACGACCCTTGCAGTGTGCGACAAGTTCCTCGGTGAAGCGGAATCTATATGGCACGCAGCCCAAGTACTTGAGTTTCTCAATTATATTGTTGTTTTCATCAAGGAATCCTTTTGCCGACAGGATAACAGTCTCGGCATTGTCCAGTTTACTTTTTCCCATGGTTATGAGATATTTGTCCGGTGGCATGTAATGAATAACATATGGATCGTCTGGTTCGACTAAACGATTGCCATATTTTAATTTAATATCATACGAGTATCTTCCCTGGCATTGCCTGGTCCAAGTTCGTCCCAAAACGTCATTGCATCGAGTACTGAGCGACTTCATTCGTTTTTTCCTCACGTTCTCTCAATGGAAAATTTAAAATTAAGTGATATTGACTATTTTATTTTCTGACTGTATGTGCTTGGGTGGTTGATTTGGTTTGGTTATTTGAACAAAAAGTAACGCCAGAGGTACATTGAAAGAAAATTTTTAGGCACTTCCTTTCGAAAATACACACAAAAGCGACTACTTCCTCTTCATTTCAACTTAAATGTAAATCACGATATTCTTCTAATTTTATGAACTAGCAAGCTTTAAATATATAATAACTTTTGTTGACTGCACTTATTATAGATTTTAACTGATCTTTAAAAACGTATTCAATATTCTATTTTTAGAACTCTTTCATAGTTTTCAAGTTTGATGATTGCCATTTTCTGTGGTATTTGTGTCCTTCGATGCAGATGTCTCATGTGTGAGAATCACCGAGGGGTTTATTTCCATGTGCTTTATGTGATCCATTTCAATGTCGGAACAATTTTCAGAATTCGATAAAGCCGAGTCCATCGACGTAACTGTCATATCCACAGTCTTGTCACTGGCATTCGAAGATAGCAATGCTATCTTCTCCACTGCTGTCTTGGTCTCAGTTTCGGTATCTTCGTCCCGTGTGGCAACCACAAAACTATTGCTATTGATGTCTTCAATGGCCTTTCGTAGCTTCAAAATACAAGAAAATACAAGTATTAAATTAAATACGTAGCAATATGCAAAGCCCCTATACCTCTTTAAGTCCAACAACACCAACAAGTCTCCCGATTTTTGTTACGTATGCGTGATTAATGCCGACCATTGAGAATAATGAATGAACCTTAAGTATTGAAGTGCGTTCTACGAGTTGAAACGGTGATGGATCAATGTGCACATTTGCTTTCTGCAAATCGACGGCCTTCAACATTTCCTCGAGCTCCCATTTCTTCTGATCCTCGGGGGACATGTCAATAACGCGCTCTCTTGGCTGAAATTTAAAGCGTATTCATAAATAAATTGTATATGTCAATGGAATGGATCTTTTGTTTGGATTTAAAAATCACATACCAATTGCACGGACTTCGTCTTTTGAATGGTCTTGTTTTTATGTTTGTTGTGTATTTTGTATGGTTATTACAATGAGAAAAAACATATAAAATATAAATTTTATTTGTGTTAGTTATGAGCTAGTTCTGGAAACGTATACAAATATATTTTATAAACGCACTTAGACTTTAAGGGATAGGGAAAATTTCCACTAACCTCACCCTCTGTTTCTGGACATATCGTTTCGGTATCGGTATCTAGTGGTATATTATAGCCCATATTTTCATTTAATTTATTCGTATTTTCATCATAAAATCGAATCTTTGTTGCCTTTTTCTTGTTTTTTTTGTGATTTACTTCCTGCATATCATTCTCCGAAGAGAGCTGCATTATAAATGGCATTCTGGCATCCATATCCGCAACTTTATTTGTCTTGTGTTTAATGTTGTCCTGATCACCGAGAACTTCTTTGCAAAGATATCGAGTGGAGTTAAATGAATCCCTATTATCCTCATTTGTGACTAAAATTTCGTTGGTGTCCTTCTTAGCCGGCTTTCAGAAAAGCAGAACATTATCAAGAATTAATACATACCGTACATATGGATATGTTGACAGGGATGTATTCTGAGTGAAGAATTGTGTCTACATTACATAGATATAATAACAAGATCTTGTTATGATATGATAATGTATATGATATAGTAATTTGTTGAATCAGTGAGTAATGGTTTTTTCAATTTGTGATCATAGAATGCCACAGAAATTAGTTTGTTGTGAGCCATACCACATTTTTTGATTGTACCGGGGTATCCGTAGAGATAGGATTTACTTGCTTGCAGATATTAAATTAGGTTAGAAATGAATAGCTCACAGATACATACAAATGCTACTGGAATGTTCTAGTAAGTGTTAGTGACGCTACTTACCAGCATAATTTGATCTGTTACGAAATTCCAATTATTTTGTGCTTGCTTGTAAGAAAAGCTCATTCTTTTATGAAATGTTCAGAGCCCAAAACCCCAAGTAAGTTTTGTAGGTGTAAAAGCACACTCACCAGCTGAACCTTTTTCGAAACACCCGGTGTGCTGGGCGTAGCAGTACGTTGCTGTACTTCGACCTCATTGTTGCTAGCAGCCGGGGAGAGAGAGCCCGTTTCGGCATTGGGCTGGACGTCCTGGAGAGTTGTCGACTTCTTGAAGATGGCCTCGAAGGCAGAGCGGATGCGGAACTCAGAGTTCCCAGTTATCGTGGTGTATGGCGTGATACTCGGACTTTGGTGCAGGGGAGCAGGGGCATAGGTCTTCAGATTAAAGGAGTTGGTCTTCTTTAGGATAGATTTCCTGGGAGTGAGCGAACTGTGCATGGTTTCGGCACGTTTCTTGGGCGGAAGCATTTCATCGTTGGCAATCTGTCGTAAACTTAGGATATCCGGGGCTGGAAGAACTTCAAATCGCGAGGGACGGCGCATTCGAAGCTCGACACCTTGTTGTATCTTCTCCTCCTCCAGGGCCCGCTCCTCGGCCTCCTTTTGCCATTTTTGTGCCACTTCCATGCGTTTCTCTCTGCCGATATGCTTCTCAATCATTTTGATTAGCTCGTAGCGTTGCACGGACCCCAGTAGGATCATATTGTCAGGACTGTCCACCAATGGCAGGGACCTCAGTGTTTTGTTTGCCTTGAGGACTTCTTTGAGCTTCTGGTAGGAGATGCCGTGCCAGATATATTTCACGTCCCGCACCATAAAGTCTTCTACAAATATGCTGTACATGCCGGAGCTCGAGGGCAGAAGATCAGGTAGGTACGGCAACTTCTTAATCAATATAATACTGTCGTATATGGAGGGTTGAAGCAGTGCTGCCACTGCGTTAGCCACCAGTACGGCGATCATAACAGGCACCACATGCGTGATCTGTCCAGTCATCTCGAATATAATCACTGCTACGGATACCGTATGGGTCACGGACCCAGAGAAGGCAGCGGCCCCCACAACGGCATATCCGCCGGGCATAATAGGGGACAGACGTCCGCCATAGCGTACTCCATGTGGAAATGTCACTGCCATAAACTCTCCCACCAGTCGACCAAAGCCAGCTCCGATCTTGAAAACAGGAATAAACATGCCCGATGGAACCGGTATAGTGGAGGCAACAATCGAGAAGATAAACTGCAAGAGCATTTAAAGTTTAATAACGCAAATTTTTTTTTTTGTTTGGAGCACCTACCGTGAAAAGAGTATAAATGACGAGATTGCCGAACACACTGGTGTAGCTGGTCATCCAGTGGGTTACAACTGCCGCCTGTTCCACAGTCAGATCATCGCGGGACCAAGTGAAATTGCTAAACAGTTGAGTGACCTGCTCATGGGTACTGAGCTCTCCAGCCAGAAACTGGCCAGTGCCCAGTGGAAACGATATGCTGGAGACTAGCAATGCCAGGAATCCAGGATACAGGAACCGACTAACAGGAAGTACATGCATTAAAAAATTGATTTTTAATACATTTTTTTTTTGTATCTACTTTTTTTGTAGGAACTTGTTCATGCGCTTATTTGAGCGCATAAAGAGGACATAGCGTCGATGGACCCAGACGTAGGATGCCCCACCCAAGCCACATACAAGTCTGTGGAAGAATCAGCAATATTTATTGATTACAATTAAAATTAATAATAATCAATAATTATAATAATCGGGGTGGTACATATGCGATTTTATGTTACTTACCCAATCAAGGCAAAGACAAATAACTCCTGGGGGTCAAAGGGAAATTCGGTGGTGAAGTTAGTCAAGAACAGTGCTCGCACAGTGTCGGCATTCTGGAACCACACCGCCAGCAGGCGAAAGACTGTGGCGCCACACACTGCAGCAAAGAAGCCACGCCAATAATTACGCACTGCAAAGTACGTCGTGGTAACCTCAATACTAAAAAGGACACCTAAGGGGGACGATTTTATTAGTTAGTACTTTACACAGAAATAGAAGGAATGGCATCTTATTTTTGTACTCACCGCCAACGGGTGCGGCAAAGCATGCACCCACACCAACGGCACAGGCAGCCGCAAGCATTTCGGAATTTCTCGACTCATTCTCATATATGCCTTGGAATGATGTGACAAGTTTACTTAATAATTGTGCTACAATACTTGCTATATGTACGAAAGGGCCCTGGGGATAGAGATACGGAAATAGGGAAACGAAAGAAACGATTTGTAGATTTTCCAATCATTTGCATGTAGTTTGACATCAATTTTTATACTTACTTCCTTTCCTAATGGCATACCGCTGCCCAGAGTTGCCGTTAAACCAATAACCTTGGCCACTAATGTCTTAAATGTGAGATACTCTTTCAATTGAACGCCACGCAGTATGGTCTTCATTTCAGGTATACCGGAACCTATAGTTTAGATATACATATGTAGATTTGCATTGAGCATACGCGCAGTGTGGATATTGTTGGTTATTTAGTAGTTAGTATGATAGTTATTGTAGTATTATGGTTAGTTCGAGTATTTAACATATAGACAATGGATTAGAAATTGGACTGGTGGCAAGTGTGCTTGGTGCGGGCAGCTGCCAGAGTGCAGTGGTACTACTCGTACTCCTATGAGTACTCTCTTTATAATCAAATCAATCAATTCTCATATCATATCTACATAAATTAGTTCAACGAAAACAACAACAAAATAACCCTATCATTCTCGGTCATGTTTTGAATTCTTGGGCATTCTCTGTCTCTGGTGGCCGAGGAATAAATCTCGGATCAATGAGAGCAGTTGCCCACATTTCCCAGTTAGAAAAGTAGAAGAATTATAATCGTTTAACAAAACCATAGAAGTAAAGTAAGTAAGCTAAAAATTCATGCAATTTTGGAAAACCCTCTTCATAAGTTTCGTATAATCAATGATTGCTACTCTACCAATGAGAACAACATACTTATACATACACTATCCAAATATTTATCCTATAATAATAATAACAGTTGAGGTTCGGTTCGACACTTACCTATACTTTGCGGTGCGATGAGATGCACAAAGCCGGCAGAAAATAATATTAAGCAGACCGGCAGTGAAACCCAAGATATATATTGAACGAATGGATGTGTCGTCAGATCGCGATAGAGCCAGATACGAGCTGCAGAAATCAGAAAAAAAATGAAGAAAGGTTAGCATTTACTTTCTATTTGGGAATTTCACTCAATTACCGTTTGTACATATAGATATGCCTTTGTCCATGATAAATGATAGCAGGGCCATGATAATACCTAATAGCGCTAAAAAGACCCAGTCTTCGCCAAGCCGTGCCACCGTATGCCTCCAGATCCATGATGATATATGCTTTGCTCTGGTCGATTGTGTCCCTAACAGCTCCTGTAAACATATCCCAGCACTGCTGCTTTATAAACTGATACGTGCCAAGAATACTCTAGCAAATGAGCTACTTTTCATTTCTTATCACCGTTTGCAAGCATTACTTATTATAATTTGATATGTGTGCGTACCTTCAATTTTGATTTTACTCATATAGTTTGCATTTTAAAAAAATCACAAGTTAATTGTTTCGAATGTTTTTCTAATGTTTTAACGTTTTTATTTAATTTTACCTTATTCCTCTGTTTGTCTTCCTGCTTTCGTCGCTTTTCGAGTAATTTGAGTTTTCTGGCTTCATCCTTTGCAAATTCTCCTAGATCTTTGGTATAGCGACCATACATCTGTGAACAAAATATAGTTTTTGTTAGTTTCATTGATAACAGTTGATAACAGTTGATAAAAACAAAAGATATTCAAATATTGCTCTTCTTTCCTGGGTTTACATACATCGACCTCCATGATAAAAACAGCTATATTCACATACAAAGAGAACATTGCTACAATAAATGGATGGTATTCAGTGCAAGGTGAAGACAACTGCCAATTGTTTTGAGGTCAAGTGCCAGACGAAAGACAAAGGCCATCGGCCATCGGTGGGTAGGTAGGATAGGAGGTGTGACCACCACTTACATAGTAGAATGCTTCAATTTCGATATCGATCTGATTTTTGTCATCATTAGATACATCGATGCTGGCCCTGCGATGCTTTTCCTTCTGCTTGGCAATCGCCTCATCCCAGCGTAGGCGGACGGGCGTTGAGGGCAATTTGTGAGTGCGTTGCTCCTCCCGCAAGTAATCCTCGCGATTAATCAGAAGTTCCGGCTCGAAGGTATATTCTCGAATGTACTCATCCTGGTGCGCGTGGCTATTGTTAAACATCAAGCAAGAGATTTACGCGAACAATGTCCGTACCGTACATCAAGAGTACTTAAAATTTGCAGTCAAAATATATCTGTATCTATTTTCTGTTGGCCTTTGACACTGCGACGGCGGTTGTTGGCCAAATTTTTGTGTCGCATTTTGTTGGCAATTATTTTTAGTTTTCACGCTGTTTCTTTTACTATTTAATGTTTTTTATTCTCTGCCAGGCGTACTATTGCCCCCGCTCTTGAGAAATAGCTCCACCTCGTCAGCACAGAACAGAAATTTTTGAAAATTCGTTTCAATTTATTGGGGACATTTTATACGGGGGTCGGTATTCCACACAGATATCATTCGAGAATTCAAGTAAATTGGGAGTATTTTCTATGATTTTGAATTATTTCTAAGATATCCATTTTATTGTATATATATTGATTTTATAATTAAATCCATGTACCACGACACAGCGCTCGTGTTCGCGTAAGCTTTATTTTGAAACTGAACTGACGAGCTTTTTTCCCCAGTTTGTGCTCTGTGGAAAATTATTGAAATTTCTTTTAGCTAGATCTACGCGTACACGCTGTGGCAATGGCAGGGCAGCCCGCTACATACTGTGCCAATATTTCAAAATTAACAAAAATAAATACAATAAAGTTTTATGAAATATTGCCTTAAAAAACTGACTCTAAAGGAGGAATGTTGAGTTGTTTAAGTTCTTGGCAATAAAAGTCAATTAGTTTATGGATTCACGAAAGGGCTATCATATCGTATGGGATTTGAATGGGAAAGTAATTAGTGGATCATGAATTTCAGATGTTTTCTTTGATTTGAAGGCTCTTAAAAAATTTCTCACTTGCTTTAATTTCCCGATGTGGTCTGGTCACCCTTTTTTTTCCCGTCACATCACCCTACTATCCTTAGCAATGAAATATTTATTTTTTCTTTAAATATAATGAACACTTTTCAGTATAATCGGATTAAAAATAGCTGATGTCTTTTGCTTGTTTTTGTCATTCGTAAACTTATTCTGCATTTGCTTTTACAGAAGAGAAGTGCAGGGGCCCAGGTACGAGAGCACGAATAGAAACAAGCCTAACGAAAACATCATGCGACAAGAGCAGCGTCAAAATGCTTTAAAATAAAATGTAAATTCATTCAGAATTCTATTTCTATGTTGAAATATTCTTTGCTAGATGTACAACAATACAATACAAAGTGAACGACCAGAGTGGATCTAAGGTCAAATTAAAGTGCTCTTATAACAATGAATTATTAACCATCTACTCAGCTTTTACAAATTAAAGCACTTAGACAGAGCGTTGTTCCAGCATTAATAGTGGTCAAAAGCTAGATGTTCAATGATCCAAATGACAGGCGCGATTCAATTTTATTCATTCTGGATCTAATATTCTCATATAAACGTGTTTCTGCATCTAGTAGATATGATCCTTCTTTATTTATCTACGGATTTCCGCTATCTTCAAAATTGTTAGTAACACAGAATTTGGCGATACCGGTATCGTAGCAGATATGTAAATATGTATATGAAATATACATCTTACGTGACGGTGCACGTAAGCAATGATTATTAGATTGTTAGACATAAAAGACGAAAAAATACGAAAGTGGAAAGATTTTTTCCGTTAAAATGCGTTTACAGTCATGAACCAGACTTATTGGCATAATAATCGCGACTATTCGAAGACCCATAAACGATTATATAGATATAAATATGTAGATAGAAGGTTAATATGTATAGTGATAAGAATGCAATTACTTCCTAGCTTCATTAAGTACCAGCTTATCTACAAGGGAATGGCAAAAAAGAACTGCTTACAAGTGTGTCGATGTATCCAACGGGATCATCGTCGTCTGATGAATCCGAATCCCGAGTATGCTCCGCTGACGGTGGACATGGATAAAATGCCTGCGACTTGATCTTCGGATGACGCTGTACATGACGCAGTTCCTCTTCCATCGACATAGTACTGGTACGCCGTTTCCGTAACTGGCAAATGAACTTCTCGAAATCCGCCCATTCCGAGTCGACCAGCTCGACATTCTCTTCGCCAAACTCTTCATCGTGAATAATTCTTTCGACTTTTTGTTGATTACTGCGATCGCGATTACGATCGCGTTGTCGATCGCCAAAATAAACCATTCTTATTGTATCAGTGGAAGCATTTAGTTTCGCCTTTTAACACAAGCTCTACTCGTTCAATTGCGATCAATCAAAGATCACATCAATTATATTTTGAAACATAGTAACTAATTGTTGGTCATAACACAATTTCTGAATGCAAAATGCGATATTCTACTCTCGTTAGCGTGTGTGAACCGAACAAGGTTTGTAGTCGAACTGAATAGTGTCATGAAGATAGACCGATTTGGTCTCGCTTAAACTCAAGATTCCATTAAATTTAGTATACAAACACCAAGCCAATGCACTCATATATATGCTCGTAAGGCTACAGTTTTCCTACAGTCTCAAGTTTTGTGTGGATGTATTTAGCGGCTCTCGAGCGGTCAAAGTTTGCGTGTAAATATCAATAGAATTTCATAAATTTAATAATCTGTGGTCTGTACTCTGGTCAACAGCACAAGTGAACATGCTCAGCGGTGCACAGTGGGCCAATTTCTAACTTACGTAGTTCTTATCTGGTAAGTATGTATCTACGAAGTGTTTCCGTCTCGTTTTGTCTTTCGTTTGGCTTATATTGTCCCACTGTCTCTGATGTCTGATCACTTAAGCTGCACAAATTGCGATTACTTGCTTTAATAGCCTCAATGTGCCGCGGACTGCGGACTAGGCATTGGATCACATGTATCTGCTGTATCTTTGTATATTTTGTTGGATTTTTGCTGAAAATTTAAGTATATCTTTTGGCTAGTTCGTCTGCCCGGGCGCTGGACCCCAGCGCCTAGCGTTTTACCAGGTGTGGATTTAATTTATCCACATAAAGGCAGTCCGAAATACTCGTATCGAATGACAATGAATAATTCGTTGTGTTCTTTGCGAAAAGCTATTGCCACTCTCTTTCATTTATATCATTGATTTAAGGGAGAATACGAGTACATACATTTAAGAGAGCCAATGCTTTATCGCGTTAGATTTACTCGCTGTTAGATATTAACGCTAGCACTGCTTGATGTTTCTCTTAAGTTAAACGGTTGTTGAGCACGCTATACCTGATTAATTATGATATTACAGATAATTTTATATTGGTAGCCCCGAAGTGGATTGTTTAGAAATCCAACCCCCCCTGCTGGTGGTGCTCAATTTGAAGTAGTGGCGCACCACCTCCCTAGCCCCGATCATAATCAACTTTGGTCTCACCTTCTACCGGAGAAATGTACTCACATTGCTAATTGATTGTTTGAAATTATTAATCGGACTATGAAGCTTTATAAGTAACTAAACTGTCTCATCAATCAAATAGAAACAAAGTAATGTGCATATCTACACATTCGATTCCGAATCCATATCTACAATAAAAATTTAGTGGCTGGAACCATTGAACCTAAATGCTAAATGCTTTCAATACACAGTTCAGGAAAGAGACAATAATTGCACGGACAAAACTCATTTAGCTTTATGAAAGGTAAATGGTTTTCATTTATTAAATTCACATGACAAACAAATATTTAACTTTGAATTTGGTACATAATGTAGGACATACATAATGTATGACAATAAATAACCCCTAATTTTAGTATCGAACACTGTGCTTTGATGATTATCTGTGGGATCTCTGTGCCCAGTATATCGCAGATATGTTAATTTACTTACTGTTCTGTCGGCAAAATGTGTAAACTAAACCACTCGTATGTTGAAAATTAGCAACGGTGCGGCAAAACCAAAGTGATCTTGGCTAAAAGTATATGGCGACTAGAGTCTCCAGCATCGCTGGCGGGTCTATAATAGAGAGACACCTTTAAGGCCACTAGAATCCACACGATAAGGTTCAAAATAGTAGCGATACCACCTCCCGCGTAGAATGTAGAAACAATAAAGGATAAATTAACAACAAAAGCAACCGAAATTAATTAAAAATTGAACGAAATCTTTGGGTAAATAGAATTTGCCAACAGATTAAATCGTAGCTCGTGGATGGTAAATACTATGAAAACAAGTTTTATCTGAAATTCTTTATGGCCCCTTTGGAATTATAATTCAAATATCGCCTCAGTCTCCTTTATCTGGAACAAAAACAATTTTCATGCGCACCCAAACGTCTGAAGCGAAAGCTAAAGAAGCATCGTTGGGTCGGGTATTGTTTAATCGATTGAGTACGACGTTATTATGATTGATAGAAAGATTGAATGACGTTGATAAGAATATTTGACCATTGTGATTAATCGATTAATAGGACTTTAATAAAGTCGTTAGCTCCAATAAATTACTGCAAATATCAGTGATCTAATAAGCAAACCTTTTTTTAGTAGTTGAAATTATCCTATGGAATATGAGATACATTCATACCTCGAGCAACAAATTACTGAACGCATGACAAAAACAAAAAATTAAATGAAAAATAAACAAATGGTCACATGTTTAGCACATGAGACGAACCAAAGAAAACAGGAAACCGAAGGGTAAAATACCCTAGTAACATACCCGTTATGCTTTTTCTCTTATTGCAATACTGAGCCGGATACTGAATTGACTCTAATTAGATTTTGCAATACAACAACATTAATAAGCATTTGCTTTTATAAAAGCACATTAGCTGGGTGCCTAAACAGAAAGAGCTTAATTTTTTCAGCGTTTATGTACTATTGTTGTGTGTTGATGAGAACAGCTAGAACTACACTTGGAACCACCCTCGAGAGATGTAGGCATGTATGTAGATAAAAATCATTATACAAAATTGCATTATCAACATGAACATTCCAAGAGTTTGGTATAACTAAAAGTTGGAAGATTTATTTGCTGTTGTCATATAAATTCAAATATCAATGTAGGTCTGAAATAGACACACGACGTTAGATGCGTACATATATTTATATTATCGTATGTATTTACGGCTCTTTGAATAATAATCGAATATTTATCTTTAGGGGAATTACTTGTCCTCGTTTTGTTATTACCTAGCTGTGTAGATATGCACATTACTTTGTTTCTATTTGCTTGATGAGACAGTTTACTTACTTATAAAGCTTCATAGTCCGATTAATAATTTCAAACAATCAATTAGCAATGTTAGTACTTATTTTCGTAAGATCATTTGGTGTATAAATTATGCAACTGACAATAGACAAGATATAGATTATCATTCCTATTCTGCTAAGCATATTTTTATCTCTAAAGACCACTTAGGAATGGAAAATAGTTAACCAGACCAGATGCATACACAACAAATTAGAAACCAAATAAATATATACGATTTGGATCTTTACTACTAAACGGGCGAAGTATTTCAAGTAAATAATATGGTCGAAACGTGACGTATCATTGAATTGATTCACTGTATTCCAGCTATAGCTATTCAACGACGAAAACCAAAGAAAAGTTAATCTCAGCCTAGCCGCAAATGAATTCGAAACGCGAACACATGTAAATGACGTCTAATTGACGTATATTGAATCGGTATAGTCTTGATCAAGCCATGTGAAATGATAGTCAAAAGAAAATTGCATATTTAAGCTTGAAAATCCAAAAGTGATGATGTGTACGTTTGATAACAAGACACCTTAACATAAATATTCCTAACTTTCTTTTTAGTTTACTTACCAGTGTGTGAGTATAGCCAAGACCCTCTTCCATAATTCCTTCGACCATGGGGCTGCTCTGTTCACCACGATGATGATGACCCATATTTAAACACAACGAGGACGCATTGGAATGTGTACGCACAGGGTGGTGTATCCGGGCTGTTGCGGATGGTGCGATTAGCAGTGATTCGCTTTCGTTTTTGTTTATTTTTTCCATTGATTATGTTACGTAGCAATTTGTATGCACGAAAAGCTTTTAAATTTTGAATTGGTTCAGATTCGCCGCTTAGTAATACCCATAGTGATGGAGTTTTCGTCACATGTATTTAATTGAAAAAAGCAAATTTTTTTTGATCTTTTCTACATTAAGTTCAATTAGCACAATGTACAATGCACTTGTGTTGCACCACACGATGATGAAGTCACAAGATCGACTTCCTTTCAAAATCCAAGGGCTCGAGCTCGGCGACCAGTAGGTGGGTAGGAGAAAACTGATGTAGCTCTGATCCGAGCTCTGTTGCGTAGTTTATTCACGAATCTTATGCTGTTAACGACTGCGACGACGACGACGTCTCCGTTGGCTGTGAAACTTCTACTGATACCGCTACCGGCTACTGTTCCCGCTCTCTTCTGTTATCTGGAGAAATCACTTTTTACTCTTGTCTACCCTTTGGGCCGTATCCGACTGGCGATAAGGGAGTTTTTAAGAAGTTTTTTGTATAGCCAATACCCATGTGTACAATTCAAGTGGCGCACTTAACTGTGTGAAGGCTTAATTAACAGCAGCAATAACGATCACAACAATGGCACATCGGAATATGATGTGTGTGTTACAGGGTAATTATATTCTTATCAAAATACATATATATGTGGGACCGTGTAATATCAGTTGCAATGCCACCAAGAACCTGATCTGGAATGAGTACGAAATGTAAAAGTAGTATAAAAACATGGTTTATGTTTGTTTTGATTTGCAACAATAAAGAAAATAGCTTCCGACTTAACGATTAGACGCCACTATATACGTGTGATAAGGCTGTAATCATTGGATCGAGGCTGACTAAGACACAGTGCAGTGAAAACAAGAGGCGGAGTAATTTATGATTTTATTTTTATTTATAAATTCCCATTTTATTATTGAGCAACTTTTGACTCAACTTTAAAGATTTATTACAATTTGTTAATCTCTTGTCAGTATTATGATGGGGATTGTGAAAATTTACGGGGTTTGCGAATTCCGAGGCAAAATATTGTAGTATAGATCGATGTTTTGTTCGATCTTTAGGCTTAAATATTTAAACTTGTTTGAATGAATACGATTTAAATGCTAGGAATATTTTATTTTATTTAAATAATTTCTGTTTATTTTTATGGATCTGCTAAACATTGATACTGCTAATAACCATTTTAAACGACTGTCAGTTTATTTGATAGCTGTGTGACTTTTTCATTTGATTTATTTTTCTGGTTATCTAAGTAATACGATCTTTCCTGATAAATATTCCTATAAAATGGATCTTAAAACCACAAGCAATTGAATCTTATAACTTTTATACATTCTTGTATAACTTTTGGTACGGTTTCTGAGTCATGCCATTACGAAATGAATCTTTCAAGCCACTCGAGAAAAGTATTAATAATGTACATGCATATACGATTATGTATGTATGTACATATTTGCTCTCGTAGATAAGAAAGCGTTATAATGTGAAAGACAAATCTTTTGAAGGGGAACGATATGACAAGTGAATTGCTTGCTTAAGTTTGAACTCATTTTTTAATGGGAATTTAAGCCAACTTCTTGAAAATTAAGAAATTAAGGCTAACTAAAGTATTATGTTTAAAGAGCCGAATAGCATTTCTTCATTTTTTATTTCCTTATATGCAGTGTTTACTGCACCTCTCTGTTAAATATATGCTATAAAAAGCTCAAGGGTTGCCAAAAAATATATGAAAATATGTAGTACTTTTTGCTGACACAACAATTTAATATTTCATGGATTTATCGCTCATTTCTCGTATATCTTTACTGTAATAACACTACCATACATACAATATTTTACAAAATCAATTAAAATGGCACAAAGATGCAAAAACAAATAAAAAACGTCATGAATACGAATGCAAATGAGAATAATGAGTACACAGATACCTCCTCCGTTTCTCTCCACAACAGCTCCTACCACAAGCGTCACCTGTTTTGGATTCCACCTGCTCACACTTGTAGCGCGTGTTTTACTTTTGCTGTGATCGTCTGGTTCACTCCGATCCACATATGATTGCCATATGATTCGCGCAGCCGATTTTAGATTGAGTCACTTTCGGATTGACACGGCACCGATGATGGATGTACCAGTTTCCATCGGTTTTAGATTTAGATTTCACAGAATTTTAGCACGGCGTGACAATTTGTAAGCAAACAAATAAGTATCTCTCTAATGTATTATTAGAGAGCAGCTCCGATGTCAACGCGACCCCGTCGCGCTCTGGCATTGACTGGCGCCGTCCGTCGCGTTGCTGCTGTGCTGCCTATTCTCGTTGGGGCTAGGTGTTTGAAGCTCGCTTATCGTTTACCTCGGGTAACTCCCTCGTTTTGTTCAGAATAATGACGGCAATAATTACAATTTTCTAATGTTCGTTGCGAATTTCCATTTCGAATTCATACGTAACAAATCTTACGGTTCAATTCTGAGGCGGATTTATATTCCGTTCGACACGGGAGCTCGAATAATCACGACTCCAAAATGCTTATCTCAATTTGGGTGGTCTTTATAGCCTGAAATAAAAATCTGTGTCGGTATAATCAGCGAAAAGGGGGACTACTCGTATTGTGAGTGAGTCTGCTTTACGTTTGAGTAGTGGAAGTTTTAATGGGATGTATAGATGTAAAAAATCTACATACATATAAGTAAATATTGACTCTGCCACACATGTATCTCCCTCTTATATTAACCCCATAGTAACACCTTCACGCTTGTTGCCTAAAATTTAACTGTGATCGCAATAAACAAATCAACAAACATGTTTTAATCATTATCGCATAGAAAAGACGAGGCTGAAACTACAGGATTGCACAGAAACTGCCTTCGGGCTTACATATTCTTAAGATTTGTACATCGTGTCAAAAGTAATATGGACAAAGGGACTTGCCTGCGAAATCGTATTATGCAATCGCACTCTTCAAAAAATTGAAACATCCCATTATCTAAGCCGTAGATACAACATACTTACACATGGTACACTATGTGTATACTTTGAACAGCACAACATCACGCTCAAGGCAAACACTATCTATTCTACGTAGCTATTCTTAGCAACCATTTTATTGGTTTAATTATAAACATGATCATTAGATCAAAAAAAAAAAAGGTAGAATTTATTGACAAGTGGTTATCTATCAAAGATACTATGTTCAAATTTGTCTTAAAAGTAAGTGAAACGTGAGACCTATTAGCTTATAATAGGAAGATTACTCTTGTCTATATTTTCATGTAAAAAGGTCGCTCTTGATTTATGTAACCGTGAAAAGTAGGGGAGATGGCACTTGAGCTCAGCTGTTTGTGTCTCGCCTTGGATGGGACTGGAGTGGCTTGGGAGTATATGGAAGAAACTAAATTTGACTGAGAATGGAAATGTGTATATTTTCTTCGTTGTTCCGCTTTTGTGTAAAAACCAAAGTTTATTCACCCAAAACATAAGAATACAGTTGAAGCTTAAGATATTTTAATTGAAATTTATTTCTTAAATACAATGTTTTTTGTTTTCTATTATTTAAACGCCTTGGCTATAGGTATGGAAAGGTTTTTCTTAATGCACTACCAAAATGTGTCGCTGTGTAAAATATATTTGATAGTGTATTATACGGATACAAAGGTGCCTTAGCAATTTATGGTTGCGGCTTGTTCATAAATTTATTAAATACTTGCGCTTACATTATAATTAATGTAATCAAGCCCCCAGATGGAAGAGCCTCAGATGCGACGAGAGAAATTTCCGTTGCCACCACCTCCATTGTTGCCAGCGCCACCTCCACCTCCGCCGCCTACATTGCCACCACCGCCATTTCCATTGGCCCCGCCTCGTGTCTTTCCGTCGTAAAAGAGCTCAATATAGCGCGAACCCATTTGTTCGCGGTGCCGTTTCATGGCGATCTGAGAATCTTCGTACGTGTCAAAATAGGCATCAGCAGTACCGCTGTGCAGTCCCTTCTTGTTGTAGTTTATGCGGACATTAGCAGGCCGAATAGGTTCGAAGAACTGGAAGAAAAACGAAATTTATTAAATAAAATTGATTGGAAAATGCAAAAAAAATAGTATGCAAACCTTGAAGACATCATTTTCAAATGAAGTGTACGGGAGTCCTCGCATATGGATTGTATAATACTCCACATCGCTTCCACGGCCACCGCCGATAGGCCCGAAGTTGCCTCCTCCGCTAAGGGAAGAGCCAAAGTTGCTGCCGTTATTGAAGCCTCCGGCATTGTTAGCTCCGCCAAAGTTGGCGCCCCCGTTTCCGCCGTTGTTGTTGGCTCCAAAGTTTCCAAATCCAGAATTACCAAAGTTTCCGCCGTTATTGTTGTTACGGCCGCCACCGATTGGGCCAAAGTTGCCGCCGCCTGCTGTAGAGTTAAAGCTACTGCCACCATTATTGAAGCCGCCTCCGTTGTTTCCACCAAAATTGGATCCTCCATTGTTGTTGTTACCAAAGTTACTGCCGCCCACTGGAGATCCGAAGTTACTTCCACTATTGAAGCCTCCTCCGCTGTTGTTACCGCCAAAATTACCACCTCCATTGTTGCCTCCAAAGTTCCCAAAGTTACCGCCTCCGTTGTTGCCACCTCCACCGTTACCACCTAGGGTTCCACCAAAATTTGAATTTCCGCTGTTTCCACCAAAGTTTCCAAAATTGCTGGGACCTGAATTTGGTCCAAAATTTCCACCATTACCGCTACCATTTCCACCGCCGGGGTTGTTGCCAAAGTTTCCAGAATTCATCAAACTGGGCAGATTGTTGAAGCCAAGCATGTTGTTGGCACCAGCACCAAAATTTCCATTGTTACCCCAGTCTGTGGTTATAGAAAAATATATAAATAAGCTATTTATGGCTAACGAGTGAGAACTGACCATTTCGTCCTCCTCCGAAATCGTTTCCTCCACGATTAGCACCGCGATCACGTATATCATAGGGGCCCGGGCGTCCGCCAGAGCTTCCACCGCTGCCTGTGGCACGCTTCATCTCAGCAATTGAGCTGCGGAAGATCTCAATGTATCTACATAATCGAGAATCGAGAAGAGAACATAGGAACATTAGAATGAGCCCCAATAAATATGTGGTTATGCTAGGGTCGGTGGCATTTTGTTTTGTTAAGGGTTTACTATCCAATTAACAAAATCGTAATGTGAAAGTAAAATGTTTAACTCAAATTACAAAAAAAGCGTTTTGAGAAAAGTATTTTTCAGTTTAAAATTATCAAAAGCACTCGATTCGTGTGATTTTATTATTGCGCTTGAACAAGAATGAAAAGCCCAACCAGACCCATAGCTTGCGCAACGCACATAGAAAATAGTTGCTACTGAAATAGAGATTATTTATGATAGATACATTTGCGTATGGTATGAATATTCCATGAAAAAAATATGTTTTTATTTGTTCTTTTGTATATTCGACTAAGTATTTAAGATATTTTACCATTGGAATGCTTTCATAGCATCTGTTTGTTGTTGAAGATATGATGTATAAGAACCCACCTGTGCCCAATTTTTTCCCGATTTCGGCCCAAGGCTTGCTCAGTGTCATCCTGGCTTTCGAACTGAACAAAAGCTTCCCCAGTTGCTCGACCCCTTCTGTCCATAACAAAAAGTATGCCCTCCCGATCCGTTTTGATTTCCAACCCTGCCCATGACGATAACCAACAAAGATTTATACAAATATATAGATTTTTTATATACATAATGATGCAAGGTTAAACTAAGATACAAAATAAGAGAGAAACAGAGGTTGATAAATGTTAATTTCATTCCTAGTTCAAGTTCTTGGAGTTTAGCAGGTTTGAAATCGACAACCGTTTCATTAAAACCGTTTAGTGTGGGAATGCTGCAATCGAGATTCCGCAACCACAATATTTCGAGAACCTAGTTCCAGAAGTATATACATACATATTTATGTATATCATTCATTCATAGTAAAACTAACAGACTATGAAAATTTGCAAATCTAATTTTCAATGTTTCAACGGACACACGGACATGGATCACATACACTTGGTCGTCGACTTTAAACAAGAATTATTGTTTATTTTATTAGGTGGGAAATGCTTTTCCGGTCTAAGTCCAATACATCAATTGTTTTGTGAGCTCTAAATAGATGTAAGCACAATCAAATTGGCTTAAAGATTTAAAATTTTTCGGAAAGTAAATGTATGTGTAATTGGCATGATAAGTGTATTTGATACTATTAATACGTTTAAATAAAAAAGGAATGTCGAATCGCCCGTCGGCTTTAGCCAGAGAAATACAATAGTTTTAATGCAGTCAAACACTGTCTTTGCTTGATGAGCCTAAGAAAATGTACAGGACGGAAAAACGAGACTTACCCGTAAAGAACTCCTCGATCTGCTGTTCTGTGACGGCATAGGGCAGTCCTCGCAGCTTTACAACGAAAGCATTGCCATGGCCGCCAATCTTCCTCATGGCCTCCTTTGCTTCTTTAGGTGTAGCGGTGAAGACTAATTGAAAAGAATTTGAGATATAACAGACATGAAGATACATTCCCGATACTATACACTGGAGCTGCCAATACACAAAGCGACTGGCTTTGGTACTGTAACATCTACAAGTACAGTCACAACCATAAAAAAAAGGTGCACACAAACCCTCAATATAGCGATGTCCCATGCTGGCCTTGTTTAACTTGCGTGCCTCCTCCACGTCATCTTGGCTTGCAACTTCTACATAGGCCTCGCCCGTATTCTTTCCATCTACGCGACTTGTCACCAAATGAATGCCGTCCGAGCCATTGCTGACATTTACATTCTCCAAAAAGTCCAAGATCTCTTTGTGCGTTGCCGACCAAGGAAGACCACGGAGGCGTATAAACTTTGGGCTTTCGCCCACGTTCTCAATCTTCACGTTCAATCCATCATTGCCATTATCCTCGTACTGATCATCATCATCCTGCTGGTTGCTATCGTCATTGTAATCATCGCCGTTGTCCTGCTGACCGTAATTATACTGCACATCAGCGTTTGCCATTTTAGTCAGGTGTTTGCAAACTAAAAATAATCCAATGGAACTTTTTAATACAAAGAAAAACACAATTCAATAATGTTTAAGAAAAATGTGCATTGTTTCGCGTTTTTTTCCAGCCGGCGACTTTATTTGCTTGTGACGCTAGCTGCCTTTTTTGCACCGCGTACGCCATTTTGATTTGCAGTCACCCTCTTGCGAATGGTTTTTTTTTTTTACAATATGTACATTCACGCGTTTCCTACGCCCTACAAATGCAAATTAAAAATGCTAAATCTGTGTACCTTTTTGTGCTACACTTAAAGAATAGTTTATTCTTTACTTTACTTATTTTATTACGCTTTTTCAATATTTCAATTTTTCGAGCACGCGTCTATAGAGGTGTCAAACCAAAAAAGGCCCTATCGATAGTATCGATATTTTTCTGCTATCCGCTACTATCGACGGTTTTGAGACTATCATGATAGTATCGAGCTACAGTCGTTGCGCTTTTGATATATTTGGATTGGCTGCTATAAATACGAAGACAAAATTGTAAACAAATCGACAGGTGGCATCTAATTTTTACAATGGACAAGTTCCTAACAGGTTTCAATGGTTTTTTAATAATTATTTGAGCCCGATACTATTTCGATAGTATCGACTGTTTTTTTCAAAACATTTAACGTTGATATTCCTCGATTTTGATATTCCGTTTAATATCACTAGCGAGTTGGCCCTCTCAGCCCTAAAAAAATAATTTTATCCGATAGATACATAAATTTTCTAAAAGATTGGCAAGTTTTCAGAAGACCTTTTTATTGCATTGTTTACATAAAAAGGTTCAAACAAAAACGGCCAAAGCATAAAACGTAAATGTTGACTATGCCCTATGCTTAACCTATGTAAAAAAAACTGCGTATCCGGCAAGACGCAAAGAAGCATGACGCAGCCCCAATGTGAACGGCCTATAGATGTGACGTCAGTGTTGCTGGTCAACCAAATTTCTTCTATGCGTATGTACCTTTGTATACCTTATATCTTTTAATTGATGTTAAATGTTTTGTTTCAAGCTCCATTGAAACATTATTTATGATTTTATCCTAGATTGACATGACCTATTAATGCACATGTTTGTGTTTTATATATACATTTTTCCCGGTTCTGATACCTATTATTGGAACCTGTGAACTTCAAAATTTCGTTAATATCTTTAAAACAGAGACTGAGTAGTTTTTGCATTAATTGGAGCCTGAAATTGCAAACAATATGTCTATTCTATAATCTATAAATATTAATATATGGAAAAATAAATATTTCACTTGATTTGTTTTGTCGAGTGTGACTGGAATTTCAGAAACGTCATTTCAAAATATACCGTAATTATACCGAAGCCTCAGAACTGATCATATAATTATTGATTAATTTCTTAAAAGATTCGCTTATTTTAGGTACTCATCTGTATTTATTTATTCATAAATAGAGTTTAATCACTAACCATACAATTTTTTTTTTAATTTTGCCACCTCTTTTCGCCTGAGTCCGCTGTATATACAAGCAATACAAACAAATAACAACTTTAAAACCAAACTAGACCTATTCAGGGCCGCATCAACCCTCAACCGGGCCTGGGCAACCATCAATCTCCATTCTCCATTTTTTCACGCCAGTTCCTTCTTTTTTCATTTAAAATAAAAACTTATAAATTTAAAGTTTGTTTAATTAATTTGTATGTTTATCAGTGGCTATTATATTTTTTATCCATTATTTGGAGTTTTGTTTTATCAACAAATTTTTCTGTTAGCCCTAGGGGGGCCCTCGGAAACTGCTAATCCGGCCCTGGACCATTCCCGTCGTCAGACTTCATATTTTGTTGGCGATTCTGTCGCTCGACGCGGGTCGAGACATTGACGAAGCCGAAGCAGAGGCAAAGGCTAGCCTAAAAAAAATGGAAGAAATACCCCGCGCGCCCGTCGCAACATCAGCTTTTCAAAACAAAACGAAAAAATATTTTATGAACGCTTTGAATAAAATAAATGTACACATCTAGTAGAACATTTTCCAGAGCTTTAGCGAATCTAATTTTCAAGATAATTTTAGTTTAGGAGATATGAGCAGAGATAACATCCTTTATTTTTATATACTGTATTTATTTCCCACCCCCACCCACTCTGCCCATTCCTCATTTATGTTGCGGCAGGTCAGCTCAGTTCGCTACATCACATCAGCCCTCAAAACAAAACGAAAAACCAATTCAAGCGGCCAAAAATTGTAGAGCCCACACACAAGCACAGTATGTGTGAATACATGGCACACACACGTTTACGTAAACTGAAATCTCGAACAAAGTCGGTTTCGGCAGCTAAAAATTATTCTATGCATACAATCATATATTTTGGAGTGTACACGTACACAACGCATGCATGCTTGCTGCCAGTCGGCTCGTGTGACGTCATGAGCCGAACGCGGCCATTCCCAGAGCCGAACGCGGCCATTCCCAAAGCCGAAGATCGGGGAACGTACGCTGCAAACTTAGCTGCGCCCCTTTCGTTGTATGAACTGGCACATCTATATACTGTATGGTTAGTGGTTTAATTAATGGTCTTTTGATGGCAAAGTTGATGTTTTACATGGTAACTACACGCTAACTACACATTTGCAACATATTAACTAAATATTTATGTACATTTCGACAGAGTCACTGACGAAAAAAATCATATTCTGTTTAATATTACAAGATAGCTAGAACTTTCAGACATAGTAAATGGGCTATATAGTTAATAGTTAAATAGGCTATTAATATTAAAAACTTCCTTTCGTTAGTTTGGGGTTTTTTTTGGGGCCCCCCCCCCCCCCTAACCATACAGTATATAGATGTTGGTCTGGGATTGACCGTACTATCAACTTTGTCAATATGTAATTAAAAAAAAATCATGTTCAAGATAGGGATATGTATATTTAAATGTGCAATTTCAAAAATCACACAAATAACAGCTTTTATTTTTATATATTATTTATTTCCCACGCCCACCCCAACCCACTTACTGAAATGTGCGCGCCGTTAACACTGATCGGCTGCTAGGCAACATGGCGCGTATTTTCAATTGTTTGTTCAATTAAATTATTTACAGAGTGACGTACACTTTCCCCGTGCAGAAAAACGGACAGAAATTGACAAATCTAGTAAATCTATAATGATAATTGATTAAGGTATGTTCGTGCAGAAAAAAAAGTTAGTTGAACATGTGCTGGCAATGCGTGGTGGCGAAAGGAGTGATGAAGAGGAGGAAGAGGAGGACCAGGGAGATATTTTGCAGGTGCCAAAATTTGGAAATCAAATTAGAATCAATTAGAATCAAACCTTGTTAGGTGTAATTAATGCAAGTGTAAACATTGCTTGTTAACTACCGTAATATATAATATATCCTTGTTACCCCTTTGACTGATTGCGTAATCGCAAACACCGATGTATGTATTTCGTACAGCGAATGTAAAAGTCTATGTATTTGTTGGTTGAGGACAGTAATTAGAAACTAATACTCATATCTTGATTTCGTTTTAGCTGAGTAACAACCCCCACTTAATGCAACTAAGCAAATGAAAAAATACAAAAACTCTTAGAAAATATATTTTTGAACACACACCCTATTATATAGAACCGCTTTTTATTTTATTAATTATCTGCTTCTATGCAAATGTAGATAGAGGTTTTTTAACATAGACTTTAAATAATTGATTTTTGAAACTAACATATTTTTGCCTTCTCCCTTTTTGAATTAAAAACAAAAAACCAATGAATTGATTTACAATTTTGAATCAATACTCCATTTTTGAAACCATATAAATAAAAAACCTACCGCACTTGCAAACTTTTGATCCAAAAAATTATTTTCTGGAACCCCAACGGTCCGACACGTGTTGCAAACAAACAAAAATACATATAATATACCATATATAATACGCGAATGTGACAACGTGGGAAATATGGATCCGGACGAAGCACAGCGTCGACGCGAAGAATGCGAACGCAAAGCCCGCCGTGGGGAGATGGATCCCCGACTGGAGTTTACCTTCCAGTTGTTGATCGACGCCACTCAGTTGCCCAGACATCAGCTAATGGATTACATTTTCGAAGGGGATATGGTAGTTTCTATATATCTTATATAAATACTAAGATCTTCTTAAATATATCTGAAACTTTTTTTTTAGCTCGATGAAATCAATCAGCTGTTTTTGCCGAATATGAAAAACAAGCTGCTTTGGTTTTATCAGGAAGTGGATGAACCTGAGCATACACCCATTCCGGATGCCAATAAGCCGGGACCATCACGAAGTGGCATTGCATCGAGCAGTTCTAAGACGCCGCAAGGTCTTAACTATAAGAATTTACTTTAAAATTTAAATCTGCATATATTGCTGCCTGTCGAATGAACCGCACTCACCTGTCTGTTACTTCATCAGGTGGAGCTTCTCCCAGTGGTATGCCTCCGGCAAAGCAGAAGAAGCTATTCCTAACTGATGGCTGGACCTGCGCCTTTACAGGCGTTTGTATTTATATATTTCGTGTAAATACGTCCAAGCAGCTTCCCGAAGAGGGATTCCAAAAGGATTTGTAAGTCTTTCGCCTGCACTTTCTTATTATTCTACTCTCCTTTTTATTTCATCTTAGGTACTGTGGCGTAATCGATGCCAAAAATATTGGCCTGGTCACTTCCATTGAGCGAATCGTTGAGTTTGTATTTATGCAAGCGCTGGCCTTTCCCAGTTTGGAAGGCGACGAGGAGGACGTTAGCTGCGGTCTTATCAAAGGGCAGCTCCTTCCGGGATTACGATCATTCTGCAGTGCGTTGCGCGTTTGCGAACAGGTGTGTGATCATCCCAACGTATTTGCCGATGGCTGTGATATGTTTGAGAAAATCGATCTGGTGGATGAGGTTAAAGACATGTCCAAGAACCAAGAGTTTTGCACACAGCTCGAGGAACGTGTCAATAACTGGACAAAGGGGATATTGAAAATCCTTGGCGAGAGCGAACAGCTCCGTAAGGAGAACGATCACAGTGGCCCTCAGGACGAGCTTGAGTACTGGAAGAAACGTGGCGCACAATTCTCACAGCTTCTTGCCCATCTGCAAGATAAAGAAGTTCAGTTTACGCTGCATTGCCTCTTTTTGGCGGGCTCCCGCATAATAAGGCAATGGAAGGAGACCGATCGTAAAATAACCTTTTGCTATAATGAAGCGCGGGATAATTCCAAATTCATACAAGCCATGGAAACATGCTGTCACTCGCTGTATCTAGATGACCCTGTAAGCATGAAGGAGTCCATTCTAAGTCTACTCCAAACGGTGCGACTTATTTACAGTGTATCACAGTTTTATAATACATCAGAAAGAACATCAGCTTTGATGGTTAAGGTGAGTGCAATTGCTGGTGAAATAATATCAAACTGAATCCACATTCCTAGATGTACATACATACATACATATTTATGATGAGAAGAATCTTCCCTCCATATCTGCTGATAATATTTTACAATTCTTTAAATTCATTGAAGCATTCGTGTCCTTCCAAAGAGTCTGCTGGCAGGTTTTCTTTATTTTTTCTGCCCTACACATTTTTCGTCCGTTGCACGGAGTTATGGTTTGACTTTTGGTATAAGCTTTTCAAGCATGTTAAACCCTTCTCGTCTGACCTGACTCACCCTGAAATGTCCCACAAAGCTGGGAGGTAAGTGTGGTGGCATTAACAAGTCGAAGACCTCTTTGACATCGATGGTACTGTTAAAGAAGTGGATTTACAGTGTATGATAGAGAATTTAACTTAATTTTACCTTTAAGTTTTTTTTGTTCATGGTACTCCGATTAAAACAATAAATTTTTCTTTTAGATAACAAACCAAATGATTGAGACCTGCAAGTCATACATAACTTGTCGTTGCAAGGAGACAATTTGGTCCCAGGATCGCAGCTTAATTCGAACAAAACTTAGCAACTGCATTAAATTGAATCACATCTACCACGAGACCTACTACACAGTGCGCGAGCAACCCTTTTTGCCTAATCAGACGCCATTTGGGTTCTCCGAAAACTTTGTCTTTGGTAAAATTTTTCTATGAAAACTTTAGTTTTAGTAATCCAATTAATGTATGATAACTTCAGGAAAATTTGATACATTCTGCGAGCGCCTTTCGAAAATTATCAACATGTTTAACCTGATTGATGACTACAACCATTTGTTCGAGCGCCGCTTGGAGGGCCTTCTGTTGGGGGAGGCCTTGGAAGATGCGTCAAATCTCTTCGAAGAGGCCAAAAAGGAGGTTATTTCGAAAAAATATGATTACCTAGACCATCGAAACTTCAATTTCAATGACGATTTTGAGAAGTTTATACACAAAACAAACTCCCTAAAGGATACCATAGCCACACTGATTGAAAAGGACTTTGACACGGTCTGGGAGACTCCACAGTGCATACGGTTTTTGGTGCGTTTCGAAAAGGTTAGCGAGAAGATTCCCCTGACCAAAATGGATGAGAAATACACCCGGATACTGCGTTACGTTGAGAAGGAAGTGGATCGCATACTGAAAACGTTTCGCAAACAACGAGATGATCCCCCACTCGCGAGAAATTTTCCGCCAATTGCTGGTCGCATTCATTGGTGTCGAGCCCTGAGTCTACATCTTACAGAGCTCATAGATGCGGTGATGGCTCATGCCGTGCTGAGTACCCTGCCCATGGCAAAGGACCTAGATATGCGCTTTCACAACGTCTTGGGTGTGCTCCAGGAATACGAGGACGAAATTGTCTCTATATGGCTGGATCAAGATGTCAGCGTTGCCGATTCGTGCCTCATGCAGCCCCTACTCAGCCTACAGGGGGATAAATTGTTTGTCAATCTACACCCCACCATACCTTTGCTGATCAGAGAAGCCAAAATGCTAGCCAAGTTGAAGATTGAGCTGCCGATTGTGGCCGCAACACTGATGAGTCGCCAGCAGTATTTCATTACCATACAGGACTCTTTAAATGTTGCTTATTCTACCGCTCAACCATATTATAACATTAATAATTGTGTCTTTGCCCTGTAGTGTCTCATCAAAATGTTTCTGTCAACGGTTCGAGCTGTGAAGCTGGAGGTTCGTCCTTTGTTTCTGCCTCAGTTGGTGCGTTTGACGGCGATGCTGAAGCCAGGACTTCATACTATAAATGTAAGGCTTTCAGCTGAAGATCTCCTCTGAATTCAATTTTATTGTTTCCTTCATTTTCCAGTGGACCAATCAAAACTGGACAGAATTCTATGAACGCTGCAAACAGGCCATAGAGAAATTTGAGGTTCTTGTGGCCCGCGTTCATGACATTTACTCGAATCGCATACTCAATGTGCTAATGTGGATGCAGGACGTCTCGTTGCAAATATTACCAGCAGGTTGGTGGCTCTCACATGTTTCATAGATCTGGTTTGTAATTTTATGCTACCTAAAAACTTTCCACATTTGTTTACTGAGCAGACGATGAAATCTGGACAGTTGATGAGTTTCTGCAGCGCAGCGAGGAGGCATGCCGGTGAGTCTCTGATTGGGACAAGGGATTCAGGGGAAAAATCATTTTTAATGTAGCTTCGAAATTACCTACATATACGCGTACGCACGACTTTTAAACTGTCTAGAGTTGATTCTGTTTCTGCTTGTGATTTATTTTAATGGGTTCTTTATCACATTTTAATATTGTATCTAAATTGCATGTGAAATACGAATTTTTTCCCCCCTAGGAAAGCGGCCATCGAACTGAATCGTAAGAGCCAAATGGTCTCTGAGGCCGTGGAAGAGGTTCTAAGTTTAGTGGACAAAGCCACGGCCACAGTCCAGGCAATTGCGGGCGATGATGTAACGCCTCTCTTCGATGGTAAGACTTGGGAATGCATTATATAAACATTATAAGTCAAAAATTTAGAGTATCAGTCTCTCCAAAAGGAGAGGGCACTGGATCGGGTGGACGAAAAGCTGAAGAAAGTGTAGGAGGAGCTGCTGCCCCGACCACCAGTGGAGGCGGTGGCGTCGGCAGTGGAGGAGGACAGCAGCAGGACTGGAGTATTCTGTGGTCCTGCTTTGAGAATCCTCTGTCACTCCTGTCGACCACAGAAAGCCTGCCAAAGGGCATGCAGGTGAGACTTGTAAAAGATAGATACATATCAAATAATGAACGTTTCTCGTTTTTGTGCAGGATATGGTATGCAATGCGGTGGTCGAAATGCGTCGCTATTACAGCCGCAAGGTCATTGACGTACTCATTAAGGTCATTCGAGCCGCACTGGATACACTGAGACGTCGATTCATAGCCGATGAGAATGAGACGGTTTTCAAAAAGCCGATCTTTGCGCTGCACGCGCAGCTGCAGATACCCCATGTGGTGATCAAACCGAGTCTGGACGAGCTGCAGGACATTTTGGTGACGGCTGGCAAGAGCATCACGGGCATTGCGAAGGGTGTGGCTCAGTGGAGCAGCGGCAAAGATCCGCCGGTGCGTACCGCCCCACTGAATAGCTTCGCAATGTTTTCCAAAATCTTGTCTTACCAACCGCAGCAAGTTTCGATGACGGTGACGCAGCCGCGCGTCGGACGCAACCATAACGAGGCCACTGGCGGCGCCGTCGGAAAGAGTCGACGTCGCAAAATCTATTGTCTGGCCTCCGAGGAACGACCACAGATGCCGCACATGCTCAAAAGCTTCTACTCCGCCATCATGGATAACAAGGAGGTGGCCAAGGCTGTCAATCAGCTCTCCAGCTGCACGAAGAATGTAAAGCCGGAGATTCAAACGTACATTAAGCGCTGGAAGCCATTCCACTTCCTATGGAAGAACGATCGCACGACTCGTCAGCTTATGGAGTTTGGCCTGCAGGAGTTTGAGACCACCCTGCGCTGCCTATCCGATCTGGATGCCAATCTACTGATTGAGCCAAACATGGAGATCTTCGGGCAATGCGTGGCAGTGTATAATGAAAGACTTAAGTATGGTTTGGCCATTGAAATCAAATGTAAGAAGATAAGCAATCCGATGCATTTTTATAACTATACATTATATAGTTCCTATATTTCATCTAGAGAAGGGGGTTATCGGGTGTTAATGGATGGTACCTTATTCAATTGTTGCTTAGAAGGATATGTGTTTTCCATTTAGAGATACTGGAAAGGTTAATCAACCATTACTTTTGGCACCCTCGCGAATTCTTTTGTTTTGTAGACAAATAGAAAGCAATTCAAATAAATTGGCGTCCAATTAGATAATCTAATTTACCTAACCAAATTAACTGAAACATCAGGCATCCCCAGAAATACCAAAATAAATTCCCCACACAAATGATTGAGAGGAAGGAGCCCAGAGCCGAGAGAGCCCACACAGCAGGAGGATGTGACTGTGTGAAAATGAATTAGCCCTTGGCCTGGCTTTGATTAATGACGTCGATATCATTGTGTGGCGCACGAAATGGGATAGGGATAAGGAGATGGGCAAAAAGAGAGATGGAGCGGAAGGGAGAATGAACGAACACTTTAGAAGCTTTATATTTTCAGCTTGCAACCACAAAATTGGACAGGCTATGAAGAAAAAGTACAAGAAGGAAATGGACTATGTTTATGCTGTAATCAATGAAATGGATCGTAAGCTGGACAGGCCTATACGTGACTTGGATGATGTGCGCATGATAATGGAGACCTTAGGTAAGATTCGTGAGCAGGAGGTGGACATGGAGTTGCGAATAGATCCAATAGAGGTGAGGCAATAGGACTATGTACATTCGATATATGCGATGCCATCTTCTCACTCTCTACTGTAATTTTGAAGGAAGCATTCAATGTCCTGACGCGCTATGAGGTACAAGTGGAGCGTGAGCAGTTCGATCTGGTGGACAATTTGCGGACCACATTCCAGAATTTGTTGGCTGGGGCACTGCAGGCACAAGTAAAGCTGCTGGACATGCAACCTGCCTTCCAGGATGACCTGCGCACCAATCTGGACAATTTTAAGCAGGACAAGATCTCGTACGTGACGGAGTATCGGACGGCAGGGCCTATGCAGGCGGGACTGACCCCGAGAGAGGCCTCCGACCGGCTCATATTATTCCAGAACCGCTTCGAAGGCATGTGGCGACGCCTGCAGACCTACCAGAGTGGCGAGGAACTCTTCGGTCTGCCACAAACAGACTATCCCGAGCTGGGGCAAATACGCAAGGAACTGAACCTGCTGCAGAAACTCTACAAACTCTATAACGATGTGATTGACAGAGTGAGCAGCTACTATGACATACCCTGGAATGAGGTGGATATTGAGGAGATAAACAACGAGTTGATGGAGTTCCAAAATCGCTGTCGCAAGCTGCCCAAGGGACTGAAGGAGTGGCCGGCTTTCCATGCTCTGAAGAAGACAATCGACGACTTTAACGATATGTGCCCCCTATTGGAGTTGATGGCGAATAAAGCCATGAAGCCACGCCACTGGCAACGGATCATGGACGTTACTCGCTACATCTTCGAGTTCGACTCGGAGGGTTTCTCGCTTAAGAACATATTGGAGGCGCCGCTGCTCAAAAACAAGGAGGACATAGAGGACATTTGCATCAGTGCCATGAAGGAGAAGGACATCGAAGCCAAGCTGAAGCAGGTAACCAATGAGTGGTCCGTGCACGAGCTCCAATTCATGAGCTTCAACAATCGCGGCGAACTCTTGCTGCGCGGCGACACTACGGCCGAAACAATTGGCCAATTGGAGGACAGTCTGATGGTGCTGGGATCCCTCCTATCCAACCGATACAACGCTCCGTTTCGGAAGCAAATTCAACAGTGGGTCTATGACCTTTCGAACTCCAATGAGATACTGGAGCGGTGGCTCTTGGTGCAGAACATGTGGGTATATCTGGAGGCAGTGTTTGTTGGGGGCGATATCGCGAAGCAACTGCCGAAGGAGGCGAAGAGGTTTTCAAAAATAGACAAATCCTGGCAAAAAATCATGCAGCGAGCCCACGAGACACCCGGTGTTGTAGCTTGCTGCGTCGGTGATGATTTGCTTAAACAGTTGTTGCCTCATTTACAGGAGCAACTGGAAATTTGTCAGAAATCCTTGAGTGGTTATCTGGAGCGCAAGCGCATGATGTTTCCACGTTTCTTCTTTGTGTCAGATCCTGCACTGCTTGAGATTTTGGGTCAAGCTTCCGATTCGCATACCATACAAAACCACCTCCTGAATATTTTCGACAATACAAAGTGCGTAAAGTTTCACGACGTCGAGTACAACAAAATGATGGCCATTATAAGCAGCGAGGGCGAGATGATCCAGTTGGATCGCGCCATCCGTGCGGAGGGCTCTGTCGAGACATGGCTAACTCAATTGCTGGTCACAGCACAGCAGTCACTGCACTCGATCATTCGCACAGCCTATGCGACCATTAACGATCCAAACTTCACCCTTCTCAGCTTCCTTGAGAAGGCGCCGGCCCAGATTGGCTTGCTCGGAATTCAAATGGTTTGGACACGAGACGCAGAAATGGCTCTGATGCAGGCCAGACATGAGAGGAAGGTCATGTCGGAAACAAACAACAAGTTCCTGGAAATACTCAACACACTCATCGATCAAACCACTCGAAATCTGTCAAAACGCGAGCGGACAAACTTCGAGACCCTGATCACCATTCATGTGCATCAGCGTGATATCTTCGATATTTTGGTGGGTTATCTCAATTATTGTTATCCTATGGTCGTATGTATTGTAATATTTGTAATAATTTCAGTGCCGCATGAACATAAAATCAGCAAACGACTTTGAATGGCTGAAGCAATGTCGCTTCTATTTCAAAGAGGATTTGGACAAGACCTGGATATCTGTTACCGATGTCACATTTACCTACCAGAACGAATATCTTGGCTGCACAGATCGGCTGGTTATTACACCATTAACAGATCGGTGGGTATATTTTTTCATCCTTTTCCTACAATATATATACATATGTTAGACAAGTGCAACTAACCTGTAAAAGTATTGAAATGTCGATATAAAATATCTATCTACATATGTACATCTACATATGTCCTTAAATTTAAGGAAAATAATTTTTTTGGCATTTGACTGAAAAGTATTTCCACAAATGAATGTACCATAAATTTGTTTTCAAATGCACGAATTCCTTGCGCAATGAAGCACGCCTTGGAATGCCATGGCTGCTATAAGTCATCCTACTAGCACTTTGAACTCTGCTCTCATCAGTTTTTGCTATGTAAACAATTGGCAAAAAACTGTTGGAAGCTATTTCAAGCGGTCGATGACTGGAAGCTGCATGAAGTCTTATCTATCGCTGTAGTCAACGGTAGTCAAAGGAAGAAGAGGAATTTCAACAACCGACGCGCCGTTGACATGCTCGTAAAGATAAACTTCACTTAGCGGAATATAAATAAAGTTCTGACAGCGGCAGGCAGTTGCCTCCACCTCCACTTTACAGTGGCGGTGCTATTTTCCAAAGGTATTTCTGCTTTTCATTAATTTTTTCCTGAGTTTCGTTTCGGCTCCTTCGATGTCATCGCACATTAGTGGCTGTACTACGGGACTGCTTTGATATTTTAAAGGGAGTCCTGGTCTTGTCTTTATTAGGTGGTGACATAACCCCCGCCATATGGAAATACCTTGAAAAAAATGTTGCTGTTATACCCCTTAAATTGTTGTTCCATTTCAGGTGCTATATAACTTTGGCCCAGGCTCTTACCTTGTCCATGGGGGGTGCGCCATGTGGGCCAGCTGGCACTGGGAAAACGGAAACTGTCAAGGATATGGGTAAAACATTGGCCAAATATGTTGTAGTTTTTAATTGCTCCGATCAAATGGATTACAGGTAAGTTAATAATCCAAAAGTTAAAATTCAATATTTTGCTTTCGGATGGCAATTATTAAAAATATTACATTTTGCTTGGTTAGAGGGCTGGGACGCATATATAAGGGTCTGGCCCAGTCTGGAAGCTGGGGCTGCTTCGATGAATTCAACCGCATCGAATTGCCGGTCCTTTCTGTGGCCGCTCAACAAGTGGCTGTCGTGCTGACAGCCAAAAAGGAGAAAAAGAAAACTTTCCTTTTTACAGATGGTGATACGATTGAAATGAATCCAGAATTTGGAATATTCATTACTATGGTAACATATTACCAATACTATACGTGCGGCACGATTTCACTTAGCTTTTCCTGTTATTCCAGTATATTCACGTTTATTTGTAGACAGTTGAAAAAATATTTCGTTTGCTATCTAGTCAACAAATTTAAACGGACATGGCCTAATGAACCCGCATATTAATCCTTACAGGAAGTAAGATTAAGATTAGATTAAAAGATTAAAAGGGTCGAATTTTACCTTTGGGCTTTACAACATAGTACATGCAAACGAACACACTTACCGGTACTGCCGGTTAAAATAAAAAACCGACAGACGCCAGTGACAAAGCTGTTTTCGTACTAAGTCTTGAATAATTTTCAGATACTCGCCAGTCCCACTCCTCCATACTGCATCTGATCTGCGTATTTACAATACACCAAACTCTTTATCAATCCGTCCATTGGGTGTAGGATTTTTATAGGCATGAGTAGAGTAACTTTCGGCACGTAAAAAATTAAATTGTTGTAATTCGTATGCTTTAATCGAATGCTTTCCCATTTAACTTGTTGTAAAATGGAAAGTGACAGGCGCTTTTATGCACATTGCTCAAACGATATTAGTCATATACAATTTTTCTCAACTCAACTGAAGCTGTAATACAATTTACTATAGCTTTTTCGCTTGTTTCTCCATGCCATGCCAAAAATCACCCCACCCCAAAACCGTAAAAACCAATAACCAACACACAAAAGGGAAAACAAACAACCAGAACAGCAAAGGAGGAGCAGGGCAGAGAAGCTGGTTGCTTGGTGTAAGAGTATTTACATTTAAGCGGCTGCATGACTCGATTAATTTGCCTGCCACATGGGACCACCCTGTTTAACCGTCTCTTCTCCCAACAATATCTACGCTACGCACAATCAAAATTAAATGCTTTCAGGCAAAAAAAAAAAAGCCAAACGAAGGAAGCCAGCTGCCGTTGTACTAAGTATAGAGAGTAGCAAACAAAGTATAGATATGAAGCTAGCTCGGGCTCAGTAGCTTAATTACAAGCGACGCCAACTATGATAGGGGGTAATGCGATTAGCGTTAGCCCCGGCGACGTCGCCAATAATGGTATATGTTAATCAACGCCCACTTGTTGTCTACTCCATACCCTTCCTTCCCTTCCTTCTTTCCCATTTCATAGTGACTCTTTCGAAGGCTTCGGCTTAGGGGTTTATGTGTATTTTAATTTGCGCATTGAGTTATTAGGCCCATTTATATAACATTTTTAGTCGCCAGGACATTATAATTTAATGAGTCGTTATGTCACACAGTCCGTCCTGTCCCGAATGGGTCTCACTCTTTTGCAGAGACACACAGGCTGCGTGTGCGTTTGAGTTTAATGATGACATCCTTTGTTGTGGCTATATTTTTGCTTATTTATTAATTTTAGGGAGTGCCCAAGATAGATATACAAATAGACCGTCTGTTTTTGGCATACAATGAGAACTGTCTTGGCAAAAAGTTAGCTCAACTGTTGACTATATAGATATAGATTCAAAAGCACTCCTCTATTTAACCTAGAACGAATTGATTATTTGCATATATTTATGAACATTAAATTTTTAAATAGAATCCCGGGTATGCGGGTCGCAAGGAGTTACCGGAGAATCTGAAAATACAATTTCGTACCGTTGCGATGATGGTGCCGGACAGACAGATAATCATCCGGGTGAAGCTAGCCAGCTGCGGCTTCCTGGAGAACATAACGCTGGCCAGGAAATTCTACACGCTATACAAACTTTGCGAGGAGCAACTTACGAAACAGGTACACTACGACTTCGGTCTAAGGAATATTCTCTCTGTGCTGCGTACTCTCGGCGCAGCCAAGCGAAGGAACTCAAAGGATACTGAGAGTACGATTGTAATGCGTGTCCTTCGCGATATGAATCTGTCCAAGCTGATTGATGATGATGAGCCACTGTTCATGTCGTTGGTGTCTGACTTGTTTCCCAATCAGGTACGAGACTTATGCACATATAAACAATCTTTACTTCATTTCTTACCTCTCTTCACATTTATTAGACTCTCGAAAAGACCAACTATCCAGAGTTAGAGGCGGCCATTCTTCAGCAAACAGACGACGCCAGTCTGATCTATCATCCGCCTTGGGTCCTGAAGCTTATACAGCTGTACGAGACCCAGAACGTACGCCATGGCATCATGACTCTGGGACCCAGTGGAGCGGGCAAAACTACCTGCATCCATACCCTAATGAAGGCCATGACCCAAATGGGGGAGAATCATCGCGAGATGCGCATGAATCCCAAGGCTATTACGGCAGCCCAAATGTTTGGACGCCTCGATGTGGCCACCAACGACTGGACTGATGGCATCTTCTCGGCTCTGTGGCGCAAGACGCTCAAGCTGAAGGCAGGCGAACATGTCTGGCTGGTGCTCGATGGGCCTGTGGATAGTATTTGGATAGAGAACTTAAACTCCGTACTCGATGATAACAAAACCTTGACTTTGGCCAATGGCGATCGTCTCACTATGGCTCCAACAGTTAAGATTATTTTTGAGCCGCACAACATTGACAATGCCTCACCGGCTACTGTTTCTCGTAATGGAATGGTTTACATGAGCTCTTCTGGCCTGGATGCCCGACCAAGTAGGTTTTTAGATTTTTTTTAGATTAGATAAAACATTTTAAAAATTATATACAGTTGTTCAGGCGTGGCTTAAGAATCGCGCTCCTGGCGAAAAGTGTACGTTTTCCGATCTATTCGATGAGACATTTGTCGAGGTATACAACTGGGGGGCACAAATCGTGAAGCTTCAGATGCCAGTCTTACAGTGCAACATAGTGAAGCAGATGCTTTTCATCCTGGAGGGCTTGATACCTGTCAAGAAGGAGGACGAACAGGCTGTGAGCCTATCCAGCAAGGAAAGCCATGATGGTAAGTAGAAGAAGGATAGAAGAAAGTCTCCTCCAGCACTCAACTAGCGGATCAAAAACAAAACCAAAAACAAAAAAAAATACAAAATTAAATTGAAACATTTCAGCAAATAAACGTTTAGAGCATCAAAAACATATCGAAGAGGCGCGGCGGCAATCGATTGGCAGTCAGATTGTCGGTAAAGTATATAACCCCAAAAAGGGGGTCCATAATTATACATAAAAATATAGGTGTATCGCTGCAAAATCTGCTTCTGTGTGTGCGCATTTTCATAATTATATATCATTTGTTGTTCAGATCCAAACAAAAGCAGACTTGGTCTCCGTTTGATTTGGTTGGTATTTCTGCAATTCTGAGTGTTCTGTTTATAGTCTTGATCTTAACCCCCAATTATAGTTATGCGTCTCGTCTAAACCTTATAATTTTCTAATATATATATGTATGTGTGTAAAAGTACTGCCTGTATATGATACCATAATTTAATCCATCCAATCCCGCTAAACATAATTCAAACAGAAGATCTGCCGATTGAGAGTGCTGTAGAGGAGAAAGAAGACACCTGTACGCCGGAACACTTGCACCGCTTGTATATATTCGCTCTGGCCTGGGGCCTCGGGGGCTACCTCTCAACTAGCGATCGCATTCGAATGAATATCTTTGTGAAAGAATCCTTTCCGCACCTCGACTACCCAAAGGGTAGTGCTAACGAAAACACTATATTCGACCATTTCGTTTCTCCAACGGGCGTGTGGCAGTCGTGGAAGACGCTCGTCACTCCCTACATGTATCCGGAGCTTTCCACACCAGAATACCTAAGTATTTTGGTGCCCATTGTGGATAATGTGCGTATCGACTATCTAATCGGAACCATTGCCAATCAGGAGCGCGCCGTGATGGTCATCGGCGAACAGGGTACTGGGAAGACAGTGATCATGAAGAACTTTATGAAGAAGATGAATATTGAGACGTACATGGGCCGATCCTTTAACTTCTCGTCGGCTACCAGCCCCTACCAGTTTCAGCGCACAATCGAGAGCTATGTCGAGAAACGAGTGGGCGTCACCTTTGGCCCACCTGGTGGACGTAAGCTGATTGTCTTCATAGACGACATCAATCTGCCCGAGATCAATGAGTGGGGCGATCAGGTGACCAATGAAATTGTGCGCCAGTCCATGGACATGAATGGCTTCTACAGTCTGGAAAAGCCCGGCGACTTTACTACCATTGTGGATGTACAGTACGTGGCAGCCATGGGGCTGCCCGGTGGCGGTCGTAACGACATACCGTCGCGTCTTAAGCGTCAGTTTTGCGTCTTCAACTGCAACATACCAGACAACGACTCCATTGATAAGATCTTCCGCGTTATCGGTGAGGGCCACTACAATGCCAAGCGCGGCTTTGTGCCCGAGATTCGGAATCTGGTCAAGAAACTGATCGTAATCACGCGGCACCTGTGGCAGCGCACACGCGAGAAACTACTGCCCACGCCAGCGAAGTTCCACTACGTATTCAGTCTGCGCGACCTGTCGCGCATCTGGCAGGGCATGGTTGGCACCTTATCCACAGTGATCACCTCCGAGACCGTGCTTATGGCATTGTGGAAGCATGAGTGCACACGAGTATTTGCCGACCGATTCACCACATTCCAGGATAGGGAGTGGTTCGGCTCAGAGCTGGCATGTCTCGTGCGAGAGGAGCTGGGCGATTCCCATTCACAAATGATTGTGCCCAATCCGGTATTCGTAGATTTCATGCGCGACGCCCCCGAGCCGACTGGCGAAGAGGGTGAGGACACCGACATGGAGCTGCCGAAAGTGTACGAGCCGGTACACTCTCATGAAGTGCTACGCGAGCGTCTCGTTATGTTCCTCGCCCAATTCAATGAAATGGTGCGAGGGTCTGGAATGGATTTGGTGTTCTTCCCGGATGCAATGCTGCATCTGGTGAAGATCTCCCGCATCATTCGGCATCCGAGAGGATCGGTCATGCTTGTCGGGGTCGGCGGTTCTGGAAAACAGTCGCTTACGAAATTGGCATCGTTTATAGCTGGCTACAAGACATTCCAAATTGCGTTGACGCGTTCGTACAATGTGGCCAATTTTCTAGAGGATCTAAAGCTGCTCTACCGCACCTGCGGCGTGCAGGGGAAGGGCACAACCTTTCTCTTCACTGACATGGATATCAAAGAGGAAGGTTTCCTCGAGTATCTCAATAACATACTCTCGAGCGGTGTCATATCTAATCTATTCTCGCGCGATGAGCAGGCTGAAATCGTGCAAGAGCTGACGCCGGTCATGAAACGTGAAAATCAACGCAAAACAGCGACCCCGGAAAGTGTGATGGACTTTTTTCTGGCGCGCACGTGCACCAATCTTCACGTGACCTTCTGCTTCTCACCCGTGGGCGAGACGTTCAGGTCGCGGGTGCAGCGCTTTCCCGCCTTGGTCTCCGGCTGCACCATTGACTGGCTGCATCCGTGGCCCAAGGATGCCCTGGTTTCGGTTGCCAGACACTTTCTGAGCCACTTCGAAATTGAGTGTACATCGGCCGTCAAGGAGGAGCTGGTTAATGCGCTCGGCTCCATACAGGATATTGTCGCCGAAACGTCACAGGAGTACTTCCAGCGTTTCCGTCGCGCCACGCACGTGACACCCAAATCATATCTGAACTTTATTGCCGGCTACAAGAATATCTATCAGATGAAGCAGCAAGAGCTGCGCGATGGTGTGGAGAAGATGGATACGGGCTTGGAGAAACTGAAAGAGGCCTCCGCATCTGTTGAGATCCTCAAGAAGGACCTCGTGGTCATGGAGGAGGAGCTGGTCGAGGCCTCCAAGAACGCTGAATCGGTGCTAGTGGAGGTGACGGAACGTGCGATGCAAGCGGAGATTGTCAAGAATCAGGTCCTCATCGTCAAGGACAAGGCCGAGGCCCTCGTTGCCTGCATTGCCCACGAGAAAGCGCTGGCCGAGGAGAAACTAGAGGCGGCCAAGCCGGCCCTCGAGGAGGCAGAGAATGCCCTCAACACGATTAAACCGGCGCACATAGCCACCGTGCGTAAGCTGGGACGTCCTCCGCATCTTATTATGCGGATAATGGACTGCGTTTTAATCCTATTCAAGCGTAAGCTGCACCCCTGTATACCTGACTCGGGTACACCGTGCCCCAAGCCCTCATGGCAAGAATCCCTAAAGGTAGGTGCCCCATAGGTCAAACCAAAGACAATAAGTAACGCCCATACATTTGAATTGCCATATGCAAGCAATGTTTCTGCGAATCAAATGGTGTTATTCATCTTGTATTGTCTTATTGTCTTTGGTCAAATGGTATTCCTTCACATTCTGCTTTTTGTTTTTCCTCTTTGTTTTACAATGTAGATGATGGCCAGTGCCACATTTTTGCTGCAACTGCAAAACTACCCAAAGGACACTATAAACGATGAGATGATCGATCTGCTGCAGCCTTACTTTCGCATGGAGGACTACAACATGGATATGGCACGACGTGTGTGCGGTGATGTGGCCGGCCTGCTCTCTTGGACCAAAGCCATGTCCTTCTTCCACAGCGTGAACAAAGAGGTACTGCCCCTGAAAGCAAATCTAACCATGCAAGAGGCGCGTCTAAAGGTAAGCTAAGAAAGGATTCTGCATATTCCTTCCACTTATATTACATTCCCTTTCTGTTGTAAGCTTGCAATGGATGATTTGGCTGGCGCCGAAGAACAACTGCGAGAGCGTGAGGAGGCCCTGCAGGCGGTAAAGGATCAGTACGACAAGGCCGTTGGTGAGAAGCAACGACTGACAGATGCTGCAAATGTCTGCCTGCGCAAAATGACCGCAGCAACGGCCCTGATAAACGGATTGTCCGACGAAAAGCATCGCTGGACCAACCAGAGCAAGGAGTTCAAGATACAGCTTGGTAAACTGGTGGGCGATGTGCTCCTAGCCACCGGGTTTCTCTCCTACTGCGGGCCATACAACCAGGAATTTCGAGCAAACCTGATCAAGACATGGATGAGCATATTGAAGCAGAAGAATATTCCCTTCACCATTGGATTGAACATCATAAACATGCTGGTCGATTCCTCCACAGTGTCGGAGTGGACACTCCAGGGACTGCCGAACGACGAGTTGTCCGTGCAGAATGCACTGATAGCCACAAAGTCCAGCAGCTATCCGTTGCTGGTTGATCCGCAGACGCAGGGGAAGATTTGGATCAAGTGCAAGGAGGATCGAAATGAGTTGCAGATCACATCCCTGAATCACAAATACTTTCGGACACATCTTGAAGACTCCCTCTCATTGGGCAGGCCACTGCTGATCGAGGATGTGGGTATAGACTTGGACCCGGTTATAGATAACGTGCTGGAAAAAAACTTCATCAAGTCGGGCAGCATTGAGAAGGTGCTTGTGGGCGACAAGGAATGCGATGTGATGCCCGGGTTTATGCTCTACATAACCACAAAGCTACCGAATCCCGCCTTCAGTCCCGAGGTCAGTGCCAAGACATCGATCATTGATTTCACGGTCACTATGCGGGGTCTGGAGGATCAACTATTGGGTCGTGTCATCCTCATGGAAAAGTCGGATCTAGAAGCCGAGCGTGTGGCGCTTTTCGAGACCGTCATGCAGAACCAGCGCAACATGAAAGAACTGGAGGCCAACCTTCTGCTGCGCCTGAGCTCCTCCCAAGGATCTCTGGTGGACGATGAGGCCTTAATTGAAGTACTTCGGGTGACCAAAACCACAGCCGAGGAAGTTAACCAAAAACTAAAGATTTCCGAGGTAACTGAGCGTAAAATAATGAAGGCACGCGAAGAGTTTCGGGCGGTGGCCAAACGAGGATCAATCCTTTACTTTCTTATTGTTGAAATGAGCAACGTGAATGCCATGTACCAGAACTCTCTCAAGCAATTTCTAGTCATCTTTAACCACTCGATCACAAAGTCGGCCAAGTCCAGTGTCACGGAGGAGCGCATTAACATTATCTTGCGATATCTCACCTACGAGGTGTACAAGTTCACCAATCGCAGTCTCTATGAACGGCACAAGCAACTGTTTACCTTGATGCTGGCCATTAAGATCGACTATCACAATGAGAACATCAGCCACGAAGAGTTCTTGACCTTCATCAAGGGCGGTGCCTCACTGGATTTAAATGCTGTCACCCCAAAGCCCTTCCGCTGGATCTTGGACATTACCTGGCTCAATCTAGTGGAGATTAGCAAGTTAGAAACCTTTTCCACTGTTTTGCAGGTGATTGAATTGAATGAGCGGGATTGGCGCACTTGGTACGAGTGCGAGAAGCCCGAGTACGAGGAAATCCCTTGTGGCTATAATGCACTTTTGGACAGCTTTCGAAAATTGCTTCTCATTCGCTCCTGGTGCCCCGATCGAACCATATCTCAGGCCAAGAAGTATATAGAAGGTGTGTGCTCTACAGAAAGTAAGATAAGTATCAATATTTGATTGTGTTTTTCTTGTATAGAATCTCTGGGGGGCGAGTATAGTGAGATGCAAATTCTAGACTTGGAGGAAATGTGGCTGGAGTCGGAGCCACGCACACCTTTTGTCTGTCTTCTATCGATAGGATCCGATCCAACCACACAAATTGGGGCATTGGCCAAGCAGAAGACTATAAGTAAGTGTCTAACAAAGCTCTAAATTTCTAATAAACTCTAATGAAACTCTCCTTGAGTAGCCCTGAAAGCTGTGTCGATGGGGCAGGGACAGGAATATCATGCCCGAAAAATGATAATGGAATCAATGTCCAGTGGCGGCTGGGTTCTGCTCCAAAACGTGCATCTCTCGCTGCCTTTTTGCACTGAGATTATCGACATGCTGGTGGAGACAGAGCATATCGACGAGTCCTTCCGAATGTGGGTCACCACTGAACCGCACAACGAGTTTCCAATTGGATTGCTGCAAATGGCTCTCAAGTTCACAAATGAACCCCCTCAGGGGATTCGTGCCAGTCTAAAGCGCAGCTACCAGGTGCGGCATGGCATTGTAAATTCTCGGAGCACACTTAATTATTAATTTTCAATCTTTTTCCGTGAGCCAGTCGTTCACACAGGACTTCCTTGATTACACCTCAGCCTCACAGTGGCCGCCGTTACTGTACACAGTGGCTTTTCTGCACACCATTGTCCAGGAGCGACGAAAATTCGGCCCCCTGGGCTGGAATATACCATACGAATTCAATCAGGCAGACTTCGCAGCCAGCGTTCAGTTTGTTCAGAATCACCTAGACGAAATGGACCCAAAGAAAGGTGTCTCATGGCAGACGCTGGTCTATATGATTGGAGAAGTGCAATATGGTGGACGGGTGACCGATGATTTCGATAAACGCTTGCTCACGACCTTTACCGCAGTTTGGTTCTGCGAGCAACTGCTTACAAACTCCTTTGAGTTCTACAAGGGCTACAAGGTACCAGGCACAAAGAGTCTTCAGGGCTTCATCGATTATATAAACAGTTTGCCGGCATACGATACCCCAGAGGTATTCGGCTTGCATTCGAATGCCGACATCACGTATCAGATAAATTCAGCAAAAGGTATGAGTATTTTACGTAGCTTCGTTATTAAAACAGAGAGAAATGTAACATTAACACGTGCACATAATCCGCCGAGACCCACGATGATCTGTAATCGGGAAATAGCCAGAATTGCGTGGTTTATAATTGTACCGTTGTAGATGTATAGCCACTCTGTTTAATTTTATTTAAATCCCCATTGCATAAACAATTCCCCAGGACTTTGCGTGTTGCTCCCAATCAATAAAAACAAAAAATTTGTGATTTAGCAGCAGTGAATGTGAATGAAATCAAATCGGATTCCAAACCCACTCAGCCATTAGCACATTAGCATATACCCAGATAGCCCCAAGTCTTTGATTGTTCCTGATTCTGATTCGCAGGCATCCTGGACACTATACTGAGCGTTCAGCCGAAGGAGGGTGGCGGCGGTGGAGGCGAAACAAGGGAAAGTATTGTCTACCAACTGGCAGATGATATGCTACGCAAGCTCCCAGCCCAATACAATGCCTACGAAGTGCGTGAGAATCTCAATCGAATGGGAATCTTGTTACCAATGAACATTTTTCTAAGGTAAAGTAAACTTTTTCAGCTTGAAAGTACTTTGGTATTACTTTATTAAATGTTACAGACAAGAAATCGATCGAATGCAAAGGGTTATTAAGCGCGTACACACTTGCCTTTGCGATCTTAAACTGGCCATTGATGGTACGATTGTAATGAGTCCCGCTTTAAAGGAATCCTTGGATGCTATGTACGATGCCCGCATACCAGAGACCTGGATGAAGGTGTGTATTCGTTCAGCAAAAATAGATTTGGTTCAATCGTCAGTTCCGGAGGATGTAAAACTGACTTCACCATAAAAAAGAAATTTATTTTTCTTCAGAAAAAAAAAAATTGCAACTCTAGGAAGCATATTTTGAGTGTTTCACTCGTTTTGCACGCAGGTGTCTGTCTGGTGGAAGGAAATGATAAGGGACAAGGGGCCCACAAGTGCATACCATCACGGGGGGAACACCAAGGAAACGCTCGTGTAGATGAATGTAAAAGTCAAATAATTTAAAAGGGAATGGGGAGTTAAGGAAATAAACTAAGTCTTAGATGGGCAGGTGTTGATTCTTGATGGTGGGTACATATTTGTTTCTTTTCTGTCCTTTCAAAGAAAGCGAATGGATCTAGTAATCATTGACCAAAGGAAAAACAATATTGAAGTTGAAGCTTACACCAAAAATAGATTTCTGTTCGGAACCTTATTTAAATACTTTATTTTCAAAATACGAATAATAAGAAAAAACAATGAAGAAAGCAATTACGAGTGCCATGCACAACAATCGGAATGTTTTCCTTACGAAAACTACCGAATTCGACCAACAAAATGTTGAGGATACTTCGTATTTGCCACTCGGACACCGCCAATATGGCTTCATCAAGGCCAACAAGACGAGCACACCGTTCCCCTCAACTCACTCGCTTGACCCAAACCTGCTGGACAACAAGCTGAAGAACATCCAGGAAAAACCCATGCATAGTAATACAATTTCTGATTCGGAAACATCATCTATAATTTCGGACATCGTTGAACACCAAACATGGGCCAATACAAATGATACTATTTCTGAGAAAGAGATACCCTTTGAGCTGAAAAGGAAACTGTTCGATGAAGCCGAATTCACTGTGACACGGGGTCTGAAGCTGAGCGATCTGCACCATCCTGAAATAGATGTCTCCCATATGCCGAGATCCTTTAACTACGACGCAAAGAAGCTGTCCTTCAAGGAAATGGAAGCCTTCTGCCGCCACATGAACTTTAAGATTACCAAAGGATTTGATGCAGCGTTTCATTAAAACATAATTCTGTTTTGTTTAGTCTTCATTCGGAATTCCCAATAAAAACTTGTTCGTATTGAGAAAACGTTCTCCCTGGCCTTGCTTGTGTGTGCTCTTTAAATCTTTCCTACCAGATAATGTCTCTTGTCAATGTCACTTTCAGATATCATGGGAGTCCACAACTCTGGGCTTTTGGTACACAGAGCTACTCGAGCGCAACGGACAATTTCGGACATGGATATCAACGGATCGTCCGAAGGTAAGTGAAAGCTACCTCTTCTCTTTGAGAAGTGTGGAGAGATATGTATACTACAAAGACTACATTCAAATTTATGTATACATTTATTTAATTAATCCAAACAGGTATTTTGGATGACTGGCTTCTTTAATCCACAAGGTTTCCTGACTGCTATGCGGCAAGTAAGTTGAACCGATGAATTAAATACTATTGCATCTATCTATATATCATCCATATCTGTATCATCCGTCCTAGGAAGTAACGCGAGCACACAAAGGCTGGGCACTGGACTCGGTTGTGCTACAGAATCAAATAACACGCTATAATCGAGAAGACATCACAGAGTATCCAACGGAAGGAGTTTACGTCCATGGATTGTTTCTTGAGGGTAATTTTGGTCCTTTCCTATTGTTAAGAAATGATTCCTATGTGGAAAATGTACTTTTATTGTAGGTGCCTCATTGGATCGACGAAGTGGAAAGCTGATGGAGTCCAGAATGAAAGTCCTGTATGAACAGATGCCCGTCATTTACATATACGCCATAAACACCACAGCTGGAAAAGATCCCAAATTGTACGAGTGCCCCATCTATCGTAAGCCACAGCGAACGGACTTAAAGTATGTGGGCTCAATTGATTTTGAGACGGAATTCAATCCAAAACACTGGACACTGCGTGGCGTGGCCCTGCTCTGCGACATCAAGTAGACCGTAAACCAAGCCAAGTCATTTTTTGCCGATGCCCGTGTCCGTGCCTTTGCTTGCCAGAAGTACGTGAGTGGTACTGCTGATAATTATTTTCTGTTTTTAGGTAAACGTTCAAGTTTCGTGTAATCTAGTAACTAGTGCAAATACAACAACATTAATTGGACCTTCGGGGCCAACGGTGTGTTCCCACAATTATTAGCTTGTAAAACCATTTGTTAAACACAAGTTGAATTTTCAAAGCACAATATTCTCGAAGAGAGATAATATGCACGTGAACTCTATGTGGATGGGGCAAGATAATTTGTTCAATAAAAAAACGTAGAAAATTAAATGTCTAAAAAATGCATATGTTTCTACCATCTTCTGCCTTATAAACTCACGGTTTATATTTTTTAAGCGGGGAGGAACCATTGCTTCATAATTAATCGTCATTTTAATACCTCATGGTTTTTATTTTGAATTTTTTTTATAAGTGTACATATACATAGGTACGCACATATTTTTATATAATATATATATATATATATATATAGATTCGATTTTTTGTCACTATATTAGCTTTGTTTGAAAACTTTTTTTATTTACATTCACTTTACATACAATATATAAATGAAAAGTTAATTGTTAATTAATACTCGTAATTTGTATTTTTCCGCGGGGGTAAGGTGGGGGCCGGCCCCCCCCGCCCGCCCGCGCCCCCGCCCCCGCCGGGCGCCCCCCCCCGTACCCCCCCCCCCCCCCGGCCCGCGCGCCCCCCCCCGCGGCGCCCGCCCCCCCCCCCCCCCCCCCCCCCCCGCCGCGTTCAGCGGGGGCGGTCGCACTCTCCTGGTCGGGGTCCCCGTTTTTAATGTAAAGATCAAAAAACCATTTAATTCCAGTTTAATACCTTGTCAACTTACACACTGGTGGCATGTTATATTTATTTATGATTCAAAGAAGTAGCTGATCGAGTATAGTAATACAAATGTATATTGTAAGGTTGTATTCTTTCTACGTTAAAATCGGTATTTGTATTCGTATTTGTATGATTTGGAACCATTTTTGTTGTCTTTAAACGTTTACTACGTAATTTCAATAGTGATCAAAAGTGTATGCTTAACAAAAAGATTGTGCAAAAGAGTCCATCAAGTATTATTATTAATTATTTGAGCATCCGTTACACAAAGACAATAAAGAGGAAATACTCGAGAAACTTAACAAAAATTATTGTCCGCCCGCGGAGTAAACAATTCTGTATCGATGATCACTATCAATTACGCTTTTAAAAAATGAATTTTATTTGTATTATTAATTTTATAATTATATTTTGTAGCTTTGGTTTAGATTTGTAATCAATCAAAGAAGGAATTCACTTTTTTTTGTTGAACAGTATCTGTGAGAGAGGTAGTATAAATCGCTAGTTAATTTTAATTTGAATAAAATAAAAAACTTGAATACAGTGAGCAACATTGAAAAAGTTTGTTAATCGAAGGATTTGAGTGGAGTGGAGTCGATTGGACGTGGATTGGATGTGGAGTATATGCACACACAACATGCCTGCCTTGTAGCCATCCATTTAGGAACCGTCAATGTACATTACTATGCATTTCTATGTATTCCATCTTATCCATTTTGATGCATGTGTAACCGTATATCGTGTATCGTATCTGTTATATGTAATCTGAAATTGCATCCCAATCTTTAGACGCTTAAATGTCATTATAGCTCTTTTTTTGCAGTAGATAGCGGTAGAGAAAGTTCCAGGGAAGATATTCAATTGTATTGTCCACACCTGCAGCAATTCCATTCTGTTCCAAGTTGGGTTTGTCCTCCTCGAACGCCTCATCCTCCATCCTGCTCTCCTCCTCTGTGTTTACGTTCTCGTCGTCATCATTGGCATTGTCGTCTACGTCCGTGTCTGCCACATATATGGTTGCGTTTTTGCTGGCCATCGCAGCAATTCTATCACCGTGATTTTCATGATATTTTTCATTTTCAACTTCATTTCCGTTTTCTTGATGTTGCCCCACCACACTCATGCCCAGACCTTGTCCAGCACCAGCACCGCTTAAAGATTTTTTTGCATAGTTAAACAACTTTTGAGCTCGTGATTTCTGACTCTGACTCTGTGAAGTGTCTGGGGACTGTGGCATCGCATATCTCCACTGGAGTGGACTGAGGAAATTGGTCCAGTGCAGCTTCTGCTGACGCTTGTTGCTTTGTGGCTCTTCTCTGGCCAGCTCCCTCCCAGTCAACGTCAACTGCTGCGCGTAAGGTCTGGATATCATTGCCCCTGCCGGTTTTAGGTAGACTCGTTTACCCACGTTCTTCAGAATGGCCCGATTTAATTCAACCTGTTTGCAAGCGCAAATAAAGTAATACGGTTAAAATTAAAGGATTTGCTGAAAAATACTACAGTGATTGCATGTCATCCGACAAGGGTATGGATGAGCTTAACTGGCAAAATTTATTTAATTATTTTTCAGAGTCTCAATGCAGTCGAATTTTACTATTCGATTCGTACACGTCATGTCATAAATCTCCACAGTTTCAAGTATTACAAGAGTCCATGGGCCATGAATCCTATGATATCGATATCTATTCCTCGTTAATTCGGACACATATGCCCTAAATGTACTATTAATATTAAAGCCCTTTGACAAATCAATACGAGTGTGTGTGTGTGTTAAACGTTCTACGGATAACCCTTCCCTGCACCTGGATTTCGTTTCGACAAAAGGTGAACCTACTATCAAGGCAAATCGTTTGAATTCCTGGCATTAAATCGTTTGATTTTTTGTTGTTGTCTTTTATATTTTGCCTTGGGGATGAAATCGTTTGGTAACCAAACAAACGCTTTGTTGCGAAGAAAAATATTTTTTTTACACATACGCAGTGCCTGGTTTTGGGCTTTGGGTGCTGCTGCTGGGCCATCGCTATATACTCTGTATACATATACATATATCTACACATATAGAATGTTAGGTCGAGCTTATATATACATATGTTTTTATGTAGAACACATCATGCTCAATTTCGTTTTCTACCTTTGCTTTTTTCAATGCTTCAATGAGCAAAACGGCAAACAAAAACTTGCCAGGTACGATAAGTACTTATATATTTTATAGAAAATATGTATGTTTTGTAGTTGCTTCTTGCTCTGCTTAAGTTATTAAAAAACTTTTGTGCAGATGCTTTCTTTATGGGCTTTTCAAAATATTTCTCATTTAGCATTCTAGTTTTGATAAGCCCCGCCTCCATATTTTTACTTATACTTCACGCCACACCAAATTACGCTTAAGTAACTTTTTCTTGGTACCTAGGGAGAAGTTTGTGTGTTTTCTCATTTTTTTTCTGCTCATTAAAAATACCAAGCAAAGTGGTCAAACAATTTGGCGCTCAACTCAGCGCTTATTGTACCAATAGGAGCCCCAAACCTTACCAAACCATTTATCACACCTTCGCTCACTCACCTGCCGTGTATTCTCCTTCATTTGCCTGCGCGCTATTTCCAGCAGCAACCTCTGACGCAGGACATCCAAGGGATTGACAATGGACAGGGACGGCTTATTGCGCTTTGCGAGTAAAAAACCATCCTAGATGAGAAAAGTATATAAAATTACTTTGGGAAAAGTTCTAAAGACATCAAATGAAAACTTGGATAATGGAAATGCTTTTAATAGTGCATATAATACGAATATTTCTATCTGCATGTAAATCGAGGGCGTAGTAGCTAAAAATATAAATTTTGGATCATGATATCATCAGTATATCATATCAGTTGTGTGCTGTGATGGATTCTTGTTTGTAAATTATGGAAAACTGTTGTTTGGAATTCATTGCTTATCATTGCTTTTTTAGGTTTTTTTTTTCCACTTAAAAAACTGTCAGACCAGGCTGGGCGATAACAGCAATTTACCGATAAAATAAGAAGAACACCAAATGGCGTGGTGTGTGAGTCAACAAATAAAACAAATTGCATATAACAAGCTAAAACATAGTAGTTTAGTTTCCCAGCTAAAAAATACGTGCAGAAAGAGATATTTTAAAGTTTTAGAATCTTGAGATACTTGTATGAATCAAATAATCATATAAATAGTGCTTGGTTCTTATTTTAATTGACTTAAAAAAATATTCAAATACAAAAATTACAAACAATTTCCACTATAATTTCGGGCTATCAGAAACCACAATCTACCGATTAGATAAAGTAATGTACATGTACATACATATGTACATGTATGGTGTACGGTCACAATATCTGAAACGTTTAAAGTGGGAAATAATTATCTGATTTTTATAAAAGCAATTGCCAAATGTCGTTCAGGCCAGTATACTCTACAACATTGCAAAATGAAGGTTCTTTCGCTCTTTTTGTCGGCCGCGCTAATGGCAACAGTTTTCTCCAAACCACATGGTGGCTGGAAGGGAAGTATTTCCGGCCACTGGAGGATCAGCGGGGGAAGTTTGAGAGCCAAGGAATGGGAACCCAGGAATGCCCATCATGACAATAGCCACGAAATTTTAAAGGAAGACTCATCAAAAGAGAGCACAAAGGATTCCACCACTGATTTACCTCCTCCTGCTGATGACTCCACAACTGATGCCGGGAAGGAAACCACTGCTGGTCTCAAAAACCCTGAAGACTCTACCACTCAATCTGCTGAAGAGCCTGAGGATTCCACAACTGATTCTGAGAAGGGTAAAGGATCTACGGAAGAAAACACTGCTGTAACGGATAACGAAACGACAACGCAGGTGCCAGATGACTCCGAGGAGAGCAGCGGATCTACGGAAGAAAACAGTGCTGTTACGGATAACGAAACGACGACGCAGGTGCCAGATGACTCCGAGGAGAGAAGCGCATCTACGGAAGAAACCACTGTTGTTGCGGACAACGAAGACCCAACCACTACTGAAGAACCTGATATGACTTCCACTCCTGATGAAACGACGACGCAGGTTTCAGATGATACCACAACTGACTCCGAGGAGGGCAGCGAAACTACTACACTGGAAATTGTCGCAGTCTGAAGAGCCTTCATTAATTGTAAGCTTCTAAGCTCTGCTCCCTGGTCCACAAATACTTACATGCATAAGTTATTTGCTCACCTAAGTACCCTAAAAGTTCTTTAAAAACTTTTGATTGTCAACAAGAGTTGTAAAAGCAAATAAACATTTTGTTATTCCCCTAATTAGGTGAGGTAAGGCACCTGGCATCGTTTGCCCAAAATTTCTATTTGTTGTTCATGTTGTTAGGTCCGACGAGACAATCAATTTTTCAATGTCAACCTATCACAGAAGATGCTACCTATGCCTCGAAGGTAGCATTGAAGCATTCCTTGTTCATTTGATCAAAGCATTATAAAGGGAATGAAATTACTTAGAATGTATTACGGGCACTTGACTAAAAAATAATTCGTGAGATAGTAAAACCAGAAATAGATAAGAGACTGGTATAATCTTGTGTGTGAGACTTTAAGAATCTAAGTATTCCGAATATGTTAAAATCATAAAACTATTTTTTCACTGAAAACTATCGACAGAACTGCATAAACAATAGTTATAATCCAGAAAAACGGCATCAATTGATGGCAAAGCCTGTTTCGAAAAGGTGATGTCGATGCAACTAATTGAATATCCATTCCGAAGACAAAACGAGAAGGAACGTTGTGAGTCGATTCTGTGGAGTGAGTCTACTTTTATACCCGTACTGAGTCAGAATAAAAATTTGTGAGCTTATGATTTAAGTAGAATTTTAAAATATTTTACATTTTAAGACAGACAGACATGGCTCTATCGACTCGGGTTATGATGCTGATCAAGAATATATATACTTTATGGGGTAGGAAACGTTTCCTTCTCTGCGTTGCACATATCCACTTTTACCACATATAAAATATACCCCTTAACTCTTCTAGTACGGGCAAGTAAGGCAAAGGAAACTGTTGGTAATCCTATTCGAAACAGAAAGCAAACATAAAAGGAAAAATACGCAATTCGCACCTGTATGTTCCGTGCATCCAGGTAGTCCAAAGGATATCCGTTTATGTGGCTGTTTCCATCAGGGTGTTCCCCTTTCTGTGCCGCCCCGCCTCTCTGTGCCGTACAAACGAGCCTCGTTGCACACAGTAAAGTTAGTAAAACCGGACAAAACCACGCTGTGGCTTTCATCATTTCTGGAATAAAGTGAGAACAAATTCTACAGTCCTGAATTATACAAATGAATAAATTACTGGTTTGCAAGTAACACTATAAATGTTTGGATGTATTCATAGGATGCATATAATTAAGTTCAGTAAAATAACCCCGGCTTTGTACAATTTGAAAGTAACTGTCAGGTCAGGTCAGTTAGAACCTTTGAACTACCACTTTTTCCCACTGGGATAGAATGGAAAAAAAAGTAAACCGCTGACTTATGGGAAATGTGCATCATTTTCTGACAACAAGAAGCGCTCTTATGATTTATGGGACACATAAATATGAATACGAGTGCGGTCCATCCATCCGAGCCTTACTCCATGCCAAAGAGACCTTTAAATTTTAGCCGACAGGGGACTCCTTTTTGGGTTGAAAAATTTCATAAACATTATGAACTATGAACTATTATAATGTATTTAATTTTCAATAGAAATAAGTAAAATATCCAGATATATACAAATGGCTTGCGTCTCCTTTAAGCCCCCCGACAGAGGGTAGCTTCTGCTTTTGTATCGAGGATGGTAGTGTGGGTGCGGGGTGAAATGATATTTCACCTGTCAGAAGGAGTATTAGACGGCATAACTATTCGTACGAGTAGTATTTGCCGTCAAATAAATAGAAGTAAATGTTAAAATGGCGGCAGCATTAGCAGTGCCGGTCGGTAATCACATGTCAAATTTGTATGAGTGCCATTTCATGGCAAAAGGATTTTCGAATTCAAACAGAATTCGATTCCACCATCATCTACCGTACTTTTGCAGTGACGACTATTGGCTGACATCTGACTAGTGATTCCTTTTTTAATAGATATCGAAGTAAAATGTTAAAGTTCACGATGCTGGTCTTCAACGAGAGGGCCAAAGGAATCGAGAACATATTTTTTCTAATAATATAATAAGTTATTTGGCACCCACATTCTTCTATTTGAAATGAAATAAATATTGATTTTTGGACACCCCCAAATAGTCGTGTGAGTAATAAAACTCCACTCCACTGTACCACTGATAATTGTGCTCTCGTCGGAAACGTGATTGCCTCAAGCTGTGTGCCAGGATGCTCTTTGAATTTATCCGTAAAATACAAAAAAAAAAGGAAAAAAAATATCTAAACAAAAGGAACCAAATTTCTGTCTTATCTATTTAAACTTTATGTACAAAATGTACAGATTGTACATATATTTATTTGTATGCAAATATCCCCAGAACAGAAAAGAGAGAAAAGTTTTGTAATCCGACAAGGATGTTCTTAAATGATATTTAAGGACGATAAACAAGAAAATTTGTAATAAGTCTTATTAGTCTTTTAATATGTGTAGAAAAATCTGTCGCTAACAGATGGAAGTCCTAAGTCCAAGTCCTAAGTCACTTGCAGCAATTTAATTAATTAAATCAAATTTTAAAAACCATGATCTGATTCCAAAGAAATCTAAAATTTGTATACCAACTATAAAGATATTTCGAGGGAAATCTTCCACACCTTTTTACGTTTTCTTAAAAATTTTTATAATTTCTTGTCAACTTTCTTCGAAATATTTTTAAAACCATATATAAAATCTTACGTTAATATACGAACTCGATGAAAAGAAAAAGAAAATCACCTCTTCAATATTTATGCGTCCAATTTCTTGGTATCTTCAATTCAGCAATACAATTAATTGTATGATGATAAAGATATATGTATCTTGCGCTGCTAAAATGTAGACCGAATTTGGATTATATGTATTTTACGAGTATATTATGTATTAACGAGCCACGCCGCGATGCCAAAAGCGTTTGGCGAAAAGCGATGCCTGAAGCTCTGGTAGAGTTCTGGCGACTAGTATGAACGCAACAGGCTGACGGCGAACGGGGAACTCAGGTTCCAGAGCATTCACGGCGTGTTTTTATATTAAACACAAAACGAAGGTGCCACACGAAGTGGCAGTGTGGCAGGAACGATGATAGACGAAGAGTCAGTACGATGAAAATGAGGAAGGAAACGATGTTGAGGCCATGCGACTGTTATGAATGAATGGAAACGTGCGCCACGCACCTTTTAAGCCACCTTAACCGAAAGAATATTCATTATGATGAAAGCAATAGTTGCAAGAAGGGATCACATATATATATATTGCAAAAGGTGTTTCAGTGTAATTATTTCTAAAATTTCTAAAAGATTCACCAACGCACTTGTGCAACATGTTGCACAGTATAGTCTTAAATGCTGGAGTAACATTTTAATTATAGAACTCAATTAATATTTAATGACTTATATTTGCACATTAATTGTTACCCCTGTTCTATCGCCGTGAAAGTTGACAGTAACATGCACGGAACCCGTGCACTACTCAATGTCATGTCGTAGATGGCAAAGGCTAACGTTTTTCGACGTTCTTGTCCAACGCATTCGCATCGCATTCAGGTGTAAAATTGCTTGCCATTGCCATAAATCCGTCTAACCAATTCGTATACGAGTAGGTAGGTTGTGATCTGACTTTTCGTCACATTGGTACAGTCCTTTTGCCGCCTACTAACTTTGACATGCTTTTAATTGCTGACAACACGTGTCTGTGACGTGAATGTATGCAATTTTGTAATTAAGCACGTAGCCGTAGCCAAACGTCTCTTCCAGCTTTTTTATAGCTGATTGAATTCTGTCAAAATGTGCCTGATATCTTTTTCCTGCGTGCCTGATTTTGGGATGTTTTTAAGTGTCCTTCTAACAAAGATATATACTACATATATTTTACTATACTTTTGAAAAGGTCCTAATAGATTGTCTTTAAAAGTAAACCATGAAAAATTCAATCAATCAAATCAATCTCTGTACAAGGTTTAGCAAAGAATTTTCAACAGAAGGACCTCTTTAAACGCAAGTTCACGCACTCCATCCGTTAAAACAATTTAAGGGTTCATTCCTGACATACACTTCAGTTGCCAAAGACAAAACTCATTAATTTATTTATTAACACACGGATAAAGTTCAGTATAGTACCCACATAGCCACCCGCCAGCCGCCAGCCGCCATCCCCAGCGGGGTAAAATCTTTTCTTTGATTTGCGTAATATGTCTATGACTCGACCAGATTGTCCCCTTCACACCCCCTCCTAATCGACTTCTAAGCGACTAAACGGTGGTAAACGGTCATTTAATGAGAAGTCAAAAGCCAAAGGCAGACGCTTCAATTCATCCAATTATACATTACCCAGGCTATTGACATGAAAATGTTTAACTCATCCAATTGTACACGTTAATGTGCAATGAAATAATGCTCAGGAACCCTTGTGCCTTAGTGTCGGTCAAACCAAGTGATTCATAATTTAAGGAACAATGTAAAATAAATCTGTAGCGCCTCCACAACAACATTTAATTAGCAACGTTTTGCGTCTTGGCTAAGCGCAATGTTTGGCTTCCAGTTTCTTTCAAACTATAATAAGTTTTATTGTGGATTAGTGTTGAAGCCTTTCAATTAAATCAAGTTACGGGCTGAGGGGGAAATACCAAATACCAAAAAAGGAGTTAGGGAAAAAGTTTTCTAAGATTTCTAAGCCCGAGCTTGGCATTTGCGTAACTTTTTATTATGTTGTTGTTGCAAGGGTAGTTACATTATGTAGCCAAAACTTAGTCAACAGATTAAGAGAGACTAGATTAAATTAGAGAGACTTAAATATTTATTCTATAACGCACACATCGATATATTGCTGATATCGATGTATTTTTATTTCCGATAGTTCCTCCGTGTTTTAAAATACCAGTGACAGGTAACCGATATGCGTATATCGTCGTGCCACATTTGCAGCGAGGCACCATCACTAGGAAAACAAATATGGCGGATCTGTAAGCAAAGTAGAAAAAGTGTAAAATTTCGGAAATAATTGTATATTAAACAATCGAAAATTCCCATTTTTGCTAACCAAAATGAAAATGTGGCTACGTTTATGAGGCCCAATGGGATTACATTACCGAATCGGCGACAATTTGTTGTATGTGGAGTGTATTTTCTGGGTGTCGTGTCGCAATGCGCCCAATTGTTATTACGTGACCTCGGAAACGCCGCAAAAGATAGTTTGCACAAAAACAGCAAGCAGAAGCAAAAACAAATATCGTTCAGCATTTGCATTCAGCAAACGAAAAGCGCACCCAGTCAATTTAAATCCAGTGCGAAGGGCGGACTTATACGCAGTAAAGTAACTTGTGCTAAAATTATTTTGTCTTGGCCCCTAAGTACAAATTGCCGCTTAAATAAAAACACAAATACCATTGCAAGTGAAACAGAACGGGCATCCATTGAGATGCAAATGTAATGTGAAATATCACATTAAATAGAAAGACCAAATTAACGAAAAAAAATGTCTGGGGGTCGCGACAGCAGCACTAGTGGCACCAGCAGTGGCAGCAACTCCACCACATCAGCAGCCACATCTCCAGCGTTAACCCAAAGACAACGTGGTCGTCCGGCCAAGAGGGCCACCTGCACCTGGTGCGGCGAGGGAAAGCTGCCCCTGCAGTACGTTTTGCCCACCCAGACGGGGAAAAAGGAGTTCTGTTCGGAGACGTGCATTGCCGAGTTCCGCAAGGCGTACAGCAAAGGGGCATGCACCCAATGTGACAATGTGATCAGGGTTGGAGCACCCAACAAGGAATTCTGCTCGATTATGTGCATGAACAAGCATCAGAAGAAGAACTGCTCATCTAGGCATGGCTGTGGTGGGGGGTCAGGCGGTGGCAAGGGTCTACCCGAAAGCGAGCGAAAATTGCTGAGCAGTGGAGCGCCCGCCCCTGCAGGCCCCTTCCAGTATGAAAGCTTTCATGTCTTCGACTGGGATGCCTACCTGGAAGTAAGCTATATAAAATAAATATACTGTTTTTCCGTACTAACTATTTGCTGGTTTAAGGAAACTGGCAGCGAAGCCGCCCCTGCGGAGTGCTTTAAACAGGCCCGGAATCCGCCCAACAATGATTTCAAGATTGGCATGAAACTGGAAGCCCTGGATCCACGTAATGTCACCTCCACCTGCATTGCCACAGTCGTGGGGGTTTTGGGATCCCGACTTCGGTTGCGTCTCGATGGCAGCGACTCGCAAAATGACTTTTGGCGCCTGGTAGACTCCACAGAAATCCATGCCATCGGTCACTGCGAGAAGAACGGTGGCATGTTGCAGCCACCGCTCGGATTCCGAATGAATGCATCTAGCTGGCCTGGCTACTTGTGCAAAATCCTCATCAACGCAATGGTAGCGCCCGAGGAAATCTTCCAGCCAGAGCCGCCATCGCCGGAGGAGAACCTCTTCAAAGTTGGCCAGAAACTGGAAGCGGTTGATAAGAAGAATCCGCAATTAATCTGCTGCGCCACTGTCGATGCCATCAAGGATGACCAGATTCACGTGACGTTCGATGGATGGCGTGGGGCCTTCGACTATTGGTGCAACTACCGCTCCAGAGACATCTTTCCCGCTGGGTGGTGTGCCCGCAGCTGTCATCCCATGCAACCGCCGGGCCACAAGTCCCGAATGGACTCCAGTTCGAGCAAGCAACGTTGCGCACGTCCCCGCTACACTGTTGTCACCGAATCGGAAGCCATGGTCCCCGCCTCCCCGGCCACCGCCCACTTCCATCCGAACTGTAAGGGCGGTCCGTTTATCAACAACTCGAAGCTGCCGTGCATGGTGACGGGACCGACGTATCAAACGCTGGCCAAGCTGTGCCTGCAGGAAATCCTAGCTGCAAGCACGGATACACAGCAGCTGTCCAAGCTGCTATTCGCCTTAGAAGGAGACGTGCACATTGTGACTGCGGCAGGAAAGAATTTCACAGTAAGTGTACAGCAAGTGATCTTTCGTTTCGAATCTGTATTAATTACGGGTATGGTTTAGGTTAAAATCCCATCGCCGATGCACATGAAGGACGACGAGAGTCTGGCCCAGTTCATCGAGACGCTGTGCACCACATGCCGGGCATGTGCCAATCTCATTTCGCTCGTCCACGAGACCGAAGAATGCAAGAAGTGCGCCCATAGCAGAAAGCGTCAGCTGATACAATCGACTACGCCTCCCTCATCGCCCGTGCTTTCGGATAAACGGAATCGGCCATCCTCTGACAAGGTGTTGATCAAACAAGAAACGGGGGCAAAATCTCCGTCGGATATGAAGCCCAAACCCCTGCCGAATAATGGGAAAGAGCATACGAATCCAAAGAATCAGAATACTCAAAATAGCCAGAACAACGGGAGCGAAAGTAAACCCAGTGCGAAGGTGGTCATCAAAACAGAACCCAACGGCGTGACTGGCGGAGGGACATCCACCACAACGCAAGCTTTGCGCAAAGTACGCTTCCAGCATCACACAAACAACAACAATAGTATCATCAACAATGGAAACACAGAGATAAAGCAAACCACGACTGTGAGCAATTCTTCGTCGCCATCGTCGACTACAAGTTTGGCGGCGGGTGGGACAGCTAATGCAAGTTCTATTGGAAAGTACCTGGCTCCACTGGTGGCCGAAGTGCATCCAGAACAGATTAACGTGAAGCCCTCAAACAGCTATTACAAATCTCCCACAACACTCTCCTCCAGCGCCTCGTTGCCAACATCTGTGTCTACTCCGTTCACAGGCTGCCAGTCGGCCTCATCCACTGCACTGGCTGCAGGGGGAGTGACGGCACCCAAAGCAGCCACAGCGCCGGCCGGGGCAGCTGCAACGTCAGCTTCCAGCAGCTACACAGCGATTACCTCGCCCCTCAGCGCACCCTCGTCTGCATCTTCTTCGCATCTGCGCTCTCAGCCCATCGACTGGTCTATTGAAGAAGTCATTCAGTATATCGAGAGCAATGATCACTCGCTATCAGTCCACGGGGATCTCTTTAGAAAGCATGTGAGTAAACATTAAGTCAGCCTAGAAAGTGTTCACTCGATTATTATAATGTATATATATATTGCACACAGGAAATCGATGGAAAAGCATTATTATTGCTTAACTCGGAAATGATGATGAAATACATGGGTCTAAAGCTGGGACCAGCCTTAAAAATCTGCAATTTAGTCAATAAGGTAAACGGTCGTCGAAATAATCTGGCACTATAAATGAAGCTTCAAGATAAAGATAAATAGCATATACGGAATGAAGCAGCTCCACATAGCAGGAACACTGTTGACAAATTGACAAATTTTAAATTCTATAATTTATTTTCTGTAATTTATGAAGACAGTTTATTTCTATAATATATAGAATGATGCACGAAAACCCTTAGAATTCTTTATATAAAACAGCTGCAAATTGGAAATATAATATTGTTTTCTTTTGCGTTAAAAGCATGTTAACATTTATATGCAGTTGTGATCGAAATATGTACTCTCAAAACATGATTTTATTGAAAATCAAAAACTAATCAACTGCCAACCATTTCCACTCCTTGCAGTAACAAAACTTTCAAAAAGTATTGTTCCTTAATCATTAAATGCAATAGAAAAACTCCAAACATTTTGAAAACTAGAACCCTGCTACTCAAAAATGCATTGCACATTTATATTACATATTTATTAAACACAAAGACGCACACACTAAGCATCCCACATTTACAAAATTTTACAACAATACGATTATAACTAGGTTTAAAGCGAAACAAACACAAAAGTTTGGAAATATTGTAAATAATTTACATACATATATAATTTTGTAATAATAAAACATTTATTGGGTGTTTAACTAACGAATTCTGTGAAAGGAATTGTCTGTTGACTAAACAAACTATGAAATGTTAATGTTTTAGTTACAAAATAAACTACGCATTAAGGTCCTTCCTTTCCACATACTAATGATGTAAAGTATAGCAATTTGTCTCTCATTATTAAATGAGATGGTTCACTTCGAACCACTTACACATTCAAAATTAAAAGATAAACGAAACCCCTGTATATATACGATTACACATAATTAAAAATGAATAAACTACCAAGATTTGTTAAACTTTTAGTTTTAATATTACATAATCTTGTGAAGAATTGGCTTAATCGATAATTGGCATGCAAAAATATGTATGTAAAATAAATTGAGCATTGTATGTATCGTCAAGTACATGCACACAACTTAGATTAATAGAATGAAGCTAAAACTAAAACTGAATATTGAAAACCAATGTCATGAAAATAAAACATTGTTTTCGTTTATTTTTAATATTCAATTATTGCCTCTATCAGAGGATTCACGCACATTCTGTATTATTCTAGCAGCGATCGGTTGATTTTCACCTTTCATGCAGAGTCGGAAAAATTCGTATGTATTTAGACCACACACTGGCTTCCTTCTCAACAACAAAACAACAACAAATGTACATTACAATATATGTATAACGAACCTATTTTAGGTATACCATAATTAATCACTGTTATTTCCTTTGGATAATTCGAAAAATACAATACTATGACATACATACATATACATATGACAGTAAGGATCTATAAAAAATAGCTTAAAAAAATGGACATGGGCTGGTGCAAAGACAATATAAGTATAAGATGCGTAACGCTCATACATTTCAATTGCCATATGCAAGACAATTTTTCGGCCAGCGCCGAAATTCGCGCCATCTCGCTCGCCCAAATTTGAGAGCGTACGAATCTAAAAATAGAATCCGCTTGCATGTATGAGTACACACAGAACCAGAAAGTGCGTATGTGTGCGTACTTGTGCTAAGCGGACGATTTTCGAGACGGAAACCTTTTTATGAGTTGAGAAACGAAATTATTTACCGGGTTTGAATACGTTGCATGCTAAATACCCTAATGAAAATTATTCCAATGTGAAGTCATGTATTAAATATATATTACATATGTATTTGTATATATGTATATCCGATCATTATTATCGAATATACCATCTGAAAAGAAATTATCATTGGAGGGATATATACATATAATACATATATGAGTTTTTTAATATTGGGGTGGTAAGCGTCCTGCAAAATTAACTTACACTTATAAAGTGAAGGGTATATTCGACAGCGCTGTAAAAAATGTATGCATGTGCACACATACAGTCGTCGCGACGACTCGGCTCGGCTTTCGCATCGGCAAAGAACTAACTTCGTGTGCCTTCGTATGCTGTATGCATACAAGAGAGCGGCTGGCTCTAGATCGCTCTCTCTCTAAAAAATTTCAAGAGAGCCTGGAGCCAGCTCTAGAGCCAGCATTCAAAATTCGTGTGCAGAAATTTCGTATGGCGTTACGCATCTTATACTTATATTGTCTTTGGCTGGTGGGTGGCTCATCCTTTTAATGCAGAAATTAATTTAGTTACTTGTTCTTAATTTCAGTTAGAAAAAAAGATATCAAGAGAATAATGATTTTTGGGTGACATTTTTTGTTAATATTTGTTCAACACATTGAATGTTGTTAATGTAAAGACAAATAGTAGTATCAGACTATTGAAATCTAAATAAATGTATTTAGAGTATATGGATTTGTTTGATGATTTCTCCTGTGGCTATGGATATCGGATATTGGATAGATATGAACTACTTGCTTGAAATGTATTTCCCATTGCGGCACATCGATATAATGTAAATGGAAACGATGCTTGCATTTGGATGTACATATATATTTTTCAAAACGCCACAGCTGTGAACAGCTGTCCGTTCTGAGAACTACACCTTTTTAAAAAAGCTTACGCGTTTCAGAAAGAAAATCAAATTAACAGCGAACGCTAAACGATTTTTATACCCGTACTCAAAAAAGAGTTAAGGGGTATATTAGATTTGTGGTAAAAGTGGATGTGTGTAACGCAGAGAAGGAAAATTTTCCGACCCCATAAAGTATATATATTCTTGATCAGCATCAATAGCCGAGTCGATATAGCTATGTCTGTCTGTCCGTCTGTCTGTCTGTCTGTCTGTCTGTCTGTCTGTCTGTCTGTCTGTCTGTCTGTCTCGATGAGCGCCTAGATCTCAGAGACTATAAGAGCTAGGGCAACCAAATTTGGTTTCCAGACTCATGTGATATCACACTGCTACAAGTGTATTTCAAAATTTCGCCCCGCCCCCTTCCGCCCACACAAAGGACGAAAATCTGTGGCAGGCACAGTTTTAAAGATACGATAAAACTAAAAACGCAGTATCGTAGAGAATGCCCATATCTACCAGACTGCCGAATCTGAATCAGATCGGATCATAATTATAGCCAAAATGAAGAAATTAATTTTCAGTTGCTTCCCCTCCCCCTCCCGCCAACAACAACGCAATTCATTTTCCTTCTCGCTCGCACACTCTGCCGCGTTCAGTGCGCGAGCAACCCCTAGCGGAGGAGATGTAGAATAAGAATGGTACATGTAGAATATACATGTTAGATGGAGAATATACATAGTATATGTAGATGTAGATAACAGATGTAGCAAAAAAATGTAAGATGTCAAATGTTTTTTTTTTTTTTTAATTATAAATAATTATATGCTCAAAAATGTAAATGCTGACTGAGTACGGGTATAAGTAGAGTCGCGTCCCCAGAAGCGACTCACACGTTCCTTCTCGTTTGAAATGCGACAAAGATGCATATTCTTATTTATACAGTAGATAAAATATTTATGTGTATGCAAAGTACTTCCCATCCAAAGACTCCCATGGGACCTCCGTTTTATCTCCAACCAGTGACCAGTGATACAGCATATGGAGGTGCCAGTTCATACAACGAATACGTTGCAGCTGAGGTCTTTGTGGATAGTACCACAGTCTTCGGCGTCCAATTATGGACAAGGAACCAAAACAACCAACGAGACTGTGAACCTGCGAATCGAAAACAAGTCTGCGTGAGTTGTCCCGACAGTTGGAGGAATGCCTAGACTCCTCTTCTCACTCTTTTGCTCCAAAGGAGGGACAGTGCTTAATGGTGAATGCTGAATGATGATGATAGGGAGCCGGGCTTAGCCCCAAATCGTGTCAACAGCATCTTTCTCAGTTGCTTCTGTGGTGGTGGCTAGCCGGGGGCGTTTACCCAACAACGTCCGGCCAAGAGGGCCACCTTCACCTGATGCAACGGGGGAAGATGCCCTTGCAGTACGTTTTTTTCAACCAGGCGGGGAAATACATAGGAGTTCTGTTCGGAGACGTGCATTGCCGAGTTCTGCAAGCAAAGGGACATGCACAAAATGTGACAATGTGTTCGGGGTTGGAGCACCCAACAAGGAATTCTGCTCGATTATGTGCATGAACAAGAATCAGAAGAAGAACTGCTCATCTAGGCATGACTGCGGTGGGGGGTCAGGCGGTGGCAAGGGTCTACCCGAAAGCGAGCGAAAATTGCTGAGCAGTGGAGCGCCCGCTCCGACTGGGATGCCTACCTGGAAGTAAGCTATAACGAGAAGGAACGTGTGAGTCGTTTCTGGGGACACGACTCTACTTATACCCGTACTCAGTCAGTATATACAGCTTAAGATTTTTTAGAATTTTAGAAAAATTTACATTTTACATTTTTTTGCTACATCTGCTATCTACATCTACATATACAATGTCTATTCTACATCTAACATGTAGATTGTACATGTTCCATTTAGATTCTACATCTCCTCCGCTAGGGGTTGCTCGCGCACTGAACGCGGCAGAGTGTGCGAGCGAGAAGGAAAATGAGTTGTGTTGTCGTTTGCGGGAGGAGGAGCAGGGGAAGCAACTGAAAATTAATTTCGTCATTCTGGCTATAATTATGATCCGATCTGATTCAGATTCTGCAGTCTGGTAGATATGGATATTCTATACGATACTGCGTTTTTAGTTTTATCGTATCTTTAAAATTGTGGCTGCCACAGATTTTCGTCCTTTGTGGTGGCGGAAGGGGACGGGGCGAAATTTTGAAATACACTTGTAGCAGTGTGATATCACATGAGTCTGGAAACCAAATTTGGTTACCCTAACTCTTATAGTCTCTGAGATCCAGGCGCTCAACAAGACGGACGGACGGACGGACAGACAGACATGGCTCTATCGACTCGGCTATTGATGCTGATGAAGAATATATATACTTTATGGGGTCGGAAACGTTTCCTTCTCTGCGTTACACACATCCACTTTTACCACAAATCTAATATACCCCTTAACTCTTTTTGAGTACGGGTATAAAAAGGTGTTCCCAGGAGATAATGCTTACGAATGGAAAATACCAGTACTGTAAGGTTAACCGAACATCTAACATAGTTACAAGCAACTATTAACATTTTGTTTTGCTTAGCAGCTTCTATTTGGGCTCTTAGGAATCCAGCCGAGCTATCGAAAACTAGAGCAATCTATGCAGTACGTTTCGCCGACCTTCTCGATGACCGGACCAGTCATAACAGCAGTGCCGTATAATATTATTATAATAGGCTAAAGTTTAAATTTGATTTATAAAATTCCCATAATGAAAAAATCACTGAGCTGTTTTTACAATGAATTGGGTTTTCACTCACTCTAGCGGATTAGGGAATTCAGGTAGATCTATCTTAGGTTACAGCAGACCTGCGCAATACAAATTTATACTAAATAGATGCCTCCTATATGTCGCATAGAACTGGAATTACCAGAGATGGCAGTTTCGCAAACCCGTATTGCTGTCTTTTGAAATGCAGCTTATGTGAAAATATTTTAGTATCGCTAGAGCAGCGAACGAGGTAAAAGCTAACGGGATTTTTTAAGATGATCAGATTTTGGAACAAAATTATACTACTAGTCTGTGCTACTCCCATAGTGACTGCGCAACTTATTTTTCAAACTACACAAAACCCGTTGGAAAAATCTGGAACGATAATATCACACTATGTTCCTACTTCTGAGGCAGGCTGGGTAGTGGTCAACAATGTAAGAGTACAAGGTACTATTACACCTTTCGTCACTCCTCCGCCAGTGACACAACAATTTCTAGACTGCTTTGGCAGTTGTCCAACTACTCCAGAGTATAATCCCATTTGTGGTAGCAACATGCAGCTCTACTCAAATGAACAGAAATTCAACTGCGCGCGATTTTGTGGTGCTGGTGAGTTTGCTTATTATTTCATATATGTATGTATTTATATAGTGCTCACATCCGAATTATTCCCAGATATTCAAATTGTGAGACGAGGAAGCTGTGAGGGTCTTTTTCCAATGACACGTGGTTGACATTACTCATTTCTTCACTGCACAAATAAATCGTAAAATCAAAACAAAAACAAAAACTAGCTTGATTTTAGATATAGGTCTCCCAAAAAATCGCTTACAAAATAGCGTTCAAATGGCAAATCCTTATTATCCTTGATTTCAATATGTTTAAAAGATCCAGTGCTCTCCTTTAAGGGATTTTAAATTTTAGCCTGGATTCTAATCAGTTTACCTAACATCACTTTTTTGGTTTCGTTATGGTTGGCTGACCAGCAAAAATGTAAATTAGCGTTAGCGAATAACTTTTCCCTTTTAATTCCAAAGAAAAATATAGCACAGATGCTGTTTCCTTCTATGCATATTGACCATATTCCAAAGTCTAAAACTTAATATATGTATTTATATTGTATGTATTTTTTAGCTATGTGGTATTCACTCAGATGAGAGTCAAATGATAAAGTCTTTGCAGACCCATTATGGTGTACCGCGGCACGAGCAGTACACCAATGCCATGGTCTTGGCACAAACTCGCTTGGCTGCTGCGGGATGAAAAGTTCGTTGGTGTACGACACATCGTTATGGCGTCTTCAAAGCTATGGGCTTTGATTATGGCCTGATCCATTAAGTAGCTGTGTAATGGAAAATGCATCACAGCCACTCGCCTATCTAGATCCGAAGCCAGCAAATGAGTCTCAGTGTCAGTCCCTGGACCATTTATCCTTTGATAGAGAGAGCGCTTTACGGAATCATGTCTACTTCATCGCGACACCTGGTATCGGGAGCAGTATAGTGTATTCTTTGGCGCCAGTATTTTAATGGCTCTTGTGGAGTTCTGTGTTTTGCTCGCCATTATAATGAGCTGCACGGGAGTTGCCTCCCAAAAGGCTAGACTTGAAAATATTCAAAACCTAACTGCTCAAAAGCGCCAACGTCTTACAGCACTGTCACAGCGTGGTCTTGTCAAAAACATATATGAACCAGAGGTGGAACTCAGAGTAAAATCTGGCCACGGTATGAACGGCGTATGCCTGGGAGTACCTAGCAGGCACATAAGCAGTGAGGACTTTACAGAGATATATCTAACGCCCAGCGATCCACATACGCACAAAAACAATGCGTCGTTCCAACCAATTTCCGCTAACTTCCAAACGCAAAGGATAAATTATTTGGTTTAACTTTTCAAACTCTAAGCTGAGAGAAGGTAGATATGGAATTTACTTATTTTATTTTGTTTGTTTTAGATTGTGAAACCTAACGCAATGTGAAGCTGTGACGGTTCTTGAAGCTATCGAGATAAATACATATATGCACATTAAGGAAATGAATGTAATTACAATGTAAATGAATAATTTTGTGTTGGTTGCAAGCTGGAATCATATTTGTCAGGTCTAAAACCTTGTGGGAATGATATGCTAAAGAAACCCAAACAAGAAAATAATAATTTAAGCTGAATCCTTTATTTATAAAGTCCGTAAATTGTAAATTTAACTGTTAGCAAAATATTGCAAAACAATTTCAAATAGTCATTTTAAGATATATGTATGTAAAATACGTCTAAATCATAAATACATATGTAAATAAATAATGTGTGTCTTTTATCCTATTGATGTTTGCCACGCCTGTATTTGTTGCATTACTTTAATCATTATTGCGTTACATTTTGTAGGATCTGTAGTTGATATAATCTCCCTCAAATAAAAAGCCCTTGTTAAGTCAGGCAAATGTATTTACATGTTCTGTTCTGTTCTTTGAAATTAAATGGGTCCGCGCTTTTCAAATTTAATATAGGGCCCGGCACTGCTGTGAAACTTCTAGTAGAACCACTAGGCACTGCTGTGGTGTTGCGGATTGGGATTTCGATTGAAATTTTGGGATCAGGATTGCAGTTTAACATGCCCTGAAGGCATAGCGACATATCTCCGGGCGACATATCTCCTAGCAGGCCCTGACGACATATGTATCTCAGCACGGAGATAGGAGGAGATACACCCCGAGGGTCAGGAGGACAGTTTTATTAACTCGTCACAGGTCTCTGCGGACGGGCATAGCTCCACCCTGCTATCACTGGCCAGCAAGGGTACGAATGCCTCGAATAGCTTCTCCTTTCGGAAGACACGGTCTTCAAAGTCTTGCAGGCCTTTTTTCCAAGATCATGGACGTGCAGACGCCAGCGTCAGCCCTGGTGACATTGCCGCAGTCAGGCGACACGAGGGCTGCCCTTGTGGCCAAGAAATAAAAAAAAAACACTCTATTCGATAAGCAGCGCCAGGAGCTAAAGAAAAATATATCTTGCAAAATATAACCTATGTATGTTTCTATGAAAACCGCCTAATGAACCAAATGTGGTAAGGCCTCTAATCCCGAAAAGGGATTACATAACCACTGAAACTATAAGCAATAGCAACAGCAGCAGCAGATGGAGCTACCAATCAAAGCGGTCCCCCATCACCAAGCATGACGGATTGCTGCAATTCAAATGAATAATAAAGATACAAAAATTTAATTTTACTTGTTTTTTATTTTCAACTATTTAGTGAAGGGGTGCCCAGGCCCATTGCTCCGCGAGCTCTTTTGTTTTTGTCATTTCTCCCAGCATAGGAAACTAATTCTTGTATCCATACACCAGCGGTGCCCAAATTCAGCTTACGGCCAATAAGGGAACAGTGCAAACTCGAAGAAAGGCAACGACAAAATCATAACAAAATGGCGGTAACACCAATCAGAGAAGAGACAAAATCGGTTTTTGCTGGACGCATTGCATACACACAAAGTAGTTTGCATGTGTTGGGCTTCGGTATGCTGGTACACAGCACAACCTGTGTATGGATACAAGAATTGGTTTCCTATTCTAGGAGCAATCTGCCGCGGCAGAGACAGCTACTATGGCTGCAGGGAGGATTGTGCAGCAGCAGGGGCTGCCAAAAAGGCGCATGGCCAAAAGGCGAATACATTCATACATTCGAATGAAAACATTCATAAATTCGAATGAATACATTCATACATTGGAATGAATACATTCATAAATTCGAATGAATACATTCATACATTGGAATGAATACATTCGAATGAATACATTCATACATACATACATGCCGTGTGTGGGAAGTGGGTGGCAGGAGCAGCGCAGCGGCTGCCTATAGGGCGTGGTGGCGGGGCCGCGGCAGAGACAGCTACTATGGCTGCAGGGAGGATTATGCAGCAGCAGGTGCTGCCAAAAGGCGCATGGCCAAAAGGCGAATACATTCATACATTGGAATGAATACATTCATACGTTGGAATGAATACATTCGAATTAATACATTCATATATTCGAATGAACACATTCATACATTCGAATGAATACATTCATACTAGAGGTGTCAAACCATCGAGGGCACTATCGATAGTATATCTATATTTTACTGCTAGTCTCAACGTTGATATTCCTCGATTTTGATATTCCGTTTAATATTACTAGCTTGTTGGCCCTCTCAGCCCTAAAAAATAATTTTATCCGATAGATACATACATTTTTTACAAGATTGGCAAGTTTTCAGAAGTCCTTTTTATTGGATTATTTACATATTAAGGTTCAAACAAAAACAGCATAAAACGAATTTGTCGTCGTTTTGTGGCGCTGCCAGACTCGTGCAATTCGTAGTTGCTGCGGGCTGCCATACCGTGATATTTTGTGATATGAAATTCGTCAATTTTGATATTCAGTTTAATATTACTAGATAGTTGGCCCTCTCAGCCGTAAACAAATAATTTTATCCGGTAGATACATAAATTTTGTTTAGGATTGGTTAGTTTTTAGAACTCTTTTTCATTGGATTGTTTACATATTAAGGTTTAAACAAAAACGGCCAAAGCATAAAACTTAAATGTTGACTAAATGTTACGTCAGTGTTGCTGGTCACCCAAGTATCTTCTATGCGTATGTACTTTTTTATACCTTATTTCTTTTAATTGGTGTTAAATGTTTTGTTCCAAGCTTCATTGAAACATTATTTATGATTTTATCCTAGACTGACATGTTTTTTACATATTAATGCACATGTTTGTGTGTTATAAATACATTTATCCCGGTTCTGATACCTATTATTGGTAGTCGTGAGCTGCAAAACTTTGTTAAAATCTTTAGAACAGAGACTGAGTAGTTTCTGCATTAATTGGAGCCTGAAATTACAAACAATATCTCAAGTCCATAATATCCATTTTCCCAAGGTATTCAGACTTGTTTCTCATTCCGTGCCAAAGTTGCACAACAATGCTGCTACTTCATTTCCCCATGTTGCTGAAATTTTTCCCATACAAATCAAATGTATGGAACGCGGGAACGCGTATGGAATGACGCAACAATGAATCTTTATATCATACGCGTTCCCGTAAGATACATTTGATTTTGTATGGGAAAAATTTCAGCAGCATGCTGCCACACCACGAAAATGAGGGGAAAGTCTCCACAAAAACACTCTATTCTCCACTGAAAAGAGAGCATTCTCCACGAATTGAGAGCAAATTTTGAAAACTCTCCACGAATTGAGAGCGAGTTTTGCAAACTCTCCACGAATTGAGAGCGAAAAATGTCAGTATTTTTGGTGCGCTAAATTGAGTTTGGCGGTCAATTTGAAATGTGTCTTAATATTTGGAAAAATAACTTGATTTGTTTTGTCGAGTATACTCAGAAACCGAGAACCAGTAACCAGTAAATAACAAAAAAAAAAAAATTAATAATTAATAATTTTTGTTAGCCCGATACTATCATGATAGTATCGATTGTTTTTTTCAAATCATTCGAAGCTATCGATGGCTCAACTATTAATCGTTTGACACCGCTGCCTGTCTTCGTTAAGTTGCTGTTTTTGCGAACAAACTACAATTTATACCATACTGAAAGAGACTTTTGGCTTTTTGATAACATCTGAAGAAAAAGAGCAGCACCTAGAATGGGTATTCGGGATTGATATAAAAATGAATGTAGGCACTTTTAGACACCGCCAAAACACCAAATGGTAATCGCATTGGGCTAATTGCGATTCAAATGGGGCTTAAATATTTCCCGACTTCTGCGAAGACTTGCCATAGATCTACCAATAAATATACATGTACATATCTACATCTGTAGAATATTTAGAGGCGAAGAAGAAAAGGCTGAGCAGCAGAACAACAGTAGACAAGCAGAACAGCATTGTAAAAGGAGAATCGAAGCAGTCCGCCGTTACATTAAGATTATCAGTAGAGATTGAGCCGTGTCGTCTAAGCTAATTATTCTTATAGTTTGCCAGTCTACTGCGAATTCATAAATTAAATAAACAGTCAATTAAATAATATCTTGCATACATACATATACATATGTACATAAGAATATAATTTATCTTCGGAAGATCATTTGACATTCGGCTTGATTTTTTTCCTCAAATTGTCTGCCCTCTTATCAGCGCGACAATCGGGAGCTGCTGCTGTTTTTGTTGTTGTCTGTGTCGCGCCACTGCTTTGTTTATTTTCCGTTTCAACTGCCTGCTGCTGCTGCCACTACGCGGGGCACGAGCACTGCTGTTAATGCTTCGTTTTGTTGCGTGTGCCGCGGCGCCGAGCTTTTTTCGGTTGACAGTGACAAGAAAATTGTGACGGTCGTGACTGGCAGGGAAAGCCAAAAAACAACAACTAACGTCTGTACGGCCGCCCTACACACCCTTCCATTGTGTTAAGCAAATCACCTTGGGGCAGGTCATGGCCCGGAGATAGACTCCGAGCCCAAAAGACTCTCACCAGAAAGGCCAATACCTGTCAATATCTGTTACTGCTGTTGCTGTTGATTTGTGTGCTGGCCATATCCCTCCATATATTCCATGGGGAATGGGGCTTATTTATCAATTGTCGGAAATGGGGCTTTTTTTTTTGCCAATTTTGAATCCAGCGTTAGACGCATTGGCATTGCATAATGTCTGGGCCCGTAGTGGACCGCAGACTGAATTGTAACTGGAGCCTTGCCCACTCAGAGGCGTTACTCTCGAAACGTGCTCAACGTTCCGGAATCCGACCTGGCTGACGGTCTGCCGGTTCTGCTTGCGCTTGCGCCTGCAGTTGACACAGTAGCAAGGCTGCATGGAGGGACTGATGGATGTGAGGCTGTCGCATGACGTTGGTGCCGTTGGCGGGCCCCCTCCTTCAGTGCGGTCCCCCGGATTGATAATGGCCCGTATTTTGGCCTGCATCCGTTCGTTCATCAATCTCAAATTCTCCATCTTCCTTTTCAGAAATCTCTTCCTGTGCTCCTTTTTAGCAGCGGAGGACTCCGAGGGCCCCAGCTGCTTTGTCGTGGCCTCTTTTCGGCTTGGCCTGACCGTCTCAATGCCAACGACCGTCTCGTTCAGCAGCTGGTAGCTATCGTTTAACGCCTCCACGTCCCCTTGGTCCCAGGATAGTGCGCTCCAGCTCGCGACAGCGGACATCTGATTTTCATTCTGATTGATGAGAACATCGTAGGTCAGCTCGGTGATATGGGTGGCACGACTGTTCGTCGCCGACAGGTACACGAAGCTGGAAAGGTGCACCTCCCCCCTGCGCTGGGCATGTGCTTCTTTCTAGCTCCAGATCGGAACCTAGTATGGCGTCAGAATGGTATGACACTAAACTCAAATACTCCAACAGGGCTGGAGTAGAGAGTAAGGATACCAACACCTGACGTTCTATTTATTTGTACTTTATACAGCACATCTTATAAATTAATTAACGTTACAGCTTACAAAGTTGCTTACTACGGATCAGTGGGACATAGGTAATTATATACAAGAGTGATAATACTAATATACGATAGTATCGAAAAAAGTTATCGAACATTCTGCGTCTCCATTGCAGTGAGATGTTCTTTTGTTTACATTAATTAATAATAATAATCTTTTCATTTCAGTGGACTCGATGCTTAAATATAGCCTTGCTGCCTAAATACAGCTGTGCGGCAGTGGTGGGCTCCATCCAGCTGCTGCAGTTTGCTTGCATCGCACAACTTTGGACAACATAATTGTCGAAAGAGTGCCGATGCTTGTGCCGCTGTTTGGAGTTCTTGTTGGAGTTGCGTGCTGTTGACATTCCCGTCGCTGGGCTTCAGGTATGTGAGTAATTTTCTTTTTCTTTCAGGTCCTAGGATCCAGTTGCTTCGCGGAGGTTATTGCGAGGGCGTCAGGCTGCGTCTCGTATGTGGAAATTGTGACAATAAGACTGTTGGACTGCGCAGTTTGAGGACGCTGTCGGATTGGAGATTTTTCGTGCTGCCATCTACTGTCGCTCAGCTTCAGATAAGTTTACTTCATTTGTTGTCTGTGGAAGAGAATAAGCTTGTGGAAAATTATCTCTTACAGGTGCCGCTGGGACATTGCTGCTGTTCCCGGTGGTGAAAGGATGACTTCGCCTGGAGTTGTGTAATGCCTGGAGGACGCTATTCTGGAGTTCTTGGAGGTTGGCCTGCTGGAGCTGGTCATCAACGTCGTCTGGATGGCGTGCTGTTGCTGTAGGTCGTTGCAGCAGATCGCTCGCTGAGGCATATTCGCCTGTCTGTTGGGCCGGCTGTAAGCGCATCATCCTGGGCAGATGATTAGCAATCGCCTCGCTGTATCGTGGTCTGGAGAGTCTTTGCAGGATGCAGGGGTTGATGACAAGTCTCCTTGCCAGGTAGTTGTCATGTTGGAGCAGCCTTTCATAATAGTTTCTTGTGAGATTATTATATGTTTCTTCCACTGTAGGCAACTGGAGATCTGCATGGATTAAGCTGTTCCTGACATACCAAGGCGCATCGACGATAGCTCGGATAGCTCTATTTTGAATAACCTGGATCTTGTTCATGTGCGTGTTGGATGCAAGAGAGCCCCAGATAGGAAGAGCGTACTGCCATATCGGAGCTACTAGCTGCCTGTACAGCAATGTTTTGGCGCGAGTGGATAATTTGCTCCTTCTTCCAATGAGCCATTCCAGTTTCTTAATCCGAGCTATTGTTTTTGTAATTACAGCTTGGATATGCTTATTGAAGTTGAGACCTCTGTCTAGTTGGACTCCCAGATACGGATACACATTTTTGTTGGCCAGGTGTTGCTCGGAAAGCCTTGGAGATGGATGCTGCAGCAGTGTAGATGTTGTTGAGAGCGTATGTAAGACATGAGCCGTTTTTGTGTTACTGATCGTAATTCCCCATTTTTTAGCCCATTTGGCAGCATCAGATAGCAGCTTCTCCATGTTGGTGATGCAGCTTTTTATGTTGTAATCCGACGCTAAGTAGACTGCATCGTCAGCGTATGTAGCAAGCATATTGCAGCTGTATCTGGGTGGCTTTGGTATGTCGCTAGTGTACACATTGTACAGCACAGGTCCAAGAACACTGCCCTGTGGTACTCCAGCTGCAATGTTCATTGTGGAAGAGGTGACGCCGTTGCAAACAACCCTGAAGGATCTGCCGGTTAGGTAGCTGGTGAGGATGCGGTGAAGGCTTTCCGGGATTAATCTCTTCAGTTTGCAGAGGAGACCTTCGTGCCACACTCTGTCAAAAGCTTCCTGAACGTCCATATAAACTGCTGAACAGTGCATTTTCTTCTCGTGTGCCTGTAGGATGAACTGGGTGACTCTGCCAATTTGCTGTTCTGCTGAGTGCTGTTCACGAAAACCAAACTGATGGTTTGGAATAGAACTAGCAAAGCTGCGTACCTCAAACAATCGACCCAGTAGGAGGCGCTCGAGAAGCTTAGATAGCCCAGAGAGAAGACTGATTGGCCTGTAGGATGCCAGCTGTTCAAACAAATTTATCGATAAAGCTTATTCAGTATTTTTTTAACGGGGACTAGTATTTTCAGGCACATGTGTACAAAGAAGAAGAAGATGCTAACATAAAGCTACAAATTGTTGTTTACATTTTAAAACGGCTGTACAAATTGTGATTGTAAGTATTAAAAAACATCATTTATCTGCTGAATCAAACTTTAGGCTTTCTGTTATTAGGGGGCGTGTTTTCCGGTGTGCTGCCCTCCACCACAGATGCCCAGCTCTGCGCCCTTGGATCCCAAGCTCGTATGGAGGTGTCCGTGGCAGCTGCCTCGTGCTATCGCCTGGCTGCTGCAGCCGTCCTGGAATCAACAAAAGGCCAGTGACCAGCAGGCCCACAGCCGGCCACTGTAAGCGTTGTAGTGGCCCTCTCGTGCCATTGGACAATGGCTCTGGTCCAGTCCGTGTAGAGGCGGCTGTATGTGGCCGCTCCATGCCCCAAGCCAGATGATTTGCCTGAATTTGGCCAGCTGCCGAGTGAACTTGAGTGGGTCGACCTCGTTCTGTACGCTCCAGGATGGCACCAGAAGCTGTGGAATAAAGGAAAACAGAGTTTTTGCCACCCTGATCAGCATTATTAATTTTTCTCCGTCTCTTTTTAGAAACTCTGCAGATCCTGGCCTCCGACTGCACGATCGCCAAACTTCCAGCTGGAGCCTCTTCTTGTTGATCAGTGCGGGCTCGGTTCTCTTCAGCAGTAAATGCGGCGTCCATCGCGTCATCCAATTCCCTTTCCAGTCGCTGTTGCAGAGTGTTCATTCCCTCCTCTAGCAGCTGCTCAGGAGTAGGCGGAGGGAGCTCATGTGGCTCGAGCGGAGTCATTATGAGCCTCTGTATGTATTCAGGCTCAAAACGGATTGTTTCTGCCATTTGTAACCGAGTTCTTTCCCCAGTTCTCAGCATCCGAGCAACGTGATTCACCCAGCATATGGAAGGTCTCTCCTGTGGGATTCCGAGAGCTATGCGACGCTCTTGTTCAAGGCGTTTTCGCTGGATAACTGCCTCCTTGGCTCGGGCTTCATTTAGTAGACGCTGCTGCTCAAATGCAATCTGCTCGCAGTGAATTAAAGTTGGCAGCGGTTGCTGCTGTTGGGCTGCTGCTATCTGCAAGAGCTGCTGTTGGAGCGGACGAACGTGAGTTACCAGCTGCTTTTTGTATCTCGGCCGGTCCAGTCTCTGAGGGATGAATGGATACATAATGAGCTTCCTTGCTTCCAGATTTGGATGAGTAAAAAGTGATGTTGCCATCCTGCTGCTAGACGTGTTAAAGATGTCCTCCGCTGAGTCGATGTTGTGTGCCTCTCGGATGTCCTGGCTTCTGATGTATCTGCTGGCCATTGCAATCTTTCTCACGAGTCGGTTTTGCGTGCCTTCTATCCTGCGGAATTGAGAGTCACATACCAAAGCTCCCCAAACAGGTAAGGCATATTGCCATATCGGGGCGATTATTTGCTTATACACAACCATTTTGCATTCTTTTGACAGCCGGCTCTGACTGCCTATGATCCAATTTAACTTTATGGCTGCTGTCCTCACTCTATTCACCAGGCAGGATACATGTGCATGCAGGACCAGCTTCCTGTCCATTATCAGGCCTAAGTAGCGGTGACTACGCTTATTAACGATATGAGTATCATACATTTTTGGTGACAGTTCGCTAATTCCGTTTCCCATTGATTTCCTTGTGTATAATACATGTATCGTTTTGTCTTTATTTAGGTTGATGCCCCATTTAGAGGCCCAGGAGGTGAAACTTTTGAGATAGATCTCGTTCGTACGGACTGCTGTATTGGCCAAGCTTCTGGCACACAGGATGATGGTATCGTCAGCGTATGTTGATAACAGCATGTCCTTAAAGAAATCTGACTCTCTTCCATCATTTTGTCCTGCTAGGTGCGGCAGTGGCATGTCTGACGTAAAGACAGTGTATAGCACGGGGCCAAGGACACTCCCCTGTGGAACTCCAGCGCAGATTCTTCCGGATCTAGACCGTACTCCGTTTTGGCCATTTACAACAAATGATCTATCAGTGAGATAGCTTTCCAAAACCTGATAGTACGCAAAAGGCAGCAGCTTGGCTAGCTTGAGCAGAAGGCCACTGTGCCAGACTCTGTCGAAGGCTTCACTTACGTCTATGAAAACAGCAGAACAGAATAATCGTTTTTCATAGGAGTCCAGAATGTATTGCGTGACGCGTGCCAGCTGCTGCTCAGTGCTATGATGTCTCCTAAACCCAAACTGGTGTGATGGAATGGCGTTTTCAAATTCCCTGCATTCAAACATCCGTTTCATGAGTAGCGTTTCAAATAGCTTTGAGAAGCCAGCCAAGAGGCTAATTGGTCGGTATGAGCCAACATCATTTGCGCTTTTGCCTGGTTTCTTTATCATTGTAATTGCAGCACATTTCCATTGCTTGGGATAATGGCCGTGTCTGAGTATTGAGTTATAAATGTATGTCAGGTAAATAATTGCTTTATGTGGCAAGGCTTTTATAACTTTGTTATTAACCCGATCCATCCCAGGGGCTTTTTTGTTTTTCAGAGATCTTATTTCCAGCATGACTTCATTTGGTGAGATAGGCCTGAAAGGAGGTTTATTTCCGTCGCTAGTTTCCCCAAATTGCTGCCTTTGGAGCCACTCCGGTGTTGCTGTTAAGCGCTTTAGCTGTTCTAGTTCTTTACGCTCCTCTTCTACCCCGTTCCTAAATTCCTCAGTGTTGGCCAATTTTGGTGCAAATCTTTCTTCCAAATGCGAAACAAATGCCTCAGCTTTTTCCTCGCTAGTTCTTGTCCACCTATAGCTACCACCACTACAGCTAGGCATTTTTAGAGGCCAGTTTGGTTCTGGCTGTCTCTTGAACTTGTTTGTTAACCGCCACAGTTTGTCCATCCTATACCGATCATTAGCGTCTACTTCTTTAAAAAGTTTATTCATTTGACTATTTTTCATTTCACGAATTGCCTTTTTAAGCTTCGAGTTTGCTGCATTACATAACCTTCGCGACTCTGGTGTAGGCATCCGCATGTGCTCACGCTTGAGCTTCCATTTTATTCTTAGGAGTCTTTGAGTTTTCCTATCGATTGGAAGTCTTCCTGTGCCTGGCGCAAACCGCGAAGTTGTTATCGTAGTAGCAGTCGCCGCTGCATTATATATGTTTTGATAGAAGATGTCGATCGCATCCTCTATGTCTTCTCCTGATCTGATTTGGATATTTAAATTTATACGTTGCAGTAAGTACTCCTGAAACTTTCTGATATTAGCCTTGTTGGGTAGCAGCCTGCGATTAGTTTCAAGCGTTGCCGTCGTGCCACTGATGGCCAGTCTAACAAAGATCGGTAGATGGTCTGATTTCAGGTCAATCGTTGAATGAGTATGCAGTCTCTCACAGCTAACGCCTGCATAAACTGCAAAGTCTATGGCGGAGGGCCTTTTTCTGGGGTCAAAGGGGAAGTGTGTAGCTCCCCCTGTGGCCAGTACGTTTAGTCTGCTGTTTGAATGGATGGCTTCCATTAGGACCCTCCCCCTTTTGCATGATCTGACGTTACCCCACCATTGATGCTTAGCATTAAAGTCCCCGGCTACTATGAATTTAGAGCCTGAGCAAAGATTTCCCAAATGCATAAATAGTTTTTTAAAGTGTTGTGCCGTCCAGGTGGCAACAGGCGGGCAGTATATGGGAGCTATTGCAATTACCTCATTTTTACTGGTAGTTAGCGCTATTGGGGCACATTGCAGGAATTCTTCTTCGATGGGTTCTAGCGCAGTGTGCTTGAGGTCAGCTTTTACGTAGATTGCTACTCCCCCTCTTCTGCTGACAGAGGGATGTGAGGCAGCATATCTCACGTATCCATTTATAGTAAGACTGTCAGCTATAGTGGTGTTAGTGTTGACATTTTTGGCTATACGGGTCTCTATAACCATCATTATGTCAATATTGTGTCGCTGCATGAAAAACTCCAGTTCCAAAATTTTGTTCCTAAGGCCACAGGCGTTCCAATAAACAATTTTAAAAGAGTTGTTATAATGGACACCTGTTGGAGAAGTATCAGTGAGATCTACTATATCTGCGTTAACATTTGTAGTGGTGGCGGCTAATGGACTGGCTGTGTTGTTGTCCGCATTAGAGTTAAAGAGATTATATATTTGGCTGTAATTATTCATTAGCAAGGTCATTAACGTTGGAGACAGTTTGTCTTTTATTTGAGGTAATAAATGCATGTAATAGATCAATAAGGGCGTCCATTTTTTTGCCCATTTCACTTACAACCAGTAAATTTTGGCTTACTACTTGCATCAGTTGGTCAATCCCATTTGAGGCCCCAAGCTGCTGGTGGTGTTGCTGCTTGGGCGTCTGTGGCTCTCGATGTTGTTGTTGTTGGTGTCCACGGGGGGTGAGAGGTGGCCTGCTGATGTTGTCGCTGTTTCCCTGTTTTACGTCAGATTGCTGCATGTGTTTGCTCAAGTGTTGGCGGTTCGGCGCCGTATTAGTAGATTTAGCGTTCCGGCTGGTGGTTGGCTGTTGGGAGTTGTTGTGTTGCCGCTGCGGGCTTGTGGGCGTTGTCTTCTGTGATCCTCGATGCTGCTGCTGTTCTTGCTGCCCCTGGAAAGAAACGCCATGTTGGCCATGCGGCTGCTTTGCGTTGCTTCTAAAAGGATTACTGAAGAGTTGGCCGTTTGCGACCCTGTTAGTGTTTTGTCTGCTTGTCGCCGGTTGTGAGTTGTTTTTGGCCTCCTGCGGCGGACTTTTCTGTGATTTTGGCAGGTTATGGTGTTGTTGCTGCCATCTGAAGCTGTTGTTAGTTGCGTTCCATCGACCTGAGTTGTTGCTCGTCTGATGCTGCCAATTTGTCCGCTTTTGACTTCCAATTGCAATATGCGCTCGGTAGGATTGGAGTTTTGCCTGGGCTCGCTTGAACTCCTCGCAGCCCCTGTAGCTGGCAACATGTCCTTTCCCACAGTTTGCGCATCTTGGGTTTGAAATCCTATCTCCACTGCAGTCAGTCGATGGATGTGCTCCGGCACATTTCAGACAGACAAAGGGTCGGCGACAGTAGTTTTTACTGTGGCCAAAGCATTGGCATCTGTGGCATTGAACGGGGTCGATGCGTCTCATTTGACGTTCAACCACGATTTCCTGGTTTCCCATATTTGTAACTGATAAGATCTTATCATTTGCATTATCCAACGTTGGCTCCAACTCGACTTCAAACATGTTGAGTGGTTTTCGGTTGCTTCTATGCTTAATAACATTTATATAGCGCACGGAGAAACCTAACTCACCAATATGTTTGCGAATCCATTCGCAAGGAGTAGAGTGATGTAGATTTCTCAGAATGATGCGGTAGCCACGCTCCCTGCGCAGCTGGTGAGTGTGCATCTGCCTCTTGTCTACATCCAGTTTGGCCAGAACTCTATGGTAAGTTCCCATATCAGCGCAGTCCAGTTTTATTTTGTTGCCCCTTACACTTGTAGTTGTAAATTTATTTGTATCTCCAGGTGTGTTGTTAAGAGATTCTAAAAGTGGTTGAATATTAGTAATATCATGTAAATAAATGGCAGGTATTTTAGCATCTATGATCGGCCTCTGACGTATCTGCTGTACTGTAGCATGATGTTGTTTTTGCGGGAGTGAGCTGTTTTGCGGAGGCTGCTGCTTTTGTTGAAGCTGCTGACCCAAACCTGGCTCCATTGTCAAGTCCACAACGTCATCCAGTGCTGGTGGATCCATTTCCATATCTTCTGAGGGATGGATAGTTGGTTTAGCAGCGTCTGCTGCTGTCGTCATAGTTTTCGGAACATTTGTTCCCGCTTTGGCTGTAGTTATCGGCCCAATATTTGCTTTAACGGCCTCCGTCATCAAGGCAGCAGCGGGAGGTTGAATTCGTTTGGGACGAGACAGACTCAGACCTAGTACATTCTTCCTTTTACTGCATAAGGGCCCTGGTTTTGAGATTGGAGTTGCTTTCAGCCAGGCATCTCCTACTCGGTAGGTACCTAGCTTTGATATCCTACTTTTGCTATTTTGCTTGGGAGTAGAAGCGACTTTTTTAGATGAGTGTGTCGTCGGCGCGATCACAATAAGACTGTTTGGCCACCATAGGTGGTCGTCAGCTTCATTTATTTGTTTTCGCAAACAATCGGTCGCATGTACAAATATTCTTAAAATAAGCCGTGATTTTTTACAGGCAGGAACATAGTTTCTAGTCTAGACTGTGATATTTTAGTATTTTTTTAAACAAATTTATCGATAAAGCTTATTCAGTATTTTTTTTAAAGGGGACTAGTATTTTCAGGCACATGGTACAAAGAAGAAGAAGATGCTAACATAAAGCTACAAATTGTTGTTTACATTTTAAAACGGCTGCACAAATTGTGATTGTAAGTATTAAAAAACATCATTTATCTGCTGAATTAAACTTTAGGCTTTCTGTTATTAGGGGGCGTGTTTTCCGGTGTGCTGCCCTCCACCACAGATGCCCAGCTCTGCGCCCTTGGATCCCAAGCTCGTCTGGAGGTGTCCGTGGCAGCTGCCTCGTGCTGTCGCCTGGCTGCTGCAGCCGTCCTGGAATCAACAAAAGGCCAGTGACCAGCAGGCCCACAGCCGGCCACTGCAGGCGTTGTAGTGGCCCTCTCGTGCCATTGGACAATGGCTCTGGTCCAGTCCGTGTAGAGGCGGCTGTATGTGGCCGCTCCATGCCCCAAGCCAGATGATTTGCCTGAATTTGGCCAGCTGCCGAGTGAACTTGAGTGGGTCGACCTCGTTCTGTACGCTCCAGGATGGCACCAGAAGCTGTGGAATAAAGGAAAACAGAGTTTTTGCCACCCTGATCAGCATTATTAATTTTTCTCCGTCTCTTTTTAGAAACTCTGCAGATCCTGGCCTCCGACTGCACGATCGCCAAACTTCCAGCTGGAGCCTCTTCTTGTTGATCAGTGCGGGCTCGGTTCTCTTCAGCAGTAAATGCGGCGTCCATCGCGTCATCCAATTCCCTTTCCAGTCGCTGTTGCAGAGTGTTCATTCCCTCCTCTAGCAGCTGCTCAGGAGTAGGCGGAGGGAGCTCATGTGGCTCGAGCGGAGTCATTATGAGCCTCTGTATGTATTCAGGCTCAAAACGGATTGTTTCTGCCATTTGTAACCGAGTTCTTTCCCCAGTTCTCAGCATCCGAGCAACGTGATTCACCCAGCATATGGAAGGTCTCTCCTGTGGGATTCCGAGAGCTATGCGACGCTCTTGTTCAAGGCGTTTTCGCTGGATAACTGCCTCCTTGGCTCGGGCTTCATTTAGTAGACGCTGCTGCTCAAATGCAATCTGCTCGCAGTGAATTAAAGTTGGCAGCGGTTGCTGCTGTTGGGCTGCTGCTATCTGCAAGAGCTGCTGTTGGAGCGGACGAACGTGAGTTACCAGCTGCTTTTTGTATCTCGGCCGGTCCAGTCTCTGAGGGATGAATGGTAACCGTTCTGCCGCTGCCAACATTCCGCCGCGTCGAATAATAGGTTACGTTAAGATTTTGTACACTAGCTTAAGTCAGTTGATAAATTTGATTCGAATAAATAACTACTTTGCTCAAAAAAAAGAATTTTTCCTTTTGTTGAAAGGACAAAATTAACTGGCCCGAGAGGGACCTGAATAGTGAACAATACAACAAAAAGTTTAGTACGTTCGCGAAAACTGCAACAACTTGCAGCCGTCGGTCTCGAAACGCAAAATACCGGTTCAACTCGCAACAATACTTCGTTATATTGCCCGGTATAGCCCATTGGTGGACTACCATTCCTGAAAGAGTTCCGTACTCAGGAAAGCCAACAACAAGGAGTGAATCTCAGGAACCTGAGTAGGTTTATAGCATCCAAAAAGGACCAATTCCGGATCACCCGTTGGAGGAGCCACATCTCAACGATGTTAAGGTAAGTAAGGTGATAAGAAAACAAAGTGAATACGAAAATTCTAGGAAAACTTCTGCCAGACAGGAAAAGAAACACAAAACTGAACAATTTAAACATAAGACAAGAAAGAAACAAATTTCGAGTATTCATATCTCATTAAATAATATTAAAACATTTTACAATGGCAAACCCCGACAACTTAATCAGACCAGCCGTTCTGGCCCATGATCCAAATAGACAAAATAACAATAGAGAAGAAGTTACGCAGATGGTAACTACCTTAGTGACTACAATACTAGAACAGTCGTTACCAGGACTAATTAAAAATATAATCAATCCAAACGCTGACTTTCTCAGCGTTGCTGACCAAGTTATTAATCCAGCTCTTGGAGGGAATTTGAACGATTTAGATAGAATCCCAGATATAGTAAAGTGTATTCGAGAATTTTCCGGTAATCCAGCCGAATTTAGCTCCTGGAAAAAAGGAGTAGATAGAATTCTAACAACGTATGCCGCTCAAGAAGGAACTCCAAAACATTTTGGGATCATTCATTCCATTCGTAACAAAATTGTTGGAAACGCTGATACGGCATTAGAATCCTATAATGTTCCACTCAATTGGAATGCGATTTCCAAGTGCCTAACCCTTCACTATGGTGACAAAAGAGATCTGGGTACACTAGAATACCAGATGACTACAATAGTTCAGGGAAACCAATCAGTAGAAGAATTTCATCAGGTCGTTTATAAACAATTATCTCTGATTCTTAACAAAATAGGTTGCATGGAATTAGGAAGAGAAGCTGAACAATTAATGACAAAATTATACCGAGATAAAGCACTAGATACTTTCATAAGAGGACTACGAGGAGATCTCCCTCGACTTCTAGGAATGCGGGAACCAGTAGACCTCCCATCGGCACTACACCTGTGTCTTAAACTAGAAAATCAAAATTTTCGCGCTGTTCATGCTAATAACAAAACCCCAATTTCAGGATTTAGAGGATCAAATCAAAAACCGATCCCAGCACCAAGATCAAATTTCAATTATAACAAACAACAACCTCAATACAATCAATATCAATATAATCAGTTTAAGCCCCCAATTCCACCACGTCAAAATTACAATTACCAACCTCCACAATTCGCGCAGAATTATTCTCGACAACAAGTCCCTCAGAATTACATTCCAAATCGCCCAATCGCACCTAAGCCGCAACCGAAACCAGAACCAATGGACATAGATCCAAGTATCCGCACTAGGAATGTAAATTACATGAATCGTCCGCAGTTCGAAGTAGGGAAAAGACCCCCCCCAACAACGCAGAATTATGCAGAAGAGAAACAGAGACAGTTCAACGTCCAAACAAATGAAAAAGAAACCAACACCTTAGCTGACGCCGAAAATTACGCTACGATGGCGGAATACGAACAATTAAAAACAGACTACGAGAATGAAAACAACTTCGAACAGAGTTTTGAAGAATACTTGCAAGAACCAGGTGACGATAACGTAAATGCAAATCCAGAACAATATAGTGATCTTCATTTTTTAGTATAAAAAACTCCTCATTGCCTTACATCGAATGTAAACTGAGGAGTGGGAAAATTCTAAATGTATTAATAGATACAGGTTCAAACAAAAGCTATATTCAACCCAAACACGTCAACAATCCCACCTTAAATGAAAAACCATTTAATGCAGTAACCGTTAGTGGTAGTATTAGAATAACTCACTACAAAATGGCCAATCTTTTTAATATACCAGGTACTAATGTACAATTTTTCCTTTTACCAACTTTAAGATCATTTGACGCCATACTAGGAAATGACTATCTAAGAGAATTAGAAGCAGTCATTGATACCAATAAACAAATAATAAAAATAAAAAATGGAAACACCATTCCCATAAAAGAAAAACATTTCGAAGCCGTCAATATTATGTTCGATAGAACCGAACATTTGACGATTACCCAAAAATTAAAATTAGAAAAGCTTTTCAGAACTTATTCCAATTTATTCGCGATTCCAAACAAAAAACTCACGTATACTACTAATATAAAGGCCGAGATTCGCACCACCACCGATACTCCCGTGTATTCGCGATATTATCCATTACCGATAGGATCTAAAGTCGAAGTAGAGACACAAATGAAAGAATTGTTAGAGGATGGGATAATCAGACCTTCTAGATCACCATATAATTCACCCGTTTGGCTAGTGCCAAAAAAACTAGACGCATCCAAAAAGAAGAAATTTAGAGTGGTCATTGACTACAGGAAACTTAATTTAGTAACAGTAGCAGATAAATATCCAATTCCTAACATAAATGAGGTATTAGCCCAACTAGGAAACAATAAGTTCTTTTCGGTATTAGATCTTAAAAGTGGATTCCATCAGATTCTTTTAAAAGAAAGCGACATAGAAAAAACAGCATTTTCCATTAACAATGGCAAATATGAATTCACCCGTCTCCCTTTTGGCTTAAAGAATGCCCCAGCAATATTCCAAAGAGCACTTGATGATATCCTACGACCACACATCGGGGAAATATGTTACATTTATATTGACGACATAATTATTTTTGGAAAAGATGAAGAAACACATACTAACAATCTCAGAACTATATTTGATACCCTTGAACAAGCCAATATTAAATGCCAACTCGATAAATGCGAATTTTTCAAGAATAAAGTAGAGTTCTTAGGTTTCATAATTTCCGATAAAGGAATAGAGACAAACCCTTTAAAAGTAGAAGCAATTGCTAAGTATCCTTGTCCGAAATCACTAAAGGACCTTAGATCCTTCCTAGGTTTGTCGGGCTATTATAGAAGATTCATCAAAGATTA